AATCTGAAAATGTTGTATGTTGTGTTATAAATTAAATTCATATCTACTGAATGGTATGTTGATGGTGTACATGTGAGTGTATTTGCTTCTGAGACGCCATATACATAATTCCCGAGTTTTTTTTACTCCTCTTGCCATCTCTTTCAGGTCTTCACCTCTTCATTGAGAGACGAGTGTGTGGTATAGTATGGGGAAGAATATAAATTTAAATTGTAACATTAATTTCCATTTATTGATTGAATTGGTCGTGTCAGGTGCCTTTGACTCTGGAAGACTTGCAGAAGATCATTATGCAAGAGTGGCCAAAAATTGAAGATCACCACCTTTTCCCTTCCCTCTTGCGCCTTTCATGAACGCGCGAGAGTGCTTTCCGAATTTAATCTCTTCTTTCCGTGGAAGGAGAGACTCTTCTTTTTTTTCGGCTCAGTGGGGGCATATTTAGCACTCCCAAGTATCACAGATATTGTGTGTTGTTTTAAATGGTAACATTGTACAAATGTGTTGATTTCCGTATCCACCACTTTGACAATTCCCTCAGTGGGATCCCCGGCTGAGTGTGTGTGCATCACTTAATTGTTTATAATGTCAAACCTGCATAAAATTACAAATAGCAAGATGTTGTGTGTATTATCTGCATTTAAATGGCGCTGAGATGTATTGCCGTGATCACTTGGGAGATCACTTGGGCGACAACACAACGATCTGCCGCATTTCATTAATACATTTTGACGACTGTGTGTCTGTAGAGATGATTTCCCTCCGAGTATGTATCGGCCTGGCGCGTGTGTTGGTCAGACAATGTTGGGCGCGCGAGTATTGGGAGGCACGCACACGCTGGCGCGCGATCCCATGCGATCGTATATACAAGAGGTCGACCATATGACTTGATATCGTATCCAAACATTGGAGTTCAACGAACTGATTGTATATTTTATTACGAATGTGTGGAACACACAGGCATACACCAGCTGGTTATGGGACTTAATCAGGCTATCTCTTTTTTGCAAAACACAATTTTTTGTTGTTGTTGCTCACCCATCAACCAAGAGATCCTAAACAATCCACAAGTCTACTACTCCCTAGCACAATCACGACGGAGACAGATCGAGAGGCCATCCCAGAGAGTGGGTTTTTCGTTGAGTTTTTTTTACCCACAGAGCCGCAGATAATTGCGCGCGATCGCGCTGACATGTCACCTGCGAAGGATCACCCAGAAAAATTCCTCAGTGGCAAACACGATGACAAATTAATTAGCAAATTTCCGTGAAACATTTGTCAGTGCGTGAGAGTATTCCGATGCGAGCGCTTTCACCTCATTTCCCTTCCTCGTCGGCGAATTGCGATGGAATAAATACAACAAGTATAACACGAAGAAATGTACACACACAGCCAGTCGAAAAGGCGATCACCAGTGATCGCACGATTGGTCACACCATTTCCTTTCGACGTAATGCAGTGACTCAAGCAACTTGACGCGGACTTTTCAATGCAAATTCCATCAATTTGTCTGTATGCATTGGAAGCTCCACGGGCAGACGATGAGAAATTGCACCCTGAGAAATTACGCGCCAATTTACTCGTTTTACACTCGACTCTTAAGTGCCCCCTCTGACGTGCATACTGGACAAAAGGACGCGGGCAGAGATTCGTTGAAACATTTCACGTGGGGCAACTTCATGGGTTGTTTACCCAGAAAATGCAAAACAAGCGTCTTGTTCGAAAAATTGGGTTAATCGTCGCGTATGATAAGAAGCCTCCAGACAATTTAATCATCATCGCGCGCGTTGTCGTAAAATTCTGTCGAGGATTCTTCGGGGAGAGAAGAGGCGGAGACAAAAAGAGGAATTTGATGCATCATGAAATATTCAATTCATCGCCTTGCCGCACACCACAATTTGTAAGATCGCCGATCATAGAAGAGGAGCTGAAAAAGGAAGCGATGATTGATCCACAATGATCCCAATGATATTTCATGGCTTATTAATGACTTTTCGGAGTGTTCTTCTGTCTCTATTCTCTCACCATGCAATCTTCATCGATATCTCCTGATCTTCACGTTCACAGAAGTGATCTTCATGTGATCCTCTCCATGGTAATTTGAATATACATCCCAGGTAAGTTTTCACGTCAACACGGCATCTTAAAAGAGAGATACACGCCAATGCAAATAGAGTCGTATAACAATTTCTTAGCACAGACGAACACCGTCATAAAGCAACTCAATTACACTTTCACTTCAGGTATAAAACTTTGCTTGGGATCAGCGTTCACACAGTCTTTTATGAGCGCACTGAGTAGGTGCAAAAACCCACATTGCGAGTGATCATACGTTGAGGGAGCCGCAAAAAAAGCATCGTTTACTGCACAAAAAACCACCCACAGGGGAAAGCATTTCACCGAAAGGGGTGAAAGGATACACAGAAAAAATGTTGTCCCCTTCGCGAAGATCACACGGAATTTCCTCTCCTTATGCTGCAGTGTTTTGTCTTTTTTGGGACCATCTTTCTCTCTTAAAAATGCCAAGAAACACCCATCCAACCATTTCTCAGAAGGCTGAAAAGACAAATACATTTTAGGACATATAATTTTTTCTAGAGCGATCTTTCCGTTAAATAGTCGGAGAAAGGCAATAAACATACATTATACTTCTCTGAGTTCCAATAAAATCCTGCAAAAAGTAGGCCTGTGACAATTTTTTCCTCGCAAAAGCGTCATCTATTGCTTTATGGGGCAAGAGAAGAAGAACCTTGAGCGACTTTTTACGAGGCGTGTATATTCCAGTGAAATTCCACCAATGCTACTTAACTTTGATACGCACCGCAACATAATAAACTTCCACCCCCAAGATCACCTTCGGAGAGCATTCCGAACCATGTGGAATTTCAACTACATGAGGAATTCGCGGTGGATGGAGTGGAAAATAAAGAAATAAAATTTCGGGAATCTTGTCTCGTCACTGCCCAAAAAGTGTGTTGTATTTTGGACACAATCATCTTCGAGATGCTTCGCTCAAAGTGATACGCAACAGTCACTGCAAATGTTCTCGATCTTTTGTCAATTGAGTGTCACAAATACTCCTCGTAATTTTGGTTTGAGAATTTACACACTTATTATTAAATGTTTCGTAATTGTGAATTTTAAAATATTCCAATATGACCAAGAACTTTCATTCTGACTCTCAATTTGGGGATTCCTCGTGCGCGACAGACAAGCATGTACTCTTGAGGGTTTTCTAAGGTGATCTCGAAGTATCTCTCGAGGCTCTTCGACTCTTTAGCGACAGTTTTGTTTTATTTTCGAGACGAACACAAAAAGTAATCACCCTCAAGGGATCTAATCTGTCGCTCACCCGCGGCAACGTAAATATTTGTGGGTGAGCAAAGATGACTTTTTTCCTTTTGTTGTCCGCATATGTTTTTCGGTGGGTTTGTGCTGAAGGGTGTTGAAGGGTGGCCGAGGCTCATAAATTGAAGAAGCAGGCGATTATGAGTGGCAGGACAAGGAGGAATCCTCTCAGAAGCGCTTTATGACCATATTTGTGGACTGCCTGAGCAGACTCGCGCAGACACAATGGTCGGGATATCTCTGTCCTATATGGCGATCGAGTGGTGGATTTGTTGGTTTTGTTCCGCCGGCCAAATCAGTCCTGAGTACGCGTTTTGACATTGTTTTTCTCCATGGGCTCTGCTTACCCATTTTCATTTAAGGTATTGTTTGCTAAAGTGTTTTTGCCCACTTGAGCAGTTTTGTGATTTTGCACGCGTGCGGCTGTGTGGCTAAATATTGAAGAGATCCCTTCAAGTTGTTACACATCATAAGACTAGACCGCATCTTGCCTGATTATTTATTCTTCAGCGTCTGGATACATTCCAATCGACTCTCTTTTGGGCCAAATATCAACAAAGCGCCCGAGCCCCAAGGAGCCGATCTTTTCTGTACTTCTCAAGGCGAATTCGTAGTGGCTATTTATGGTTCTGGTGGACAATCGAGACTCCATGCTTAAGAAGTTATTTCTCTAAATTTCAGCCTCTTATTGAACACTTTTTTTGTCCTCCTCTCAATCTTCGATGCCATCGTATTCGCTGGCAATCCTCAGATTCAGCATGCCATTTGAGATGAATTCGAAATGCTGCTTTGGCAAAAGGGATTCACTGAGTCAATTATATCAAGGTGGAATTTTTTTCTACAAAAGCGCGCAATATACCCTATAATTACATACCGTGAAAATTACCAATGATTGCCTCTATAATCCAATCAATTCCACGGAAAATCCTAGTCAGAAATACCACGTCAGAGATGAGGTATTTTTGTATGTAAATATGTCACAATTATGGGCCCAGATTTTTTTCCGCGATAACCAACCAAGAAAAAGGGTGGATCTGTTGATGAAACGGAAGCCAATCACGCGATGTTCGGTGTCTGCTGAAGAGATGAGACAATGGCAGAAATGTTGACTGTGAAATTATTTAATTGGATTTGGCAATTCGAATATTTTGAATAATATTTCCACCTTTTTGTAGCAATTTTATGCAGTTTTGCTAATGGCTAAAAAGCATTCCTTGGCACGGCGAGAAAAAGTGGTGGGCAAAAAAAAAGACTTTTTGATTGCTAGACAGATCATAGAAATGTTCGCCTCTGTTGGATGAATGCCGCAAAATGACGCCTGAAATTATTGGTTGAAATTGTGCGCAATTTGGTAGTTCTCAGAAGCCAAGAACTACCATCTGACTAAAATTATTTCCAAATTATGGAAATTTAATATAATTTCAATCACAATAATAGTTTGATTGAAGTCAAATTGATATGCTGTCAAAGAAGTATTCAGTTAAAGACGCAGACAAGCGGAATATCATCAAACATTTTGTATGTTAATCTTTGGACGCATGATTAAAGTTTATTCGTGATTCGTGTTGCGATTTATTATAATAAATTATTTTGCATGAAATAAATTAGACAACTCCTTGTGTTGCATTGTCTGCCCTCGAAATCCTTTGAACACTTCAGTATGCATGGGATGCGATGCTGGATCCCGAGGATCCAGAGCTGGAAGATGAGGAGGCGATCGACGATGAGGATGACGATGAAGGGTAGTATGCGCTGTAGGCCATCTGGTGGGAGTCAGACGATGGCTCCCATATCCTAGAGTAGGGACCTCCGTTGGTGGGCTCCCAGCTGCTGGGCCCATAGGAGGAGGCTGGCGCTGGGGTCGGAGCGGGGGCTCCGTAGACTGGCGCGGGCTCTGGAGGTGGCATGGGCATCATGGTCATCGGCATGGGGAGAAGACCCTTCTTCTTCAGCAGCTGGTGCAGCAGAAAGCCAAGAACGAGAGTGATGGCCAGCTTGGACATCACCCAGGCCTTCACAGCCTTCAGATGAATCAGACCCAGAACAATGGGAAGGACAATCTTCTGCTTGAGCTTCATGAGGAGGAGAATTGGGATAAGCAATTTCTCCTTAAGATCTCCATTGCGGGCTGAAAAATCGAGATAAAAATTGTGTTAAAGAATTTTTCGTGTCTTCTGCTTTGGATGCTTTACCTCTCTCTTGGGGAACGAGGAAGTTGAATCCTTCGTCCGGACGGTAGGTGAGGACGGCCTGTCCGAAGAATGTCTGAGGCAGAGCCATCCGGAATTCGCTGGTGGCGAGAACTCGACTGACGCGATCGAAGATCGCTCGATCAACGTTGTCGTCCTCGAAAGCTCGTGAAGTCCTCTCTGTCACCCCGAGAGTGGTGTCCAGGTAGCAAAGCACCCGTCCTTTGAGGCACTTGAATGTATCACCGGAAAAACAGTCACTCGTGATGGAGTCGATGAGCTCCTCTCCAGAATGGATCTTCATCTGGCGACTCTCGATTTCATTGTCCGCAATGGAGGCGCCCATCGTGGCCACCAACAGCCCACTCACGAGCACAACACTCAACACTCTTTGGATCATCCTCGAAAGAATCTTTGGCACCTGTGATGGTCTCTGATTGTCTCCTTGGCTCCGGTCACACCAATGGGCAAGACGAATCTGAAGCAATTGAGCCCATTGGGTACACTTTTATACAACCGCTCCCATAAACTATGTGCAGTGGATAACAATATGATGAGGAGCCGCGAGATTTCAATTGTAGAAACTCCATTAAAATTCAATGCAAATCAATTGGTGAGGCGTTTTCCACCAAATTCAGTGTCACACAAACGGAAAGTGACCGCTTCCAGTGTGGAGGAATTCAGCCCACTCGGAAGTTGGCCTTCCAAACGGAATATCCGTTAAGCGCCTCTTTTGGATAAGGCGTCCAGCACTGTGATGGTATTTCTGGCACGTTCCACATTCTAAATGCTCCAAATCCCTAATTTTCCACCCACTCAAAATGGGGACACACGTATCGCAGGTTTCACTTTCATCCCGGATTCAGAGAAGTGCGATCAAGTGTTGAGATTCAGTAAGGATTTCCTGTGGGGAAAGTGGAATTTTCCCATTCCAGTGTGAAAAGGAAGATTCTTTTGTGAACAATTATCACATAATTAGAAGCTTCAATTACTTGAATAGAATTTAACAACTTAATTTTGATCCAAACGTCCGCAATTGATCTCATTTAACAAATGATTCTTTTTATATCGTCAAAACATTTGTGCAGTTCTAATGAGGGAAATCTTTAATCTAACTTTCTAAATTCATTAGATTCTAGAAATTGAAGCATAAAATTAGTAAATCAACAGCTTTGGCAATAATTGCAGATTAAATGTTGATATGATTAATTTATAATTTATCTTTATTAACTTTGTCTTTACTTATAAAGCAGATTTTCAAGTCTTTCCGTATTTTTTATTACGTACGATTTATATTTATCATAAAATGGTTTTTTTTACTCTCTTGCTCAATATTTTGAGGTGGAATTTCAACATTATTATTAACTTTTCTCATGCAAAGGACAAAGAACTTTTTTCAAAGATTTATTTATTTTTATTTTATCTTTAGTCAATTGTTGAGCACAATTCAATTGGAAGTGAAAAGACAAGATATTTATTAAAATTTTCTTCTTTATTTTTTTTCTATGCAATTCATACATTTCTCCTCATAATAAATAAGTTAAGCATTCTTCTTTGGCTCTTCTATTCTTAGCCCTACAGATAAGCGCTGTAGGCGAGATTCTGAGACTCTTCAGCAGCATTCGCAGCCTCGTAAGATCGTCTGTGGTCCCACGGTCCATGAGCAGCGATCTGATGTGGATGGATGAACCCATCAGTGGTGATCTGTTGAGATTTCTGTTATTAGACTTTTCCACAGTATTTAATCTTTGCGATTTTACCTTCTTGCAGAGTTGGAAAATAGCCAAAGCTGTCGAGATCACGAAGGAGAAGAAGGACAGTTGGAGTGCATTCCAAGCCTTAATGCCCAGGATTCCAAGAGCCATTGGGATGAGAGTGATGGCCTTCAGGAGGATGAACACAACAATGGGAACGATGATCTTCCTGATTTTCGATTTACGAGCTGTAAAGAGTATTACGCTTCATAGCTTTGCCTTAATGAATGTCAGTGGCAAGACTTACATTCTCCAACGCTCTTCTGACTATCCTGCAGCTTGACTTTCAGGGAGAAGTCGTTGGAGTCGAGATCACGGCCTGAGAGGGTTACTTTGGCGTCAGATCCTGGGATCTTCACTGTAACATCGTGTTGGCGCACAAATTGCTCCATTTTGTCCATGAGAGAGTCGCTGGATCGACCAGTGAAGTCATTTCCAACACCATTTCGCTGCACCTCAACTTCGCTCGTGATCTGCAAAAGACATTTCATTAGTTATTACAACTGAACCGTGGAAAGTGATTAATTGAGGCTTTACTTCGAAGCGATCCTTCTTGAAGAGCGAATCCAGGAAGTTGATGACTTTGAACTTTAGGCAGGAGAACGCATCACTGTCATCATTGCAGGCTGACCTCATCGTCTCCACGGAGTTGTCCAGTCGCCGGGGTCCGTCCTGGATGGCAGGGACTGCCGAGGTGAATCCCACCACTGCCACGGACAGAAGACACACCAGAAAGACTCTCGCCATGATCTTTGGTTCCGCGAATTATCACTGCGAAGTGCTAAGGGCAGGAGCAATTGAGTTGCCTGTGCGACGAACTTTCGGAGAATGATGATCGCTCATCTGCAATCACTTGCTTTTTATACACTCGCCCATGCCAATGTCTACCACCGAGTGGAATATCAATTGCTCTGATAAAAGCTCTGCTCCCATATTGAAATCTATTCCATCCACTGGTCTCACTTCCGATTGACCGTGTTAAATGGTTCAGCGGCGACGCTCTTCATGTATTTTCCGCACGTTCTGGAAGTGACGCCCAAAAATGCAGAGAGACACTTTTCTGATCTCCCACATCCCAGTTTTCACTTTAATCAGGTGAGTGCAAGTGATTTTGCCATCAACATTGAAATTCACTGCATTCCATCAAATTTATCTATTGACAAATAGTCACCTAAATTCCTCAAGTGAAAAAATTCAAATTATGATTTGGACTCATTATTGTGAATGAAATTTGGATTGAATCCGCAATCTGTTAATTGTATTTTCACATTTTCGATCTTTCAATAAATAATTGAACTGATTGTTTAAAAAAAATCAGTGAGTTATGAATTAATTATCAATTATTTAAATACTATCTTAATAGTTGCAAATTTTGTTGAAAAATTTGAATTAATCATGTTTATCATTTTACTATTTCTTGGTATCAATTTAGTTTAGTCACACGATGAAAAACTTCACTTATTGTAATGTGTGATTTGAAAAGATTTTGAAGCTTATTTATAGACAGAATTTTTCTGGTTATGAAAAATTCAATTTGTGCTTTTGGTATAAGATGTGATTTTATTAATACATCATTAAATTAATGTAAGAGGTTTAAATATGCATAATTGGATGCAATTAAAAAAATCAATAAATCGCAGATTGCTTCTCTATTTCAAGAAAAATGCCTTGAATTTTTGTAATAATCTCGGTTTATTATTAAAATTGTCATTGCGAGAGTGTAGTTTAATTAATATTTTAAAATAATTGAAAAGGATGATTTTTTTCAATAAATACAGTATTTATTTCATTTTGACTTTTTCTACAAATAACTGGAATAAGCCATTTCCTGGGCGTCCATTTGGCGACTCCAGCCCTGTGGAGGATCCCAATGGACATGCTGCGGCTCTACGTGGTGCTCAACGTGATGGTGATGAGGATAGTGGACGACTTCGTAGTTGACCACTTTTGGTTTGGCTAGCCTGAAGATCACGATGGCTCCGGCCACGACGAGGGACAGAAGACCGAGAGTCATGGCCTTCCACGTCTTGAGGGCGATGAGAGCGAGCGCGAGGGGCACCAAGCCGAATGTTTTGATCTTGAGGCCCAACAGGAAGGGAATCATGACTTTCTTCACAAAGCCTCGACCTGAAATTAAGAGAAAATGTTAGGAAGCACTGGAAGAAAAATTTAGCGATCTTCTGGAGGACCTTCAGCGACTTTCCCTTCGGCGAGCGGCACTTGAACTCCATCGGCGAGTCCGCCTTTGAGGAGTGACTTTGGTATGAGTTTCCGCACAGATTTGTCTTGCAGAAACTTGGGCGGTTCGATGCGAAGAGCGTGTGTGGAGAGGAACTCATCGATCTTGTCGAAAGCTCTGAGCTCTCGCGGAAGAACTTTTCCCTCATCTTCTGGCTCAGCCTCTGCGGTGCGCACCAGCGAGAGCTCATCCGTGAGTCGAATCACATCTGTCTGAGAGGCCTCTCTTAGCCAAGACAGCGCCTTCGGCTTCACACACTCCGTCGACCACTCACTGAGACAGCTTCTGTAGATGTCTCGCGCAACATCCGCCGCAGACTCTTCGCTGCAACTCACCGCGACGCCGTACACGATCAGCGAGATCACGATGGACTTCAGCATGTTCACGAAAGATCCTCTCCACTTGGGTGCACTGTCTGCCCGTGGCTGTGGCTTCTTGATCGATGGAGCGTCGCCAGCGAATTATTTATTAAATTCCATTGATGTATGGTTTTATACGCGCCCAGGGGGCACCTCGAGGTGGAAGTTGGGCGTTTGTCACAGGCTTGAGAGAGAGGAAAGTGGCAGCGTCTGGGGAATGTTCAATTAGAATCCAACGGATTCACTGGCTCGAAGAGGAAAATCGGGCTAAACGTGTCCAGAATTGCAAAGCCGCACAAAGTGTTTCACACATTGTGATTATATTTGTTTGTTTAAATTTCCCTTATCACTGTCTTCTTACATATAAGTACTTCTAGGCGGCGCATGAAAACACTCACTTGTCCTGAATATTACCCGGAATAACAAAATATGATTTATTCAAGAAATCATATCGAAAATGTTACACTAAGCTTCAAAAATTTGATGAGTTTTCCTAATAAAGTTATTGTTTGAAATTTCGAAAGCATAGAACCAACGTCAATAAAAAATTGTAAAAAATATTGCTTCTTATTGCTTCAGACAAAAATGATTTAATTACACTCAGAACTGCACTCTTTCTGAGCATATTTGACTTCTGGGTTAAATTAAAAATGTTCATTCTGTATCATTATATGTTCATCAATCAAACTCCAACAGCGCGAGCATAGACACAGAAGTCATAAAGATTGTGCTGGGCTGATATTTTTATGGCAATCCAAATGTGGTCCGCATACCTCGGATTTATCCAAAAACACATGTTCAGTTCATCTCACGAATTTGCCCCAAATTATCTCGAAACCAATTCCAGCGTCAATTAAACAACACTTTCAGATAAAATCATTTTATTTTTATTCTCACAAGTCATGCATTTTGCTATCTAAAGGTTTGACAAGTGTGTATTTTCAATTACACCTAATAAATAAATACCCATCACTCAGTTTTCAATAAATAGAGATAAATTTTAAAATTATTCACCTTATAGATTCCATGAAAACTATCCTACGATTCGTCCATTGCGTAAAATGACTCGTAATCCTCATAACCCTCATTATAAATTAATGTAGGTAGTAATGAATCAATCACCTTCTAGCTTGATTAATGACCTCACAGACATTTGCTGTGACAACTTATTTAATGCACTAGAATCCCTCTATCAAACAATTTTACAAAATTGATGAAAACTCCCATCCATCCATGTTTAATAAATAATCGTATCCCATGCAACTTATGCGACAAATAAATATCTTTGGGGGTATGTTAAAGAATGACACCCTTAGATTCTCCCAACTTGTGTCTAAGCTAATTTATCCTTATTATTTACAAAATAGAAAATAAATAGAACAATCATTTGTATGAAAGCTAAATCCTTATCTAAGGCCTAATGTATCTATATACAATACGAATTTCTAAGCAATTTCTTGTTCCTCATTCGCCGAATTATGGTCTGTCCAGAAGTCCTATCGCTCTGTATTGATGGCGCATTGCGGATAGTGTCGAAGACAGTCTCCTTGATCCTGACCATCTCTGGCCGCTTGGACGTATTTGTAAAATCTTATGACAGCAGCATTGGTTGAGGTGGGCTTCTGGAGTTCAGTTGTGTCCCTGAAACGGATAAATTGAAAGATAAGTGTTTGAATTAAGAGGATTTTGTGTTTGATATTCACCTGCTCAGCTCTGCTGAAATGAAGTTGCTGTGCGGACTGAATCTCGTGGGGTTCTTGTACATGCTGCAAATGAGTCTCTCCTTGCAGCTTTCATCCGTGATGCCCATTTGGAGGAAGATCTTGTCAATGCGCTGCAAAATAGGTCCATAGAAGGGGTCCACGAGCAGTGTTCCATTGCGAACTAGGTTTTGCTGATGCTGAAAAAGGCACTTTTATAGCTAACTGTGTCACATTTAAAGATTGCACATTAATCATGTGCCTAAATTACCTGCGGATCTTGGACGAATGGCTGATGGCGGAGGATTTTCTGCTGATCAGCTATGAGTTTTTGTTCCGCCTGAATTCGAAGGGCTTCTTGTCGCTGCGCCTCGCGAATCTTCTCAATTTGATGTGAGTCGTTGGTGATAAAAAGGCAATGAAGGGAAAAAGAGATTCAAATAAATTGTGTTGCTGTTATTTGCTGAAAGATTAATTGCCTACAGTATTTGTTCCAGTGAATAGAAGTTAGTTGAGCATAATGTGGTTAATAACTAATCAAAGGTAAAAAGGTGGAAACCACAAATCAATTTGCCTACAATTCTTCTTGTGCATCTTTTTTGATTCTGTTGCACTTCTTGACATCTTTCTCCACACGTTTACCGAGAGTCTAGGTCATAATTCGCATGATGAAAAAGAGTGCAAAATCTCGCCAAAAGGGCATTCGTGTGCGGTTGGAAACACATAACCTTGGCTGTGAACTTGGCTCGAGGCACGCTTAGATGCAAGAACAATTGATTTGCAAGTACAAAATAGCAATTGTGTTGCCAACAGTGCAATCCATCAGTTTAGGCACTTTTTCCACACGAATGCAAAATCGCCGGGTGAATTTGATGGAGGGAGAAAAAAATCTCTCTCTCTCTCTCATCTGAATCATGAGCATCGAATAGAATTAAAAGAGTCAATTGAGAGAGAAAAGTGGGTCAAGACATACATTGAGAGTGGAAGTTGCGAAGATGATCGCGAGGTGAAGAAACTTACGCCCAATCTCTAATTATTCTTGAGCGAGACAAACAGAGATTTGTTGTAAGAAATTATTAAAATAGCCACATTTTTGCCACAACACTATTTAATGCCTGTTTTCACTGATGTCGTCAAAGAAGTGTGGCCATATTTTTTTCCGCCAAAGTCTACAATAAACATTCCACACAAGAGGAGAGCATCTTCATCACTGTGGCCGAACACTCGAGAGGCCAGAAAAAGTGCTAATGAGATGAAATTTCCGGATGTTTGTACAATAAAATTTCACGGGGTGGAGAATAGAAGGAGACCCACTGACAGACTAATCATGCAAATGACGGCCGACTTGGTGCATGGACATGTGGAAATGTGGATCTCACGTGAATTCACACTCAAATGGTCATCATTTAAGCAAGAATCACTTCGCAATCATATCTATTGCACTCCATCATGGTGATTGCGTGTAATTTTCTCAATTGATAACTTTACTTTCTATCGCGTGCTCCGCCCTTTCGGCCTAACAGAAGCCCATAGTCATTGTTTGCCGAAGATGTACAATAAAAATGGGGAAAAAGTAGTGCAGAGATGAGCTATACAAGCAGACAGAAGAAGATTGAATTTTACCAATTGCACATCGGCGGCGCTGGGATTGTACTGAGCCGCAATCATCGATGCAGCATGGCCTCGTTTTGGGACGTAAACCGGCGCCGGATGCACTGGACTCAGTGGACTCCTTGGTGTGAAATTCCTGAGAAAGTGGAAGAGAAAAATCACAGAGAATTAGTCATATCTCACGAATGAACGTTCAGCATAATAAGATGGAAAAATGATAATGCTGCCGACGAGTGATTGACTCTATAATGCATTCTATACAGTGCCATGCCAGTTATTTACTTTCGCTAAAGTGTAAAAGAAACTTGAAATCCACGGTAATATTTCTTCTTAATCAAACATTACTCAGATGTTTGCAGGTTAATCACATAAACAAGTTTTTTTTTTCTTCTTCATAGAAGCAATCTTAATGAATTTAAGTTTGGAAATTTCCATTTATTTATGTATTGTGGATTCAGTTTAAATCTTTCAAACCGACGTTACTCAAGAAATCACTCTATGGAAATTTCAATATTATGCCAAATGAAGACTACATAGCATTAATATTAAAATTAGTTTGTTTCGTTTGCTTTTTCTGGGTTAATAAACACACTTCGTAGGTTCGTTATTTACTGGCACGATACTGTAAAAAGGCATAAATTGCATCAAATTGTCTGTATTTCTGAGGAGTTCAATTTCTATTCTCGCGAACAAAATTATGCCATTAGGCAAATAGTTAAATTTCCCCATTGGAATATGTAGCTTTGGAATTAGCATAAGAATTCGCACATTTGAATATCTATGGAAAGAAAGTGTTAATGCGACTCTTGATCTCTAAAAGGGTGTGACTCAGACTGTTTTGACGTATAAAATACGCGCTCTGTGGCGGAATTTCACCAGAAAACCAAAATCCATATGCTGAAGAATGAGGATATCAATTAGATTTCTGTGTCAGTTTGCCACAAAATTAATCAGTGGTCAATGGAGATTTAAAATGTGTGGCAATGAAGCTATTGGAATTAATTTATGTCTGATTTATTCAGAGAATCATCTCTCTTTCGGCAATTACTCTCAGAAACACGCTTTGATGTGTGGTGACTCGACATACCTGGATGGATCTTGCAGAAGGGGATTTGTGTGGTGACTTTGACTACTGTGCGATGGCGTTACTGTGGATCCAAGACCCCAAGAATTTATCTCATTTGCATCATCTAACTTGGGTTTGAACGTGCCAACGTGTGAATTTCTATCACTAATGTACCTATTTTGGAGGTGGACAATCAATTACTATGACTTCATCTAGGGTTCTATGCTGGAAGAGAATTTTGTTTGACCTTCTAGAAGAGAAAGGGCTTTGAAATATGTTCTTTTGGGATTTTTTATACGTCTGAAACCGTCTAAACAACTCACTCTGCTCCCAAAGCTGGCCCAGTGAACTCCCAGTCAGATTGGTAGTGCTGATGATGTCCTCCTGCACCGTTGATGTAATCCGCTGGATGGCCACTTGGCGGTTTGGTGTAGATAAGTTCGGGTCCGGAGGAGTGATGATAAACTGGACCATGATGGTCGTGATGGTGTTCGTGCTCGTAAGCCCATGGCGGAACCACCTTTTTGTTGGAGCGCAGAAAGGGGCAAAGAAAAAGTGTTAAGTGAATGGATGAAACTCTGGAGTAAGAATTTCACGCGGTGAGAGAAAGGAGAACCAGTCTTATGAGTTAAATTGCTAAATTTTGACTTCTTGACAGGCAAAAAGCCAACCATATTCGTCAAATTATGCATGAAAGACTGTATTATAAAATTGTCTATTTTCGTTTTTCCTCTCACAAATTTCTTCGTGATCTTCTTCCCAATAGTAAATTGCCATGTGTGAATTGGTAGATTGAAGAACCTTTGATTTATTATCTTTTAGCATCATTGGTAAGAAATCATAATTAAATTTAGCTTTTGTGTCCAACAAAACCACCTTTTCTTTCACTTTTACAACACTAACTGGGCCTTCTCATTAATCTTCCTTTTTGTCACTTCTTGAACTGTCCTTTTTGCCATGTTTACCATTCTTGGCCCAATTATTGGGGGAGACACGTTTTCCTCATTTTTTTTTCTTTTCAAATTGAGATCTAACTGGCTGGGAAAAACACTCACCGTGTGGAGATGATTGATGTGGTGCTGATGATGGTGGAATTTGGTCTGGTGATAGTTGTGGTGATACCAAGAGCAGAGCTTGAAGATTTGCGCGAGGGCGGGGAAGAGGAAGAGCAGGAACTTGAGGATCAGCTTCTTGGCCGTCGTGACGCCCACGATCAGTGGCAGGAGCCAGAAGATCTTGATCTTGATCAGCTTGATGATGAGCACCACAGCCAGGAAGGCGAGCAGTAGTTTGTTTTTCAGGTGTTTTTCTGCAAGATGAAAAGGTGAAAAGACTCATTTCAAGCTGTGGCCAAACAAGGGTCATTGTTGGTGTCTTTCGCAAAGCAGTAAAAAGCACTATAGTTCAATTTCTCCGCGTGTCTGTGAATCGGTGAACTTGGCGTTAATACACAAAGTCATAATTCTCTCCACGGTGTAAAACCTGACAAGTCCAAGTGATCATCTGTGGTAATTTACAGTGAAATGTTGGTATTGTTGAATAACACTAAGAGTGGTCGGTAGTGAGAACGGTTTTCATCACGTAATTGACCAACACTCACTTATGTGCTTGAAGAATATCCGGCCGGTGTCTTTCGGCTCGAGGTCCGTTCGGGGAACCAACTCTACTTTGACGAGGGCACCATTTCCCTCAAAAGATCGTGGGGAAATTTTCAGTGTGGCTCCATCGAAGAACATTTCGGGCATCTTCAGCTGCAGATCGTGAGTCATCACGAATTTCACTCCTTTGCCGTACAGAGCATTTGTTACTTCCTCGATTGGCGACTCTGCAAAATGGGCCAAATGTCAGATAAACATCTAATAAAATATTTTACATCATGTGATGGGTGTGTTAATGACCATAGGTAGGACGCTGATCATAGGCTGGATTTATGAGCTGCGATTGTGTGGCGAATGCTTAAGAAATTTGCAATATTGATTTTCCTTTAAAACGAGAAGATATTAAATGAAATCTATAAACAAAACTCATTCCGTAGAAGAATTAACCTTAAGATATCAACAAGACTCGACAAAATAATTTTCTCACAAGTATTAGTAAATAAAAAGCTATAAATCTTCCTGTCTCACAAAGAAAGCCTAGTGAGATTTTTATTTATTTCAAAAACTTCTGGGCTAATGTGAGTTTTATCGATTGAAATATTTCTTTAATTTATCTTACTGAAGATGAATTATTATGTGCTATTTTTATCTATTCATCAGACAGTGTAATTTAGCGATTTTCCCATATCCGTTTCATTCATGATAACTTCTATGCGTAGAATTGCTGGGAAGCGATTCTAATTAGCAATAAACCTTATTTTTAAGTCTGTTTTACTATCGAAGATCAGTGAGTATGTTTTCAGAGAAATATCGGTTTTCTCACTGTGATTTTGAGAGCATTAAATCTGCATGAGAAATTTGAGGATTGTGGGTTTATTGCATCACCGTGAGCGTAAAGGTCAATAAAAAGCCTATTAGAAGTCCACAGAGACACGGTTTTTTTCATCTTTCGTTCGAGAAATTTTATGGGAATTTATGGTTATTGCAAGTAAGAGTATTTTTTATCGTACTTCCAGTGATGTTTTACGGTAAAACAACGCCATATTTATGTGCTTAGCAGTATTTATGGGAAGCGACTCCTCAATTTTGGGCGTATTCAATTGCCTTGCTCAGTTCCTAATGAGTGAGTACGTTTGATAAATAGTGTGCAAATAGTGACTTTGAGAAATCTGTCGGCTTAATTAATTCCAAAGCATGATGATGATTGCGAGTCATGTCTTCGGTGAAAGATCAAATCTTGACCGTCACTTGTTGAGATGTTAGTTTTTTTCCAGGTCTGTAAATTGATTTTGAAATGGAGAGGCAAATTGATAGAAACCTAAGCACGAATTATGACTAAATGCAGGGAGAGAGGCTGGTTATATATAGCAAATCAATTAATTGCCGCACTTTTTTCATATGCCACTCTTGGTCGGAGAAATGGATTCAATTTGGCCTTTTTTGCGGTTCTCCCGAATTTATAATTTCTCTCTCTGTGAGAACATTCTCTTGACTTATTTACCACAATTGTTATTTGTTTTGCATTCCTCTATGTACGAAAAAACACAAGCTTCTCCATATCACTTCAGCTTGAGGTGAAACAGTTACAGTTTTGATGCTTTCCAACGCGCAATCTCCGAATAATTCGTGACCCATTTCCTCAGTCGACAAATCTGAGAGGGAATCTCATGGTTGGAGGTGTGAGCAGCATGGCCAATTTGGTATAAGTGCCGAAAGAAGATTACGAATTCAGCAGTAAAGTAAATATTTTCATAATATTCGTGCTTAGAATTCAATTTACATGACGAACTGACTTTTTTCTGAATATGAAATTCCATCGCGAACTGCCGCGAATAGTGGAAAAAGTGTTTGGCTCTCTTTTCACGCGTTATTTGGACCGGTCAGAACAACTCCCACTTCATTCGCACGGACATGGTGGAGTGATTCTCTTCTTGGTGAGACTTAACAGTGGATTACAGTCTAGGCAAGGAAATGATAACACAGGCGCTATCATGGAATTGGTACTCTTTTTCAGACATTCGCAAATCGTAGAAAGTGCATCAGCATCTTGCATTTTTGAAACGTTAAATTTTCTCATGAAAAATTACGGATTATTAACAACAGGAATTTTCTGATGTTAAGAGAGTGATTGAATATTTTCACTTGTAATGGCTCATTCGTTCATATATGCATTCAAGTGTTTAATTCCACAGTTTTCATTCAATTGTACGATATTTAATTGTATGTATTCTCAGTCAGAAGCTGTATCATTTTCGCGCAGATCTGCGAACAGATGATTTATCGATGGGTCGCGGAAGTATATGATTCTTTCTTTGACGCTCTTGTCACTCTACTGATGCGCTTGAACAATTAGAAATTCTCTGTGAGGTGCTCAGTTTAATGAGTATTAAAAGCCCAACGTTTAGTGGCAAAGAGAGGTGAATAATGGTGTTTGTGAGTGAGAAAAAGTAGAGATTATGAGATTGTGTGGAGATTTGCACGAATCACTCATGTGATTACTCTCGATCGTCTTCGACTCACCTGCCAATCGGGGCTCCTCCTCATCATCGGTGTCAGATATTTCATTTTCACTTCCCTCCTGGTCATTAGCCTCTTTGCTGATGCGCTCGTAGTCGACCCCATTCCGCAGGAAGGCGAAATTCTGGGTGACATTCACATCGGCCAGAGCTAGGGCGCCATCGAGGTAGTTAAACACGTTCTTCTGGAAGCAGCTGAAGGTGGGCTTCCGCAGGCAGTCACGAAGGAGGCCGTCCCACAGCTCATTCCCCACGGACGGTAGCACTTTCCTGGCCTCATTCACCGGCGCCTCCGTGCTCGCCTGATCCTCGTCGATCTTCAGCAGCTTGGTGGTCGGCACCTTCTCGTACCGCGGATACGCCTCTGTGGTGAGCTTGAGCGGTGACGTCACCAGAGGTGTTCCACGAGTCGAGTGATTCTCCTCGGCGCAGACGATGGCCACGGCCAGCAGCAGGCAGCCGGCTAGTGTCCCACTGACCATATTTCTCTATGCTTGTGAGCGCGCTGAATGACCACGTTGAGCGCTCTTCGAGGTGTCTCACACACTATGCAATCGCGCAGCGACTCACACCTCATTCACGGATTGAACCCAATTCTGCGACACTCAATGAAATGGCCAGGCCTTGCCACTGCTCCATAACATGCCACTGCGCCTCTGCCGCCACCTCAGCCCCTGAGAAGATCAACAATGTCAATTCGCGCTCTTTTCTTTATTCGCCTCCAGAAGCCATTCGCACGCTTTTTTCGAATTTGAGCAGAACAGACTTTTCCTCTTTCGCATTTATCGAGAAATGCAAATCGCATGAGTCAATTTTTGACTTTCCGGATATTTCTTAACACTCTCGCGAGGAAGAAAACGCTCTTGACAATGATTTCGAATGTGGAGGTGAGAAATATGCGTGAGATAATTGAAAGTTTTTCACTTGTATTTACCTGTGAAAAAGTAGGTATTAGAATGGTGTGAAAATTTTCTCTGCGTGCATTTTCATACTCTTGTGAGAATTTTCGAGAGGTGCTTTCTCACTTTTAAGATATCATAAATATGTATTAAGAAACTGTTTGTCATTTCTTGCAGCTGTTTTTATTTACTCTACACTTCCCAAATTTCTTATATCTATATAAATTGTATTTCAGAATTGAAAAGGTTCTTGAAGATAAAATATTTCTTACGGTTCTGAGAGAACTAGAACAATTTTAAGCTTATTCTTTCACGCTGGAATGAAGTAATGAAAAGAGTGGGCAGACAAAATTAGGTCGCAAGAATTTTAATCACCTGGATTTAATAGGATGCAATCCGACACTGAACGTAATGCAAAGAGTCAAAATTTTTTAGTCCCATTTAAATAAGCTGGGAAATTCGCACTTAATGCCAAATTTGTTCTAGAGAAACTGGAGTGCTAAGAAAATCGAAACTTTCACGGTAAGTGTTAATGCGTGTCAGCATAAAGTTCTGTTTCAGCAAATTCCTTGTTATTTTCTGCAAAGTGACTAATTTTCACCGGTTCTGGCGCTTTCTATAGTTGGTCTGAAGACATCAGAGATGGTTGAATAACAAGTTATATCGATTATGCAGAGTTACTACATCCAATCGTATTGAGACTTAAAGCTTGTATTTGGGAACAAAACTTAAAGAAATTCACATTCCAGCACTAATCAAAATGTTTTAGCATAAATTTTCATAAGTTTTAGGTAAAAACGGAAACGAACGCATCCATATTCAGTGATCAATATGGCGTGTTTTTAAATTATGAAACAGAAACATAATATTTGTGCCGCGGCGATTTCTCAGTAGGAACTTGAAAAATTTAACAGATGCTGCCGCTGAGCATAAACTGAGAGAGAAGTGATCTCAATTATCCGCACACGATATTTGGATATTTGTAACGGTCGAAGTCACGTGGAAGGTGAAATTACGTCGCGTTGAATGTTAAATTAGAGAATGAATTTGAAGTGACTTAATTCATGGTATTTGAGTTAGAGCTCCAGACTATTCCCATGCTTCAATGGTCTTTTTTCACCTCCCAAGAAAGGCGAGTGGAAGATTCTTTGAGTGCTTTCGTGGCGTGAGTAGAAAAGGTAAAGAGTTTTCCAATCATGTGAAGGAATCTTCCACATTAGATTATGGTCAAATGGAGAAGTGGATGGCGAGAAAAGAGAATAAGATGAAGACACCGCGTGGTAACATATTATGTAAAGCAGATCAGTATAAAAGGGGGTCAAGGTTTCACATATTCCTTGTTCGTCGATGTCGTTCGAAAGAGACTCGGAGAGAAATTAAACCATTTCCTCTGCGCGCTTAGAAGTTTCCCTCGGTGTCTTTTGCTTAGATAAAACTATCAACATTATGTTGTAATCTCCGGCATGTTGATAGGGAGTAATTTACCAATGGAAAATGGCCGTGATGGAAATGCTGTGGTTTGTTCTACTCGTGAAATCGACATGAGATCTCCAAATGAGATCGCACTCCTGGCTTCTGCGAGATTGCTCTTATTTTCGCCGTGATTTTTGGGCCATCGAATGAGAGTTACTCAGAAGCGTCACGCAGTAATTAAAAGATTGATGGATTGAGAGATTGCTCCAGATTTTATTGTGTGTTTTTCTCTCTTTTCCCTCCACACGCTCTGAACAAAACTGCACGCGTAAACAAATCTCAAGTGACTGCGGCATCGGGATTATCTCTATAAAGAGTGCAATTTTCAGCACTCAAATGAAAGTCTTTTTTTTCTTCGCATTACCCACGACAAAAAGAAGAACAGCGAAAGGTAATAGAATTACCCGTTTGATTGCCATTGAAGATTATAGAACATAATTATGCGAATTATATACAAATGAGGCGAAAAGGGAAGAGAAATCACGCATTGAAATAAAAGAAAAATTGATGGAGGAAATTTCGCCCATAGGAAAAGTGATATCTTCAGGGAAATTTGGGCCATAGACACTCTCATTGGAAAAAATCTACGAGACGTGTGAGGTGCAATAAAGTAATGAAGTGATGGAAGTACTCATGAGAGAAACAATAAGAGCTAAAGAGGCAAGTGTAGGGAAGATTTTTTAATTATATTGCTGTGGGAATCCAATTGAGCCATCTTGATCACAAGTATCTCTTCCTCTTGAAGTGAAAACAATGATTTAAAGTGATTTTACTCTTCTTCATCTCAGCCAGAGATTAAAAATGAAATGCCAACAATAAGATGATATTGCAGAAAAATTAGAACAAATTGTTGAAAATCAAAGTAAAAGCTTGGCAACTTTCTCATAGACCACGTTTTGGTTATTCTTCTCTTTCATTCGACTTCCGTCAACAATCTTATGGAAATTGAACCAAAACTACTTGACACGGAATACCATTTTTTACCATCATCGCAAGATCTTTCGTGATCGTTTTTTGCCTCTCCTCCATATTCTCTGACTATGCCTGGAACAATCAAGCAATTTGTTCGGCGGCCACTTTTTCTTAAATAACGCGAAGACGAGAGATTACCGTCGTTTTTCTCTTCTCTCTCTCACTCATGTCTTCCAACATGTCTATTTTGGTGTCAATGTCGCCAAATATAAGAGATCATCTGACCGAATTGTCCCATTGTATAATAGAAAGCGCTCTTTGATGCATTGCCCCGCAATGGACCCGAATCGCGAAAGAGGAAAAGAATTTACTTTTAAAGTCATCGTCTCATACTTTCAGAACAGGTTTCTGCGACTCTTGCAGGTCTCCGTGACTGTGATCTTCCCTCGAATCTCTGAATTACATCAACCACTCGGTTAAAGCCACTCACGATCGAGACGATCACTGTTGCACCATTGCACAATATTGTCCAGAGAGGAATGCTTCACGTGAAACTGCGGCTCTCGAAAATTGGCTCGGAAATTGTGCAAGATCACAATTTAACACTTTGTCTCGGCAGAAGGGAAAATTGCACTCAATCTCGCGCGAGTGAGAACCTCTTTCACCAAGATAAATGTAGCACGTGCCTCAGTGTCTATCTATGGGAAATTCACCAGAGACAGTCTAGCACTTGAACGCATGGTCTTACTCCGCGAGCATCCACAATACAACTGAAGTCATATGTTGGGCTCCACTGTAGTTTTATCATCTCAATATTGAGTGGCGGCTTTCGGGAGACCGGCGAAGCTCGCGCGGCTCGCGAAAGCCTCTTTCTTGCATTGTGCTTGAAAAGCGTGTGTTAAAATTTTTTTCTCAAAAGGATACCATAATCATAAAGAACAATAAAAAGGTTCAAAAATTAGTGTAATATGTTTTCAAAAATTATTGTACAATGAAATAATTTCCATAGTTTTATTTTGGCGATAAAAAGCTGTTCTTTTTTATATTTAAATATACTTTTTGAGAAATACATGTTTGTTTTATCTTATACGTAAGTGTCTAAAGATAGATGTTACGGTTAAATCTTAACCTAAACTTAAAATTTATTTGAAAAACAAAGATTGCAATAACTCCAAAATATGGAAAGGATTTTCCAATAAAATATTCTTAATCTAATATATTCTATCAGCAGTTCAGACAAATTCACTCGTCACAGACAACAAGGTGCTCAATATGCCGCGAAGAGCGTCAGTGAGGTGGTATTTCGGTCTCCGGCAATTCATGCCCCAGAAGTTCAATTATTTTATTTGGCGAAAGCGTTTACGAGTGTTCGAGACAGAAGATATTCGCAACAGAACTCGTTTCAATAATGTTTTTATTATCTAATTCTGTCTCATCACTCATGAGACAGCGACAACATTGACAATTCTATTCTTCGGCAAATAACAATGTTTAGCGTGGCAATTAATAAAGTTTTGCGCTCTTCTTGCGAAGGGGAAATTTTTCGGGTGAGAACTTTCTGTGTCAATTCAGAGGATGATCCACGATCCAAGACCATTTACCAGTGACACATTTCCTGTCTGTGCTTGTGTCTTTTTCTGCACAAGTGTTGAATGGATTGTCTGTAAATATTTAAATGTGTTTATATGTAAAAATTGAGTTGGAGTCTGGAAATTTCTCTGAAAAATTATTGAAGCTGCGTGTGAAGGCGTAATTTATACAAATACCGGAAGAACTTCAAAAGTCTCTTGCAATGGTCTCAGCGAGGAGACAGCTTTGAAGAGCAATGAAGTGGTATTGAGAGATAAATTTGAATTTTAACTAACATGCAAAATTGTAGGTTGATGTCGAACGATATGGAGTCTTTGAGAGATAGTTTCAAAAGACATTTTCACACATGAAAATGTAGGAGAAAGATCACTCCGATGAACTCCAAAAGAAGTGATTTGAATATCAATATCGTGGCGTGGAAGTTGCGCGCATTCTATGACTAAAGTGGTGCTGATTCGGTGAGAATAACTAGAGCTAAAATTTTGTTAAGAGAATCACTCTTCCACAGGTGGTTCTTTTCAGAAACACCTGTTCTTGATGCATAAAAGAGTGTATTCTCGCTTGTGGTGTGCATAATTACTTTATTATTCTATAATAATATCTTTTGTAAAAAAATATAAATAACAATAGTGTAGGATTATTATTTTGTATTTTTACGGGTCACAACTTTTATCATGTTATTCTAATTTACAATATTCTCTCTTTCATGCGCAAAAAATGCACTATTTAACATTCATAATTATTCCCTAAGTTTAACACATTTTATTTTTGAATCTCTCTTTCGCATTCACTGTTGTTCGGCGAGTGAGCGAGCGAATACGTACAGCAAATAAATAAATAAATAAGAGGTAAAATTTGCTAAATAAATAAATTAAGATTTATGTTCATTGAGGGGATCAGATAGGATGCGATGATGCGTGTGGGATGAGAAGGATCAAGAGAGGAGAGGAAGATTGCAGGAAGTTTGGCTGAAGCGATGAAACTTTAGGGTTTCTTGAGGTGATCAGGAAGCACGAAGTTGAGTGAGCGTCCATATCCGCCATATCCAGTGTTCCCACTGTGGCCGTGACCGTGATCCTCGTGTGATTGTGAGTGTGAGTGAGAGTAGTAGGGCTTGGCCACAATCTCATACGTTGTCTGCTTGCCTCCGCCAGATGCCAGTGCCTTGAGACCCACAATCGCGGACAACATCAGAGCCATCATGCCAGTCATGAGAGCTTTGCCCGCAAGTGCTGCCAAAGCTCCCAGCGCGAGAGCCATCATCGTACCTTTCAACCACAGAGAGAGAATTGTTGAACATTCACCACACTTTCGCGGGGAGAAAGAAGTCTTAGCCGAGGCACACGATCTTACCTTTCATCATCATAGCCGCGGCAATGAGACCCTCGAGGCCACCCTTCTTGCCGCCAATCTTGCCCTTGCGCCCCGTGAAGGCATCCTTGGCCTCTTCGACGCTAGACTTGCTGTCCCACAGGCGAAACCGGAGAGTGTGCGATTGAAGATATTCACTTAACTTGGAGAACAGGAAACCGTCCATTCGCTTGCTGGGATCGTTGGGAAAACTCCTTGAGAGTTCTTGAAAGAGAGGGGAAAATGGTCAGAAGGATTCCGAAACGCACAGCATATTGCGATCGTCACCAGCAATGATCTCAGCATTTCTTGTCCCATTTGCATCAGCGTCCTTGACGATGGAGACACTGGGTGACAGGATGAGTTCAGGACTGGAGGCGAGGCGCTCAATAAATGCCGCCATATCCATTTTGAGACACATTGGGTTGTAGTGCGAGTCACAATCGAGGGAGAAGCTCCTCTTGAACTCCGTCACATCCACTGCCAAGCAGCACGTGAGGGTAGCACTGATCACAAGAAGATTGCACAATTTCCCCAACATTGTTCCACAACCGCTGACGACAATAGTCCGAATGCACAGATCACTTCAAACTGCCTCCAGATAGCCCGCGATCTCAGCCTTTTATACTACGTTCTAATGTCCAATATTGGGTAAAATGGTTCATTTCACAAATAAAATCTCAACGAATTTTTCACGCTTGATTAGAAATGTTCCGGCCTCGACATTGTTGTCTATTGACGCGCGTTTCAGGTATAAACAGCAGTACAAGACTTGGTGCTTCATTTAGTTCTTTTGCACATCACTGTTATATATTTAAAACCATTATTTGCTTCTATATCTATACCATGGGAAAGGAGTGCACAAGATCAGAGAATGGGTTTACCCAATAGAGCGTCGAGAACTTTTTCCGCGCATTACACCTGTTTTTCTTATTCGCCATCGCGCAAATGTGGGTCCACATGCTCACGGAAAGCGCCAAGAGAGCAAAATTGATTAAATTAGAGGGCAATAGAACGAAAGACTTCAACAAAAACAAACAACGAACCCGAAAATTTACCTCCTCAGTGAGGACAAAATACTCTTTTTCATGCTGTGGAGAAAAGTAAAACTGCAATTTCATTGAATTGATCGGAAAAGAGAAACCCTCAATTGTGTCTCTGTGGGCAGTTTTTTTTCGTCACTTTATTGATACTCTGGACGTACGCGAGACAACGAAGTAGAGCATAAAACCACCATTGCTCCAAATTCGTCTGGCAGATTAAATTTGGAATATCCGAGATTCAATTCGCAACGAAAGTAAAAATTCCACTTCCTGCTGGCCTCCTAAACATTCTCTTTGTGCGTGGAATTCTTTTTGCCTTACCTTGATCATGATCTTGATTTTGAAGATTAATGTATTTGAGCGATAATTCATCGTCATTTAGCTGATGATTATATTATTGTGTGTTAATTATACCAATCAATTAATTACATGATGTGAATGAAGAATAAAATGGGTTCGAAATAAATTTATCCTTAACGATTAGATTACAATTAAAGGATCTTTTATTTTATACAAATCCTTTGATTTCAGCACTCGTTTGGATTGTGGGAATTCAAAACGAGTGAAAAGAATACAAAATAAGTACTAAAGAGCTTTCTGTACTATAATTTCTCTGAACTTTCTCCGATGAAGAGTGTAACGATTTTATTTCAAAATTCAAACCATTTCATGTGCCTAAAAGTAGATAGTTTCGAAACAATGTAAACTTTCAAGTTATATCGTTCCATTGAATATCAACATGATGAAAATAATTGAGCGAGATAATTTATGACAAAATGTAATAAGATTATTTATATAATCTACACTCTAAGGGTACTTCGCAGAGCATAAACCGCATCCTTTTGTGTGGTAAAATAATAAATATTTAATCACAGATTGAAGAACAAATTTATTTAGAAGTTTGCAACAGTTTATGTGAATCTAAACAGTAATTGTTGTGTAATTAAGGGGAAAATGCCTATTTGAATAGTGGCAAATTATCTCTATTGACATAATAATTAAATCGCCGAGAGTGCAAGACAGTAAATTGATCGCGTCTTCAATCATATTTACCTGACACATTTCTCTCAATCGGATACGACAGAGAGAAATGTGTTTTGTATTGATTCTGTGGGCAATAGAAGGAAGCACTCTCGTGCATTCCACGACTTATGTACTTTGTGTGTACTATGTATAGTGTCAATTCTAATAATAGTATTTCGCTTGGGTATTTTAGCTATCCGTGGCATTGTTTATGAAATAAAACAAGAAAATTTGTTTGAAAGTCACGGATGTACCGTCGCTTTCTTTCTGCTTGCACTTTCTCTTGGTCATGATTTTCTCATTTTCAGTTGTAATTTTTTTATCTCACTTCTTTAATTATCATTTTTCACTCCCCTTCTTGGAGATCACCCAAAGATCACCTAGAGATCACCTTGAGGTCGTGCACTTGATGATTGACGATGTGCGGAGGTGGTTTATCATTCTGTGAAGAAAGACACTTGGCATGAGAGTTAATTTAGGAGCTGGGATTTACTTATTTATTTGATATCGCAAGAAGTGTGTTTGAATGTTTTGATCTTAGTTTTGATTGTGAGAAACAGTTTAGGAGCTGAAATATTTACGAAGCACACAATGATGGTATTTTAAGAGAGAAATATCTTTCCAATTACCTCATGTATGCAAATTTACCCAGATTCTAGGCACAAGCTCATCGGCGGAGATTCTTAATTTCCGTAACAGTTATTATCAAGTAATTTATGGGTATTAATATGCCCATTAAGTGTGCATGAAAATGCTCATGTGAGTTGGAATGGATGAGGAATTCTACATAAGGTGCATTGTATTTAAAATTCTCGACCAGCGGGGTCAATAAGGTGCAGCTTTTTCAGGGAAATGTGTCGATCAATCAATAAATTTTGCCACAAAACCGGTGTTTTGTATGTTTCCTTCGCGGAATCTTTGCGAAGACAAAAATTGGCGAAAAATTAATAACATCGCTGGGTGGAATGCAGTTGGCTGGTGTGGTCAATTACATTAAGAATTCCCACGTCCCGTTGGTCGCATATTTATCACTCTTGACCATTATTGACGACACGGCGATCGTGGTGATCGCAAAGGGAATCTTTTCGTCTCTGGGCATACTTTTGGGTGAGATTGGACGCTGCGGTGCGCCTCAATGTGATCCACGTAAGAAGGTCAGTGGATAAGAGACGATCACATGCGGCGTCTCTTTTCCGCCCGTGCCGACCAGCATGAGATCCGTGGTGGGGATCAGACCCAAAAGCATCCATGAGCTCCAACTCACACGATCTCGCCGCTCATCCGCGTCTCTCAGTGGGTTCGTGACTTCTTTCCCCCACCTAAGGAAAGGTGTGCAGCATCAGCGATTTCTCTTTTCAACGACTGACCCGATGCGGAAGTGGCAGAAGAAGTAAGTAAGCCGTGACCTAGAATAAAACCTGTTGGGACGATGAACTTTCTTGGGCAGAGCCAATGGCAAGAAGTGAAAGAGTGAGGAGGACAAAAAGTTCGAGGTAAATAAAATACAGAATAAATTGAAACGCGCATATCCATATGGAATGAGAGGAGAGAGATTATGGGGAAAATCTCTTAGAAAATCAGTACATTTGTGGCCTCTACTTATATATTTGGTATAGAAATTGAAACTCGAAAAATTCCTCGAGTTTCACCTCCACGGATTCCACCCAATAACGAGTTTCCATCACTGAGGATGAATTTCTTTTCTCAAGAATTCACTGAATCTTCTGTGAAAGTTCTTCGTAATCTTCTCACGCCATTGCATTTCCTTATGCCTTTTGCCATGAGTGTCACGAAGTTTTCCATTTTCGCCACTGATCGTGAAAATTGGTTGATCTCCTCCGGATTGCCCGCATTTAGGCATTAATCGCATCAATTGGAGATCGAAAAGAGATCATCATGATCACGGTCTTTCGCCATGCAATCACCCAGGTGAAAAAAAGTCAAATAAATGTGGCTAAAGTGAAGGTAAAAATCATCTCCGGCTTCCATTCACCATTTCTCCGGGCATGGCTAACAAGTTGGTATAAAATGAAATACCTCTTGAGCTGAAAAATCATTGCATTTCCTACTGCAATCTGGATCACACCACAATGTATGCTCCTCAGACTAATCGTGGTCACCATGAGGAACACTTCTGCCGACAAGTCGATTTGCATCTGAAAGCCAAGACCAATTAATTCACTGCAAATTCGCTTAAATGGACTAATAGGCCATTGTATTGCGATCTGTTCCCCTTTTTCACGACATATCGCATGAGACACATTAGACAAATTTGCCCTGTTCTGCCCATGCCGACAAGGTCTAATGATCGTCATATGCTCGTATGTTGAGGCACGACATTTTGAGTAGGATTTATTCACACAAGTCGGCGATCTGACATGATATAAATTGAAGATGAATTATTTTGTACTCGCGAGATGGGAAATAGCCCAACGAGCCCAATTGAATAGATCCAGGACGCGATTATTTTGGTCATTATCGCCTACGAGTGTTTGTGAACGCGTAAGAATGCACATCACACAACTTCAATGGGATTTTCTTTTATTATTATTCATCGTAAGTCTTTTGCACACAATCTTCTTATATAATTTAGCTTAAATCATTTCTCTATCTCATCATCTTGTCTACAAAATAAATTATTTGGGTGTATGTACGAAGTCTTGTGTGGAAAGGAGTGAATCCTTGTGATTATGACACGAAATGGCATTGTCCTGAGATTCATTTCTAATGTCAACTCTGAATTATGACTTTACTGGATGTGTTCAGGTATCTGGCCATGGTAGGCGAGTTCTTGAGCATCGTAGCTCCTGGCGTAGGGATAAGCTCCGCCAGATGCTCCTGAGGACCAGCCCTGGGAAGCTCCGGATGTCCATGCTGGATTGTTGGAGTTGGCGGACCATCCCTGCTGATTGTTAGATCCTCCTGAGACCTGGAGAAGCAAACACTTTTCAGCATAAGAATCGTTAATTCGCCAAGAATGAACTTACCTTTCCGAGGAGGTTGAATCCACTGCCACTGAAGCCACCACTGCTGCCAAGCAGCTTCTGAACAGCGAGAACGGCAGCCAGGACGAAGGCAACCTTGGCAACGACGAGAGCCTTGGTGGCCAGGAGCACCAGACCACCCAGGAAGAGCGGAAGCAGAGCGACAACCTTGGCGCCCAGGGCTAGCACAAGAGGTCCGGCGAGTTTCTTCAGCTTTCCACGGCCTAGAACGGGGTAAATTATCGTCATTGCCCCCGAAGAGTGAAATTGTCCCAATCACCCACCTTCCTCGATGGAGCGCGCCAAGTTCTTCGTGGTCTCTGCTGGCAATTTGATCTCAAGATCGTGACTCGTGAGGAAGTTGGACGCTGCCTCAAGAGTGAGATCGAAGAGTCGCCCTGTCTTCTCCTGCGCACCACTTGGCAGGCTGGCGGTAATTTCGTTTTCCGACAGTGATTTGCCACTGCGGAACATCGCCGAGGGATCTCTGTCAATGGACGCTGGGAATGAGTGTCATTGTATGGAGGAAGGGAATTGTGGGCCACTCACCGATTGAAAGTGACTCCGGGCAGGAGCTCAATCTTCTGGGCACGTGCCGCACGACTGAGTGCCATGATGCCCTTCACAGAGAGGCACGTCGTGACATCCCCACTGTCGGCACAGTTGGCCACAATCCTGGCCACGTTGCCGAAGGAGTTGCCATCCTCGAGGTGATTATCCATAACACTTGGCGCAGCCACGGCGACAGCCAGGATGGCACTGAACAGCAGGAAGACCTTCATTGTGATTCACTATTATTTTTTTCAAATCTCGCTCACTACAACTGATCAGACAATTCCACACGAGGACTTGGTTGCACTTGAACGATCTTCGTCGATATGATGCCTGCCAAGCGCCTGGACACCCTTTTATATGACGATCTTTTTCACCACTGACGCACTGGATGACGAAGAAAAAATGCCCGTGCATAAGATCCCCAGCGCGGATATTTGAATTAATGGTCGAACGAAAGAAGTGGATAGCACCCATTGATAGAGTGACAGAGATATTCACCAGGGCGGAGCTCTATTTTTGGTGGTTTCAACGCTGTGCATTGTGTCTCCTCATCAGTTATTCAGATGCTCAATTTGCCCCCCACTTTTTGTCACACCTGCGATATCGAGGAGAGTCACATTTTTTTTTTACCTTTTCTTGAACAATCTCATTGTTCTCTTACGCTCATGTGGCAAAACACCAGTAGGTCCATGCCTTAACTGATAAGTCACAAGAGGGGGTTTAACACCTCATGTGTTTATTGCGACTAGTGAAGCTCGGAGAGATTGCATTTGAATGCATCTCTCAAACATGTGAACATCTAACAAAGGCAATATGTATCTCTAAATACCTAAATACCTCAATAAATTGCTCCCACAATCGAAGGGTCAATGAATTGAAGAGCACAGATGTGCATCATAAATAAAAATCGTTGAATTGAATCCAAATCGAATTAAATCTATTTTAAGAATATCTAGAATTTATCAATGTAAACTCAAGGAAACATAATCAAGAACTTGTTGTTACTGAAACGCCTCTCAATATGAAAGCCCCAATAATTTCTCTCAGAAAATGAAAATGAAGAGGAGTTGGGTGTTGTGCTCAGATGAAATCCTCTAAGATCATTGGCATTTTAATGACTTCAAGATCCGGTGCAAGAGTGAGATGGGGACCAATGGAGTCACTGAAGATCATTGACTCGGTCACTGTGGTAATTCTCTAGCACCAGGAACTGCCGAAATGGGTCAGGGACGTTCACATCTCGCGGCATTCGTGTTGGGAACTTGGAGAAGATTGAGTGTGTTGAGAAAATGACGTGTGACGAGGGATGAAAATTTAATATTTTTGTCAATCATTTGATTGAAATTGGCTCTCACTTTCTATGAGACAGTGACTAAACTGCCAATTTTGTGGTCACTTTCAATTTTGACGGATATTTTCTCTTGCACACGGCAATTCTCCACTGTTGACTTCACTAGTTTTACTTCAAGATATTATATGTAACATTATTCAATATAATTTATTCATTCTTCATCTGATTCTCTTTCTCTCTGATTCACGATCTTTCACTCCCAGAGCTTAGTCACCACAAACGAAAAACACTTCACTTCTCTTGGGTGGATTAAAGGCGTTAAAAATCCAATTGCGGAATTCATGGAAGTATGCAAATTTGTCACGTATAAAATTCCACATGCTCATAAATAGGGTCATTAGGTTAAATAATTACGTCGAAATGGCGTGAAAAATACTCAATATTATTTAAACAATTATTCGCTGGAATAAGAAAAGTAAACAGAACCAGATTCACAGCCACCAGCGAGATTGTTTTCCATTGGTTTTGTAACGAAACTGGTTTCCGGAAGTATGTAGGTCAAATCGAGAGTAATGACTGAACGACGATCAACAGGTTGGAGCATCTTTACTCTCCATTGTTCGTCTGCACCATCGTCTCGTATGAACTCAATTATTGTCTATTAAGAGCTGCAATAATTAACTTGTGGCGTATTTTGTAATTTCTTTCCGAGTCTCTCGATTGCCAGAAAAAAGTGGATAATCGGTGGTAAGCGATGAGCAATCAATGAACCCGGACCTGATGCAGCTCTTTGGTGGCGTAAAGCGGAGATAGTCGTGTGTTATTTATGATTTCGATCTGTTAAAATCGGATTATGTAAACGAAAATTTCCGAAAAATTCATTTACAAATATATTTTATTGTCATTATACCGAAATACCACGAAATTCAATCAATTGACACAGTAATTTATGCACTTGCGCTGATTTGGAACGAAAGATTTCAATACAATAGACGATGAACCCGCGAAATTCCCATAGAGATTTTCAACAAAACAAACTAGAAGCAGGTCATTGATTCAGGAGAATAAATTATTTATTACCTCAAGTACAATTATACATTACTTTCGTGAGATTCGTGATATCATTTCTTGAAGTTGAAGGAAGTTGACGGAGCCTTCTCGTTGTCAGTGAAACTGTAGCTGTCGAAGTTGTTAGAAATCGGGATGTACTTATTCTCACTTTCCCTGTCAATCCATCCTGAATAGTGACCGTACTTCTGCTGGAGCGGCACGTGGACCACCTCGACTTTGGTACTCTCGGAGCCTGACTTGCTCTGCAGCGAGTGAAGGAGGAGGATCTTGACGCCCATCACCACAGAGACGAGAAAGGACAGCGAACTGAGTATGAAGGCTGACTTGGAGAGCATGATGATCGCCTTGAGGACGAGCGGAATGATGATTGATTTGGCTGTGAGAAGGCCCACAATCATCGGGAGCATATGCTTCAGGTGCTTTTTCTTCTTCTTCCCAAATTTGTACGGATGCTTCCCGCGACCTGCAATGACAATCAGCAAAACAACAATTATTACTCCATATGATTCACAGTTGCACTTTTACTTTAGACCGGAGCTCTTAAAGCTCCAGCACAAGATCCCATTGAGAGGTGAAAGAGCATTAAAACTGTATGGATTATTTGCATTTTTTGCGCACAATGAAATTTTTAGTGAGTCACACGAGACGCGAAGAAAGTGGAAGGAACACGAGCCGGAACAGTTACCAAATGAAATCTTGCTGATTCAGACACTCTTTTTTTGCGCCACTCGCCGGCGTCTGCCGAATTGTATAACCATGCAAAGGAATTTCTTCACTTTCACACTCTTGAACTTCTTCTTTTGGTAAGAAGATACAGCAAATTTTGAATGGACTTATGCAATTGTGACCCAACATGACCTTTCATGGTACCTTCAATAGCAGTTCCATTGATGAATTTTGCCGGAGTCGCTGGAGTTTGGGTGCTTGTACTTGAGGTGGATGCAGAGGACACGATTCCGGGCGCCTCTGTTGATGTCACGGCGAAAAGGTTAATCCCACGGTATCCGTATTTGTCCACCAAACTGCCGCCTTTGCGCGGCTCAAATGAATTCTGAGGAACAAATTGCACATATTTGGCTAATGACACCGCACAGAGTCCTATCTGGATGACAAGAATGGTCAAGAACACTGATTTATTTGACGGCATAACAATGGTAATCCAATGTCAGGGGTGATTGCAAGAATAGTAGCTTCAGAGACACTGCGACGTCCACTCAGTTCAACGGTTTTTTTCGTTCTGATGCAGTGAATTATGCAATGCATCTATAAATATTAATAATAGATGAAAGATATTTAGTGTGGTGGTGCTTGGATGAACAATGTAATTCGTACTAGTGCGGCAAAATTCTAATTACACCCATTTCAATCGTCATCGGTCTACCCACACTGGTTGAATGAACCGAAAGCCCCGCCAATGAGAATGCTACCAGCGATGTTCAATGGATTTTGTCAGTCTCACAGACTTTGCCAACTGAACTGCAACACGGAAGAGAACAATATATAATGATTTGCGTAATTTAACGTACCATTACACTAAGAATATCCCTTTAAAGTCAAAAGGTCTGTTGATAAAAGAAAGATTACGAATGCTTGTTTGAGAGCCTTCTATGATCACAAATATTCTAATGTTTTCTAGAGACTAAATTGGATTGAGTTTGAGAAAAAAACAGGAATTGCAGTTCATTTGGCTGCCTCTGTAAGGTCGTCCCAATGTCTGATCGAGCGAGCAATTAAACTCATCCACTCCACTTCTGCCAACCACATCTTCGGTAATATCACTCCCTACCCCATCGATATACTCCCAGCAAAGCCTCTCTCATTGTCTTTTCATCAAGATATATTATTTCCCAATAGATTTCCCTCCACAGCCAACAACACAATGATTCATTCTTCCTGCCATCGAGGCACAAGCAGTGAATCTTCCACGATTAATTGAAAATTTTCATTTTATTCAAGAGCGCATTTCACAAGTCTCACCCACTGCTAATTAAATTGGTTCCATTAACTTACTTCACTTTGCTGTACTACTTCATTTCTGGCACATGTCATTTCAGAGCATTAATTAATTGACTCTCGTGATCAATTTTCTACCTTTCACACCCAATATCGGTGCGTGGATGCGAGAACTCTATATAGATTTCCCCTGAGAATTCACCAGAAATGAAAATCACACGCAGGAGAAATTTCACCTTGTTCTCGATAATTTCTCTCTTGATTTTTATTCTTGGCTAGATTTATACATTTCATCACCCATCACACAATTGTTTTCCATTTATCGCATTTCTCCACGTCGAGGGAAATTCTTCAGTGTCTTCCTGAAGACTTCAGCGCCATGACGGAGATGAAGAGGGCGAAGAAGAATCCCGCCATGCCTGTGGAGCCCGTGAGGAGAAGTAGTCCGGCGACGATAACGGGGACGAGGGTGAAGAACTTGAGCTTGTAGGCGAGGAGGAGTGGCAAAAGGTACTTCTTGTACTTTTTCTTCACCTTGAATTTCTTTCCCTTCTTGCCGCGCCCCTCGACTTCGGTATCTGCATGAAATGCGCAGGAAAATTCACTGAATCTCTGTGGTTTTGTGCAGTTTTCACAAAAGGAAACTTACCATTGTAGTGAAGAGCCTCCGAAGACGGTTCTGCAGGCGGCGGAAGAGATCTGCCATAGACGAATCGCGGTGATGTGTTGACAGGAACGACAAGGGATTTTGGCATCTGAGACAACGGCACAGCACTTAAACTACTCCTGAGATCTCTGGGCTTCACACATTGAACTGAGGACAAGACGCAACAGGTGATGATGGTGACACAGAGAGGAAACATTTCTCCTTTAGGGGCACAGCTTCGTTGTGGCACAATCAAGTGATCTCGTCATTGCCTCAATATTGTCAATGTTGAACTGAGAAGAGGGCCAAAAAATGTCAGAACCATCTTTCCGCGATGTTCTGCATCAGTTCTCGATGAAATTTCCACGTCAGTTATTACCTCAATCTCTATGCCACCACTCACAAACACAATCCCCCAATATTGTGCCTCAATTTTCCCTCACGCCGCTCTTCCAACTGGTAATCACGATAATTTGAGGCTGGGCTGGAAGAGGAGGGATCTATCATTACGAGACATCAGCAGAGATTTTTCGAGATATATGAGCATCGTACCTCGAATAATACTGTTATTCCATACTCGGCATTGTCATAGTTTCTGGTCCACGAAATTATGTCAGATACCTCTTAGATACTCCATTGCTCAATCTCGGAAAATCTCACTCGTGTGCAATTTTTCGCCGCAACGCAGGGAAACAAGTCACCGTCAGTGAAACACAGCGAGAGGCACAGAATTTTTCCTCGAGAATTTAACTTTTACTGACGTTCTGCATACCAGTTTTCAGTGTGATCTCAATTAATTCATTATTCCCACTGCATAATTTCACCTCATTATGTGCATCTGACTTTACGTAAATGTTTCAATTACATGACACAGAACATGCCTTATTGTATTTAGATCTTAATTGCCAATGAGAAGAATAAAGACTGCACCGCGAATTTGCCCGCGGAAACAGGTTTCTAATTAAAATGTCTAAGGAGAACTTTAACAAGTCAATAATTGCAACTTAGAGTCTCAATAAAACATTGTTGTGGCTGCAAGTTCATAGACTGTTATGATGCAGTCGTAATGAAATAAACATGCATTTTCGAATATTAATTATAATTTAACCATATTGTGCATAACTGAAAGTTGTTCCTAAATCCTGAAATAGCATGAAAGTTACTTAGATATTTGCAAAGATTTATGATTCAGTTGGGCTCATTTCTTGTTAACTATTTGATATGTAAAATAACTACAGAACCTTTGATATGATTAATGTTTTTCCAGCATGAATCATCACTTTGCTACTTTACTTACCGTATAAATGCTCTCGCTATGCAAAGAGAACACATGTATGTGCAATGCATCGTATTAAAATAATCAAAACTGAGCTATCGCGATACAATCAATTATGCAAAATTTCATTCTCAAGAGCATAATGCAGGAAAATTAAGTAACACTCCCTAATAACAACATAACTCGCAATGTCGAGGGAAATGCACTAGATCAAAATGAATTCAAGGTGGAGATTTCTTCGAACTTATTTATCGCATGGTAATTTCTCTAATAAAAAATATATTCCATGACCTTTGGGTGATTTCTTTGATTTCTTCGGCATTTTCCTACTTCATTTCGCACTCCTCAAGTGTTGAAATGATTATTTGTGATCTAATTTGCCTTTTCTATGATGGGCAAAGCGCTACGTATTATTTAAAATTTCTCCCTCAACTTGTAAGCAAATTTGTTATTGAAAATTGGCTTTATTGATTATTAACACTAAGTATGATTTTCAATTATCGAGACACGATAATAAGTGTGTTTTCAGGGAAATGAGAAAAGAAATCATAAATCTTTCACTCATTTCTTTATCAAAATGCAAACAATGCCGAAGACTCGGAGCACGTGTGGGTTTTCATTGAAGAAGCATGTTTTGCTCGAGGAATCATGACGAGAGGCTTATGTATTTTCCTTCATCCATGAACTTGTTGGTATAGCTAAATTCAAACCAATCACTTTACCTGTAGTAATATTTTGTATTGTGCCACTGCCTTCAGCTCTGTTGACTCACAGCAAAACAAACCCAATTACCTATTGCGGAAAATTCGCGGAATTTTTTTCCCGTGGGATGGAATTTACAGTCACAGAAGAGTACTGTTTTTTTTTCAATAAAATCGAGGAACCACAAATATCATTTAACCAATCATATCTATTCAAATGCACAAGATTTATTAAAAATAAGAATTTCTCTACAGAACATTAAAATTCTCTGGCAATTTTTTTTTCTTTTTCCTATTAGTTCAGCAACAACAGCGTTGAATAAAGGAGCTCTTGAAATATTCAGCATAATCTTGCTGGTCGGTGAGGAAATTGCGTACACATTGGAAGACGGAAAAACAATTAAAAAGCGAGGATAATTTATGATAAATAGCTCGATTATTGCTGCGCACGAGGTGCAAATTCTTCACTTTTGAGCTCAGAATCAATTTATGATTATGTACCTGGGCATTGGCTGCAAGACAAGAGCAATAGCCACTTAATTTCATGGTGAAGAACCATTCTGATGGAAAACGCAATTTCCTTCTCGAGTTGTAGGCTCACTCTCCATGCGAGTTGATTTGAATATGGTTTAGGTCTTGCACGGTTTCCTTCGCATCAATGCATTCTCACACTGCAAATTTGCCACCGTTTTTTGCCGTCTTTCCCACAGCAATCGTGCGATTGAGCTCAGTCGCGATATACAATAGGAAGACAAGGGCACAAAACATTTAATTTTAACGAGCTGACTGTGCAATTTGTGTAATTGACACAATATAGGTGATTCTATCTTCTAGCGAGAAATATTTAATATAGATCAGGTGAATGTGGGTTAATCAATTTACAGCAAATCAATCGTCTTCTATCCAGCATTTTATTCTTTATTATTATAGATTCTCTTCGACAGTCTAGCTTTGAGGAGATTTCATCTTAACACAAAGATTTGATTACAGAAATACAGTAGCGGAAAATGTTATGAAGTGATGGATGGAGAATGAGTTGTTTTTTTTTTATATATTTTCAACCTTAAAGTTAATTAAATTTAGGAGCAATTAAATAGAGTAACAAAAATACAATTAAATAAATTATTAAATACAAAGTAACAACAATAAATAAATAGTAAAGAGATACATTTGTAGCAGGGGCACTTCTTGTGCCGTTTTTTTCTTCTTCTTCTTCATAATTCTTTTCCGTTGTCATCTTTTTAAAATTTCAATGAGGTGATGGAGATAACTTTTATGTAATAAAAGTCGCACTAAATTTTGTCTGCTCTAATAACTGATTTGGCATCAATGAATTATGCGTTAGGCATTTCTTCTTCGCTTCATTTTAACATTAAATTGATAACAAGTTCATTCAATTTTCCATTTACTAAGCATACAATTTTTTTTTAACTCTCAACTCACTTTTGGCCAATTATCTTTTCACCTGCAGCTTTTATGATAAAAGAGAGGAAGATAATTGTCTTATTGATTTCTAATGGTTTCTGCATCTGTGTAAATACCTTGGAATCTGTGGGAGGTTGTGGAATGTTGATTGAAAGAGTAAACATGTTAGGGAGTAATTAATTAAATAAATAAATAAGATTGTGAAGGTTTGAGTATTGAGGAAAAGATGTTAGCTTAGGTGTTAAGGACCGGAAAACCAATATGATTCTCCAAAGGGCTGAAATTTGATAAGGATTGGTGGCTTATCTACTGAGTGATGTATCCCCTATAGGCGATGTCCTGGGCCTCGAGGGATCGCCTGTCCCATCCGCCACCGTGTCCACCACCACCACCTCCGGACGACCATCCGCCGGATCCGCCGCTAGACCATCCTCCGCCGCCGCCACCTCCGCCGCTGTTCTTCTGCGACAGCAGCTTCTTCAGGGCGATAATTCCCGCCAGGAGGAGGGCTACCTTGGAGATGATGAGTGCCTTGCCCGCGAGCAAGTACAGTCCGGCTATCGCTACGGGGATCATTGCTGCCATCTTCATAGCGAAGCCCATCATCATCATGCTCATCATCTTCTTCATCTTGCCGCGGCCTGAAAAGGATCACAGAGACATTTAGGAGGGTCACAGCAAAGGGATGTCCGTGTCAGCTGGTCCTACCTTCTTCGACTGACCGACCGAGCTCGTCTGAGGAGACTTTCGGCAGACTGACCATGACTGTTCTGCTGCTGAGGAAGCGCGCCACGCGATCTGCCAGCATGGTGGAGAGTGCATCATCCCTGGCCTCTGCGTTTCTGGGCAAGTTCTTGTCCAGATCCTCACCCAAGGACTTGGGCACGTCCACGACGGGGCTGTCGGCACTGCGGACTACTCTAACACCCTCACCGATATTTATGGCATCCACTTTGGTCACACGATCAATGAACGTGATGGCCTTCTTCTTGAGGCACACACTGAACCCACCCTCGGCACGTTGACACTCATCGTAAACACGCAGGGCGGCACGAACACCCGGGTTCATCGGCTCCTGCTCCGCGGCCACGGTCAGGGCGATCAGGAGGACACCACATACGATATGCTTCATTATTCCTGGGATGGCTGGACCTTATGAGCTATGCACTTGCTTATCAATTGGCGCTTCTGCCCCGAATGTAACTTAACTCAGAGTGTCTTCTTCTCCTTGGCTCTGCTCAAACCCATTCAGTGACGCTCGATGCACTGAGGAAAATTAATTGGTGGCTCTGTGTTTTTATAATGTGTGGAAAAAAGAACTACACACTCGCGATAAAGCGTACGCCACCAAAGGGGAAGAGGAGAAAAAGAAAATACAACTCTTCTGCTTTCCTTCGGATGTTACCAGAGAAAAACAACACAGTGTCTAATGCACCACCGGCGAAACTCAAATGTTGTGCAATTTTGTTAGCAACGAAGCACTCCACTGAACAAGAGCCTGAGAATCACTGATGCTGAATGATATGGTATCGCATACTTATATAGAGGCGTTGAAATAATCAACGGGAGCGATGGTGAAAAAATGTGCCCGTGGAAGTCTCGAGCTCTCGCGATCCCCACCGAAAAGGGGGAAGATGTTGTTGAGAGTTTTCGATTTCATACAACCGGGGGGACACTCTTGGAGCTGGCCTAAGATAACTCTGCGGTGGCGCTGGAGAGGGAAAGCATCAATTGCACTTAACACACGCGAAGTACCTCAATTGCTGCCGTTGTTCTATCCACTGAGACATTCTTCCATTTGCCGCGAATGTGTGTTGTCGTGGCCACTGAGACAATTGGCGAGAGCGAGTCGGAGGATCATCTAACACCACGGCAATTGCCAAGACGCGATCGTGGGGGGAGTGCGCTGTGTTGATCCAACCACTCGCGAGGGATTCCTCACGGACTTCACTCTCAAGTTGAGCCACTTGTTTTCGGTTGATCCAGCGCCAGAAAAAAAGTCCCACGACGAATTTCACTGGCAAAAACAGAGAAATTGCAGTTAGAAATTTCTCTCTGCGCATCCTTCGTCAATTTTGTCGATCTTCGCTGCAACTCTCACATGGTCATGGCGATAAAGTGAGTTATTCAGCAACACATGCCAGCGAGAGACACTTGCCAATTTTTCCCCACTGCACCAATCAATGCATCTTCATCGTCTTACATGCCGCAGAGTGTCAGACAATTGCAAGAAAGAAAATCACAAGAACAAATGTCCCGCTTTTCACTACAATGACCTTTCTCTTCAGCTCATGATCATTCTGACTCTATTGTTGATATATAAATTGTTGGAAATTGTTGACCTCTATACACATTTCTCATAGAAGAGCATAGCCAACTTCCTTCTCAGCAGCTCACCATCCAATTTTGCCTCTAGAGTGTTCTCCTGCTCAAGTGTGCAAGGTGCTTTAATTCAATATGCTATGACATCACTCCGCTTCGACCCGTTAAGCCGAACCCCTATCTCATCTGTATCTCTTGACCTATCGCAGAGGGCCTCCTCTCATCCGCGAACAGTGATAGATGCTGCGAGTTCTCCAGGTGAAGATTATTCTTCGCGATGAAGTGAATGCCATGATCAGGAAGATTCAAAAGGAGCAAATCTCAGTGCACTCAGAGAAATGCAACTCCACCATCTGACGATGATTCTCCAAGACTACATCAACCATGAGGAAATTTTGTTGAAAGCAACAGTTATTGCACTTCTGTTTATTACCAAATAAATCATAACGTAATAAACAATTAAAACCATATGGATTTGACAGCTATGCAATCGTAAAATTTATAATTATATTTTTAGATTATTTGTCTGCTTCCGCACGCGTTTGTCTGCATTTCATTATACAATTCAGATTTGCATTATGTCACATTAGTCCTAATCTGTATTCTACAGCAACGTTTTGAACTAAAATTATTCTAACAAGTTATAAAAAAAATGCAAAATTTAGACTTTTAATGGACATTTGCACTTAATGCGCAGTTTCTTAACTGTCTTCTGTATTAAATTCATGTGAGAAATATTGAGTTTTAAGAGAATTCAAATGAGCAAATCGGTAAATCTATTTGATTTTTACGTTAGCAATGTATAATTGTTTGTGAATTGCCTTAAAATTAGGTCTTCTTGCAGACAGTTAGCAATAAGCAGACATTTTGGCAATTTAATTCTACAGAAGCAATCCTCAAATTTCGAGGTCAGCTGCCAATCCCGTTCACAGCTTCTTAGAGTGTAAAATTATGATCTAAGGTGGGTGAGCACTGATGGTTCTCGGGTAGTCCTCCCTGGAAGAAGAGGAGAAGAATCGTAATTAAAAATCAGAAGCACGTATTCACGGAGGCAATAAAAAATTTGAAATTAAATGACTACAGATAGCTCGCCTGTGAAGATGGTGAAGTGGATCAAATAGCTCTGCTGTGTTTTTTTTGCACGACGATGGGCCTACCAGATGAGAGAGCGCTGAAATGGTAAACATCGTTGAATATTAGCCATGTTATTTTTTCTAATAGAAGTCATACATGGAAAATTTAAACACAATTAATTGCCGGAACCGCCAAATTCACACAAAATCAGACAAACCAGTGTGAGGAGAGGAGATTTCGAGTCAGTTAGATGTAGTGAAGAGATAAGATGTGTAGTAACATCAATTGACATTAATTTTTAGTGGTCATTCTCGACGAAAATCATGATATTTACTCTAGTAAAACAATCCGTTTGGCACACATTCCTTCACCCAACAGGTGACCCCTCTTTTCATCTTGCTGTGTGTATGGTGCACAAGAAAGAGTCCATTGAGAAGGTATGATTGATTCTTGGCTATGAATGGATTTGAGTAAAAACTCTCTGCCGCGATCTTGGCTCAATTTCAATAGTGCGGAGGGCACGAGAGTAGGAAGAGATCTTGGCAGAAAGCTGCTACTTTGCACACATAAAACATCCTTGGGCAGAAATTGCACATTTCACCATTCAATCAGCTAAAAGGAGGCACGAGAGGTGAAAGAGAGACGCCAAAGTGCATGTGCTGAAGTACATATTTGAGAGATGCTGCTTGCCTTGCATTTAGCCATCATTAGGTTGGGAGAAGAAGAGAGAAGAAAAAAATAATAGGAGATACAACTGTTTATTCCATGCGATTGTAATTACACGGGAATTGTTGAGCTGCAAATAATGCAAAATCCACTGTGTAGAAGCAAAGTGGGTCACCCTTCGTGAAATGCACTACACTCAATATCGCTTGGAAAAATCTCTTTGAAAAGAAATCTCCAATATGGAGCACATAATAGAAAAATCACGTGGAGTCTCTCCAGCACTTTTTCCAGCCGCAGTAGCTTCAGGGACAATTGCAATTGGGAAATCATGCGAAATCTTTCTCACACATTTGTTCTCTTCTCCATTTCCAATACTGACGATGATAAGACAACTCTTGTTGTGAACAGAAGATCCGACATTGACATTTTTGTTGAAATTCATATGAGAAACACTATGAATGACATATTCCAGTCATCAATGACACGGTTATGCGGAAAGTAGGATAGCTAAATACTTAAGCTGATCTAAGATGAGAAGAAATAACAGATTTTTTCGACACCTTCCATAATTGAGTACAGCTTTGGAAAGGGTTTTAATTAGTAAATTAGACAAAATTCAAGTAAAATTCATACGAATAATAAAGTTCACACTCTTCCGAGCAATATCCGGCTGATTTTCATTGCGAAATTTCTCATTAAACTAACATCAGAGTGATGATTGAAAGTGGACAAAGCTGATGGCAACTGCATAATAATAATAATATGATAAAAGGTTGCAAATAGAAATTCCTTTTACTTTCGCACTAGATATTTTATAGAGAGAGCGCCAAGTGAGGCATAATCGGAGTCTTGCAATTTTGTCGGCATCACAAACCTGTACAGTTGTATCAGGTGAGTCTACTGCCGCTTTTTGCCCACCATCATCAATTATGTCCGCCGTGAACTTGCTCTTGAAATCAATGTATAGCTGGAACAATCTGGGTCCACCACTTGGAACACGTGGTGGAAGGCGAGTGCCCGAGTTGATGTGTTGTACAAATTGATGAATTTTGCAATAAAAGTCTCTGGTTACTTCATATTCTTCTCCTCCATCAACTGCCCGTAAATGCGATCTCAATTTTTATGTAATGCACCACGTGAGGGTATTTACGAGTATTGTTCATTGTTCACGATCATCAACGACAAAACAGCATGTTTGACGGGCGATATGGGAAGTAGTGAGAGAAATAAAAATGATACAGTTTGTTGAATAAAGTGTACTACTGGAGCAATCCCAGTGCTGTACCTACTTCTTTCTAATCTCCATTCAGCTGGAGGTGCACAAAGTCACAAGACAAAGGCACCTGGAAGTCAGTAAAATTGTTGTCAGACCTTCATAGAGATCCACTGGCATTATAGAGCTCTTAATCATCACTCATATCCAGCGGCAATATGGTCTTTGCTGCACGAATATGCACAAGAAAATTCTTCGTCGTACCATCGAAAAGGTTAATGAAGAAAATCACTCGAGAGCCAACCCAGTTCTCATGAGAACTTATTCTATATAAATTTTCACACCCAAACTGACGATCGTCGTAAAATATTGAATCCAACACTCTGCAGAGCAACCCATTGCCTTTGTACTTTCCATCGCGCACACAGAGCATTAAATTGCACTGCTCACTATCTTGAGATAAAATCTCAATTTTCACACTAAATCTCACCCCTCACATCTTTCTCTCTCAATTTCACGGGAGCAAAAGATGCAGTGAAAATTTAATTTGATGCATTTTACTGCATGCCTTGATACCTCGGCTGCCAACACTTTTTGTTCGGATGCCTTTGATAAATACACCTGAAATTGCATTGTCGTGGGCTAAAAATGCAGCAACTTTTACTTGATTGTGTGTACATATTCCGGTATTTGTAGAAGAAACACCGCAGAAGAATGCATGTCAAATAATATTAACAGAGATTGTGTACGTGATTTTGCACTTGAAATTGGTGATTTATGATTTCGCACATGGAAACTATCTTATCAAAAACTTCAAAGTACAAGAAAGCTTATACTTATCTCCCTATAAAGTGCCCAATTATCACGCATGCAAAAGTTCTTCATATATTTTATTGACTTGCAAATGACTCACTTTTCCAACACATTGTTTGTTGATGCAAACATGTGAGATACCAATAGAAAGCTATCAAAGACATATCAAATAGGTTGCAACCTTTGAACTTTATCATGAGAAAATTGCACATATTTTATGTGTGTCTCCTACATTGGTGGCTTCTCGTGCAGAAATCTCATGGATATGGGCATCAACTTTCACGTCACGGCGCTCTCTGTGTGCTCTTCGCGGGCAGAATGTGTGCGCCTTGTGAGAAATTCTCTCTGATTTTATGTAATAAATTTCAATGACAGTTGAGAAAAAGGTAAATTTCGCATGAGGAGAGAGAAAAACTCACTTCGCACAGCGACTTGGTTTTTCTTGCCGCCTCTCAACCTATTCCGATTTAATTTTTGTGCCATTCCCACAAGGTGTTTTCTGCGCCAAGTGCTGGAGTGAAAAGCCTATTTTCTCGCTGATGCACTCGATCTCACCGAATTGCACAAGATAAATCTAACCATTTGAATGCCGCAGATCAGGAGATCCCATTGCTGATTGTGTCCAGATGATGAGCCCTAAATTGGCGATTGGACCATAATCTTATCAAGTGTTTCCATTCACTTCCACCCACATCTTAATTGGACACCAAATCACTTTACTGCTAACTATAAACTGGATATTTCATCGTGTTTTTTGCCCACTTGACTATAGTCAGCGGGCATTGTTTGGCAGAAAAATCTCATCCAACAGTTACTTTCTGATCAAATGAAAGGTATTTTTCCTCCCGCATGGCAGAGCATAAGTCTCGTGAAAGAAAAACTCTCTCAATTAGCCAATGAAATGTGCAGATGTATGTTGCGAGCAATATGATTTTGTCTAGTCAAGAGAATCAATGCTATTTCAGGTATTTGGTTAGAGATGAGAAGAAAAAAAGCACACTTTTTGCACAGTGTGAGCTAAATGAATTGAATGGTGCTACAAAAGAGTTAATATTATTTACATTCATGGAATATGCATGCAATGCATGTTATGATTTTAATGTGTTTTCACATATTTACATACATTTACTGTTGAAATTCTTAGAGAATGTTCTCTTCAGAGGGATTTTGATAAAAATCTGAGTGTTTGAGAGTGTTAATATCTGAAACCGGATCTAAAATCCTTGATAGAGAGCTTGCAGATCAGTCGGATCGCCCGGCACAGCTCGCGGCACGTGATGGAGAGGTCCAACAAATCAGGCCTAAATGTCCATGAATCCGTGAAAGAAGCATCGAAATGGTTTGCGGGCGATGGAAGGCGAGGCAACAATTAAGATGATCGCAATTTTCTTCATTTCCATGGGCAGCAGCTATGATACCCACCTTCCCACTTTCCCATAACATTTCTCCGATTTGGATCATGTGGCGAGAGACACGTAATGCGCCGCCGAAAGCGCACGCAATTAATAAATAAACGGTGTGTCGGTGGATTTGCAATACGATATCAAAATCAATGTGCATAGAAGAGCGAAGTGAGATGGTGAGATGATGATGGATTGGCGTGAATGCGAAAAAGAGGTGCGATTTCGAAAATTGGAGGCCTGTTTATCATGTGTGTTAGAACAAATTAGCGAAGCTAAACACAAACAACAAAAAATTGTTCAAGATGCACCACTATGCAATATTACACGCTCTGAAACGTCAGTTTCCTAATGCCCCCTCGCGAGATGCATAAAATCTGGATGCATCTTTGAGAAAAGGTGCACTCCTATATAATCATTCGATGAGGCTAGATCTGCTGTAGTTTTTTGCATCCCACACAGCATCTCGCGTCTGTTGGCTTAATCCGTGAGTCTGTTCGTCCCGAAAGTGGTGTGACACTGAGGATAGTCCGTGTGTGATTTGTCACGAGCTGGTTACCGCAATAAGGCAAGATGGTGTCGCTCAAGTTTGTCGGTGGCTTCGTATGTTTGTTTGCCATAGTGGCGGCACAGGACAGTAGAACGCACTCCAGCGTCTGGAGGTCCCTGCGAAAAGTGTACACTCAGTGTGAGGACAGTTCGGACATGGTGCACTGTTTGAAGGTGCAGGCAGTCAAGCTCACGGATCGGGCGCTCAAGTTGCCCAGCATCAAGTTGGTCGACGGGTTGTCGGTGGTGCGAAAAGCTGACAAGCCGCAAGAGGTTTCGCGCTCCTTTGACTCATCCGAGTCCCTGCCTGGGTACAAGCTGGACGAGATCCTGGCCCAGAAGACGCGCGAGTTCATGGAGTCGCACGAGCTGAAGGTCAACGTGCCCAGGCTACTCGCCTACAGCCAGACCGAGGGTGCACGCTTCGTGGAGGAGGGTCGCAAGAAGATGAAGAAGTACTACGGACCATTCATGGGCGCCCTCGCCATCAAGACGGGCATTCTCACCATGGCATATCACTCCATCGCTATCGTTGCCGGCAAGGCTCTCATCATCGGCAAGATCGCCCTCATCATCAGTGCAATCATCGGGCTGAAGAAGCTGGTGACGCCGGAGGGACATGAGAAGACAACCTACGAGATCGTGAAGCACCCCCACATTTCCCAGAGCCACAGTTACTCGTCTAGTCATGGGGAGTTTGAGGGACATGAATCGGGTGGCCAGTACCACAGGAGTCTCGGCTCGGGTGACTTGATGATGCAAGATCGCGCCTACAGAGCCCATGTGCCACGAGTCTAAGCAATGCCCGTCTCGTCATTTTTTATCACTTTAAAATATCGACGAACCTCCCCACACCCGCCCAGATTCCCCGCCCAACAGAGCCTCATTCCCCCCTTCCCTCTCAGCCCCGAATCTCACCTCCCGAGCCCTCCTAGGTCCCAATCTCATCCCTCCTCAAAGTGAAATCAATCATTGCGGATATTCGGAAGATGAAGAGTCCCTCTCTCCCTGGGAAAAGACAAGGAGAAATGCTAAACATGAACCGTTTCGTAGCGAAAATGGCACGATGGCAAAATGAAAATTGATAATTTATTTATTTATTTGTTTTTTTTGTAAAGAAATAAAGAAGACAACTACTTCATTGAATTTACAATGACCCTAAATTGCCCCTCTTCAGCCATTCCCCAGTCGGCATCAGGACACAGTTGCAGAGGACGATGCGAAATCAGAGAATTGAGGCCTCATTGGAATTGCACAGACGCTGTCAATCATTCTTTATTGCTTATCTTAGAGAATAAATAGATAAATTAAGGTTATATAGTATAGAATTAATTGTACAGGTGAAGAGAGTCAATTAGTTAATTGCTACACGCCGGCCAATTCGCTCGATGTGTAGCCTTTGTAGGGCAATTGCTGATCTCCATCGGGTGTCCGCGAATTGATGCTTCGCTGCCATCCGTTTCCACCATAACCACCGCCGTGACCGTGTCCGTGTTCAGTGACGACGACGTGACTATCGCCAGAGCTTCCTCCGGTGACCAATTTCTTCATGGAACCCTTAAAGATACGTGAACAAATGATCTCGATCGACTAAATGGCAAGATTCGTGAACATACCATGAGTGACAAGAACAGGGACATCTTGGCCATCAGAAGAGCCGCTCCGGCCAGGAAGGCGAGCTTTCCCAGGACTAAGTGAAGCATCATACCTACCATGGCAAAGCCGCCCATCATCATCCCATGACCATGCTTTCCTCCGCCGTATTTTTTCTTGCGACCTTTTCAGGGGAAGAATTCACCTCAAATGTCATGCAAACCATCTTCTAGCAAGGATAATTTTTATACCTTCTTCCATGAAGTTAGGTGTGAACTTTATGCTGATTATCCGTGAAGCGATAAAATCTCGAATCCGCGAGAAGAGAATCTGATTAATACTCCTTTCGCTTTCTCCAGACTCTGCCAATTCGCGCTGGTAATTTGGATCACGTTTGATGGATATGAATTCATTGATGACATATGAACGATCACTTTCAATCGCATTGTCCAGCTTCTCTATCGCATAGTTCTTGAAACAACCGATAATCTCACTCTGTCGCACGCAATGTCGCACTATAGGAAGAAGTCCTGTGAATTTTGGGCGATCTGCAGCCTTTGATTCCACCGATTCGACCCTTATCGGCACGGTGCTGCTCAAGATTGTCCGAAAGAGAACACATGAGCAGAGAATCACCAACACTTTCCACTTAAACACGCTCATTTTGCTTACTTTGTCAATTCAAATGGGAGCAAATGTATGTTGTAAATGTCTGCAGACGGTAAGCACAAATGACAATAAATCTCCAATGTTTGTCTCTTTTATAACATAAACACACAGTTTATCTAGATTATTTCGTCCATAGAAATCCACCGAAGGTAGCAATTAGTCTGTTCATTCTACATACAAAATTGCCCCGAATATTTTTCACTGGAAGTTTGTGTCTCGGGGGAAAATGTGTGACAACTTTTTGGGTACATCGATAAAACATTCTTAATAAACTGTGAGCAAATTGAGACGCTCCATAATTGTCGGCTTGTTAAAGAACACCCAAAATAGACTTCCTCAATGCTCAGTGATTCTGACTGCTCGTCTAATTGACGCGTTTCTTGCACTCACCTTCGCGAGTTAAGTGTAATTCTATGGCGTATTTCTATTAAATTTTAATACTTTCGCAAATGCATTTGATGTTAAAGGCGTATATTTATAAAAAATATTTTATTTGTGCTCTTTGGTAAGACGTGTGAATATCTTATAGGTGAAAATGACACAAAATTTATGAACAACTGTCAACGATGCAGTCACTGCTTAATTGTGTGCCACGCAAAATTCTTGTAATCATTTCGTGACACAAATTCCGATGCGGCACTTGTTGGCTCCGTGGATGAATCCGTCTTGAAGTCAGTGGATTCCCTTTCGTATACTTGAGGACCGCCTCTCTTGTTAAAGAACTTCGTCTCATAGTCATAAAAGCGATCTGATTCGAAAGGCTTCTGGGTGGTTTCGAAGTGTCTGTGAGTGCTCTTCTTGTAGTCCTTGTAATCCTGATAGTCCTTGTAATGATGATCGTGAACTTGATAACCTAATCCTCCGTATGAGCCCAATCCTAAACCTCCCAAGCCTAAACCAATGCCGCTGATGGGTTTTGAGGCCAAACCAAAGAGGGATGCAACGCCTCCAGCTCCGAAAACTCCCGTCAAGAGAAGAGCCAATTTGCTCAAGAAAACAGCTTTCTTTCCAATCAATATCAGCACGCCCAAGATGATGGGAAGAAGGACAGCCAGATTGAACTTCAGACCCAGAAGGAAGGGCAAAATAAGGCTCTTCGTCAGAAGACGAGCTGTTAAAGAAACGAATTTCTCTTATTGCTTGTCAATTCATGTATAATTCACTAACTTACCCGTTGTGGGCTCTCCAGCTCTGTCGTCAAGCTCCTGTCCATGCGGATTATCCATGACGAACTCCAGAACGCTGTTGGAATCCCCGGCAGGTCCCACTCTCATCATCAAGCCCGGGTAAAGGGTGCTCATGTCCCATTGCAGTGATCTCTGACTGAGGATAACTCCGGTTTGATCGAGCAATGTTCTGTGAAATATGCAAAGAAATTTCACAGTAGTTTCTCATTGTGGCTGCAAATTCCATAAATTGCCTACTAATTACTGAAAAGTTATATTTTTTTGTGCAAATTCTTTACATACATATTCAACAGCGTGGAGAAAACTGCATGAGAAGTGCATGATGAGAGTTTGTGTGAATTTGAAACGTGAATTTTATAATAATCATTAATTGACTTTCTACGCTTTTTTGTACATTTGCAATTGAATGCAAATTATGCTATTATTGCATTGCTTGCCACTTGAATTGCAATATATATTATTATTACTTAAAAGAGCAGTTTTCGATGTTGTGAGAAAAGAACTAGTGTGAGACCGAAGGCTCGATTCTAATTAAATTTACATGCCACTTGAATACACTATTTATGTTATTGTTTTGCCCAAAAAATAGCATAACAAAGTTACCAAATGTCTAAGTGTTCAACCACTTGATGGTTACATATTCATCACTACAATGTATTTGAAGTTCAGTGAAAGTGAGATTATGCAGACAAGCTTATAAAAAAGTTCACTTTTCCTTCCAAAATGTGTTAAACATGTTACAAAGCGATATCCATTAGATCTTCAGCATGAATAAAGCTGACACTTTGTCAATGGCGCAAATTTGATGAGGGAAAGTGAAGAAATACCTCAAATTGAGTGTGTCACGGTCGAGAAAATTGAACGGAATTGATCTTGGCATTGAGTAACCTTCATCGCGAACCATCGATAATCCATTGGTGATCGTGTAGTTGTCCGCTTCCTCGATGGACTGCAGGGTGTGCAGAGCCTGTTCGCCCAGACAAGGAATCACTCCCAAGTAGGGCTTGTTCTTAATGCAATACCCAAACGTGCTCAATTCACACTTCACACGCGACACAATCGCGACGATGGCAAGAAGATGCGCGAGGATATTCATGGTGTCTTGTGTCAATCACTGCAACCGTCCAACTGTGGTTGGAATTCCTGCACGACTGAACTATTTTGGAGGGCTCTCATTGAATATATAGTGAAAATTGCTGGATTATTGTTGCGAATTTCCATAAATTGCGACGCATGAAAGAGGAAGCTGACGGAAGAATAAAAATAAAAGTGAATTTTTGCGCAGAAATAGCGAAAGTTTCACTCAGCGGACACTTAATTCTTTCTTCGCGGGACGTTCCATCATCGTCTTGGGTCAATTTTCGTCTCACTCAGTGCCATTGTTCGCACAGTTTCATTGTCATTCTTCTCTCCTGCACATCTCAAGCATATATGCCATTAATTAATTTGACCAGTGTGGAGTAGAGATTTGCCACAAAAGTGACCGTCCAACAGGAAGTGGCATGAGAGAAGGAGAGCACAATGCGAAAAATGTAGCTCATTGTGTGCAACCGAGTGAAAATTAGCGAAATTTTCTGCAAATTGTATGTATAATTATTGCCATCTTCGCGGAAAGTCTCATATGTGGGGAGACACTGAGTCTGGCGGAGGAAATCATGGCCACTGACGATGACCGTGGGGCAGACAATTGCGACATTGCTGTGTTTGTCACTGGAAGTCTTGATAACGCGGACGTCAGTAGGATAATTCCTGAAGTGGTTCAATTTGCAGACTCGATTGAAAATCACAGGATGTCGTGTGATGTGATTTTTATGTTGATTTGCTTCTTCTCTGCGCATAATTGTCAGCCTCTGGGCAACAGTGATAGAGTAAGCGGGACGCATGAGAGACTCATAACTCTCACTCGGACAAGAATCAATTTCTCCAAGTCTGATGAATTTAATGTGATATTTCTTTCCGATTTTTTTTCTTTCTTTCTTGAATCGCTGGTTAATGTTATTAACATAATTTTCCTCTTTGGCATCATCGCGGAGGAAAGTAAAAAGCTGGAACTCTTCCTTTTGTCCAATGTGTAGCGGCGTCACAAGAGACTCACGACTCCGCGCGGTGGCAGTCAGGAGAAAGTATCAGACGGATTTCCAGACATCGACAATCTGGCTTTATTGACTTGCGACTCCATGTGAAGTTTTCTCAGAAAACAAACACCCGAGAGATGCAAGATATTGAACTTGCCATGCACAAAGAATAAAGGAGATGGAAAAGCGCCATGCACTCATGAGATTTTCTCAAAAGCCAATATCTTCACTCGCAGCAAACAATGATGATTGAGCAAAGATATTCGGTGAGAGGGTCGCATTGACGCGCGCGGGATGGAAAAAAAGTCCGCCGAGACTTTTTTCATACATTGTTGCTTTCTGCAGTCGCAGAGATGAGAAAGTGGAATTTGCAACAAAATCCAATTCAAAGCTGAAATGATGGATGAACAAGGTGTTGTTGGAGAGAAGAGAACCAGCTTGTAACTCATCGCTCGTCACGCTCAATCACCTACTAATTATTCGAAGATATCAATTACATGTTTATTTTTCTGTTGCCTGAGAAACCCACATTGAGCAAGCATGCTTCTGATATGGGTTAGCAGTGCCAATGTCTGCACGGCATTGAACTTCCAACCGCCATGCAATTCAAGTGTGAAACCGCAAGTTTTGCCCACATCGCGGCGCTTTCCGTGATCGCGCAGCGCACGTGCATTTTATTCACTTTTTCTACCCAATAAAATACATTCATCTTCTTTTAATTACATTTATGATTTAAGAAGTCCGCATTCCACAATGTATACATCTTCTGCTGAGCCTTTAAATTTCTCTGACGATGATGCTGGCGAACGCGCGCTGTTGGTCGGCTCAGTGTGTGACCACAGAAGAAAGCCTCGATCTCGATAAAGGTGGAATTTGACTTTTTCACTATCTCAATAAAATCCACTAATTGACCAACAAGACGTGAAAATCCCGTTCTATCGTGAGAAATACGATCATTTCAGTTATGTGCCTGATGGATGATCTCGGGGAGAAATTGGTCAGTCGGACGACAGGGCGAATATGACACCTTACGCAGAAGGTATTGCAAATAAATTGGTGATATTGTTGATCTTAAGATGCCATTCTATGACTGTATATAACGTAAACATACTTACAGATGCGCAAACCCGCGAAGAGAATACCAAACAGACGCGGATGTCTTTAAATGCAAATAATGACCAAAATAAAAAGAGAGAAGTGAGGAGGAAGAAAAAACTGTTAACAAAATTAACCTAAATTTGTAAAGATGCTCCAATGTTTGACACAGCCGCGGCTATTTGTGGAAAGTTTTGTTGTCTGAATCTCCTTTTCGCATCGCGGCCTTTTTTTCTCACTCGTGGACACCTTGACCGCAGAGATCGCGAGAATGGATCGCGTGGTGAAAGTGATATCCATTTTTCGAGAGGGAAAGAGCAATGGCGAAAAAGAGTCGCAGAGATTTACAAGACGCTGTCTGATAAAGTGTAGCAAATCCACTTTCATCCTTCTTAGCACATTATCAAATTGTGCTTCGCGGTGAAAATCACAGACCTCAGAAAATCCGCAGGTGAAAATCTCTCGAATGCCTTCGATGAAAATCCGCACTATATGGGGGGAGAGAAAAAGTGTCGCAGAGGAAGTGAAATGCGGTGAGAAAATTGATACAAGTTAATTGTGAAGAGTTATAACATTTATTTCTCGACTTTATACAACAATAAATTACTAGAACAATGATGAAAGAGAGATAGGAAGAAGAGGAAGTCATCGGCGAGGAGTAATTATCTCTTAATACTGGTACAAATGAGAAGAAGAGAGAGTGTAATGGTCAAAAAGAAGCGATCGCCAACATTACGATCCATTATTAAGGTCAAACCCATTACATTTATGAAATTCACGTGCATTTTGATGATTTCTCTAATCAACATATTTACTCTTTTTTCTATCTCTTGATACATGTTATTTTTGTGGAAGTAGCAATTACCGTTCACAGTGATTTTTATATTTAATTGTAATCTGCATGTACGAATAGTTTAATAGGATGATCGGATGCGTGCCTGCGATGGGATCAAGAATGGGTGAGCGAGAGAGAGAGAGAGAGAGATTAAGAAATGTACACTCATTAAGAGGTTTAAATAGTCATCAGATAAATCGATCAATTTCGTGCGTAATTGATGCAATTTCACAAGAGATTAGCACGAAAGCTCTTCGATCAATCTCTCGGTATGTGGCAAGTTGAAAAAAAAAGCCTATGAAGATGTCGAGGCAAGATAGAGAAAGAGGCAATTGAATTCCCGATACACCTCTTTATCGTGATCGCTTTCCTACATTGGAATACATAATTTCATTCAAAGCAGAAAAGTCTGAATAGCCCAAGAGAAGTGACTATGAAAAATTATTTGTTATCACCTACTCAGGTCTGGTGACACCAATTTTTCTGTATAAATAAAAGAATGTATTACAGAGTTGGCTCTGAATGGGCTTTTTGAAGAAAGGCGGTTGGAAGAGAAGAAGTGACCAAGAGAGACGCGAAATGTATTGACGATGGAAGGTGCGTGCGCGACTCACTTGTGTATACAAGATACCCCAGGTGGGGGTATGAAAATGTATCATATATTGGCATAAAGATGAGTGGGGCTTGGAGCTGACCCAGAATGCATCGCAGTTCCGTTACATGATCATGATCAGGCAACGCAACGCGATCGATAAAAGTTACTGTTTTTCCATCGCTTCTTCTTCTTCAAAATTAACCACTTTGCACAATGTCGAGATCATTGCCAAAATATACACTTCGGCATCTCAGGGAGGCAGAGAGAGAGATCATAATCACGACACTGTGCGTGTCTGCACAGAGATGAGAGCGAGACACATTGTGTGGAGAAAAAAGAAATTCATTTTAGTGGGTTAAATATGTGAGAAAATGAATTATAATCGCAGGATAAGTAACAAAAAAAATAACACGATCACTGAAAAGGGAAAATTTCACTTCATCGGAGAAATCAAGTTGAATGTGTGAGAAAAAAGCACCGACCACAATCACGAATTGATCCAATGCACGATGTGTGATATTTTGGTAAATTGTGAAGGTGAGGAATATTTTGGTTGAGTTTGTTTGGTTTGTCATATTGTCTGTCAATTATCGTGCTTGTTGATTTCAGAAACCGTAGTTAGAAATATTTTTTTCAAACATTTTTTGAGAAAAAATACTTATCAATATTACCGATTTGCACTTATTAAATGCAACAGCAATTCTATTGCGATCAACAAAGAAAAAACACAATATTTTATAAAAATTACATTTTTCATTCGTTCATTTAACTTTAAGACTTAGAAGTAGGATTCGTAGTTTTACCTTTCATTTTCTTATTAGAGTTGAGAAGAAAAGTATATCTTGAAAGCATAGAGATCGTGTCCATAGACTAAATGTCAGTCGTCAAGAAGCAACACAATTTTCAAGTTTATCTATATCAGAATGAATAAATAAATTAAATAGAGCGGTCTTTGTTGACAAACTGCGATAGATTGAAAGAGATTCTCATCTATAGAATTGGTATAGAGTAAGTCAAATAAATTAGGACGTTTTCAGTTTTTGTCGTTTTAAATAAATAAATAGTTTCTTTCCCTAAAAATTGACCAATTTCGTGCCAAATTTTCCTTTCCACCCTCCGTCAAGGGTGGTTATACCTATTTTTGGGAGGATAGCGAACCATCGGAGGCATTTACTGGGCGTATCCGTTGTAGGCCAGGTTGTGAGCGTCGAAGGATCGGGCATAGTGTCCGTGGTGATCCTCGTAGCCGCCGTGGTGTGGATGGGCGACCACCTCGTAGCTCTGGGATTGCTTGGAGTCGAAGAGCTTCTTCAGGCCGATGATGCCGGACAGGAGGAGGGCAAGTTTGCCGATGATCAGGGCCTTGAAGGCGATCAGGGCGAGGAATCCAATGGCCAGGGGCAGGAGGGCGGCAGCCTTCAGCTTGAACAAGAGCAGGAGGGGCAGGAGGAGTTTCTTGGTCTTCTTTCCCTTTCCACGAGCTGATCGAGACACAGGCAAATTAGCTGCAATTCCGGGGAGAGTATGGTCTTGGGGGCGCTCTTACCTTCATCGAGAGATCGCTGCATTTCCTGGATGGAGTCCTTGGGCACCTTGAATTGCAGGGTGTGGGAGCCCAAGAAGCGCGCCACACGGTCCACCAACAGCGAGTCAACCTCAGACTCGCGGGCCTCAGGCTCAGCGGGCAGGACGATCTCGTTGAGTGATCGTCCGGAAGCCACGGGCTCAGACTGCACGAGGCTCACGCCCTCGGACAGGTTGATATCACCTTGGCTGCCGTCGATGTAGTGCAAGGCGCGTTCCTGCAGATGTACAGTTGGTTTAGAGTATATATTTTACTATCTCTAATTTCTTCGATGCAGGCATATATTTAAATGGGTGTACAGTAATGTGATCAACGGCCACATCCAGAATCCGGTCTTTCAACTGTTATCTCATCCGTCTTGGCGTTGAGATCTTGCCACAAACCGGGCTCAAAAGAGTTTACACAACAGTTATACTCGGGCATTTTCCCGCGGATAAGAGAGAAAATTTGGGTAACTAGGCGCTGTCTCTGGCTGTCATATGCGATTGATCGTGAGATTTGATGTGTAAAACGCGAGAGATCAAATGGGATCGCGGGCATTATTGTAATTGGGACGCGGGAGCACAAGAAGGAATTCGCGACTGATTTTGAGTTTATCTATAGCACTGAGATCACATCCATTGAATTCGGGGTGCTGAGGACACGTACCTTTAGGCATAGGACCATTGACTTATCACCACAATCCTTGACAAATCTGAGGGCTGTCGTGAGGAGGCCATCTGTCTCAGATGGACTGGCACTGGCCACAGCTATGGCAACAAGTAACACACACAGTGACTTCATATTTGTAACGAAATATTTTTGTTTTAAATAAAATTTATGCTAATTTTCACTGAACAGGCGCTTGTAATCCCGATCACACCAGGGAGTGCACGTTGTTAGTGGTCAGAAGGCAGCCGGTGAACTGTGACTAGAAGACGCCGACGTCCGCGTTTTATTCTCTTGTGCACCTCTGGTGGCGATGTGTTATGGAATTTAAATTAATGGACGATTTGAAAAAGACAAGTTGAGGAGTAGAGGCGCTATATATATGGCGGAATAAATAACGTGCGGAATGGGTGGAAAAAAAGGTACGACACGATGTCGATGGGTATAGTGGTGCTCGGAGAAAAAATTGTATCTCTTTGATAGTGGATTTCTCAGCTTCCCCGCGCTCGCTAAAGAGTGACGCTCGTCAGATGGATGGCTCTATGCCAGTATGCTGGATGGCTGTGGCGGAAAGAGATCGCCATATCCGCCCGAGATATGCATGGGGGGAGCGCGTACATCGCGAGGGGGGATCTAGCGTCGCACAGAGTCTCCACACCACTCTGTCTCCATGGCGCGATCGTTGGTGCCATTGTCTCGCCACCGCATGGGGAAGCAAGACAAAAAGCCCATCCGCGCCTGAAGAAGATACTCTTTTTTGGGCGGGACATGGTCGCCTCTTTTTCGTACACCTCACAATTTGTCTATATACCCGCCGCGCACTTGCACCTCATGTGCGAGGCAAAAAAAAACGAGACTCAAAGAGGCCCCCATATGTACACGAGGGCCTCGAAAGACACTTTAAAAAGTAGCAAATGAAATGTAGAAAATGTATGTGTACAGAAACTCTCCCTGAATTGCGATCGTGAATCTCTAATGAGACCCGGCCCAGAAGGTGTGCGTTTGAGAGTGTCTCGGAGGAAAATCCGGTTGCAAGGGAGAGATTATTTTATCACCATGTGAATGAAAATTGCACCATTAGGCGCGCAGTGTCGGTAGAAATTCACCGTGAATCAAATGCAAATTTGTCAAAAGGCCTTTTTGTTTCTCCCAATTTCCATTTCGTGCGATTGAGAGAAATTTATCGTGATTGGACTGTTGGTGACAGCATGAGAAAAGAAACCACCTGGGCTTTAATTTATTCGATCACTTGGAAACCCGTCGAAAAAAAGATGTCCCGCGACAGAATACATCCAACTTGTGAGATTTTTAAGTGAGTCAGTGAATTTTATTTATGAACTGATCTTACAATCATACACACCTGATTCTCAGCACTAGCTGCCGAGGAGGGGTTGATAAATCTTTAAATGAGAACATCTGCGGTTTGAAAATTGTAATGCACTGAAGCTAAGGTGTAATTTGTGAAAAAAACATACAAGTGTACACATGTATAGAAGTACACTAGATTTATTGTGAGGAACAATGGAATAATTGCAAACATTATGCAGTATGATTATTAAAGTTTTCATATTATCAAACACATTCTTGATGAGATCAATCAACAGATTTCTTCGCCACTGTGCAGTCGTATAGGAAGAGTGTCTGTTCGCAGGGGAAATTGCTGGCGGAAGGAGATGCAAATTGAGGCGAAGAAGCAAGAGTCGACAAGAGATTGATTTCATGTGTAATTTCCAGCAATAATTAATCTCAAAGAGACCATTTAATTATCTACTTTATTCCACCAATCGACCCAGAAATGCATCTCTGCGCTTTTCCACATTTTCGCCCTTCCCGATCATGAGCCATCATCAATGGTACAAGTGTGAAAGAAGCACGAGACACGCGTTCAATTGAACAATGAAATTACCCTCGAGAATGAGCGTGGAAGATGATGGAAAAACGGAATTACTCCAATTTCAGTTCACGATCATTTCCCAAGTGTCTTCTTCAGCCACCGCCGATGGAGATCACGGAGAGTCACTCATGAGTTGCTAATGGATGAAAGTGAGGTGCTCTCTATGATTTTTTTCGACTGGCTCAATAGACGGCGAAAAGAAAATATTGTAATAATGGGTGGAAGAGGTTGAGGTGAGGTAAAAAGAAAAAAAAATCAGCAATCTCCTCAGCGGAGACCCATAATTTATTCCCTCTTTCCCTTTCTCACACTTATGCCTCTTTTCACCTGGCAAAGCCACAATGGCACAAGATCAGAGAAATATCACAGTCATGAATGAAATAAATGACCATCCCATTGCGGATGTTGCCTCCAAGGTACGTTTTTCCCCGCCAAAAATACACATCTGTAGAAATGCTTCAGAGCTCGTCACGAACTCTCCATCCGTCTTTATTTGCTCGGCGTCCGACGGAAAAATGGCGACTTATGGCGCGAAAAAAATTATAATTCATGAAAAAACTTTCTACACGCACTTCAGTGGTGCAATGGGTCAAGTTGGCTCACCGTGATCTTGAAATCATTACCGAATCTCCCACTCAAATGCGCCTACATTCAGGCGCACCGCTATTGCGCTTGTTTTGTGAATGAGTCTCTCCGTCTCAGCTCAACCGTGAGATAGACGAGTGCTGGTTTTCTTCAAAGGAAATCCGCGTGCAAAAAGACATAGGCAAGAGAGAAAAAAAAATGGAGACAGCTGAAATGATTATAATAGCTAATTAAAGCGCGATCATTTGATTTTAGTTTCCGGAGGACGGAAATCAAATGGTGTGATGGTGAAAGAGAGATAAAAAATGTGCCAAATTTGAATATTTATATGAGATGGAATTTGAGAAGAAATTCACCCATTTGACTGATCCCCTATTGAACATGAGTGGCACGCAATGCCACACTTTTCAGAGTCCAATTGCTCTCCACCCTCCGCGATCATGATTTCTATTTTGCCACGATCACCGGCGGCGGTGGCTAAAGAAGCATAACATTGAGGAAGAAAACCACTAATGCTCGTGATTATTGGATTAATACATTTGGGGCACCCAGAGAGAGAAGCTGGACTAATTAAATTCAATTACTCTTGTATTTGGTTTATGAAAGAATAATTACAGCAATTTCTTTTCTTTTCACAATACAAAAAAAACAACCATATAAGTTAATTTTCACCTTTAGCGATATACAAAAACAAATAAATAAATTTCTTATACAAAATCACTCTCATTTTCTAAGGTATTCACATGTTTTCTTTTTTCTCGCTTTTTTTCAACTAATTTATAAGATTTTGGTATGATTTTCTCTTAAGAATAGGTAATTCTTTTTGGTTGATTATGCCTCGTCGTGGTTTTGCAGAGATGATGTTTTTTTCATTAATTTTTAATTGGTAAGGTCTCAATGAAACGGGAGGTTCTGAAAGGGAGGGAACTAGGCTTACTGGTGGTTGGGCATCTGGGCATTGTACGCCTGTTCGTGTGAGTCAAGGTTGCGTCCCCATCCGGAGCCACCGTGACCGCCCGAGACGACAACTTCGTGGGATCCCTCGTGATGGCCGGCACTGCTGGACACCAGCTTCTTGATGCCAATGATGGAGGCCAGAACCAGGGCGAGTTTCGAGACAATCAGGGCTTTGCCGGCGAGCAGGGCGAGGGCTCCATATGCCAGGGGAACCATGCTTCCAGCCAGGATGACAGGGATCATGACCCAGCTGTTCTTCTTCTGCTTAGCGCGTCCTTCCGCTCGGTCGATCTCATCAGACTCTGGGAATTTAACCTGCACCAAGGGAGAAGAGAGTCAAGTTTAGATTTTGATTCGGATGCACAAGCTTTCTTGGGACTCACCTGAAGTGTGTGAGTGTTGAAGAAGCTGACAATCTTGGAGAAGATCATCTTGTTAAGGGCAGTTTGCTTGTCACTTAGTGATCGTGGCAAGGACTCTTCGATTTCCTCCGTGGACTTGGCAGGAGTCTCATCAACTGCGGCCGCATCCTGTCGCACCAGCTTGATATCATCGCCAATGGACACATTCCCGACAGACCTGCTGGCGCGATCGAGTGACGTGAGCAACTTGATCTTGAGACACACCGTCAAGTCCGTCGTTGAACACTCTTGGTATGTTCTGTAAATGTATCGCAGGTCGTTGAAGACCGACGAGCCGACCAGTGATCGTGCTTTATCCTCCATCGTGACTGAGTTCTTGGATGTTGGGGCACTTCTGGCCAGCACCAGTGTGACAGAGCACAGAACCAATAGACACTTGCTGAACATTGTAATGATTTAAATATTTATTAAAAGCTAAAATGGAACTAGACTCTTTGGAAAAAAGTATTGCACCGATAACAGATAAACTTCTGCTTCTGGGGTAAACTCCTAATGCCAACTTAAGAGTCGATGTGATACACAATGAGTACTGCAGAACACTGATACGGTGCAATTAGTAATTTCATGTTTTATACCAGATGCCACAGTTTGTTGCAATTGAATGCAATTATGCATCCGATATATTCCCACCTCTTCCACCTACAACGGCCGTTGCGGCTGTATTGGTGTTGATGAGTGCAATGCGAAGATAAATATGCAAGAGGCTTGAAAAAAAGTGGTTAAATGAAATGGATGTAGTGTAGTAGGAATATCGTTCTATTCTAATACCTCGCGGGCGCATCGTGATTTCTTTTTTCAAAACATCACTCTCCGTCTCTCTCCATGATCACCCTCTTGTAGCATAAATTCATATCATAAGGCCACCCAACAGTAGATCACTGTGTCTACCACGTGTTTGTTATCGTCTCAGCACTCATAGAAAAATATGGGTGTGGAAACACTTTTATTGAAATTACCAATTTCTAACTAACCGCGATAAAATAACGAATGATTTTTGTATTTGATGAAGAAGTTATGAAATGTTTCTTCACAGTGTTACGAAAGGTACAGATTGACTTCAGAGAGAAACTAAACTTGACCCTAAAAAATTACATAAATATGTTTTAAACCTCTTCAAGAGGAACAGACAAATAACTACGTGAATCTGGAAAACAAAGTCTTTTCACGATTCCCTTGGGTTTGCACTCCGAACTTGACCATGATTTGTTGAATTGACTTCGTGGGCTGTGTTGATTTTGTTGATTCAACTAACTAGTGCAGCAGGTGAGGAGGATGCTAGTTGGCAATAAATTCAGTCGTGTTTTCCACATGTGTGTTTCGAAGCCTCCTCTGGTATGTTGGCGCTTCAGCAAAATGTTGTGCTTCGTTTTGGTCTAATTGCCCTTAATCGTCTTCATGCTCTTGTGTGTATGGAGCTCATCATGCAATCCGCCTGTAAGTACACAGACTCCCCCCGCGATCGGCTCCAATGCAAATGCGTTTACAAGAAATAATATTTGTGGCATCTCCCATAGATATACAGTTTGCTCCAAAAATTGGAGTCCGTTTCGTGCATGGGGAATTTCATTTAGCACTGCTTCACTTGCTCTCATCTCACCCAAAGGCATACCCGCACTTTTACGAGTGAAATCCCATCTGCTGTCTGCTTTTTTGCCAACAATTTTGCTAATGCGATAGAGATCTCTAAAACGCTCAAAATCATGGAAAGAAAAAAAATCTTACTCTCTGGGAGGTGTTTCATATCACACGGATGTGAGATTTATGTTCAAAAGGAAAAGTTTTCACCTCACATCTTATCTATTCAAGCTCTCATAATTGTAGTTAATACTTCTTTCTCACTCTCTTCCCCTCTGTCAACATTGAAAGCCCATGCCAAATGGCCTTTTCTTATGGGAAACCCATTAATCAATTATATGCAACATATCTCTTCTGAGCCATCATCCCATTCAGTGCTGTGCCAAGCAAGAGACAGAGACGGAGTAGAGAATGAGTAAAGCACCTGCTAATTTCAATATTTTCCACTCTTAGGAGCACTTGTGTGGTTCACACTAATTAAAATCAACAATAAAGTGCATACGATTATACCTTTCTAATGATTCTCTCAGGTGATATTCTCTCGCAGACAATTTCATGGGCGTTTCATCTGAAACGATTCCAAATCCATACATCTCAAGAATAATTGCACTTTTTCGAGTGAAAGAGAAAAAATAGGAAAAACTGTGTGATAAAACATTCAGTAAACACGAAGAGAAATGAGAAGTGACAATTGGATTTCTTGCGAGACATTTTAAATGCCATTTCCTTACTTCGCTTTCAGTCTACGTGACAAATTAAGTCAATTTGCAAGTTATGTGAGAGTTATTTGCTCGATTGTGGGTGAGAACTATACTGTCATATCTATATTTTAGCCATCTCGAAATCACTTCATTATGTATTTGAAATGAAACAGCAATGGTGCAAATTATTTTAAATTAATTTGCACTTGATAATTGTCGAGTGTTGGCTTTCAAAATTAGTTTACTTACTCAATAAACACTGTGTAATTTACTTATATTCATTCAAAGTAATGAGTACAAATTTATATAAATTTATTTTTTTAATAAGTATTAGAAGATCCCTTGTTGATAATTCAAAAATCATATGCAAATAGTACAAAAATAATCATCTCCTATTTAAGCACTATTTCATTCTCTTACAGATAAGCAATTACGAACAATTAGCAAAATCAATTACTTTGTAGAAGCTCCGCATTTCTATCGCAGTTACTTTTTCTCCGCTAAGAAAGCAAACACTTGCAAATCAGCATGAAAACAATATCACTACATAGAAGAAATAATTACTTTTATGTTAATTCTTTCCCCAACTTGTCTTATGCAAAAACCAACGGCACATGTTGTGGCCAATGTACTTTATTGGCGTGAGAGAACTTTTTCCTCTCATTTCTTTTTGCCTGCAGCAATTCAATTTCCATTGAAAACTTTTTCTTGAGATCTCTATTAAATCTGCGCGAGATTTGCAAGCTTCGCCCAAGATATTGCAGAGCTTCTCGCGAAAGTGAAATGCGCGCCACGAAAGAGCCTAAAACTATACAGACTGCGCAATCTCGATCGTAATCTTGATTGATGTTTTATTCACCGCTAACGATTGTTATAGTCTTGGTATTATCAAAAGTTTTCTCTTAAGTTTTTCGCTTCCACCGCCAAAGACAACCGAGAAATCCGTTTGGTTGGCGATGAAAAAAAAGCTCTTTAGTCGGTTAATCGAAGAAAAAAGCTATATGTATATAAGAGAGATGTTAAATTTATTGGCTCATCTGCGATAAGATGATATCTAAATTTAAATTGGATGTTCACTTTGTCCGACAGAGATGCAAATAAAAATTCTTTCATCAAAGTCGCGCAGCTTCTTAACAGTATACTCGATGCTCGAGCAATTTATTGCAAATAAAAGAACCGAAATATCTGTCGTATTAACCCAATTAGGGGGAGCTACAAGAGCTGAATAATCATTAGATTGAGCCGCAGAGGAAGCTTTCGACGTGCACCACCTGCAATCACTGCCTTTGTCTGCAAAATTGTCTCACGGGAAAGTGTAGTCTATGACTAAAGTGGACGAGATAGGAAGTTTTCTTCCGCAGCATATTTGCAAGTGCCATGTAATTAAATCAACTTTCTGTTGTGAACTGTGGCAGAGCCAGCGCGAAACTATGGTTAATTCTTCGTGCATCAGTGTCAAGATCAAGGGGAAAATTAGCCGAGTCTTTTTCACCACGGTGGCTATTGCTTCAATAGCCCATGTTGATGCAGAGACATGATGGAATTGCAGATGAAGAATGTGGTACAAAATATTCATTACGATGCTGCGAGTGTTTTTCTTCAATTGTTTATCGTCTTCTCTGCCGGATGATGATGAGGAACTAAACGACGGCAAAAACAATGCTGTGTGAATTTGTCAAGTGATTGTCGCTTTTTGTCGCTATTACCCACTCACCATTATCTTAATCATTGTCACGAACATGACTCCGGAGGCCAAACAAAGTTTATCTCAAACGTAGAAAATATAATTTCGCATCAAAGATTGGGAGAAATTAAGCGTTTGTGTGAAAGAAGGATATTGAAAAATAACGGTGGAAAATGTTCAATTAAATTATTCTTTTTCAGTTTATTTGACTTTTTTTCTAATGCCAAGAAGTGTGAGAGAAATCTCTTAAAAATTCCCAACAAACACTGGAAATGAGAAAATAAGGAGAAATTTTGCCTGGACAAGTAAAATAGTTTGCGTGGGTGCAAGACTGCGGTATTTCGGTTAACGCAAAGATCGTCGGATTATGACCTTGCTTTTACGATTTGTACTTGGTGGAGACAAGCCATAAAATGTAATTGAAATTGAATGCTGATGAATTGGCGTTGTGTGCTCGGAATGGCGTTGAAAGCAGTGAAGATCTAGGGAATAAATTTCCATTTGTCAGGCTGTGTGATAAATAAAACTTGCGGAGTGACATCGCGAAAGGGTATTTGAGAATTGAAGACCAATTGAGGAGAGCTCGTAAGGTTAGAATGGTGAGAAACTGGGTAGAAGGTTGCTTCCTAGGCGGTAAGAGGTGCAATTTTCGCGAAAGTTACCAAGAGTGTGTGGTCAAAAGTTGCTCCTCCAAGTCGCGACGCTCTCGCTGGACCTACTTGGCAGGTTGCAGTGGCCCAGTTGTATAATAGATTAATTTTATGATGATTTCTTGTGCTGGAGTGCCATTCGTCTCCTCACCACCGTGCCACAAATGACTGCTAATGAGATAGAAAGACACTCCAGCATTCATCTTTCTCTTTCACCAAATTGATGTGGCCCAAAATTCAAGCGGATTCATGACCCAAATTATTTTATGAAAAAAAAGAAGAACATGCGATAAAAAATTGATATTTGCAATGTTCAACATTTTTTCCATCAAGTCGCGCGGCCCGTGAGAATATCGTAAGATTGGATTGGATGAAAGAACACGCGAGATCAGTAAAAATTTCACAAAATGTCTTTTGTTTCCTTCCTTCTTTATTATGTATATCAAAATACAATAAAAGACGCTTCTCGGTTGATGGAAAAAGATACATTTAATGTAATGAACTACTGTTGAAAGACAGAGATTTTTGGTCGGCATATAATTGTAGCACGTCGAACAGGGGCTTCTGAAGATGGTTTTTGCGTTTTGTGTGTCGATGGTATGCACGTGAAGAGAATAAAGAATGTATGGATGAGAGATAAATGATAAAATCCAGGTGAAGAAGAAAGATTGTGAGAGAGAGAAATTGCTAGAAAGGTGTCTCTAACAGCAACAATAAATTTCTATGGCAAGTTAATGGCGCAATTTGAGGCAGCTGAAGTACAAGAGTGCAAATATTCACGGCGATAAATGAACAGTCAATCCACCGATGGGACAGACAAATAAAACAGAGCAAATATGTTAAGGCATTTTATAAGAAGAATGCAAGTTGTTTATATACAATTTTATAGAGAAGGTGAAGTTGTAAATATTACAAGAGTTAATTTGTTTTATTCGTTTTCATTCACTTTAATTCTTACTATTTATGAGGTGTATAGAGCTCACATAGAAAATTTGTGAAAAAATAGTCGTAGATTTGCTAGAGAAGTAAAAAATAATAAGATAATTATATATAACAGAGACAGTCGAGGTAAGTCTTATAAAATTACTTTAAAAATAGAGACAGAATTAAAGTAATAGTTAAAATAGCTTAATACTTTCACATTAGATGTGCTTCATTTTGTTTGTCGTTTTTTTGGAAGTTGAAGGTGAGATTGAAAGTAGATAGGAAGTCGTCATCTTTGCACTACTTGAGATAGTTACAGAAAATAGTTAAGATAGAGTGACAATTTGGCTCCTTTCTGACACATTTCTCATAACACAAAATGTTGTTAAAGTTAGAGGAAGAGAGAAAATAAGATCTTGTACATCTCACTTGAAAGACTATACAATAAGCTTATGTTCTAAGGAAGGAATGAAGGAATCCAATATAAGGATTTTACAATGCATTCTATCTTTTACCAAAGGATTACTTTCATTTGTTGATAGAAGTTCTTCTTGTTCATTTGTCGTTTGTAACAATTTTTCTTCGTCATGTTCGTCATTTTGCATATTACAGCATATTAAATAAATAAATTAAGTGTTACGAACCTAACAAACACTATTTGCCAAGGTACAGCAATGTTGCACCTTTGGCGTACAAAGCCCCGAGCATTTGCGGTACTGAGTCTAGAAGAAGAATAGCTAATAAAAATATTCTCAATAATTAAATAACAACATTAAATATATCTTCATCTTGAGATGTGTTGTATAAATATTCTACTCTTTTTCATTGTTTTTTTTCATCTTTTTTCAGAGAGATTGCTTGAAAAGAAAAAAATAAATAGGAAGACATAGGATAGTGTGGACCTACGAAAGAGAGATAGAAAGTTGGTGATGCGCTCTTCTCTAAGTCAAATTAGAGAAAAACTCGTCGTCCACCACTCGTCGAGTGGGTGACTTTGGCCTAAGAGAGTCGTGCGAAAGTGGGTCAGCGATGGTCCGAGGTGGGCCTTAAGGCTTCTGCGCGGCGTAGGCCAAGTCCTGGGCATCCACTGAGCGTCCCCAGCCGCCACCGTGTCCGGATCCACCGTATCCGCCGCCGAGGTCACCGCCGCCGAAGCCGGAGCCCACGAAGGCGTCGCCGTGGCTGGATGAGTGGCTGGAGGAGTGGTGAGGGTGGGCAACGACCTCGTACGTGACGTGCTTCTCGTGCGACAGGAGCTTCTTGAGGCCGATGATGGCGGACAGCACCAGGGCGATCTTGCCGACGAGCAGGGCCTTGCCGGCGATCAGGGCGATCGCGCCGAGCAGGAGGGGCAGGAGAGCGGCGGCCTTGAGGGCCACAGCCAGGAGGAGGGGTCCCAGGATCTTCGCGGCCTTCTTCTTCTTGCCACGGCTCTCGCCAGCGGCGCTGGTCTCTTCCTCGCCGAACAGATTGTCGGACACGTCCTCCAGGGCGCGACCAGTGGACGCAACGGCGTTCACCACGTCGGATCCCTTGAGGTCGACCTTGATGGTGTGGGTGTGCAGGAAGTGCTGCAGACGGCTCCACACGAGGGACTCGACGGACTCATCGCCAGCAATGCTTCGTGGAGCACCCTCGTACTCAGCTCCGGGCGTCTTCACGATTGTGACACCCTCGGTGAGTGGGAACACGTTCTTTTGCATCACAACTTTGTCAACAAAATTGAACAGCTTGTACTTTACACATGACACTGAGTCCTTGTTAATGCAGTCGTGGTAAATGCCATCGAGGAGGTCGTTGTCTGTGCTCACGGCGTTCCTGGAGTGGCCCCGCGTCTCCTCGGCCGGAAGTGCCGTCACCACTGCCACAACACACAAAATTCCAATAACTAACTTCGCCATTTGCGGGGGAGGATTGCTATCTCGTGGCGGATAATGAGTCGAACAAGAAAGGTGCGAAATTTAGTGAAACAACCCTCGGTCCAAGCACAATCACTCCGTGGTGTTACTCTCAACTGGCGTCGAATAGATGCAAGGATGATATGATACCGTTTGCAGAACGTACGGCCAATTTATATGATACCTCTTTCGAATGATTCCCCACCAGAGAGAGTCCACAATTCTGCTCTTTTACCTCTTAAGCGGTGCATATACTTGAGTGTTGGTGACTTCCCAATGGGTCGGTCTCCCCGTGTTAGGCTCGGGTCTCTCTCTCCAGCGCTGGCTCTCACCGTGTCTTTTCTTTCCCTCTTTCACTTTGTGCCACTCGCGAGCATTGGTAGCAGCCGACTTGGAGCACCGTCATCATCATCGCTGGTCGTCAATGAAGATGATCACTCGAGAGAACAGTCTCAGCTCTCTCGGGTCGTTTTTGCTCCTCCACCTGCCCACCAATCCGCGTTGGACAGTCATTAATAATTTTTCCAATGACGATCGAAGCTCATGGCGTTAGGAGATAAGTATCGCCGCGTGAAAGACAGCGAGATAAAAGAATGGACCGCCAGTGTAAAAAATAGAAATGAGAGTAGAGAAATGTCCGCGACTTTCAGTCCTCCCGTTAATCAATGGTCTCCAGCGAGCCCCACATACAATGCAGGCATTTGCTACAATTATTTCATTCGCGTCTCATTACGGAGAAGGAGACCACCACGAGAATTCTTTTATCAGCGACACCGTGAGCGTGTGTTGGGCGACCCTGTGCGAAAGTATTCATGAGAATAATGAGTGGGGAAATGCTGATGGTATACAATCTAAATAGCTCCATGAGGCTCTCATTCTTCTCCGCGTGATTCTCCCATCTGCCCCACCTCCCGCCACGCGGACTCTATCTGGCACAGTTCCTCAGAGTTCAAAGAGACCATTCTCCGCGGCGGGTGGGGAAGCAGCCACCCTCCCAATGATCACTTGTGCTTTTTCGCGGGTCTGCCAAGTGCTCTGGCAATTAGACAAAATGAAAGTGTTATATTACTAAAGCGAGTGATTGAGATGTGAATGAAATAAACTCTCTCTCATTCACCTTATTTGCTTAGTGGGACTTTTTATGCATGCCCAAATTAGCATCTGCCCAGAGACGCTCATGGCAGTGGTGTGGAAATGCTTAAAAGCGTCATCAATTGTGGTAAATACCATTGTGTTATAAATTACTTTAAAGGATAATCAGAATTGCTGATAAATGAATTTACAAAAAGCTAAAAATAACCCGGAATGAAATTATTAAAACTACATTTTTGTTTCCCTCACTTTCTTCGTTCAATTAAAAATTGAATTTTTTAGCTTCATAAAAATAAACCACAAACTTGAGATGAAGAGGAAGAGTATGTAATCAATTATTGTTACAATTCAAACATTACAGATTACTCCTTACATCTCAAGTCCTGCGGTTTTCACACTGCTTATGATTAGTTGGATCTATTATTGGTTTTATAAACACTAATTGGAAAAAAACGAGTCTAGTCATTTGATGGCTGAGTAAGTAGCATTATAATTAACTGGAATTATTTACACCAACGTCGTCATGTAACGAACCAACGCTGTTGTGCAGAAAAGGAGGAGTGAATGGTTGTCTGGTCGCTGAATCACTTTCGTGAAAAGACACTCCAATAGATGATCTATTGAAGAAGGTGTTTATCATTTTTTTCCCCAGCAACTTCACCAATTATTACACTGACACTAATTTCCCAAATTATGGACCTCTTTATCCAGAGTGCGTGCGTGCGAGAGAGAGAGAGACGGACGCAAAGAGTCTGTGTGATTTGAAAGAGAGAGGAAAAAAGTGAAATCGTCAGGATCATATGCATATACAAATTGGTGATCCGCGTCTCTCGGTCATTAGATCGCCACTCTCGAGTGATATTCACTGCCAATGTCTCGCGGCTGCGGCTTTAGTGCGGGTGATGGGTCATTAAGGTGTCGAAGGCGATGATATATCAATGATTTACTCTCTCTGTTGCACACATCTTGCGGCGGCCACTTTGGCAGGTTGACCGACATTCGGAATCATATTATTTTGCATACCAATGCAGTGGAATACACGGCAATTTGCAATTCCGCCTTTTGCAAGTGAACGCGACAGAGAAAGATATTGACTGACCAGGAACCACCGGTCGCGGTGACCGTCGATGAACCAGAAACTCGTTGTTTTTGCCACATCCGTTCTCACGCGGATCTCGTGGTGGAATGATGTGCACGCCAGAGTGAGAGAGAGTGTGCAACATTGCGAGTGGGGGACTTTCCTCAATGAATGCACGCGTGAAAAGCTCCTCGGCGCGTGTGTCACAAGTCCTGTCTTTCCCTCATAACTGCAACTCACCAGATCGAGGTTGTTTTCCAGCTGGCAAACAACGGACAGACACCCGAGGAGACAACGTGGTGCCAGTTCAATGAATTTAATTTACCTTGGAAATAACACGCGTCTGAGGTGTTTTCTTTCCCGTTTGTGCGTACGGAAAAAGCCATGAGGCAAGAACCAGCCTGAGAGCCAATTCATTCTGTCTGGCGAGAATATCTCGCATGGAATCTGAAAATTTGCGCAGATTTCACACATTCTACACTATTGCTGGCCCAGATTAATGCAACGCAATGCTCCCAATCACACATTCCCCATGCTGGTTATATGGCCAAAAGACCGAGCTATTTCATGCTAAAGCCAGGAATTCACACATTCAGAAATCACTCCATTTCTCTTATTGCCATTCCTGTAGTTTCTTATTCTTCTCCCATTGTATCTGTTCAACGGATTTTACTCATTGTCTAGAAATTGTTCAAGAAATCTCTGAAGTAGAGTTATTTTCTCTGTTTTCATCAAACGGCATCGATGCAGTGAAAAAGAATTCTAAAGTAATGCAGTTGAGTGTCTTTTTTATGCTTTTGCATTGCGAGATAAATATAGCCATTTTGTGTGAAGACACTTGTTAAATTGATTATGTAAAAAAAGAGATTTATGATTGTATAGTGCATATCAGTTTAATTCGAACGACTGCACAACAATCAACAGAGTCTTCATTAGGACTATAGTATTTTCAAAAATTACAAATATTGATAATATTCTTAATCATTGCAAACATTAAGAATATTTTATGTATCTCAATGCTTTCCATGAGATGTAAATGATTCTACAAATCTCCTGGGCAGTGTAATCCACTTTGAAAGCCATCAATGTCAAGCTGTGGAACTTTCAATCAGGTAAAAACCTTAGCAGAGTGGAATAATATAGCCAATGTTCTGCTACACTGGCAGTATAACATAAATTATTCGCCTATTTTAACTTATTTACTAAACTAAATTATGCGGAAAATTGATTTGACATCGTGATGCGTCAATAATGTCTTCGTTTAGTGCGTTAACTATTATTTGTAATTTCTCCATTTATTTTTCCTTTCTGTTTTTATTACTTTTATTGTTGGGTGGAGACATGAAAAAAAAATTTGCATGGAAAAAATTGAGAGACGAGATAGAATTTCTTACATGGGAAATTGAAAGTGCTTCGACCTACATTTCGTTATATGTTCAATTAGTCTTTTCTTGCGGAGGCAGCATTATGATGGGGAGTTTGATGACTTTTTCCACCGTCTTGCATGGGAATCACAGATTTATTGACAACTTAATTGACCCCCTTGACTCGCCGCTCAGGCTCATTTGTCAGTGAGAATTTACACTTAAAGATGTTGTAAATTTTTGTGAAATTAAGGAACTATGGTGTTCATACATTAATAATTTTCATTGGGCCAGCGTGAGTCAGCCAGATTACATGAAAATTAATATTTCATGTGAAATTTATGCGAAACTTTGGAGAAATTCAGATCACATCTTGGACCTATTCCATCAAAGAAATCACTCCATAAAACCATAATGAGATGGGTAAGATGGTAGATTTACCAGTATTTTAATTTAAAATGTGAAATTTTAACGATGGTCGAATTCACTGTTATGTGAAGAGATAAAGCGTATTTGTGTGTCTTTTTGCTGCCACAATCTGTTCCAAATACCCATCTTCATTCATTCAAACTTGGCTGGATGCTGTTGTTGAGATGTAGACAACAAAAAATCGGACAGCATTTTGACTATGTAACACTTTCAACTGGCAAAATTGGTGTGAGAATTTTAACGGATTGTTTCAAATCTCGGTGAAAAGTCTCTCTATGTAGCGCCAATCAAGACCATGCGAGAGAAAGAGAGAAATTCTTGGAGAAAATGATGCAGTTTCCACGAATATGAAGGTTAAGGCAGCAAAAAAGAGCATCAATTTCCGCTGTTGAAAGCCATTTGATATCATTTCCGCTCAACGTGCCAATGAAATACTCATCCTTGTCACTAATTATATATTTACTATATATATATTCCTATAATCACTCTTTTTCACAACCATGCACAATCGGATGAAATTGATATCCGGCAGTTTTTTACCTCTAAACAAATTTCTCGATCGCATCTTTTGATCTCGCACAGTTGAAGAAGACTCTCTATTGCGAGGCTTTTTTCTGTGATCGCGCCTATAAGGCGAGAATCGCAGCTTGAAAGCTCACTTAGCTCTTGCGATCTCTCTTCAGCGGACGGAAGATTAATTCGCAGCTTTATTTAATTAATTTCCACTGTAATTTCTGTTTGTATTTTCACTTGTTTTTTCGAGTGCGCACTTGAGATGTTTCACCTAATTCCTCTCATGTTTCTTTTGACGATATTTCACGCTGAACCACAAAAGAGTCAAGAAGATTGTGAACCCGGACAATATCTCGCCGCAAGTGGTAACTTTTTACCTCATTCTTAATTTTCATGCTAGTTTTTCTCATGTCCTCACGTCAAAATAAGTTTCTTCACAAGAGTAGCAAATTATCTTGTCAGTCATGACAAATTTTATTCATTTCTGTAATGGTTTTGGCGATAAATAGAAAAAAAAAATCAATTTGAGAAGAAAGAAGAAGTGTGTTGAAAAGTTCAAATGATCTTTAGCCTGAAGGAAATTATTAACCCGTCTGTCACACAGTACTGGTGAATATTCATATTAAACTCTTACACATAAGTGGAAAGTAATGCAATGTAAAAACATTTGAACATCTTCAAACTGGGATTTCCGCTTTCCGTTATAATTTGAAATATAAACATTCCCATTTCTCACTGGATTTTGAAGAAAGTTCAAATTCTCAGAGAGTCTTGAATATTCTGCGAAGCAAAAAAAATATTGCCTGGTTTCTGAACACTGTTTTGTACATGTTTTCATTTTAAATTGCATGTTTTTTTTTATGATGAAGCGACATGCATGTTTACACTTTATGTTGTTTACTGTTTCAGAATGAATGGCAAGAGATGTCCCAAATTCCGCTGAAATTTCTGTTCTTTTCGCCTGGCAAACCTCTTCAGATGATCACAAATTGTTTGCTAATTTCGTATTCAATAGAAAACGAAAGCATGATTTTCATCATGCATGAAGAACGTCTCTTCAGCACGAAAACATTCTTTAGCAACAGCATATTTTTGAGCCTTTCCTTCGTGACCTTATTTCTGAATTTAGTCCATTCTAATGTATATTTCCCCTCCTTTGTGTGATCTTCTCATTTTGTTGCCATTATCACGTTTTTAGCGTGATTGCAGGTGTTGAATCTGGGAAGAGGAATATTATGTTTTTTCTTTCACTTCATGCATTTGCGATAAAACATTGTACAGTTTGTATGATCCATCACGTTGAATAATTCACTGGAGCAATTTGTATTCAAATGGCAGCATTTAATTTGTAGATCAAACCAAATTAATGCGGACTTCTGCGCACGTGAACAAATTTCTATGAATATCCACGAACAGGGGAAACACGATCGGCGCATCAAGTGGGAGGGAAAAATTAATTTTCACTGATAAAATGTCGATAGTCGTTAGAAATTCAACCAGAAAATCGTAACAGCATCCGCTACTGCTTTAATTAGGATTTAGAAATTGATTTATATGAAAAATTTCTCAAGTGTCGCATTCGCTGCTGAAGAAGCCAATAAAGTCGCCGAGGGGCCCTTATTTTAATTTTAATTTCTGCTCTAAGCCCATCTGAAGCAATTCCAGTTCTATTTGGTTCCTCTTTCTGCTCTTCTGCATCAAGATAATGCGATTTTGGTTGAATCATAATTTAATATCATTAGTCAAATGCACACTTTCGTGCTCCAGATTGTGCAGATAAAAGCCCCTTGAGGATCGTGCCGGCAAACTTGTTGCCTGGCTCTCTCTTTCTACCATCTGATGCGTTTTCACACAATTTCCGTGATATTTTTTCACATCGCTGCACGACACTCCGGTTTCGACGCTGAAAAGTGCATTGGAGAAGCTCGATTGTGATCAACCACCTTCGATGTCTCGCTGAGAAGTGGCCAAACAGGGGGCCAAATGGGGGTCAGCAATTCAGCTCACTGAATTGCAAGATGATGTTGACCCAATCGTCCAGTTTATCGAAAAATAATATCCCACTTTGCATATAACTCTTCTCTTTCTCTTTGACGCCAGAAAGGAAATCCCGTTTCATGGATTTGACCTAAACCAGCGAAATTGTTGCTAAATAATGGAAGTAAGTCATCGAAACGAGAGTGGGTAAAGACGATCGAAGAATAACTGCAACTGCCTTTTAAAATTTTCCCTACATCTTCACAATTTATATCGGCCGAAGTGAGAACATCTTTTTGGGCTGAAAGAAATTTCACAAGATGAAGAAGACAACGCGCAGAGATAATTTATTTATCCAAAATGATCTCAAAGACGTGTAACAAATTTAAAGAAACATTCTTTTATTCAATTCGTTCAGATGTGAAATAGATAGCCAAAAAACAAACTTCTTATTCATTTCATTAACATTTTTTACATCTTCTTTCTCCCAATTTTTGTCTTGAGAGAAAATAATACAAATTTCTTTTGATTTTAAGGTCAATGCTTTAGAAAAGAGAAAAAAAATTAAGAGGAAATTTAGTATACAAAAGTTACGAAGTAATAAGAGTTGAAATAGTGTAGACAGAAGATTGCACAATATTTTAAAAATAAAAACAAACACATATTAGGTAGATAGAACACTAGAGGGTGATAGACACTACGAGAAGTCAAAAGGTAAAAGATATAGTTTGGAAGAATGTAAAAACAATGTTATAGACTAGATTAGAAATTATCTTTCATCATTGATCTCATATAATGTTTCCATAGAAATTTTTGCTTTCTGTACTCTGTGACACTGTAATTTTCTAACTTTACACACTGTAGAATTAAGAAAAAAATTACTTGTTCTTACATCTTTCGGCATTATGAAATAATTGTTACTCAATAGATTGCTTGTAAATTATGAGACTAGTTATTTATATACAAAGAGTTTTTCAACTGTTTTCATCTTATGCAAATAAACAAATAAATAGTGTTAACACCGGGTTTTTAGGCAGAGACGCAAATTGCTTCTGGAGTGATTCACTGCGTCTCCCCATTTGTTGGTCCCAACTTTCTTTGCGCTAAAACTACGGGCCTCCTTCTCGTCTCTCTCGTTCATTGTTGGCATCTTGTCGAGGTTTAATGCAATTATCGATAATAAATAAATAAATAAATTACTTATGTAGGTTTTAGGTGTGTGACAAAGAGACATTCTAGGCTTTGTGGTGGCCTCCGTAGGCGAGGGAGTGAGAGAGGTCGCTGCCGCCGAAGGAGTGGGGCTCGTACGAGTTCCATCCACCGCCACCGGATGACCATCCGCCGCCGCCGCCGCCACCGTGGAAGTCGTGTCCGCCTCCGAAGCCGCCGCCGCCGAGACCGCCAAGCCCGCCGCCAAGTCCGCCGCCCAGCAGGGAGAGTTTCTTGGAGAGCACCTTCTTGAGGAGGAGACCCAGAGACAGCAGGATGGACAGGGTGGACACGAGCAGAGCCTTCTTAGCGATGAGACCGATGCCGAGCAGAGCCAAGATTCCCAGGACAGCAGCCTTTAGCTTGACAATGCCGAGCAGAGGCAGGAGCTTCTTCAGCAGCTTCTTCTTGCCACGCGCCTCAACGACCAGGGAGCGCACTTGAGACTTGACATCCTCGGGAATGGCATTGCTCAGGCTTCGGGCGGCGCCCATGAAGTTCCAGTTTAGGGAGCGCTCCTGGAAGAAGGCAGCCAGGCGATCCACCACGAAGGATCCGATGGCACTTGACCGGGCCTCGACGTCCTTAGCGGCCTCCACTTCATCAGAAGCAGTGTCCACGGACCTCGCGACGCCTTCCACCTTCACCACGGACAATCCGGCGACCAAGTCAATTTTTGGCTGTTCGAAAAATTCCTTGGCCTTCCGGAACACCTGTAAGGAAGATGCAGAGATAGAGAGAGAGAGCTCGTGAAAACTTGGGTCATTGCAACGGTTTCAAATCCAATGCCCCACAAAACGCCACTCTTGGCGCGTGTTTTTCCTCTTTTTCACGGCAAAACGCACAAACTGTGCCACGATTGAAATGCAGTTGTAAATAAGACTAAGCACAGCAAGAACGAGTTTTCCAGAACTTTCGTGAATTCAATCTATGAGCGGGAGAGGCAATTTCTCTCCACTCTTTGTCTGCTCGCGATATTGAGATCATCGCAGTTCTTGCGCGATTCTGCACACTGCACTCCCGAATAGTCGTGAAATTTTGCACAAGAATCAGAGGTGAAGTACACTTTAAATCCCATTTGTGATAAAGGTGAATATTCCCTACCGCCATTTGCACACAAGAGATGGAATCCTTGTCGAAACATTCCTGTAACACTGACGGCTGCGCCTCTTCAGCAAGGACTGCCGTCGTTAGGAAAACTAAACACGATATTGCTAAGAACTTCATTGTTCACACTTTTCCTCCAAACTTGCACTTAATTCCTTATATTTGGACTGCCAGGAGCTGCCGCAGTGCGTGGTATCAGCCGTGTTCCTCGGAAAAAGCACCACAAGTGAACTTCTCAACACTGTTTAATTGTGGCAAGTGCTCGTGCTCATTCGTATAAAACACGTTGTGCTTTGACAGATCTGAAGTAAGACCATGTGTTTTTAAAGACTACGAAGTGTAGGATGGGATGCGCGCGGTGTCGTATCGCGAAGACCTCCCTCTCCAAGCACCAACCTTGTTTACCTAAAAAAAAAGTTGTCTGATAAAATAGCAATGAATCTCATTTCGAGATCTGCTGGTTCACTGTATTTGGTTGTGCAGGGGCCTCAACACAGAGGCACATCCATCCGAGAGCAAGATGAAGAACACCTCAAGAGGTGGCGGATGCTCTGGGTTGGACAGAGAGGCAAGAGCAACATGAAACTGTATATTATTGGTCGCGCTGTATTAATGCCATGGGTATTGAAGAGACTCCACACGGTTGGGGCGAGGTGTGGATATTCCATCTGCAAGACAAATTAGCGCTTTACCGTTTATTGACTCGTCACAATGTCTTTTCTTTTTTCTCTCCCTCAATTTTTTTCCTCACCCATTGTCGCGGTCTCTGTCATATCCGCATGAGGCGCACTTTCCTTCCCTCCTCGTCGTCACTCTTCTTTTTTCCGGGACGGAAGACATCTCGCTGGGTGTGAGATGGCCAAGGTTGGGGAAATCATGCGTTGGGGGCATCATATCTGTGTCTCATCTTCTCCTCTTGGTCTTCTTTTTTTTCCGCCAACTTCTCCTCAAAAGTGTGAACTTTAAGATGTGGGTCCCATAAGGTAACATTTTATTCAAATTTTTGGTGCCATGTCACATTCCTGAGGTTGCTTGCCACATGCATCACGAAGTTCCGCAATGGCCAGGAAGTCACCCAAAATCTGGGTGGCCAAAGACACTCTCGGGATCTCTCCCAAGTCCACGAACCGCGATAGAATCATGCTATATAGCGGAAAAGTGAAATTCTACTGCCACAATCGACATTCATTAGATTTCTCTTTCAAGAGTGTGCATTTTAATGGAAAAGTTCTGTAATTCTTCTTTCGCAACATCCGCGCAATTAAAACATTTCTTTCAGAATTCATAGCATTTCCTTATGTGAAGACACTTCGTAGAATGTTATTGAAAGTAATTGTGGGAAAAAACAGCACACAGTTCTAATAAAACTTTATACTGAGAGAAAACTATTTATAGAATGTCGCATTCTATCTCAATCTTATTGAATATTGTGTACGCGGCACTAAAGTTGTTAATTGGTTTAAGTACAGGTGTATTTTTTTTATTAGGAACGAGTTAAAACCAAAATAACTCTCAGAATTCGTCGCGTGGCTCAGAGTGATAATTCTAGATGATGTGAGCTAAAATATTTTTCCTGTCTGAATTTTCACACTACGATGTTTCAGCTATGAAAAATATTTCTTAAGACTCGAAGTATGCCTTCTTAAAAAAGATTTCATTGAAACAATAGTTCTATAAACACATTTTTTCGCGTAAATCGCAGAAATTTCTAATTGTTGGCTTTCAGTTGATGCATTTCGTGTCAAAAAGCAAAACTATACGTTCCTCAATTAATTTTATTACTTAATTCTTTGAAAATTGTTTCCAAATGTTTGGTAATTTTGAGCTCAAAATCATTATCCCAAAATTTACAAGAATCTCCTCTGAAAGATTCGCTGACCCAAATCCATAAAATTTTATCCAATTGTGACTCCACAAAGTGGGTTCTATTTGAAATTCCACAACGCCTAATCATGCCCTGATTGATTAATATCTTCTCACGGAGGAAAATGTGCTTCTAATAGCGCCAAATTATAGCTTCCGCTTGGATAATTCAATCAAATTTATGATAATTCCAGCAATTTTCCCATCACATCGAAATTGGAGCCACGAAAATTCAACTCTTCTCTTGACTCTTCTTGCGTAGGCCAATGGCGCCGCTGAAGAATGGTGGATTATTCTTTTGAGCGCAACTGAATGAAATCAGTGATCTATTCACTGAAAATGTTCGTGTGAAAAGTGTTTAGATGCGATTCGCTGGGTTCTTGTCAAGTTGCCTGTCTTTTCACCTTCACCCAAAAGTAGTTTTCTCTGAATATATCTGCAATTATGGCTGATATATTTGATTATTCTCAATTAGGAGGGAAACTTGACCAGAAAAATTATCACATTGTTTGAGAGTGAAAGAAACTTTCTCATTTTTACTTTGAGACAATTTAATTTTCATAATTGATTTTCTTCTCGGGAGGAGTGAAACCCGTGCAGAGTATAACAATATATTAGGCAAATTAGCACGCAGTCTTTTCCCCCAAAAATTTCTACTTTTATTTCCTAATGAATTGCCAATTTTTCGAGGTGTGGAGACAGAGAGAGAGAGAGAGAGAGACACCTCAAGTCTGGCACAATTACTCGTCTTTGCATATAATCAAATGGGAAGGCATGGCTACTGATCGTGGGTACGATCAATCGCTGTGACATGAAGCTTGTCAGTGAGAAATCGAGATTCATCTTATACCGTTAAGGCACTGAAATCTTTACACACTTTTCTCCGGCGTCATATGATCCAAGGAAGAAGGTGAATTTGATTGAAAATAAAAATTGAGGCTGCGCAGCCCCGAAAAGTGTAGAAACATTATCACTGGGCTAATGGGAGAAAATTCACGGATTTTTTTCCATCCATCAGGAACAATTTGCGATTCTAAAATGACCACGAAAGAGCCGCATTAGCGCCGTACGCTAGAAGATGAGAGAGGCTAATGATATTTGGGAAAAAGTTATTAGATGCGACGTGATTTCATAACATTTTTTTCCATTGCGTCTCCCATTATGATCGTGAAAGTTTAGCGTTGCTCCATGTTTATTATTATTATTTTTCCTCAGTCTACCATTGCGTTTGCTTTCCTTCAACTTCAATCACCGGCATCGCAATCTGTGAGGTCGACCTGACGAAGAAGTGTTAAGAGGTGCCTAAAAAGCGCGCCAAAAGTAAACATGGCAAGAAGAGAAGGGGCAGATCAACGATTAAAAGTGAATCACCGGCTATTCAACCATTGAGCGATTTGTCCATTTCAATGCCACGGTGTGTTAGATAATTTGATCGAGTGCTTTTTGGTCAACATCTCCGCACTTCTTGTGGCGCAGAAAAAGTGGCATGACTAACACCAATTGACTCTAGATGTGCTAACGATTTATCAAATTAATATCTATTATTTGATTGAAAATTGGCAAGCAATAAATCCTATCTGACAGGTGAATTTTGCGCTCATGTCTTCCATCATTCCTCGACTTCAAGCTCAAATTACATATGTTTGACCCCCACATTCGTGGTACAGTTTTGTAGACTCATAATGTTCAGATAATCTAGCTAAAATGAGTGTCACAGATGAATACAATAGCATCCGGAACCGTGGAAGATGTGCTGGGAAGATGAAATTGATCGAAGAAATTACCATTGAAAAATCACTCCTTATTCTGCCATGAGACAGATGCAATGCGCGCATATCGGTGAAAATGCCAGCATATTTTTCCTAATGGCTCCTCGCAGTCATATCGAGCCATAGTCCGGAAAAACTGGTTGGCAAAGAAACCACACTGAAGATCTTCGCTCTCTTTTTTCCACTGCCACCCGAGCAAGCTGCAATGAGATCGCGGGGACAAGAGACACGGCTCAAACATCAATTTCAAGCGAGTGACCCAATTCTTTCGCCGCCATTTCCCTCGCGCTTTCTTGAAAACAACAAAACAGAATATACATGCCCGTGCATGGCGCGGCTTCCATAAACAGATATTTATACTGCAGTGAATTTTCCTTTGGCTGCCCGAGAGAGTGTCTACAAAGAATATTGCCGTATGACCGTTATAATAATTTCTTTTCTGACATGTTTAATGCTGCGGTTTCATCATCGCTGCGCGAAAACTTTCCCCAAATCAGCATACCGGAGGAGTGATTGATTGGCATTTGCCGCTTCGGCATACATGCAATTTCTTCATCAACTTCCGCTCTTGGGACTGCTCTTCCATGCCTGCCCGATTTCCGGGATGCTGCAGATCCGCCAATTGCTTCTCTTCCAGCACATCTTCTGCACTCTCGCCGCACAGTCGGCTCGGGTTAACTGCTCACGCCTAATGAGGATGGCTTAAGTGATTACCGCGATGCCTCCATTCATCTTTCCCGGGAAATTAATTTCCCCGCGAGTGAAAACGAAAATCCAGATTATTCAATTAAGTAGAGAGATTGACATCCTTCCATCGCGGCTGAAAACGAACTCAAGAACTTTCACATAAGGCACTTTTTTGCTTTCCGCAGAGAATGAATTCACAAAGATGAGCCGCATGTTGAGTCAAGCACTCGCCAAGGGGCTAAGAACGCATTCAAAATAATCGCAACTTTCTCTGTATCAAAAACACATTAAGAGCGGTGCATCTTGATATCGAAGTCTCTCACAATGTCCGTGAAATGATCTTCGAAATTGGGGCGTTCAAACATTTACCGAACGACACATAGTGTGAAGTATGAATGCTTAATAGCCTTAATGGAAATTTCATTTAGTGCTTTATAAGCAAATTCACTAATTATGCTCATCCAATTTTCCGATAAAACCCAGTTTTCATAAATGCTTGTAATTCTAACTTGTTCTGGATTTGCAGAAATGTTTTAAGTGAAGGAAAGATATGTTGAAAAACGTTTTTAATGGGAAAAGTACGGAAATTTTGCTATAAAATATTTTACGTGAAATTTTGCTGCATAAAATCATGATCTGATTAGCTATTAATGCAGAAGACATTCAATGTTTGCCATTTAATCAACACATGATGGCATTCATAAAATTAATTAATTTATCTCGACATCTACTGCGTAGTTAAACAACCATAAATTAGAAATCTTTTTATGATAATTCTCCTGATGATGATATCTTTGCAACTCGTCTGTTCACCCCTCGACATTTTTTTTGCTGTCGAAGAGTTCTTCAGTTTTCATACATGAGATGTCAAACGAGCTGTCTATTACTGTGTAATTTTTGGACGAGAGGCGGCAAAAAGAAATTTTTGGTGTTTTTAGTACGTTTTCACACACTGTTAGGCGTTCATTGATTTTATTTGCAAGAATTTTCCACCAGCGAATTCCGCAAAGACAGTTAAAGTTCCCATTATGTGATGGATTTGCTAACGATGAACTGTCTGAATTGGGTGAAGAAGGCCGCCGAGGAGGCTGGCGTGTTGAATAAGGCCTAACAGTTTACCGAGTTATCTCGGCTGAATTTCCAATATTCGCATTTCTTTGTCAGGGTGGAGAGGCAGAAGGGGCACGAGAAGCACTGGCCGAAGAGAGTGAAGCGACTTGAGTCTTGCAGCACCAATAAGTGATATGATTGGCAAATATTTCCTGCACATAATTAGGTTTGTAATTTTATAACATGGAAGATTGCTCATATCAAAGTGCGAGACACCAAAAAAAGACAATCAGAAAGAAAGCTCTGGGCGGAGCGCGGAAAAAAGGTGAAAAAGACATAATTGCAGGGAGAGTAAATACTCATCGGAGATAGAGAAATTGTCGTGAATTAAGTAATTTTTCTTGCGGCCTGCAATTGCCCACGATATTTGGCCAAAGGAGCCGAACAAGTGAAATTTTAATAAATTGCGTGACCTTTCACTTCTCGGCATTTCTTCTTTTTTCCAACGATCGGCATCTTATGGGCGAGGAAGCTGACGAAATTTCTCGTTCGATTGAGTGTGTGCGAGAGGGAGAGGGAAGATCTTTTGACAAGAGAATCTTCAGGTGGAGACAACGCTAAAAAAAGGGAAATGGGTCATATCTGAGAGTGGAGTGGAACAATGCTTCCCATGTGCTTTCTTCGAGTCCCACATTTTGGCGGATGACGCAGAAAATTTACATACAAGACAAAAATAAACACCATGAAATTCCACGAGGCGGACAAAAAGTAGGATTGGGCGTTCAATTTTCGTTGATCATCGTCGCAATTTCGATGATTTACTGACTGTTGGTATTACTGTTATATAAACGACGATATAAATTGGCGATTGGGACAGAAGCGCGCACCCAAAGATCCACGTACAATAGCCAATATGCAGCAGCCGAAACAGGGGTAATCGCGCAATTTGTGAGCGACCCAGAGACATTGGCTGACTCAAGCATATTGCACATGTTTTCTATGCATTATAGTTCAAATACAAATCAATCAAGTGAACCTAGCATTCTCAAACTATGATCAACAGCAAGAGTAACTCTGTCTACCTGCTGTTCCCCTTCGGTGTGTCTCTTCTGCCGAGATGCCGTGCTGGAGATCGATGGACATTCTTTGGTCAGTGACCTACTGTACCACTTTATTTCATCTGCTGGAGTGCTCGAGAGCGAGAGGCGGCCAGAAGCGATATGATTGGAGGTGAGCACATCTCGGCAGAATGCGATAATCGCAATAATTAGTGAGGCAAATGACGGGCCAGGTGACAGCAGAATAGGCTGTTTTGGTGACGATCGCTGACCGAGTTCTGCGGAAGGCCGCGGCCGTGCCCATGACATTGCCGCTCCGCGATCGTGCAAATAGTCAGCATTCCGCGTGTCCGCCACGAGGCCAAATGCACAGCATTCCACGTCCTCCTCGGAGCTATTGTCTAGTGCAATTCATCTGCATGCGCCACTTGAAGATGTCTCAGTGAAACTGAAAGGATCGATCATGTCGTGCTGATCTTTTCATACCCTCGGCAATCACAGATCAACTGGTGAACCTCAATTGCATGACTTTCTCGCTAAGAGACTCTCGGGTTGCTCTTGTTGAGTGCAGAAAAAATGCGATCACCCAGACAAAACTAGTAGCATTCTTCTGCGCATTTCCTCATTTGCTCCAAATGACCAAAGGTGCCTTTTCACCTGTATTGCGCGCGCGCGCGCCTTCAATGAATTTATGAGTGGAGTTCGAAGTGCGAACGTACACAATTGCGGCGATCTCTCGCGATCAAACGCATCTTGATTATGCCAAAAGAAGTGGCAACAAAAGTGAACCAAGTCAACTGCTCACTTTGCAATTTACCTGCCCGCAAGCACTCTATTTCTCCAGTCCACTCAATGGATTTCACACTGTAAATGGCGATCCCAAAGATGATCAGTTTCATTCAATTTTACATCCACTTCATTTGCCACCGCGTAGAGTAGCTTCCTAGCCTATCTGTGGCAGTCATCTTTGGTCATTTGGTGAAAATTTCCTCAATGTGAAAGTGGAAAATCTCATGAGCGAAGCGAGAATTAAGGTAATCTGGGTTGGAGATCATTTCCCTGATGGGTGCGATCTTGTGAAATTTCGCCTCCTCATTGATATCAATTAGCCAACAATTTGCGGTATCTGTGGTGACGCGATAGATTTATTGGGTCACAAAAGTAGTGCCTCAAGATCTTTTTTTTTGGGCTCTCGCTGAGGTTGCGTGTGAATGGATTTTCTCTCTCGATGGGTGAAACTAATCGAAAATTTTCATTGTAAAAATTTCGTGTGTCTGTCATATTACGTGATAACTCATAGCGAATCGATAAATGTGCGATCACGATGATCAATGGAGCCTTATGGTAACTTTCACTGCCCCGATGGATTTTATGGTCAGACTATTTTTAACTTTTTGCCATGATCCCCATATTTACTGCTGAATAGAGACAACATTTTAGCACGTGAGAGTGAAAGATCATCATCTTAGGCTGAAGATCACGTTCAAGTTCATTTGCAGCTAATGCCAGCCAATTTTATCCGCCCAAAGATCACCCGGGGCGCTTGATCTTCTTTAACCCGTCGATGGCTGATGAGACCATTGTGGGCATGGTGATCTTCCTCGTCTGATCTCACCAGCGGCATGCACAGGAAACGCTGCAAGAGAATGAAACACGCCTTTTTTACCGGCACAGTGTGTCAGGCAATATGTATAATGTATGTATAACACAGGTTGTATTTTGATTTTGGCTGGTTCCGTGTTTTAGGAGAATTTGTGAAACTGAAGATATGAAATAAAATAAAAACAAAGTGGGTTATTGGGTCGATTGCTCTTCCAACATGAAAATACCTGAGATGACTGTTCCTCAGCTGCCGATGATGATGATGATCTCACATACACATAACAGCATGTGGAGATTATGATATTAGATATTGTCATGTACTAAACTTGTCTAATTGAATGATCAAGAAGTAAATGCGGCTTTCATTCTTGCACACATTGTGATTGCTCTACTATGAAGCAGAGAAAGAAGGCAAAGTGAACAGATTATCTTCAGCAAAGTCACTCTTTATGCACAAAATAAATTACAATAAATAGGTAGATGGTGTCATAAATAAAACAATTCAGTAGGACTTCCGATGGAAGTTCGATCATTTGGGTTAGCTCAGGTGGATTCTGGAGCGCTACTCTGCGAGGGAGTGCTGTTTCCAGCCTCGATACGGCATGTCTAGGTTTCTCCGGACCTCTCGGCGCTTCCGATGGTGATCATGGGCCGTTACGTACTGAACATGATGGCCACCATCGTCATGACCAGAACCATCGGCCAGCTTCTTGATGCCGATGATCGCGGCGAGCATGAGAGCCATCATGGACACTCCCAGAGCCTTCATCGCCAGAGCACCCACTCCTCCCAGACCAAGAGCTGCCATCATCTTGGCTGCAAGGAGACAGACAGAGAATTAATCCCGAAACCCAGGAATAAACATTCGCAGAACATACCCATCATCATGCCCATCATCATCACCATTCCGAGGCCGCCCTTGTCCTTCTTTCGTCCCTCTGAAAAAGAGGAGAAAAGCGCAAAATTATCATTTTCACACTGACATAATTTCTAATTGAAATTAAACTGATTCAACTGCATTTCTTCGTGTACATAACAAAAAGACTTTACATGCATATAATTGCTTAGGAGATTTGCTACACGGAATTTTATAATTCACCTCAACCGGGAGGCATTGCAATCGTTCAAATAAATTAATTCAAACTCTCCCAGTGTATGTGAAAGTTTAACAACTTTTGATGAGGATTATTTGATTTTAAAATTTTAAATCACATGTAAATGTTAAATATTGCTGCAGTGAAGAAATCTCTGAGAGAAAAATGTCTCTCTTTAGGCTACTCACAGAAGCCTAATTCCCAATCAATTACCATATCCTCTCTCGCCATAATTCTCACATTTAGTGTGTCTTTAGAGATAATGGCGACACCATTGTAAATTTGGGCAGACGATTTGACGTCCAGATAAGGAGAAAACAGCCAAACAATGATAATTAATGTGCCTGGGAAGGATTGATATGAATTAAATGGCCAATTTCTCGTGCCAATTCTCAGCACGTTGGGCATCTCGTGGCTAAATTCATGTATTCTGAGACTATCTCTTTCATTGATGTCATCCACAAAAGTCGGGTGAGTTTCATGGCTGGTGGACAAAATTGGCACTCTATATGCAAATGTGGAGTGATACTGAATGCATGCAAAATTAAAATATTTTTTACGCGGTATTAATACCCGTGCGAGGAGCATTTTGCACTGAATCTGTGCTGAATCACCGGCACAAGAGAGACATGAGAGTGTGCGAATAAAGGTCGTCCCAAGTGAACAAGATCCGTGTTTTATTTATCGATTTTTATGAAAGTAATGAAAGTCGTTCCTCGGAAAGTAGGAGAATGGTCAGTGCGGCATGAAATTTCATTGAGAGATGTGTCTTTTTTTCACCACCAAGAGACGCACTTTTTTCTCACATCTCTCCGTGCCGCAGCTCATGTCACGGCCACCAGCATAAATGGTACTCGCGACTCTGGCAATTTGCCAGTGAATTTTCTCATGGAAACGCCCAAAGTCGAGGCGGATGGCGTTCATCCTGGAGCTGGCCGGAGAAGAAACTCTCTGTGGGTCTCTGGGTAGAGATGTCCGCCGCGATGCGATACGGCCAAGATGGATTGTATGTCTCGTAATGGATATTTAATTGCCAGCTATTGTTTCCTGCGCCAACACCCAAATCACCATCATTGCAACTTGTGCAGTTGCTCGCCTCTTCGCACCATCCGGTGCCTCTTTCGCTGTGCAAACATCCATCGCGAATCCACTTAGTAATATCTCCGCTAAACAACGAAACCACGGATGGTGATCCGTTGGTTGGCACAAGAAGTTTTCACTTTTGTGAATGGTGCGGATCTTGCGTGCATTTATTCACCATTAATGAGCGAACGATCTCAATGCTGTTCCGGCTGGTTCCGGCTTAGTGAAAGCGATGCATTTACTCTTTTATTAAATAGGTTATCGATAGTAATTAATGCTTTGAGAATTGAGATTTTGCCAAGGGGTGTTTATGCATATGTATGATTTTGATATCATTTTTACTTTCGTAAATTCATAGACAGCGAGAGGAAGAGACATAGAGAGAACTCTGTATTCACTTTCTATGGAGTTCTTTCAAGAATTTTGATGATTTTTACTAATTCGAAATTTTAGAAGTATCTGAATATCTCAAGAGAGTTTATCAGATCATGTATGAAGAAATATTTTACTCTCTTTCTCGTTTAAGCTTCAATTATAGCACATTGTTCCTGACATATCAACTATGCTGTTCATATTTCCGTGATAAAACCCTTAATTAGCATGTTTGCGAACTATTTACCTACGACATTTTCACCCTCATTGATATTCTTCATTGTGCCGGCGAGCACTTCGTTGAATTCCGTCTGACCCACGAGATCTGGGAACTTGATCTTGATCTCATGAGTCTGCAGATACTTGGCGATTCGCGTGAAGAAGCTCTGATGCTTCAGGTCGTCATAATCCGACGACCTGGCAGTCTCTTGGGCCGGCAACTGGACAATCTCGAGGCCAGGAACTAACACCAGTGGCTTCCCGCCACCGTCACTTGTCACATAGTGAAATATATTCCTCAGCACTCGCCCACTGCGACACGCTGTGTCACTACAGTTCTTCGCGGTGGACTCCTCCTGCGCCGCAGCGAAGTGCGCGAGACTTAATCCTATGAGGATGCACCACGAGACACCATTGAACACCATTTCAGAGCAATTGACGAGACTATTGGTTCACTTGGGGAGTTCTATCACAGCACTGATTCCATTCTTTCGTCTCACGAGCCATTATATACGAGGAATCCCCTTCTGGGATGTAGATCAATGAAAAAGACTTTCTTGGACACGCTTCATTGTACTATTCAGAGGTTCTTTTTTGATTTTTAGAAATTCTGTCTACTTGAGCAATTGTGCCTGAATATGGAGGCCATCGAGAGGGATTAATGGAGCATTCACGAGAGCAATTTAGCCGGAACATCCGCAAGAAACTATCGAAAAAAAGTCTTCTTTCTCAATTTTCCCCCCAAAAACACACTCTAATGTGTATCACATCATTAGACATGGAGACCTTTTTGCTCCCCTTCAAGTGTACACTCCTCTGTGACCAGCAAATTTACAGAGCCAACAAAGTAGAGTAATTCCGACAAAAGATATATTAAACCGTTAAGAGGAGATAATTTAAAAGTCGTATTAATTTATGCTACGCAACAGATGATTTATTGAACGTGAATACCCATCTGAGAATCACTCCTCTTGCCGCATCGAAAGGAGTTGAGGAAAGAAAAGAAAAGACGCGTTGGACAAATTGAAAAACTATCGTATAACATCACTTTTGTCGCCACTTTTGCCGCCAACTAGGCGCTTTTGCCATCCTCTTTTGCCACCATCGCAGCATCAGAGCAGAGAAATTAATTACAAATTTCGAAAACAACGATAAATCTTCATCTTCCACCACTACGAGAGGCGTCTTTACTTCTCCTCCCCATTTAATGAATTCTTGTTAATTAAGAGTCACAAATATTTCGATTTCATTTCACACCAACACAGGCAAGCAACCGCACGATTTTTCCCGCCCGCAGACCAAATGCTAGCAAATAAGTGGAGTGGAAAGTTATTGGCGAAAAAAGAGTGAAGTGCATGCTAATAGCTCAGATTTTGCATATTAATTTAATTCCATTTTCGTCTCATCTAACTGGATTTTAGCGAAAAGGCTTTCTCAGTCGATAAAACAGACAGATTTCACTTTGATGAATTTATAAAAAGGATTACGAGCTAATTAGTGAAACATTTCACAAATCGAGACGATAGGAAGGAATTCAAATCTAATCAATTCTTATCATTTCAGTTTCTTTCAACGATGAAATTGCGCAACTCTCTTCAGAATTGCAAATATTCTTGTAAATATTTCATCAATGTTCCGGAATACGAATCGAAATCACATAAATTAATTCGATAGTGAGATCTTCAATTGCACTTACAGCTATTCTGCGGTGGTGGGAATGCTAATACGATTCTTAATGTGTCTTCAACAGTACCAATTAACCCTGTCCTTATCAGGAATGTTCATCTACTTCTACTGAGCAGTATTATGCAAGAATTGTGATTTTAATTCAAGTGTTTTGCACAAAGATGAGATAATTGCAGATTCATTCTTCCCAATTAACCACCATTCATAATTTCCTGGGAGAAGTTCTCATAATTATAAACTGTTTTTGTTTTCATTTTCTCTTTGACTATCTATTTCTTTCCACCACAATTTCCCCAATGGAATAGACGAATAAAGAACTGTCTGTCTTATCATCAAATGTGCATGAAAAAATCAGTGCAAATAATTTCATTTTCACAAATCTTGTGACTATTTGACTATGCGTACTTTTTCATCTGCGAAATTATCTATTCGATTGATTTGATAAATGGAATTTTTATTGTAAATTGCTTGCATTAGTTCACCCATGAAATATGGTTTTTTACTACAGCGAGTGAAATTCATGATAACCCATATAATAGTGATGGGGGAGGAATATCTTATGCACAGACGATGGATCTGTGCCAATGTTTGGTGAGTATTGAATTTACTTTTTATTTTCAACATCCTCAAATATACCAATAGTGTTTAGGATGTGTGATAACAGCATAATTGCTGGACAGTTATTGTGCAATTAAGCTACTTAGAGAGTGCAACCGTCATCCAGAAAAAAACACCCTAAAAATTTCATCAGGCATTTAATTTCTTCGGCCCGGTATTTCATGGATTGATTTCTAAATAATTTCAACGGAGGGAGCGAGAGAGAGATATGCTTGGTATTAGAAAATGATGAGAAATTTATACAATGTGTATTTACATGAGATAGACCGCAATGAAACGATAAACAATCAATGCTCAGCCTAGTTATCGTGCTTTGACCAAACTTACGCACATGCTATTTTTCTCCGTTGCTCACAATCGCGAATCGCGGGTGATCTTCAATGGTAAATTGCTTATGTAGACTTTTTTTGAGTGACTTTTACCCTCGGTTTCATGTTAAGCACAAAAACAAAAACTTACTTCAATTTTCTCCCGTTTTCTATGTTTTTTTTTCTAATCTTTTGTGAGATATCAAAATAAGTCTTCAATGGAGTGATTTCGTGGTTTAATAGGCCATCCTTAGAATTTGCATAATAAAATTCATGAATGCAACCCATTTCCTGTCTATTGCAAACTAATAATACGTTTACTAATTACGCCGTCTAATATTCCACCCCATCCAGACTTGGTACTTTATGTATGCAAATACATATTTAATTGAGATCCGCAAGTCTTTTCCGAAGGGAGGCATTTTGTATATGGTGGAAAAAGAGAAATTGAGTCTATGGCATTAAAGTAGTGTAGTTCTCATCTCGACGCTCATGTTGCGAAGGTGCAACAAATTGTTTGTATAATTAATTTATGATGCAGATGCACATAAATGAAATTCGCGTGTGCAGCATCCCATCCCCGGGTGGGGTTGTTCACCAAGTGTGAAAAGAATAAAAGTGGGTGTAATCGACAAATGCACCGTAGTGCTTCTCAATCATCCAAACACGGAGGAATAATTGGATTAATATTGACCACACCTGTCCTCCTCCTATTCTCTTCTTGCTGTCTTGTGCAACCCAAGCAAGGCGAAGAGACGCCCGAAACGCCCTAGGAGAGACTTACTTTGACATAGTGTCGGAAGACGGATTTGACGTGGAAAGGATGTGCTTGAAACAGTGTTCGATAGTCTTTGTGGTATGTTGCTTGCTAAGTGCCGTGACCGCCACGCCGCTGCCCCATCACCGGGATACCTCCATTGCGGACAAGATGACGTGGTCCTGCGTGAATAACGCCTCGTGCATAGACGGGGCGGCGAAGCAGGTCACGGAGAGGCTGAGTCGCAAGGAGTCCGTGGACTTTGGGGTGTTCAAGGTGGTGCCGCTGGAGCGGAAGGCTGTCGTCGAGGGGCGCTCCTCGAACTTCCTCAACTTCCTCAGTGGCAACGCTGTGAGGATTCCTCTGGGGCCGGTGGTGTTCAGCATTCAGCAATCAGAGGACCACAGTGGCTACCTGGAGGTGTCCCTGCTCAGGAAGGGTACCGATGAGGAATCACGTAAGTCAATCACTCATTTCCCACTCTATTCCCACGTTTCTAACCACGGATTTCTTTCTGCTTCACGCTGAAAGGACGTCATCACAAACACCGGCCCATGCGACTGTTCATCCCGTCCTTCTTGGCCTTCAATGCTGTCGGCTGGATGATGCTCGCCATCACAAGTGTCGCTCTGCTGACATTCAAGGCGTTTGCGCTGTCCAAGATTGCCTTCCTGGTTGCCGCAGCAATGACATTCAGAAGGTATGTGTACAATGCACCATTCCATGGCCGAATGCCTAACAGCAAAACTACTTCCTTTTCTGCATTCTCAGGGTCATGGGACACGGTGGCATGGAGCATCCGGAATATCTGCCCTACAACGGCTATGAGCTGGACTCACCATTGAGCGGCGCTGTGGCATCAGGAAGCGAGTTCCTTCCCTATCACATAAGCCCTGATCTGCAGGCCTTCCAGCAGCAGCAGCAGCAACAGAACCCCCTCGCGGCCGAGAGCAATATCGTGGCCGCCGTTGAGGCCGCCAACAACGCCACGTCGCCACTCGTGCCCCAAATTGGGAGCGGCCTTGCCAAGATAAAACGACAAGACCTCTCAGGTGGGTTCATTTTTTACTAATGAAAAATTAACTCTTCTGGCTTGTGCGTTTAGACAAATTCCTCAACCTTCAATTCTCCTGAAATCCGCATCTTCCCTAGCCGTAAGATCTCCTTAATTTATTCATGCAACCAACAATTGAAGCAGCAAGTAATTTATTTATTTATTTATTTATTTTAATTATTTATTGAGACATTTCTTCATTGCAACTTTTGACAGAGTTTAATTTTTTTCAAAATGTGTAATTTTTGCATATAGAGATGAAGACGAAGGAGGTTTAGTCAAGATGAAAAATACCATTGTTGAGTTAGTAGTGGTTGATGCAGCAAAAAAGAACTAAAAGAAGTAGGATTAGATGAAAAGTATATTGTGGATAAATAATTGTAAAAGACTCAATCAAGCTCAATTTCCAATCATTGTGTAAATTTATAATGGTATTAAAATATTTTTTATTTGTAAAAATCTGTTCCGCTCTGATTACTGTAAAATGATTTTTCTTATAAGCAAGCCATCCTCCTGCGATGCGAGGAAAATCACCCAAAATCAATGGTGCGTGTCACACACTTGCCAGCCTCACCTCCTTTCCATCCACAAATGCCTAAATACCCGTGTGTCCAATTCCTCTTTCCTCAACATCACCATCTTCAACCACCCAGAGAAGCACAAGAACAGCGCATTTTCATGGTATATTTGACATGAGTTAAATTACAAAGTGGACTCGCGCAGATGTGAAAGTGATCGTGGCGTTTTTTCAACAATCTGTAGAGCAATTAGCACAAAAAACAGAGCGTACTTTCCATGCCACAGCATCCAACTCTCCAATGTTGTTTATCCATTCCACAAGACGAAAATGTCTTGAACATCGTGCACTCATAACTGCAGAAAATGCAGGAACTCGCTGATTCATTTGATGCATTTGAGGAATTTCACGAGCAAAACATTGAGCTTAAGAAATCCATCAAACTCGCAAAATCTCATCAACTCGCTCTAGATGATCGTGCACGATCACCGGTACTGGACCTAATTTAGCCGCTCTTCATCTATAAACCACCTCGTTAATTATCATTATTTGGAATTATTTCACAAAAGATTTTTCTCTCGAGTGCATGTGGATGCAACGGCAAATTGAGATGAGAACCCATAAAGCGAGGAAGAAGACTTTCACCAGAAAACCCTAACTCTAATTGAGAGATCACTGATCTGTGATCTTAGAAAATTGTTAGCACACTTATCATCAGCTAATTGTACTTTCTCAAAGCATCACAAGAATTCTGGAAAGTTCTTCTCCACACTATATAGTCGAATATAGTTAGACAAATAAAATCCAATCAGTGTCACTGATCTTTTACTATCTCTATCACACAACTCATCATCTTCTTTTACGCAGCCCTCCGGCGAAAACCCGTGTACTACACATATGTTGCTCACAGGACTCCAATTATCACATACAGAAGCCCCTAAGGATGTGGCTTGACTCACTTTCAAAAGCAAACCAAAGCTCATTGAGATCTCCATCAGATTTCACCTCCTCAAGAACACCTCAACCCTGCATAAATCCTCGTTGGATCAACAGTTTTTACACTAAAAGACAGTAGAGAACAATAAGTTATTTATTTATTTATTTATAAAAGATCTTAAATAATAAATTAAATTAAATGCAATTCTCTCATCAGCTTATCCTGTCTCGGCATTTGAGCAATAACATAGAAAAGACATTCGCTTGAGTCTCTTTGCATCACTCAAAATCGTGAAATAATTTGCAAGATATTAATTTCTCAATTGATGCTGTGCAATTGATATGGATATTAATACAGTCTCCTCAGCAAATATTTCTGCCCTTATAATGTGTGTGTATATATATACCCGTAGTATATGTATAATTATTTTATGTTATTTACAAGAGACAGAAGAAAGCAATAAATATGAGTGATAAAATGACGAAGTTTCTTTTCTCACGTCAACGAGTCAATCGTGATCTTGCGCTTGGGACACGATTTCCCGCTATGGCCAAGTAGGAGTCCGGATACCGATGGTCCGTGGAAGTGTTGTAGTCTGGCAAATGGGGCGGTCTTCGTGGCTTATAGTCATCCGGTCTGAATGTGTCGCTCTTCCGGAGGAAGTTCTGCGGATGATGCGGATAGTAGCTGAGTCCTCCGATGCCCTGGGGCGAGTACTGCATGTGAAGTCCTCCTGAATGATAGTCAACGTGGTTCGTTTGCTGCAGGCTTTGCAGCTTCAAGAATCCCAAGACAGCTAGAACAAGAATTGGGACACATTAGATCGTCTGAAGACCGTTAAATGGTGGGAAAATACTCCACTAATTGCTCTTGACCCATATTTACCCGGGATGATGATTATGAGGAATCCAATGATCTTCTTGAAGCTCGCCAGTCCAAGCAAGAAGGGCAGAAGCAGCAGCAACTTGAGCTTGAATAACTTGAGGATGAGAAGCATGGGAATGAATATTTTCTTCAGACGATCGCGCGCTGTTGAGAGAGAAACTCAATTGAAATATCTTTCCGTTGAAGTCATTTGATTTGTAAGTTATGGAAAATTAACTTGCAGAAATGATAATAAATCTGTTATTACATTAATATAATTTGATTGGTTACACAAATTAGCGGTCTTATTAACAATTAGCAATTCTTCAAACCAAAATATATTATTGTGGAAAATTATAGTGGAAGAGTTGTAAAGAATATAGATAATGGATCAAAGATTAAAATGTTTAATTGCTACGATATTTTCTGTGCATAATTTTGCTTAAAAAAAATATATTCTTCTACTGGACAAAATGTAATTTCAAAGACATGAAAGAAAATGAAAAACAATTAAGTACTGTTTGTTTAAAAAATTGTTATTTGCTAGTAATTGGATAATTGATATAAAAACAACATTCCAATACAGAATTTAAGGGAGAAAGCGTATTGAAAATGCATTTTTTCTCTAGATATAAATGTCATTTTAAAACAAACATCTTGCACTGAAATATACAATTTTTGATCAACGCATTTTCTTAATAAAGGTAATAATCGAAAAATCAGTTTCAAATTGAGCTTTGAAGTTGGCTTGTCAAACGAAATTTCTCTATAGCACACTGGCTTTCGACGCATTGTGAATGTAAATATTTAACCTGCTATTGTCACTAAATATCAATATCGCGAAAGTCATGGGACAAACAAATAAGTTTCTATTTTTCTCCGTTATTCCCACGCGTTTCCCTCAACGGTCAATTAGGTGTTCAATATATGCTAAATTTGCTTAAGGAGTGAGTAAATATCTTACAGAAGATGGTGTCTTTCTTATCTTCGATTATATCAATTTCTCCAGCTATCTCATCCATAAAGCGCAGTGAAAATTCAGCATCTCTCGAGCGGCGATTTGCAAACTTGGTGGAATTTCTGCAGAGTCTGAAAAAGGTATTGGCATGAGAAAAATAGTCATTGAAGAGTTTTATTCCACGAATGGGTGAAATGTTTGGTGATGTGAGACAAATGATTCTCTTTACCGTTCCATTTTATGACAAGCCACATCAATTAATAGACTGAAGTCCTCATCAACATTGTATGTTTTATGGGTGACCACCTCGAGCGATGCGTCGTTCTCAATAGTCGCGGGCAAGTGAGTTGATTCGGCATGTCTGGAACAAAGGAGGGCGTTAATTAGGAGAGATGCGCGATTCGACGTGTGTCGGCCTGGTGGCGTGAATGAGATGGAGAAATATTTACCTGTGAATTGCTAAAGACGTGAAATACACTGCAGCCAGATAGAATGATCTTAAGCGCATGGCGACGACGCTCCACGGCCCCAAACTCAGCGACAACTACACACACTTGAGCTTCACCTCGCGCCGATCGACTTCAAGAACCCACGATCGCACTCACGATCACTCACACTTGCTTGAGTTGCCGCAAGAAAAGTGAATGAACCTATTAACGACAGAACTAAGCATAGGTGATCCGAGTTCTCGCCTCTCGATCACCCCGAAATACGAGGCTCTGTCTGCACCTGGCAGCGTGCATTTTCGCAATGGAACTGTGAATCTCTCAATGAATACAAGGCATCACAATCACATGCTGATCGCCGATCGCGAGCCGCAGCGTGATCATTTTTTCTCGCCTGCACCGACTAATGGCCATCGAAGATTCTTGCCTCGCGCGCACACCAACATTCGAAGGCCAGTGGCGTCGATCGTAAAATTTCTCCGCTCTCTCTGGAGAAATTCATTTCTCCAATATGAGAAATTTGCAGACACTCAGGCGCTTTTCATCACACTCTTCTTCAAATTCGAATCACAATCGCGTGTGTGATCAAATTGTACCCAATCTTTGATGCCAGAATGTCTTTTTGCACTGCATCGCACCAATTTTTCTTGACCATCGCAGTTTCGACTTCCTCTCAGCTTCATCAACGTCGACCTAAACACATCCGATCATATCTCCAGCGCTTCGGCACGGCACGTGTGAAGATCGCGTTCGAAAATGTGCTAAATAGCTCTTTTTTCTCATGCATTTATCAATTGATTCTCCAAATAAACTCAATCGTGTGAATTTTAGATGAGGCAAATGCCATAAAATGCGCTTTCTTCGTTCGCGAAGACCCAACAAAGCGCTGAATAAATTTCGCATTAAGAAGCAATTACTAAGAGAATGGTCAAAGAGGTCACAGAGACTTCGAGGTTTACTTTAAATTATTTCGTACACATTTTTCTATCTGGAAGACATAGATTTCACCCGGTGCTATTGATTATTGAAATTGAACTTTCGCAATCGCGTGGTTACGCTCGCTTTTTTGTCGTATGGTTTGATTTAGATATTTTAATCAACTGATATTGAAAGTCGGGTACTATTGATTGAATACATCAATGCTTTTTTTACACTATGCATAGAATTTAATGATTGACCGATATTGACATGCATCTAATGCACATTCATTTCTCCATCGTGATCTCTCACCTTTCTTTGAGATTCCTTCGCTCATTTGGATCAGTCATAAATCAGACTGTAAAAAATACAATAAATTACCTTATTACTTACCGACGTATCAAAAAGTCCACGGTCTGCTTTTTACTTCCCAAAAATATCGTGAGGCGGGGCAATAAATAAAAGTTCATGCTCTCGATGGCTACAGACAGTTTATTCAAATAGTGGAAAATAAATAAAAAATAAATTACTACAATCTCCGGAGGAGTAATTTCCAAGAAAAGATTCACAAGAATAAAGTGAGAGAAGCTTTTTTTTAAAATCATTTCCCATTCCAACACACACTCCCATTAATTAACCTAATTTGGATCCAAGTGTTTTCGTTTTCTTTGTTGGCCATCCACCCAAAGTATTAATTGCCTAAGATTGTTCCTGGTGAGAGGAGAGACTATCTCTCACCATCACCTGCGCTCCTCAATCTCCTCGTGGCCACTTAAATATTTACTCCGACATGTCATCAGTCTCATGCAGTGCCAAAGGTATGAATCAGAAGAGCGAAATTGTGAGTCACATTGTTCCCGTTAGCACACACTCAATTTACCGCGAAATAAGAAGAATTCACGTTTAGAGTCTTGCAGTCCTCACTTATTAAATTTCAATTAAAGTCCTCCCTCAAAATGTTCTTAATTCCCTCACATCGATGACATTTTATAGCACAAATTATATAACACTGATTCCGATTAACGTAAGATTGCACTTCGGTTAAATGGAGCGAATACGTAAAGTAATTACAGCGTGGAACAAGCAAAATCACTGTCAATGGTATTGGATTGTCTATGCAATTTGAGGGCCTTCTTTTGCCCATCTAAATTGAATTTCAGCTCACTGGACGAAATGCAAGAGCTGCATAATCAGTGCAATTTTCTAGCGTGAACCAATTTGTTGATGTCGTTGAATGTCGTTATCATAGCCGGACTTGTGTTGTCTTTGAGATCGATGCAATCGCGATTCGCCATGTCGCAATTGACTCCATCCTGGCCATCCTTGGCGGCCTTCATGTACTTGAAGAAGCGCATGATATCCGGGTTGTCCGAAGTTGGCCTCTTTAGCTCATTGAGCTCCCTGTGTGAGAGATAAAAAGAGTGAACATTAAGATTAGAATCTCTCCTAAGTAATTGACCTGAAAGAGACTCCATATGAACAAAGACATTACACATAAATAAAATGTAAAGTTGTTAGATGACCACGCAATATATCTCTTGATTGCCCGAAAGTGATGAAGAGAGTGAAATACGATCAAATCTCATGATCTTCCAAGTTTATCAAAGAAATTCCGTTGTGGCTTGCTGACCACAAAAACATTGTCGAGAAGAGCTACAAAGAAATGTTTAGTTCTTTCTCGGGAAAGTGGTAACTATGGTTGATCGGGTTTCAGAAGGCAGATTTTAAAATAATTCACATAGTTTCATTGCGTTGCATTTAGCACGTTTTTTTTATATTTGATCTTAAGGTATGAGTAAAAGTTGCAACAACGTTGAAAGTACGATTTTCCGTGTGTGAAGATGAATTTATTTTGAAATCACATTTCGAGATTTCTCAAATTCGATTTTTTTTGTCGTATCATAAACTTACCGTTAAAGCCTTCAGTCTTATTCATATAGGCAAAACCTATTTATAAAGCTTAAAGGTTATTCAGTAGCGATACATAACATTAATTATAATACTCGGACGTGTTTCAATTGGAGCAAGACAGTGACATAAGAAATAATTATCTCATTCAGTCATGTGCCTTAAATTTATTACTTTCACGGAGAAGAGATTTCTTCCCAGAAATTTGGCACAATCTATGTAAAACGCGTCTTTCATGAAATGAAATCAATTGAAGGCGAGGCAATTTTTCAGTGCTCTGCGTTCAGTCGAAAAAGCGATAGGGAGTTTCCAATGAGAGCTATTTCTTCTCAACCATAAAAAATGACGATGAATAATAATCGTGGAGTGAAGTTGCAATCATCGAGTCACGGAGGAACTCACCTACTCAGCTGGGCCGAAATGAGGTTGCTGTAGGGCGCATATTTGGCCGGACTGGCGTACATTAGGCACACGAGCTTCTGGCGACAGGCCTCCTCGCCGGCGCCCAGGCCCAGCTGCTGGAATATGGCATCGAGTCGCGACAGCAGAGGACTGTAGAAGGGATCGTAGTTCGTGAGCAGCATCGACGACGCTGGGATGTCGTGGAAGACCTTAAAGTCGTCCTTCTTGGCCGACATCATGCCGTTGGGGAACTTGGAGTAGTAGTCGCCATTCGGTGCCATCATGTACACCTTCTGGCCATTCGGGCCGAACCTCACGAGGTTGTTCTGTGTCTCCGACGTCGCTCCGTCAAACACACCATTTCCGTATTTATCTGAAACGAGAATCAAACAACGCAGAGATTAATGAGATCGCCATTAACAATCATCTTCAGCATTTTCACATTTGAACGAGTGAAAAGACCGTGTAATTTCTCTTAATATTTTCCACTATTTATAAGTAAATATCTCGTGCGGCGTCTGGAGTGAACCTTCCCATGTACAAGTGTGCAGGCAAAGAAATGTTAATCGGATGTTATTGAAAATGCCTCGAGACGCCGCAGCATCTTAAGGGGTCAGATATTTGTAACCATGTGCAATTAGCAATCTTTCCATACGCTTTATTTACTTTCTCGTCTATTTTGCACACTCAACCAATTGTGTGTGTGTGTAAAAAATAACTCTCTCTGCAAATAACACTAAAAATTCAAGAGTTTTCCTTCATTTACAGCAGAAATTTCTCATCGCACACTGAATTTGTCGTATAAACACACAATACCAATTTGGATGATTTACGTGCGAAATCTGCCCAAAGACAAGAGCCACCGGAGACAAGAACTGCTTTTACTTTCCACAATTTCACATAAATTCACATGACTTATCTTAATCTTGTCAACGTTAGATAGAATTATGCAAAATATTGAAGATTTTCTTCGAAATGCCATAAATTTCTTACGCTCCCATTCAATTGAGGATCTTCGCGTGAAATTTAATGATCTGACACTAATCCTTAATTAAATTCTCATATTTCAACTAATATAAAATATTGTCTTACTTCCCCACAAAATTTCGTGATGTCCGAATAATTTTATCACATCGTTAAACCACCAATTGTATTCTCCATATCTAAAAATCCATAAATTTCTACTTTATGATTGAATATTCCTACATATTAACACTGTCAAGCTTAAAAAAAATATTATCTCTTTGCCCGACTCTTGTTGTTTATTTTGTTTTCTACACGCACTTAATTTTGTGTGCCACCGGATTGTTTTACGGGCCCTAGTGAAAAAAGAAACTCTGTCAAATTTGAATGAAGAATTAACAAGTCACGAAATTCAGTTATTCGGAGATGATTATGTATTGGTACATTAATCCAGATACGAAAATGTAAAATCAAATTCATTATATTGCATAATCTTTGTAAATGGAATTACTGTTAAATCTCAAAAATGGGACTGAATTTAACTGAAGAGTTGAATGGTCTTCTAAGTAGCATTCTTGATACTTGTGTGCTGGCAAAAGGTTCACTTGCTATCGGAAGCAGTATAATCATAAATTATATTACTTTCCGGTCCTCTTCGAGCGATTACAGTGATTATGAAAGAAATAAAGCTACTACTCAACCTGCTATGCTAAGCATTAGACGTGGGCTTATTTCACCGACAACCACAGTGTATTATCAGCTTGATAGAAGCACTAAGAGTGTGTGCATACCTTGCTGCATGAAAGAAGTTGCCCCGCCATTCTGGTTGGTCATACCATTTCCTGTTCCCGTTGAATAGCTACTCTCGCTGTCCAAATAGGAGTTATCTTTGAATTCCAGATCTTCGACTGGTTCTTGAGGCTGTCCGAATGCCGACACCGATGATAAGCCTGCAAGCAGAGGAAGATGACATGGCAATTATCCCACGGAGAGAGAGTTGATGTATCTCACCTTTGCCGACAATCTTCCCCAGGGATCCGATGAGGCTGGGCAGGAAGAGTGCCAAGAGGGCCGTCTTGACGACTTGCAGGCCGATAAAGAGGGGCCACATCATCTTCTTGAGGCCTTTAAAGAAGAATATCCGGCCAGTGCCGAGAGCTCGTCCCACATCCACGTTTATGACGCAACTCTCGGCAAAGTCACGGAGACGCTTTTCCACGCTGCCGAACGACCGCGTCTCGGAGTGCTGCGCGCTGTGATTTCTCTCAATGGTGACACCAGGAAGTACATCAATGTGACCGCGACGCAGCGACTCATCTGCCCAATCCAGCAGCATATTGCCCAGTTGATCGAGACTCTCTTTTCGCATTGTGATCACGGTGCTATTTTCACTTTTGACCGCCGATTCTGCCACCGAGCCGCCGTCTGCATGCGATGGCGTGACCCAGTGAAGAAGTGTCACCACGATGATCACAGAAAGTCGACCAAGTGTCATGCTATTCGTCATCCTAGACAGCATGATGCTCTGATGGATAACAGAAGAAAATTTCCTGCCGCGTGCTATCTATGTTGCCACATAAAGTGGTCAAAGTTGATGTGAGGAAAATGGGATTTTTTTTTGTTGTACAGCTCAATTGTGTGCAATTGGAGCACAATTCAATAGATGCCAGAAAATAATAGTGAGGTGATCACTGAGGAGGCTCCACTGAGTAGAATGATCCACTTCTTTGCGAATTTCTCCATCATCTCTCGATGTTTGCACACAAGATTCACTGAAACAGAGAGATCACATTACTGGGAAGCGACAAAAGTCTTTCAAAATGATCGTTTTTCAAACTTAAAACCACAGAGAGGAAAAAGTGAGGAAACAATTTGCTACTAGTGATCACGATAAAGACCCTCGCGATCAGTGAAAATGGCGATTGTGTACGTCGTGAAACTCTTCTCCTCTGCACACCTCATTGAACTGTGAATACTTGTTCTGACCGTGCTCAATGTTGGACCAAAAGATTGTTTACTTCACTGCTAATGTAGGTTTCTTTCACAAGAGTAGAAAAAAAATGCTATAATTTCACTGTGTTCCTCCTCATCTCGCGGTGACTCCGGCGGAGAGTCTCTCTATTGGCTCCGCACGTAGACGTAGGTCGCGATCATAACAGGTTTGAGGAAGCCCGAAAATTATTCATGTAAATAAAAATTCACGGAAGATGAGAGAGAAAGACAACTTTCAATATGTACCTCCCCGGACGCAATGTGGGTCATCACCATTTTCGATCTTGTGGCATTTGGGTGAATAAACATAATTGAAATGGTGCGTGTTTATGAACTTGCCCGGAAGAATATGCATAAAAGCTCTCAAGTGAGTGTTTCATTGTCTACAAATTTTCCCCTTTTCGCCTGATCAACATACAAAATGGATTTTGGTTGAAAAAAATAAAGGTGAAAAAGTGTGTCAATTCACTTTAGCTTGTGGGAAAGAAAGAGAACATTGAATTGCAAAAATTTACCTTCACTTCACAGCATTCCAGCGAGAGAGTGTTCTTAACGAGATGATGGTAGAGTTGATGATTAATTGACGTGATTAGCAATTGAGTAAAAAATCACAATTGACGGGCATTATAATCCAGCCACCAGCAACCATTCACACTCACTTTGGAACTTCTAAGCTCCAGCACAAGAAGCACAAATCACTCTCCTGAATGAATACTTTTTTCTACTCCCGAACAAACGCCATACGAGAAATCCGGTAAAGATCGCGAGTGATCACTGATCTCTTCCACGAAGATCATATGACATCGGGACACTGACTCGACTTCACTTCCACAGCTCAACTCCGCGCTAGTCTGCAGGTGAATAGTGGCAATGAGTCTCGAATGCAATCGAGAGATCGCGTGGTGATCGCCACGATGATCACGATCATCCAAGCGAAGACGTCGTTCTTCTCCGGTGGGGCACAGACCCGCGCGCGCGCGAGAGAGACAAGAAACCACGCGTCAGACCCATGGCAGTGACCAACTCTCCACATGGCTACACAACAGTAGTCCCTCGGATTGCATATTTGGCCGTCGTGGAAGCGGAATCCGCCACCACGTAATCGTGCACAGGTATGGGTTCGCGAGAAGGTGTCGCAGTGCATCGAATTGTGCACATGAGGAACAATTCACAGAACCAATGCGGGATCCAGAACGCTCTTGGAGCGTGCTAAAGAGCACGGCAGAGTAAATGATTTATACAAAATGGAATTCTCGTGTTCTTTGGAATGCTAACATATGCATTTTAATTAATTCTTTGACTTACTCTCTTTAAAACTGCCAAAAGATTATTAATTGTACCCTAATTTTAACCTAGCTATTTTTATTTTAAATCTAATTGCATTGAACAATCGCTTAAATCGATAAATATAGCAATTATTAGCTGATAAGCCCCTTTTCAACACATTCGAAGCACTGTGTTTTGATACATTTCGAGTGCCTGTGAGCGGTGAGCGATCTTAACCAGGTTACGAGGACAGAGTGCGAGTACCCTCTGAGCACCTTCACCTTGACTGCGCGTCGGCCGCAGAAATAGGAAGTGATCTCCGCTATCATTTTGCTTTTCTTTCGCCAGATCACCCAGAGTGTTGGAAATCGTTTGGGTGAGAAAATTAGTGTTCTCTTGAGCAGCGATTAGACTCGTGATATGACACGGAAACCTTATTGAATCACCTTCTCGTGGTCTCTTTAGATTCGTTGGCGTTGTTATTGATGATCTCCACGGTTCGACATGACAGACAGGCGTGTAGACATTGGGATTATTACTTGGAGCAGGCATGGATTTTAGGTAATCTGTAATTTGTCACGTCGAATATCATCAATTGCGGTGAAATTGAGTTGACAAAGGGGCAAAAAAGAGTGAATGTATCGGAGAAACGTGTTGAACTTCCAGTCGAATGCGCGGGAAGGCTGGAACGTTTGGCGCGCTTCCAGTGCTGTGAGCCGCAAAGAGGCCGCCATTGGCGGAATGACAGCGAAATGACGGCCACAAAGTGACATTTCAGGCAAAAATAATTAGTAGAAAATTACGTGAAAAAAGAGTGAAAATTCTGAGTGAAAGACGTGGAAATTGGTCTTCTTTCTTCGTTATCCACCATCGTGAGTGTGTAATTTCAAGCAATAACAGTTGCAGGAAGGTTGAAGAGGTTCTACACGGTGGAGAAAGTTGGGAGGGTGAAAAATGTCTCAAGCACAACCAGGAACTCCAGCTCTTGCCAATAATTACATGAAAGTCTTCGTCCAGAGAGACTACAGCGAGGGAACGGCTGTTAAATTCCAGACGCGCTTCCCCACAGAACTCGAGAGTCGCGTGAGTAATTCTCACACAGATCTTTATCATGCGGATTCGCTGGAATGACTGAGCTTTCCATTGCAGATTGATAAACACAGTTTCGAGACGACTATCAACAAACTCAATGAATACTTCGCGGAGGCCGAGAAGGGCACCTGCAGCACCTACTGCGAGGGCTGCCTGGCCTGCATCACGGCATACTTGAACTACATCTGCACCGAGACGCACTACGAAAAGGTGATTTCAGATGTCTTCTCGGATCTGGGCGCTTATTCACAGCAATCTCTCCTCTTTGCAGTGCTTGCGGAAGGTCTCAAAGTACATAGTCTCACAGAATGAGAGGGTGTACAACCCGCGGGGGCTCCAGATCACCGACCCAACGTACCGGGGCCTCCGCGTGATAGAGATTTCCATCCTGGACCGACCAGTTCGCACGTGACTGCCGCTGTCGAATTCATCGGAGGAGTTCTTTATGTGAAGCGCATTTCAGTGTACAACATTTATCCATGAGAGACCATTGTCAGGCATCCCCCGTTCGCTCCAGCCGCCCCCAGGATGCTTCCCCCCCTTCAGCGTCAGATACTATCTTCCGGAAGAGACAGAGATTAAGAGTATTTTCATATGAATTCGCTAAACAGAGTAGATATTTGTGGTGGAGAATTTACTTCAGTTCATGTCCTTTCAGTAACTCCCTGTAGATGAGCTAGACATTATTTTTTCATGCAAAAGGTGACCCATTCACTAAATCCAACTTATATATGAATATTATTTATACACGAGAAGATAATGTACAGAACATTATGCAATATGTTATGGATTAAAAGGAAATATTGAAGAGAACACGTCTGATTTATCGATTTTATGCATCCTGAAGTTTTGTGTTCGGGACGCTGGCAAAGTTTGGAGAGCATAATCCTCAACGCGTGGAGAAAAAGTTTCAATTGATTGTGTCTAAGTTTTCGGAAGGTAAAGTGAAAAGTTTCAATCAGCATTCGCAGCTTCGAAGAATTATTTCTATACTCGCTGAAAAATTGTTGACTCAAAAATTGAAAAGACGACATTATGCAAAGTGAATTCAAACTTTATAAACATATTTGAAATGCATATTACAAAAAATGCTTGAAATAGTCAATTTTCAATGAAACGGCACTTGATATTTCGGAGTATTTGCTGGAATTTGGATGAATCGGATGGATTTACCACATGACAAATAGCCAGAATTGAGAATTGAAGCTTTAGGGATAATTTGTCTGTTTCATACATAATTTAAAACGAGTTAAAAGGATTCTTGTGTTGCTGTATTGTTTTGATTCGATAAATTGAATGCCAAAACAAATGAGGCAAAACCAGCAAAACACAATATGAATGATTGATGTTAATTCCAAATTCACTGGCATTTAATTGCAGCTTTTCATCGCAATGATTTGACTCTGTTCATGGCAGATTCACTTCATTAAAATCACTGAAGATCTGCATAAGAGCGATTAGAGCAAAGCTGAGATTTCATTGAGGAAGGACTCATTCACCCAAAGAGCAATGCAATTCAAAGTGCTATGTTTTACGCTACAATTAAATATGTAGAATAACACTTAAGTCGTCAATACTGTTGTCCGATATTCTTGGCAATTTTCTCAGTGGAATCTCAAGAATTTCCTACATTTCTGCAAAGTTTAATCGCATGAGACTTTTTGTGATTGCTGAACTGATAACGCCATAGAAAACGCTATGCGTTAGTGACACAGTGATCTTGGCGGATCTGTCCAAGACATATCCTCCAGACGATGTATAATTGGCTGGTATTGACGAGGTCTCTTTCTCTTGCAATATTTGTCCCACACGCGGAACAATTATCTAGCAAATTGTAATGTGTTTAGCCTGAACACGCGGCAATTTACTTGCGAGATGGCAAAAAGAGGAAGAACTCTGGCTGCAATTTGCACGCCGATCCGGCATGCAATGGATTTGGCCAAGTTCACGGCTAGGAATCGATATTGATAATTGGCAATGATTAACCAATTGTGCCACTGGATTGTGTGTGACATGATTGGAGAAGATTATTGGGTCAGTGGAGTAATCATGGGTGAATTAATGCACACTTTGCAGCGCCAATTGACTTTCCATCTCGCTGGGATTCTGTCTGTTGTGTCATTTGCCGGACATCCGATGGACACGACAACCCGGAGCTTCTCCGGCTGATATAATGTGCTGGCCAGCATGGATTATTGGCGCCCCGGGCGTCTTCCGTGTCCCAGTGCTGGCTGCGGCAATTAACTATGCTAATGCCGTATCATCATCGTCATTATCAAGCTGCTGTTGATAGCGTTCGCAGAGTGATGGGAAAAACAAGAGAGATCAATAGCCAATTGCACCAATTTGACCATTGCACTGACCTGAAACGGTGGATGGATATAAGTGCGCTGCCGATCGTGAATGCGGCTATTTCAGTGAAGCACCTCTCGAGCGCCAGCAACAAGATGACTTCTCATCACTAACCGATCAGGGATTAAGACTTGTCCACGAGTGAATTGAAATCCGAAGTGAACATGAGAGTCCTGTGCTTATCGGTGCTCCTGGCAGTTGCCATTGCGTGTGTTGTGGCGGAGAAGAAGACTGACGACTACGTCCTCACCACCCAGAGTGACTGCTACACGTCCAAAAAGTTCTTCACCTGCCTCAAGTACAGGACAGTGCGCTACATCTGGGCCATCGCCACCGGCAGGATGAACCTCTTCGACCCCGAGACGAACCTGGAGGCTGGCAGCAGTCTGCGTCTGGTGCAATTGTCCGTGCCAGAGAAGGAGGATCTCTTCTCAGAGCCTCGACAAATAGCAGGTGAGTGTGCAAAATGTTGTGAAGTGTTCTGATCTTGAGGTAAAATTATCATGGGTGTTTCGCAAGGTGACACTGAATGGTCGAAAGCAATCAAGTTCTTCAAGAGATCCATCAACACCTTCCTCAGCTTCCACGGAGTGGGAATGGGAATTGACAATGAGAAGGGTGCTCGATTGATTGCCAGCGAAGAAGGCGAGGATTCTTCAGGTGAGACATTAATATTTATTTCACACCTTTGCCTTCCCTCTGAGAAGTAATTTTCCACGCGGTTTTCAGGAATTCCTAATGCGAAGTAGCCAATGTCATTTATTTTGGGCAATATTTAATACTGCCCATAAATGTCAGAGACATTCGCTCTCGTATTTGCTTATAGGTGAATGACGGAATTAATTGCCAAATTTCTCGAATAGGCCAGGAAAATTGAGACAGATTGCCTTCATTACACAAGTCCGCAAATAAACTTCCCTCTAAATGTCTTGAAATGAATTTCTCGATTTCACAATCTATGTATCTCTACTAATCTTATTCATTGTCGAATTAAATCCCATTTGTTGAGCACCTCAGACAATGGAGAGGCGCAAATTAAATCCCTATAGATTTCACTTGGTAATCCCATGAAACCTTTTGATAACAAATTAATCCTTTTAACTTGGTGTACTTTCTGTGCATTCACACAAATCGACCCATTCGCAATTCAACCTCGACTTAGCGCTTTCTCAGATCGCTTGAAAAATTTATGAAAGCTCCCGAGTTGCCAATTCATACATTTGCCGGATGAAAAATGTATGCGAAGGGTTGTGATTTGCTCTAAGGTGGAGATTTCACGTCTGCAAATTCCGCAATATGATGAATTATGTACTCCTGAAAATCGCATTATGTGGGCGAAAGCGCCCATTAATCTGACCTCACATGAGGCTGCATATTGAATGGTTGATCGGTTCTTGCAGAGGGACGTCGAATCAGACGGAAGAAGCTGAACCTGATATTCCCTCTGGCAATATTGCTCAAGTTGGCCCATCTCAAAGTCACCCTCCTGCCAATTCTGCTGGGCATCGGCTTCATTCAGGTTCTTCTGATTGCGGGCGGGGCTCTCCTGTTCCACTTCCTGCGGAACAACACGCTGTGCAAAGTGCAGCCACACCTCATTCACTCGCACAGCCACGTGACAGAATCAGGGCCAGGTGAGTTGATAAGCTGAGGTACGGCGTTGTGCATGAGTAGAATAAAATCTGCATAAGGGATGCATTTTTTGCCGAGTTGTCGCATTTCAAATGCATAGAGCATCTGACAAAGACGAGTGTACTTTTTTGCCGCACAATTAGCATAATGGAATAAATTTCACATAGCGCTGAATATTAATTAACAGGAAAAAATGAGAAAATAATTATTTTATGAAAATATTACGCAATATCTGGAAATATTTTTGGATTAAAGCAAATCAACCTAAAAGCTTTGCTCTCAAATCTTCTTTACAATCCTAATCGAGAAGTTCGACATTGGAAAGGAGGAGAATATAATTGATTTTTCCGTCTTTATTGCATATAATCTAGCATTTGGAGCGACAATATTTCATATTAAACATTTACTGGCCATAAATTTCTCACACCTTTACTTTTAGAAATATGGTTTGCCAGGTTTGGCCGCAATTTCAGAATTGTCTGTGCATTCAATTACTAATGGATTGTCCTTCTCCACAGAGGTCAGCTACAACTCCTACCAAGGCTACAATCCCTACGGACCTCCGTACGGAGGCCATATAGGTTACAACAAGGATTGGGCCACGAATCGTGCCTACAGTGCGTACAACATTGTGCCAGACGCGGAGAAGCAATAAATTTCAGGATGGTACCTGAGAGCCTCTCCTTCGACATCCATTAGATTAAGTAACACGCGAGGAGTCTCGTTTTATTGCACCCCTTGCTTTTCTCCATTTATTTTTATATTCCATTTTTTGTGCAATTAAGTCACATTAATTAAATTATAATCATTTTATTGTCACGGCTTAAACAACCACCTTTAAAGCAATTTACCTCTGCCACCCTTTTGTCACTAATTCTCCCTCACACGCTATTCCCCATTCCATCGCTAAGCGCACACACACATTTGCTGAAGAAGACAAAAAAAATGTATACAAATAAATTTATGCTTCACACAAGTCGTGAGTAACTTTTGAAGTGTTTTCTTTCCATTTCCATCGCGATGCAGTGCCGCTGAGGAAGTATTATTAAATTGGCAGGATAAAACCAATTAGAAACGACACATAAATAGCAACCATGCAAGAAATGCTCGCGTGTGGGGTTTGGGGGTGGCGGAAGTGAAAATAGTGCGCGAAAGAGAGGTGGAGCGCGTGAGGAGAAGACAAAGATGTTGTCACGGAGCTTCCAGTGAGCTTTTGCGCAGGCCTTCAGTTCCCCAAACTGCCACCCTTGGCATCCCTCTTTTCGCCCCACGCACGTCGCCTCGAAGGCATTCTTTTGGTCACTACTCACCGAAAATCTCTCTCTGCGCCCCTGACAAAAGGGGAGTTTCATTTATAAATATTTCATACATTAATTATACATGAGATTGCATAGATTTGAGGGTTGAATTTATTCAAGGGATTTTGCGGGTGGTCTGGCAAAATTCAATCTTCATAAAACAAGGGCGGTAAAACGTATCCAAGAAGTCCCATCCAGACTTGTCAGAAGTGTTCAGAGAGGGAGGAACTTTTAAATAAAGAAGGTAAATCATGGAAACCCAAATCTTATACAAGTTGCGCCAGAAGAGGACCTCGAATTCTATAAATATGGAATTGACTTTGAGGTAACATGCGAAGACAATTTGTTTATTCTCTCCATCTGAGTAATTAATCATGAATATTTAACAAATTAAACAATACCTTTTGTATGTATTGTGCGTACATATGTATTGTCTATAGTAGGATTTCTTAAGCAAACAAAAATTTACATTTCATAATTAAAATCGACCCTTTCAGAGAAAACTAACGCTGACAGGGTATGAAGTGATAAATTTTCAGAAATTAACAACCTCTTTAGAGACCTCAGATGCTCAAGGCTTGAATGCCATGGAAACAACATCTTGAAATGGCAGGTAAAAATTCAAAGCACAGCGTTTTTCATTAAAGTTTGAAATCAAATTTATTAATAAACATTCTGTCAATTTTTCTGAACTATTGTCAGCTTCGTTGATATATTTTTCATAGGCGCCAGCTTTCAAGCTGGCAACTGCTTTTAGCACAGTCCACGAAAGAATTTGTCAATCTGAATTCCATGGCGTGCGCTCGTACACGACGTGCATAAATCAAAGTGATATAATTTAAATTAATTTATGCACAAAATAGTGTTAATTATATCTACTAATCACTTACAAGAGGCCATAATTTTCTGTGATTCATATAAAATCAGGTTTGAAGTGAAAAAGAAGTGAAAACTTTAATTTTCAGTACAAAAAAGCATACGAAAATATAAATTACTAAAGAATGTGAGTCATGTTTCACAACTATTTTGGCGAAAGAATGTCTCGAGCAATGTCTCTAAACTTAAAATATTAAATGATTTTGTGCTCGGTGAATTTATTATGGAAGTACTTCTGATGCTTTCAGCTGCCTTCCTCAACGAGTGTTGTATCCATAAATATATTGTCGCACTCAAGTTGAACACGAAGAGTTTGATATATCCTCTTTGGGTCCATGATCCTGAGTAAAGTCAAGAGTAAAGTGGTCTGAGGCTCCTCCATAACTATAAAAGCCTCCCTTTCTGATAGGGTATAAACTGCGTTTTTCCGCCCCAATTCACCCCAAACGCTCAGCCTCATGGGCCGCCCCTGATTCTCCCCCGAGAGGCACACATTCCATATTCCACAATTGTGTCAACTGAGGTGTTGTCTGTGACAAAGTGTGTAAAGTCACTTCTCCTCAGCACTCTGCTCAGCCTGGGGGTGGAATGTTGAACGGGGAAATTGTGTATCATCTCGTGGAATTACTGAAGGGGGATTTAATGGTATTTGGCGGGCTGTTTCTCCTCTCTTGGAGCTCTCTCTCTCTCCCACTCTCTCTCGCTGCTTTTCTGCCACACAGAGAATTTGGAAGTTTTCAGTCTCTCGGAAACCGCCGGGGTATCCGTGCCAAATTTTCCACCAACTCTTGCTCCACATTTTATTGGCCTGAAAAATTCATCCAACCCCTACTGCAATCAGTGCAGGCCACCACGAATCGCCCCCCGTGTCGCCCCAGGGAGACTTTTGGGTGATTTCCACGGTGAATTGTGGCGAATTTGCGGTTAATTTGTTGAGGTTGAAGTTGTTGGCTCGCGGGGGAGTGTGAGCTGGAGACGACGAAGGGAAAAAGACGAACAGAAAATTGGTGTGTTGGAAGAGGAAGAAAAAAAGCGTCGGAAAAGTGACTGTGATAGGGTTGAGGGCTCCTTGTTCGCCTCTCTCGACAATTTTATCTCTGTGGCTCCGACAATGAAAAATCCTCCCTCGCTGACACGAAGTGGGATTAAGTCATCTTCCACTTCTTTGCGGGATTAGGAAGCCAGCTGATGTTTTTTGCCCACTCGGCCTCCCCCCAGTTCCACACAGTCTTGGGGATGGGAGTGACAGAGTTCGAAGGGTGAAATGTGAGACAATTAATGCGAGTGAAGAGTGACGTCTGGGGATGATTTTTCACGGAGTCAAATCAACTGAAACGGAGTGAATTTGCAGGTGGTGAGGGTGACTTTTGAAAGGAGAATTTCTCACTTCCTCTGTGTGGCAGCTGATGTGGAAAAAGGCGCCTTCAACCACGGGAAAATTTATCGATTTCCGGCCAGGACACTCGAGACTCATCCATTCGAGAGAATTGGCCTCTGTGATTTCCAGCGCGGTTCAACCGAGATAAATCAAACACCGCGCTCAAACTGTCACCTTCGTCACCCTGGAGGCTCAATGAATAAATAATAAGGTCATCCGGAGGCAGAGACTCCCGTGGCCTGTCGCAGAGGACGTGGACGAAGAAATATTAGTGGGTATTCGCAGACTTTTTGCGTGCGTGGTACGCGGAGTCTGGGGGTGGAAGACTGGAATGGATCATGCGCTCATCCTGTGATTTGTTTATATCCAACACTGACGCTCTCTCGTCTGAGAAAACTGTACCACACTCTATTTGGACGTTATTCAATTATCCACCGCCGGGATCATCCGCTGTGAGCCACCCCACAGAAGGCCTGAGACAGTGAAAGGGTGCGGAGAGCCTCTTTTGCGCATCTCATACATTTTGCAACACGCGTCTCCATTCATGGGGTGGTCACCCCAGCCCTGAATTCTCCCCCACCCGGAAGAGACCGCGCAATCAGTGGTGAAAAAATTTGCACGCCGGGGAAGAGAATTGCTACGTGACACACTAATTGATGAGGTGGCGCGGTAACAATCTACAGCCCTCGAGAACTTGTGCAACGTAAAGCATGGCAAAAATGCTGAATGGGGAACAAGAGGTGTCTCGGCGTGATGACGAGGAAGTGGAGAGAATCAGTGAGTTGTACGAGAAGAGACCCGAGGCTTTCGAGAAGTGGCTGAGGGAGAGAGCGCCTCCAGATGCCATCCACAAGATCCACGCTATTGTCACAAAGTCGCCCAAGAGTCCGAGGAAGGGTGGGTCAGTGTCTTCTGACCTCTTTCAGCAGTGGCTGGCACTCTCGCCAGTAAGGGTGAGTTGCCTCGAGGGGCTTTTAAGTCATTAAATAAATTTCATGCATGCATAAAATGTGGAAATCATCCCATCTTTGTGAAAAGTAATCAAATTCAGATAACATGCAATTTATTACCCATATGGCTCTCATGGTACATTTTCTTGATATTGAGCGATTTATGCGTTCCTAGCCATTGTAAAGGTTATCCAATCGTGTAGTGCTGCAACATCGACAAAGCCTTGTGGACCAGCAGTACAGCCAGAGTTCATTGAGAACGATACCAGTCCAACTTGAATCAATTTACCACCCTTCTTTATCACACCTGGGCCTCCGGAATCCCCATGACAGAAACCACTGATTGGGACATTTTCGTCTTGGACACAGAAAACCGGCACGGCCAATCTGTCATCTCCGTCGTCTTGATACGCTTTTTCACACACATCCCGCGGAATGACCGTGAGAACGGTGTAACGCAATTCAGTTGGGGAAGGCCCTTCATTTGTAATGTCTCCCATGCCCATGACAGTCACATTTTCGCCCACGTAGGATTCTGAGTTCCAATATCCAGGCGCGATCTTAATGGGGAACACATATTCGTCAAAGGTGAATCTCTTAGTCCTTAAGAGGGAAACGTCATAGTCCAGAGTCTCACGGCTGTAGTTCGGATGAAGGAAGGCATGATCGTTGATTACAATGTCACTTTGTCGCGGTTGCCATCTTATGATCGATCCCGCTTCAATATGGTAAGTGATTGGTTCTGAGGCATTGGTGGTTGCGACGTAACAATGACCGGCTGTGAGGACCCACCTCGGAGCAATTATGCTCCCACCGCAGCTGTGAATGCCAGTTTCACTCCAAGGACCGCCATAAGCGATCACACGAACCCAGTAGGGAAATTGGCCCTCTTTGGCAAATTCTCCATTGATAATTCTACTTTCCGTTGTATCAGATGCGATGGACTGCAAGAATTTTCACAAAATATTTATTCAAAGTTATTTTGAAAGAAGAAAATATTTATTTTACTTTAGAGCAGACAGATATGAGCGAAGTGTGCAATAATATTGCTACGAAAACACCCAAAAACTTCATGATTCCACAACAGAACTTCTTTTAATTTGTAAAAATATTTCATTCACGCATTCTTAAATACCAAAAATGTTAAAGAAATCTATTCACCACTGACCCCAATATATCCAAAGTAGATTAATGCGTCTGTTGCAATATAAAGAGACATGTTGAGCCATCGTAAACAAGTGGTTATCACTTCTAGTATTAACACGAAATCTACCATAGTAAGCAAAATGACATATTTACCTAGTGTTAGACAGAAGAAATTGACTTTTATTTGCGACAAGGTTATCAGAATTCATCTAAGATAAATAAAGCAATTAAAAATAATTGCTTCATTTGTCCGCCTCGAAGGAAAACGAAATTAGTATTTGTCGAAACTCTGGTAAATACAGTGTTAATAATAGTGTTGCTTAGAAATGGATTACACACGTGTAAATTAAAGTTCAGAAATCAAGAACCCGATTTCAAGTCATGAACGCTGTTTGGGTGAATTAACTGCCCTTCATTTCCTGCTTTCCCGCACCAAATTATTCCACTCCCGGGCGTCGTATCAACAAGCAAGTGCCGAAAGTGACAAAAAAAGGTCACCTCGAGGGCTTCTACACTTTCTCATCTGTCTCATTTCTTTTCTTTTAATTTTCACCCCTCATTCAAGTCATTTATCACCGTCACCAAATTGACTCTGCAGGAAAACACACTCCGAGTGTAATTTGATTTCATTCCGTTTAATCACTCAAGTGTACTCTTGTCTTCATCAACCCCCAGAGCTTTCTTCCCCATTTTGCAAACTTTTCATACTTTTCACATAATCAGACTAAAACAACTTACAACAGAAAGTCGATGAATTTTAATTAAAAAACACAGAGTTTGTAAGTTTATCTAAGGAGTCGAAAGAATGACCACATTATAAATTATTAATGAAATTTCTCACAAGTAAAATGCAATATTCTCTGAAAGAAAAATGTTCCTTCTTCGCGATGCAAAATATGTAATTAATTAAGCAAAAAGCTAATAAACGCTTCTCTGAATATATATTCTTTTATATTCTAATAATTCTGTTGCACACGAAATACATTTTGTATTTGTGTTCACTGGAATCACACGCAAAAAGTATTATAGATAAATAAATTTGCCATAAATCAATAATAGTTCACACGATTCAATTTTATAAAATGAAATCGACAAAATAGTGCACAAATACACAGGGTTTTAAAAAGCGTTTATGTATTTGCAAACATCGTGATTAAATTTTCATCACTGATTCGATATGCATGTTCATTTATTTACTTCAGCAATTTTCCGAATTTTTTATATACAAACTCTCTGGTCTTTATTAGTTTTCCCCTTGCATTAACGAGAAATTTATAGCATTTCAATGAATCAGGCGGTCAACTGATTATAATGCTAAATATTCATGATATTTTCCTATCGACTGTGTTAAATATTTATTAAGTGTGCAAAAAATGTATAAAACATGCTGTACGCTGGGGAAAAGGGCAAAAACCATGAGATTTGTTTGGTGAATAAATAGCTTGCGGTGTTTGTTGATTGGTGTGGCAGAAAGTGCTCTGAAAGTTCACCTTTACGGGAAGCCATAGATAAAAATTGGCAAAGAATTTAATTCCAATGCAAACTTTCTGCCTGGCTTCGCTTTTCCACATTTCACGATGAGAGGGAAAATACCTCAAGCCGCTCAAGCCTTAAATATTCATATTGAAACCTATTTGAGTCGTCAATTCATGAATATATTTTTCCCACCCACACGCATCTTTCACCCCTTCCAGCGGAGTCGCACGACCCAGAATCAACGCGCGATTGGCTCGAGAAAGCATCTGGAGAATCTGAATGAGAGCGAATTGTTTATGGAATTGATTCGCGATGTGGCCAATGAACTGGATATCGATGTTCTCTGCCACAAGATCCTCGTGAATGTGGGTCTGCTCACGCAGGCGGATCGCGGCAGTCTGTTTCTGGCGCGCAACACGCCTGCGGGCAGAATTCTCGTGGCGAAGCTGTTCGATGTGACACAGGATACGGCGCTGGAGGAGGCCATGAGGCAGGCCCACGAGGAGCCCATTGTGATCCCCTTCGGGGTGGGCATCGCCGGCATCGTGGCGGAGACGAAGGAGATCATCAACATCAAGGATGCATACAAGGATAAGCGCTTCAATGGTGAAATTGACTTGAGAACGGGCTACAAGACCAACTTAATCCTCTCAATGCCAATCTGCAACTACGAAGGCGACGTCATTGGTGTGGCAGAAATTATTAACAAGATTAATGGTAAGGCAAAATTTCTTATTCATGAAATTTCCGTCCGAAAGAAAGTAGTATTTGCTGAGAGAATTTATAATAATGTCAGAATGCTCAAGTCAACTCATGTATTCTGCGAGCACTTTTAGGACTTGAGGCAATTAAGGTTATCACTCTCTCTCACTTCTAAATTTGCTTTATAAAAATCAAATTAACATTTCAACCAACATTAATCATTTTGATAAGCACCGCGAACGTGGTGTAAAAAATTAGGGATTTTAAAAGATGTCATAAATTAAGGTGACATTTAGAAACACGGACAGAGTGTAAATGATGGAATTTTCCCCTTTTTCTCTCCTCTCGCAATTGGCAGAAGAAGCTGATGAATTCTCGGAGAAGGACGTTGAGGTATTTCGTCGATACCTCACATTCTGCGGCATTGGCATTCAGAACGCTCAACTATTTGAAATATCCGTCCAAGAGTATCAGCGTAATCAGATCCTGCTCAATCTGGCGCGGAACATCTTCGCCGAGCAGAGCAACCTGGAGTGCCTCGTGACGAAGATTATGCAGGAGGCGAGGGAATTGCTCAAATGCCAGCGCTGTGCAGTATTCCTCCTTGATTTGGACTGTGGCGAAGCGGTGAGTACCTTGTTTCCCTGCCATGATATAAAAAAATCTCATTAAAATCATATCTATTATGCAAATGGTCCATTCCGGGCCGCACCATCTGTAAAAATAGAATCACCTGGAGCGGATTTTGGAGAAGCCATCGCAGAGTATTCAAACATTTTCGCGACGTCAGAGCAAAGTCATCAACGTGGAGGATATTCTGGAGCAACAAGTGAGTTCTTTTTTCCACCAACACAATGGGATGAGGTGTGATTTGATGTTTTCTCCAAATCATTGTTGACATGATGTATTGGTAGAAAATGTCTAGTTTGAATTTGAATGTCTTAAAGTGATGATTTTGACTCTCGATAAATTCTAGAGAGTGCCTGAATTTATGGGTTGTGTTGAAATTTCCATTATTGATTGCATAACAATGAACAGTGATTCTTCATATAATTAAATGTATCACCAGCAAAATTAATAGCATGTATTTAACAGAGCTTTTATCGCAAACAACAACAAAAGGAGTAAAATTATATAGCTGATTTGTATGAAACCTGCATTAACCTTTTGACATTTTTAATATAGTGTTGCACATGTTATGAATTATAAAGAGATTGGTACTCGAAATTTAAATGGATGGGTAAATTGTACTGTATTTCAACACATTCATGCAACTATTTACACACCATCCAGAAGTAACACAATGTGACATGAAATTTTACCAAGAATTCTCGAGGGGGGAAAATTTGCATCGTCACCATTTGAGCCATCTCTGCTGGATGACTTGGGAATTAACCCATTTTCCCCTTTACAATTTCCACCCAGAAATCACCCATTCGCTTCACCACCCTGTTCGAGTTGGGGGCGGAGAACCATGTGAGCACAGTGAGCCGCCCCACCATGGAGGATCTGCAGAACTCAACTCTGGCGCTCATCGCCCAGATGGTGGCGTCCACAAATCAAATCCTCAACATCGAGGACGTGCGAGAGTGGCTCAAGGACAAGACGTCGCTGTTCAAGGACGACGAGGCGGACAACATCCACACAATCCTCTGCATGCCCATCGTGAATGGCGCTAAGGACGTTATTGGCGTTGCTCAATTAATTAATAAGGTGGAACTTTGCGAATAGCTTCGCTTGTTTGCATGTTTGCTCACTCGTCAAGTGATTCGGTATTCAAATAGCTCACGCTAAAGCCACGCAAAACTCAAATTTCACACCGGCGCCTAATTAATTACACATGTAGGAAATTGAGGGGGCATGTTTGCAAACGCCAGGCGAGTGATCATTAAATATTCAGTCGAAAAAGACCCGTAATCGCATGTCGAAAAATATATATTTCATGCGATAATTGTTGTAGAGAGTTAATGGATCAAAGCATTAACGTTAGCACTGGACCGTGAGCGGAGATTCCAATCTAATTTATTTTACATCCTGAAAATACTTGCAAATTGATTCGACCTTTGTCCATTTAGTGTTTTCCTGGGTGGCATAATTCGGGCTCTTATCACTATTTAAATAATTACGAACTGTGTTGTGTTAATCAATAGACCTCGCAATGTTTTGTCTGTCTAATTAAAGAGATAATGGAAATTGATCACAATGTTCAGGATTCGTGATTTTGAGTGCATAAACAAATGTATTTGTTATTTTTAGACATTTCGAGTGTTTCTGGGAAAATTTTCATTGAAATTATTGTGTCCCGGTAGCATATTTATGAAAACAAGTGATTCACTGGCATAATATGTTATGCAATCGTAACTTCACACGGGTAAAACATAAACTGAAAAGGCATATGAAGTGCCAAAATAATAGGGATTTAATTACGCCATCAATTCAGTAAAGTTTACAGCCCAAATTACAGTGATACAGATTTCGGTTCTTTAACTCGCTGTCAAACACTTTAGTCAATTAAAGCAATTTCAAGTTTCATTAGGCAAGTAAATAGCAAGAACGTGTTGCCACTATAAATCATTGATGTTCACTAGTACAAATGTTTATTCATTTTAATGACGAACATCCTGTACATTAGGCAGGCAAATTAGATTGTTTATTATTCATAGTATTAAGTTCGCCGAGGGCGCCATTGCAAGCTCCCCATGGCACTGAAAATAGCACTCTTTCTCTAAACTTGGTAAGAAAGTGTCTGTTACAACGCCATCGTAGATGTCACCTCATATGATATCCCATTACGCTCCTATGTCATAAATGCATAATAGATCACGAAGAGCCTCTTCAGAATATTCCATACGATGTTTACATGAAATATTAATATCATATGTTCTTTGCAGAACACCGAGTCGAGTTTCAGCGAGTTGGATGTGTCAATTTTGGAGGCATTTGCGATATTCTGCGGTCTGGGTATTCACAATACGCAAATGTATGAGAGCGCTTGTAAGCTGATGGCGAAGCAGAAAGTGGCCCTCGAGTGTCTATCATATCACGCCACAGCCAGTCAGGAGCAAACACTGAAATTGGCCCAAGACAGTATTCAGTCGGCCGAGCAGTACAGCCTGTACAGCTTCAAATTTATAGGTGAGAAAATTCAATTTCCGCCACACACAGACCATATTAACTATCTATCTGTCCCGCCCACAAATTAGATTTCGACCTCTCCGACGATGACACCTGCCGTGCCACTGTGAGAATGTTCCTGCAATGCAATTTGGTCCAGCAATTCAATATTCCTTATGAAGTAATTATTGCAGAGGTTCTGCCTCAATTTCCTTTGTTTCCACCACAATTAATTCCATTTCCCTGCGGTCTCGTGCCAGGTCCTGTGTCGCTGGATACTCAGTGTTAGGAAGAATTATCGGCCTGTTAAGTATCACAATTGGAGGCACGCACTCAATGTCGCCCAGACCATGTTTGCCATGATGAAGACCGGAAAGATGGAGGTGAGTGTCAGGCTATTAATTCTCCTGAGACGTTGAATCGCTTAGCTAACATGACGGTGTCTTTAACTTTTGCAGCGCTTCATGCACGATTTGGAGATTCTGGGTCTTCTGGTGGCTTGTCTTTGTCACGATCTCGACCATCGTGGCACCAACAATGCCTTTCAAACAAAGACAGAGAGTCCTCTGGCCATCCTTTACAGCACAAGCACGATGGAACATCATCACTTCGATCAGTGCGTTATGATTCTCAACTCCGAAGGCAATAATATTTTTCAGGTACTAGAAAAGCATCAATTAGAGAACATTAATTAGGATAAGTGAAAGTGTCTTTCTATCACAGATAATGTATATCTTGATTTTATAAGTAAATTACTTATTTCAATCGAAACTGTACTTTTTGGAGAGACAGACTTGTTTTGAAACAATCTTGTACATTATATCAGAGTTGAATTACCTTACTTTAACTCATGTTTCTCATAGTCGAATGAGTTTAATTATCGTAATTCTCAGGAGACAAGTAAATTCCTGCACTACTCTAATGTAAACATTGCAAAAGTCATATTTATCATAGGTAAAACTTTTATTACATGTTAAGTTAATGTTTACCCCATGTGTGAATAGAGAAAATTGTCCCAATTACTTAAAAGCATTTAATGAGGAATTATGCAAAAATAAATTAGTTTTTGTCAATTTATTGTCACTACAGAAGTTTAATCCTGTTTTTTAGTATAGTTTCTAATGAAGTTTGACAAAAACATACAAAATATCTTATGAATGTTGAACTCAAAAGCTGCAATATGATTTGGCACTCAGAACATTTCAGTCGTAACTCGAACTTTCCCTTTTGCAGGCTCTCTCGCCGGAGGACTACAGACGCGTGATGAAGACTGTGGAGGCGGCGATTCTCTCCACGGACCTGGCCATGTACTTCAAGAAGCGAAAGAGTTTTCTCGACCTCATCGAGTCGGGCGAGTTTGATTGGCAGGGCGAGGAGAAGAAGGAGTGTAAGTTTACATTTTCCAATGAGACTCTGCTAAGGTATAACTTTTCAATAACTCACGAGATACCTCACGTGAGCTGAACACTCTCCTCTTCAGATTGGAAAAAAAGAAATTTGATGTGACTCACAGAGAGGCAACGAAGCAACTTAGTTTCATGTTGAAAAGTGTTGTTGATTCTCAGAAAGATTCCTCTAACGAAACAAGTTTTTCGAATGAAAAAGATTTTGACTAGGGGGAAAATTCATTACACTTCCAAGAATTTACAGTTTACTCAAATTTCTTCAAAATCCGTAATGGAATTCATTATATAAACTGCATGAAATTCCTTAAGAGATATTCTTGGTTCGGAATAATAAACAGGAGAAACTTTACTAAACCACTGTAAGCTTTGTGGATTGTCAGAGCATGGGGAGGAAAATTAATCTCATCTTTCATCCAATTCTCACTTGAACTAATGATATTCACAAGACTGTGGATTTTCGGCAAATGAAACACCTTTTCTCGTGCTCTGAAGTGGTCGTTAATCAACAAAAAGACCCCTTGACTCCATTTAGAAGCTCCTTGATTCTCAGGAATGTCTCTCTTTGTCGGGATTTCCGTAGCACTGGAAAATGACTTATGAGCAGCAATGGGGACAATTTAAATCATTCATGAATACACAAGGAAAGCATTACTGTCATTTAACTTAATAATCCTCAAACAAAGGATTTGTAGCTCTTTTGCAGATTACAGATTCAGTTGCGTTGCAAATGCTCCTGAAAGTCTTGTTGAATTGAAATTCAATTGAGTGTATCTGTTTTGATACTGATAGATTTGCATTGGAAATCAATTGAATTGGTGTAGAATATCAAAGTAGTGTATCAATTAGTACACTTGACGGCATTATTAGCAAATTGAAAATGTGAGATCATATCTTCAAAGAGAACATTGCCTAGCAAATGAAACGAGAGGCTCGACAATCTGCTCGATGGGATAGATGGATTTGTGGGGGGTAATTGATTATTTTCCCATGTAGATTTCAGCTCCGGAAATGTGTATTGATTCCGCTAAATTTGTGCAAGCTCTCTCTCTCATTCTCTTCCTCCCCGAAAATCGGCAGTATTAGCTTGTTATTTATCTACGATGGAGTAAATCAGGCTGGGAGTTGGGGCGCAATCCGAAGCTCCTCACGACCTTCATTGAAATTTTATGATGGGGTGAAGAGAGATGTCTTGACGAGAGTCGAAATGAGGGTAGAACGAATGAATATTAATGACTTGAAATCTCATACAAAACGCTTATGTTGGCCTCAGTAAATAATTTATAAGGAAGTAATTAAAGAAGCCAAGAAAAAAGTCGCACAATCCACCCCCAGAAAACTCATTTTGCCTGCCACAAGAAACGCTGTAAGCCCTTCCGCCCATTTCTGCAGCCATTTTCCCGAGTGGGTGGTAAAAGATTGAAGTATCCATTGAATGCTTACAAAATTACAGGACATAAAATGTTTCACAGACGGCAAGCTTTACTTCAAATGTTTCATTTCTAAAAGTTTCTCGTAGTATTTTTCAATCTCCTGAAATATCTGCAATTAAATCACAGTCAATTAATCCACACTCAATTTGCAGTGCGGAAGAAGACAGTCTGTGGGAGAATTAATACTAATTATTGTTTAATAATATCAATATTATATATCAATTGATTGAGTTATTAATTGAAAGATAAAGATATTCGATCAAATTCACACAATTAATTTAATGATGATTTCCATGATCTGATTGTTTGGCCGATTCATATCTCTTGCTTGACTATAATGACACAGTTAGTATTGAACCGATAGTTTCATTATAATACTAGGTTCTTTCGGAGTATTCACCGCCTAATTTCCATATCAATTTCAGTGCTCTGCGGCATGATGATGACAGCGTGCGATGTGAGTGCAATTGCTAAGCCTTGGGAGGTGCAGCACAAAGTGGCGAAATTGGTGGCGGATGAATTCTTCGATCAGGGCGACTTGGAGAAGCTGCAACTCAACACACAGCCAATTGCCATGATGGATCGGTAATTTGTCCCGACACTTTCTGTCTCTGTACCAATTTCCATAAAATCCATAAAAAAAAGCACCCTTTATGCGCCATTCATCCATCTCGTGCTGATTCCACACCCTTTCGCCTCTTCTCATCCCCCAGAGAGCGGAAAGATGAACTGCCCAAGATGCAGGTGGGCTTTATTGACGTCATATGTATGCCACTATATCGTGTCCTGTCGGAGACATTTCCATGGATGCGGCCGCTGTACGAGGGCACGATGGACAATCGACAGCACTGGCAGGACTTGGCGGAGAAAGTGGAAATGGGCTTGACATGGATTGATCATGACACAATTGATAAGCCCATTGAGGAGTTTGCTGGTGAGTCGCCTGAATTCATAAGTAGTCCAAGGGTTGACATGCTCATCACAATGGTGTACATTGGCAATTGTGTCAGTGCAAAAGCTTTTCACATCGGCAGAACAATAATGCCATTCTGTTAAACGTGTTGCATTGACCATTGAGGTAGCTTTTCACAAATAATTATCAGTGCTGCTATTTCACTAGAATGTGTGTCGCTCTTCAATCAGATGCAGCAGCAATGGCTTTTAAAGTAAAATAGAAAAAGAATAGATATGACTTCTCTCAATGCAATTCATCAAGAGTGCTTCCATTCAGAAATTAAATGTAGGTCAAAACAGCATCTCTTATTCACAAGATAAATTCATTGCAGAATAAACAGAGAATGAAGTGAAAGATCTCTTAGAATCCCCTCGACAATTTAATTAAGCTAGAACAATAGAAATATCAATTGAATATATATAAACGAGACTTTATTTGACTCGTGGGATTAATTTTTCTGATGCGAGATAGGAACTTTAGTATTAAATTTCTTAAAGTGTTTTCCTAAGATCCTCCCATGTGGTTTCATTCTTTGCTCCGCTGAAGCTTGATTAATTTGTCAAAAAAAAGATAAGACACAGTATCTTTCTGGACTTGAAATGACTAGGAGAATCCTTGAAACGGTAAATTCTCAACTCTTTTGATGAAACAATTTATCAGGGACATTCTGAATGGTGGCTCCATTGAAGCCATGGTCTCTTGCCACTCGGGATTCTTCATCAAGTGCAGGGGGAAGATTTAAATGGCAAAAGACAAAAAACGACAGCAATCCATTCATTTATCACACACCGTGAAACGTGACAGTGTCTGCAAAGACTGACAGACACTATGAATTGTACACCAAGTGTTTCCATCATCCACCCCTTGACTGAGGCGGATGGTTTATCTCAGACCCCCGCCCATCGAAGGTGGTGCGGGTTGCATGAAAAAACACTTCCACCGAAGACAATCTAATATGACAAAAGCTCTTGCACGTGAGACACAATCAGAGAAAAAGCATGTCTAACATGACAATATTTTTCCTTGAAGAAAAACTTATGTGGAAATATCTCCTTCTTTGTTATCAATCCCCCCACCATGTGTAGCGTGCACAGAAGAAATAAAGGACATCGAATTCACTGTGACAACTCTCAATTGTGTGCACAACGAGGAGACTTCGCCGTCACATGAGAGGCATCGCCGATTCAATAGCCTGAGGAAATCAAATGTTCTGTCGAGGGCGGTGCGGAATCGTCTCTCAAAGTCACTCTACTGCAGCAACTCCAGCAAGAAAGACCCAATCGATGACACGTCCGACACTGCAGAGGACACCACACCGCCGACCAAGGAGACGTCCAAGAAAGCCAGCGGTGAGCGGAGCAAAGGGCACAAGAAGCACTCCCATCGCTGCCTCTTGCTGTGACCAGAGGCCCGCAATTGCAGGAGGAATCTCTAAGCTTCGTCTGAACCCCCATCTCAATCTCACATGGTACTAACAATGGAGACAATGATATGAAAAGGAGTCTCTCTAAATTTTGCAAAAAGTCCTATATATTTGAGTTCTTTTGTCAATGACATAGCATAATTAATTTTCTGTGGTAATAAAGGTGGAGATTTTGTAAAGGAGATATTATTAAAAAAAAAAATACCAAAGGAATAAAAGATAATGTTAGACACATTTCACAATAGCAAGAGCAATTATAGAATACATATTAAAGGTAATAGTAAATTTAAGTAATATTAAATTGAATAAAAGTAAGTGAAACATTCATGTGATTGAGGAAACACAGAAGAAGCATTTTTTATCTCCAGCTCCCCACACATCCATCCACCTTTTCCTCTCTATATTCTCCCACGGTGAGCTCAGAAAGTGTTTTTCTCGTATAAATAATGCAAGAGGCACTTTCCGCAGGTCTACGGACGACCCATTTTGCAGTCGTAGACTCGCCCGAAGGATTCAGTGTATAGAAAAGTGCAAGTTGCTGCATTATTGTCGAAAGACATTTCAGCCACTTTGAACTCTGGATTAACAGAGATCTTGAGCGTGTAAGTGCCATAATCAATTTCACTAATGTCCACCCACTGGCAATCGATACTGTACCTATAAATGTCGGTGCAATTCACAGAGATTCCTGCAAAGAGGGGAGAATAAAGAGGAAAACTTTCTTCAGACACTTTGAATTTTTCATCACCTCCTGCAAATCATCAGGATGAATGTTTCCATGGGACCCAATGATATCACTCTTCACAAATATTAATCTTCTACGGGTAATTAATTCTTGCAATTGGCACAAGAAACTTTCTCCATTATTTGCCCGCGAGGGATCCTCAATTTACATATAAGAATCAGTTAGTAAGTCCCATTTGAAATATTCGCCAGACAATGGTGAGTTATTTTCCAAGAAGGGAACCATATTGTACTCAAGAGGGTATTTATCTGTAAAATATTATTGCTGGCAAAATGAAGATTCGCCCTAAAACTTTGCTCTCCTTCTCCCAAAGCAACTGAAGAATGTGACTCGTAACAAAGGCCAAAAGGCAATACAATTGCTTGGTATTTCGATAACTACACATGTGAGAGGGATTTTCAGGTGAGTCTGGAGAAATTCCAAGAAGCTTTCATTCACATTGAACTTACTTGACTGTATATTGACAAGATTCTCTCGGATTTCACTTCAGTTGCAATTAAATCAGAGAGAAAAACTATATAGAATACTCCACTTAAAAAAACACCATATTTTTGCAATAAGTGAGTCTTCTGTGAGCTTACAGTCTTTATTGCTAGACTTAACTTGGAGAAACTTTATCAAAGAGCTTACTAAATTCATGGAAAGCTCTCAAAAAGTTAACATGATAAGTTAATCAACCATGTTTGCATTGCACGTCTGGCGATATTTCGCATTTTCCTCATCAAAATTATCTACAACTCATTTTCTTTAAGACTCTCTAAATGACGCAATGACTCGTAAAATTTCTCCCTTGCCCCAAGGACAAAGAGCTGACACATTTCCTGATGGCGTTGCGAAATTGATATGTAAATGTTAAAGTCAATAGAAAATGTAACCGAGAATGTTGGGAATCAATATTGTCAGATACGGAAGGGCTTGTAATGCCTTCCTTGAGATGAACTTTAAGGTTAGGCAAAGTTGCTAAATTAATTTACATGCTCGATATTCATGATGAAGAGTGGGTGTATGCAAAATTGATATACGATGTGTGCTTGCCAATAAATCTCTGAATACCTCAGAAATCATTGAATTAGGAAGTAGTGGAAGGATGATACTGTAGTAATTTTGGGTGCAAGCAGCGAAGGAGTCAACAAACCAGAGTTCAACCAATACACCAAATATAGTGGCCAAAGTGTAAACTTTGCAAAATTAATGAACTTTCAGTTATTTCGGCGGTTTCTTCCTCATCAATCTCAGATTATTGCTACTCCAGAGAAGAAAATTATATTCAGAAAATTGAGAAAGACAAGCGGTGGCAGTGTTACGGTTTTTAATGAGTTGAGAAAGTGCAATAGATGTTTTAATTGAAAATTTCTGTCATACCGAACAGCTGTGTCGATGAATTGAAACATTTCGGCGGATTCTCATTAGGGACAAAATCAAATACGAACAGTGTACGGAGGAAAGTAAAACAAGAGTGTCGAAAGGGGTGGAAGAAAGAAGTTCAACTTGTTGAAAGTCTCACCTTGATCCCCGTAATTGGCACAAAAGTATGTGGCCTTAATTCCCTCGTCACATTGATTGTCCTCCAAGCAGAAAGAGGCTTTGTGGCCTTCGGCGATTTTCTTTCCACTCCCGTCGATGACATCGAATGTAGCGAAGACTTCCATGCTGTGATAGTGCCTAAGAGGAGATAAGGTGTTGCTTAGATAGATACAGTACAATAAGAAAGACCGGAAATCCATTGAGTCAGTTCATAAGTTTCTCTTCATGCGCTGAAGAAAGGGCGGTAATTGAATTTTCACTCTTGCACACGTTGGTTTTTTTTTACAGGATTTAGGATTTGTCACTTAAACCGCTTAGGCGTTTGATAGCACTTCAGCATCTTGATGTAATGGTTGAATTTCATCAGCAACACCACCATCAAATAACCAACGATAATTGTGCAAAAACTTGTGAATGAACCTAGATATTTGCACTTACATGTGACACATGTGCCATTCCCACTGCTCCTGTGTGGAGGAGTAAGAGAAAATAAAAATGAGAAAGTTACGAAATGAAATTAGGAGATAAGTTCAACAAACTTTCGGGATGTGGGACCGAAAAGCCGCCGTTCCGTCATTACGGACACTGGCTGTGAATTTCAAGAGACGCCTCGTTGCTTGATGCCAGTTGTAATCTGTCTTTTGGATCTCGTACGCTTGGGCGGCCAGACAATTCTCCTCCATTGCGCACTGCAGGAAGAACAGTGGTCTGTCCTCGAGGTGGGCCGTCTGCTCAATCTCCTTGAAGTCCAGCACCAAATCAGCCATCTTCTCCTCACACATCACGCCCGCCACGTGTCTCTTGTTGCCAGAACAATGCGCCTCCGCCGAAGACACCTCGTGATGGAGGCAATCCTGCAAATGTGTCTCGTTGCCGTGGCATTCTGTGCCCGAGAGGAGGATCTTCGGAGTCGCGTCGGGGGGTGTGAAATAGTCCGTTTGCAGAGCGGCGCTCGCAAAACCCAAGCCCAGAACTCTGCACGCCACATTCGCCTCCAGAAGTGACCAGCCGTCGGCGCAAATTGCACCCCAGGGACCCACATTGTTCAGTCGCACCTATTGAAATTTTAATTGTATTTTTTCCTCATTCGCAGAATCATCACCATGCCAGAAGTACTTTTGAGAACTTTCATTGCATTGTAGCGGATTTTTTAATATGAAACATGTGACAAATGCATATTTCACAGCAGTCCCTCTTCAATTCATATTCAACAGGGCCCAGAATTCAATACCATTTCAACTGTATTCAGTGCATCTGATTGAATTTCCTCCCCAGATGTGCCTTTTCATCAAACATGCGGGGTACTTGTAGAGAAATATATCTTTGCATGCACCTTTCATCAGGCGACTGTCAAATGGTGTGAATAATTTCAGCGGAAGAACTCAATATTGAAATGAATAGAGGAGAATTTTTATCTCATTTTGAAATCAAAAGCATCTCAGAATAATGCAAAAGGTAATTCCCAGCTCCTGATGCTGAGCGAAATGCACAATTGAATATACGATATTAAATCTATTACTGAGATAGCTGTTGTATGTATAAGAAAATGAGGAAAACTTATCTACAAATTTACCACTTCACGCTACTAAAATCTTAATTTTACCATGTCATCAATATAAATCCCTTAAATTTATGATCCATTCCGAAAGCTTCTGGGTGTCGGTAAAATGTTCCATGTCATAAAATGTCGCTAGTGAAAGGAGCTGGGAATAGCTTGAACATAAGTAAAATAGGTGAAATACGACTCTATGATAAAATTTCCTGCTTCCTCCTCTCATGCAGGACATGAGTTACTCGGGCATTGAAGGGAAGGAAAACTGTGAGGAAAACTAACATTTAAAAAGTGCAAGTTCTGAGATAAAAATCACATAAATCTGTGCCGGAGAAAGTTATATTCTGAGTCACTTAAGAAGGGGTAAAAGGTGCTCTAACCTTGTTTTTGTAAGTGGATGCCATATATTTCCTCTAATTAAATCCCTGAGCAAATTGCAAATATGCAGAGACTGTCCATAACTATTTTGTGCGGTGGAAGCAAAAGTTGGTAGAGCACAAATTGCACTTGTACTATCTTATTTAAACTTCAGCAATTTATTGATCAACACTCTGGTGCAATTTTCCATTCAATGAACTAACATTTTTTTTTTTGCAAAAGGGCAAACCCACACACGGACTGCAATTGAAAGGGCTTTTCCATCGACAAACTGCAAAGCAGAACAGAGGGAGTTTGTGTGTAAAATTCCACAAAATAAAGCATTTCCGGATGGCAAAAAACTCCGTGGTAGTCAGTGTTCATTGGCCGACAAATTGTACAGAGCAATTTGGGCAAATATTGATGTGAAATTGAACAACAATTGGCGCAATGAATATAATTAATCAATATCATTGCCAACATAGCTCAATGTGTGCAATTATGTAAATACAATGGATTAATGAAAATTCACCATTGAGACCGATTGAAATGGCGACAAATTTATTTTCGATGGTTAAGTAATTTTGAACGTATCAAACATTGCATCAAATGCAAAACTATATTCATTTCACTTTGAATTAATATTTGAAAATCTTGTTCACATGCAACCTGCATTTCGACAAATGGGATATTTGATGCACGAATGTTAGTTCCAAAATTGAAACCTTAATTCAAGATAAATCGAATTAGCAATGAGATTATCACCTCTGCAGAATTTTCACCTGAATTTAGAATAATGAAACATCATCAACTATTTCTAATAGAATTTACAGATGCTCTTCACTTATATAAATTATTTTGTAATAAACAAGCTATGCTGCAATGTTATGCGACTTATATTTTATCAAAAAAAAACTTAGAGAAGCTCGAAAGATTAGATATTGAGAAAGAAAATGTCTATGGCAAACAACAAACTAAAATATTTATGGGAATATTGACTTTCAGACCATTTTTGTGTGGTGAGGTGATTGACATATACCCAAGAACAGAGACAAACTTAAGTAAATTCATTTTCTCAGAGAAATACAGATAAACTGGTAATATTTTTTGGCTATTGCGAACTCAATATCATTGGCCAATTTGGTATTAATTAATGTTTATAGCGTATAACCATTAATCTTTCGTAAATTTTGTCAATTGCATTCTTGATGAAGCAGAACATGCACATGATTTCGGAAAATATATCAATGATTTATTATGTAAGAGTACAACTGAATAAAATATTAATTTGCCAATAAACAAGGGATCATCTGTGGTCGAAAGTTCCCAAATTGTAGCCTCAATAATGTTAGATATGCGCATGCAATAAGTTTATAGCATTTACTCTATAGTCATGTTTCATATCGTGTTTCAAATGTGATTCAAAACTTTGTACTCCAAATGGTTCTAAACTTCTAATTGAAAATATTTTCGTTAGTGGTCAAATTGCGTATGCTATACTGAATGGTGACCATTCAATCCATTGCTGCTATTTATGCAAGAGAGAATTGAGGGCATTTAATATAAAATTCAGAGAATTGCGAAACACATTTCCTGCAACAGCAAAAAGTTCATGTAAAATTTTGGTTGTCCCCTAAACTTTCGCATACCCCCGGTTGAAGTCAATAAAAGCAATTTCTTAACTGGCCGCTTTGTGTTTCACTCCCAGAGAACATGCCCCACATTTGCCACAAACTTTTTGATATCACTTTTGACTTTGAGTCCTGTTTGAATTCCTCGGCTGGGGGTGGGCAGGCTGCGAATTCTTTTTTATCCTCCCTCCCCACTTCCTCGCTTCCTGCAAAAGTTACGAGGGCCCTGTGCGTTGCTACCACGATCGGCACTTTGCCTTCGATTTCATCTCAAAGTTCTCTCCTTTTTTTCATTCTTTTGAATGGACTTGGAGTGGAGATAAAAATAAATTGAGGCAAAAGTCATTTCTGTCCTCTTCCTCATCGGCATGAATGTACAAAGAGGGACTAGCGAGAGCAATGGTCAGCATGGATGTGCGATGCGAGGGAGGGAATAAGACAATGGTCATAAATTAGATGACATTATGTGTTTGAGAAGGTGGACATGACTCCTCAGATAACACATAACATCGGACGATTTTCCTTCTCTGGTCTGCTTTCTGGGTCATTTTGGGGGGTGCTGTTTCAGCCATGAAAACGCCACCATAATGCACAAACAGTAAAGATGATATTGATGGACAAAATTGCGGCCAGCAATAAACAACGTTATAGGCGATGGAAGATGTGCATGACGTCGAAAGCAGTAATAATAATATTAATGGGGATCCAAATCCCCGGCAGAAAGGGCATGCGGACATCAATGGAGTCGGGAAAAATCGATTTAGCACTCTTTTTACCTCAATGCGTCCCTCGCTGTGAATACGGCCACCGGCTAATCTCATCTGAAGGCTGTGCCCGGTCTTTAGGCGATGCTTCGGACGCACCTATCACAGAGAGAGAGAGAGACTGCTGAAAATCTCAGGAAAAAACGAGAAATATTTCGGAATGTTTCGCTCAATGGAATTTACTTTGATATTTGTTGATACACTGATGCGTATATTTGTTTTGATGTCAACAAAAGTATGCTTCTACCCTCAGAAAGTTCTGCGAAATGTTAGCAGTACATTTTGTCTCAAGGGGAATTACTTGGGTAAATCCTTTAACTAATAGTTAATTAATTCGGTGTTGAAATACTTTTCTTTCTCAATTTCAAAGCTCATTGTGCTCATTTACGTGTTTGTCATCACTATACAAACAGCAAGATCAACAGTTTAATGAGCGCTACAATTGAATGGCAAAACATTTCCGAAACATTTCACGAAAAGATGGGCATTTGACAATGCCTGCAAAGTATATCAACTCACCACGGTGCGTGTGAGATTTTTTGCGGGCAGCGGGGTGGGTGGCGTTTTGCACACCACCCCGGCCGCCTCGCTCGCCTCGCAGTCGCTGTGGCCCCAGCCATCAAAGCGACAACCAATTAGTTCCGGCTCTTTGCCCGTGCACTCAACATTGTCCATCCAAAACTTTCCTGTACAAAATACCCACAGATTTCACCCTGCCACTCCCCGCCCTGCACCCGGGGTCGTCTTTTTTCCCCGACGCGCACCGCCCACCCCCGCCGCCCTCCCGGTGGTTCCGTGAAATATTGTTCAATTTAGAATGTTGAGAGTCATTCGGAGGAATTTGTGTACGTTGTGTTGTTCCATATTTTAAAATGATATTTTAATTCCTCCTCCAGTCCTACTTGTGACACTACGTGCAACAATTCTAGAGTCATTCGCAGCATCACAGCGACACTGGAGGCAACACGTTTTATGGGTGATTCGTGGAAATGGCACTCTCATGATGAATTTATTGCTTGCTAAGGCGCACCTTGAGCTGTGAAAATGCAAAACTTTTTCCGCCCAATCTCTCTCTTCACTAATTGGAATTTTCACCGCGCGCACCGTCGCACAAAGAGCAGCTTTTGAGATTTGACAATATCATATTCTTTTTCATCACACACACCGGCCACGTTGCCACACAGAGTACAATGAGCTTTCGCCTTGGCAACGCTCTGTGACACCCGTAAGTTAATATATCGCTGAAGCAATTTGATTTTGATTGATTACCTCACATACTTTTCGCATGCATGGAAGCTTTGTCAAGACGATGCAGCTTTTCTCCGATGGAAATATGCAAGAGTCTCTCCATACATTCGCGCTTTATTGAAATACTTTTTCTAAAAAAGAAGAAGGGCGATAATATGCACATAATCAAGACGAAGCAATACATCATCCCCGACTTGAAATTCACAGACAATAAACTTGATTAAGACTATGGTAAATACCGTTAAGAGGTCAGTTTCACATATTTTGGGTTTTCTTTAGTCTTATTCGGTTTATTTTCTCAAAACAATTCCAATTTTGAAATTCAAAGAATGTGTCTAAAACGAATATGCAAGTTTTCTCTTTGTACTCATTATGTATTCAACATATATAGGCTAAGGGCCAATATCCTTATTCCAGAGGATATTAAATTCTGTTCCTAAAGTTATTGAAAGTTACAGGTATGTACATAATATAAACCAATTTGTATATACAATTTGTACATACAATAGTTTTCTCTCCATCCAATATCCTCACTGCTAAACCCTCAATTGAACGTCTTATTGAAAGCTCCCTTTGTGCTGGAAAACTAATTCGATACGGTACAGAATGCAGGCAAAAACGATTTACTTCCGCCAAAGCTCTTTCATCCTGAACGGTCAATGGCCACGAAATTCAACCACGAAGTGTTTGTTGTTTGCTGTGCCATTGGATTAATTAGGCAAAGTCTTGCGGGTGGGCAGAGGGGTGGACGCGGGCGGGGGCTGTGGAGGGTGACTGTAGCAAAACTAACTTCTTGCCTCGCCAAAATAGCCACTGTGAGTTGCCTTAACATGGCCGGGAAATCCAAGCTGCTGACACACAACTTTGGCTTCATTCGAGTCCCTATGTTTTTTTTCCAAGGGCACACCAGTTTTTTTCGGGGCGCGGAAGAGAGTCACATGGAAAATGGAAATGAGAAGAAGTGGAGTGTTAATTTATTTCCCTTCCGCACATTCACTTTTCAGTGACTTTCGCGGGTGTTTGAGTGATTTCTTTCTGAAGGAAATGTGGGTGATCAAATTCAAATTAGCGTATTGAGAAAATTACCATTCATCATCGCAGACAGCTCCCCATCTTCCGCCGTGGAGGATCTCAACATTGCCTGCGAAAGTGAAGCAGAAGGAGAATATTGCAATTTAATTACATGATTATTCTCACGATTTCACGCCACGTAGGAATTTTCTTTGAGACGAAAAACTTTTAATCGAAACCCAAATAAAATCAGGGTGAGAAGATGGGATCAAAATGTTGGATTACCAGTATGTTGAGAAAAAAAAAACTTTCGCTAAAACGAGTGCCCAAAAAAGGAAATCCAAATTGCAGTCTGACTGAGTGTTCAACAAATATTTGAGTTAAATATGTAAATATTAGAAGGTTTCGGGAGGAAAGGAAAATAAAATAAATTAAATTAACTATACCGTGTGTGGAAAACTAAATATTGCAGTCTAATCAAACTTCAGACTCAGGTTCTCGTCCGAAACGTGAGTGAAATAATGCAATATATCCTTAAGAAATAATACATGTTAAATGAGGAATCTTGAGCAAATATTGAAGCTAGACTAATATGCATGCATGATGTGTTTACGTCAAATGCGTTTTCTCGTGAAGTACGACAACTTTAACCACTCTCTGTGCATCAAAACATGTTTATCAAAAAAAACAGCGAATATTACATGAGTACTTTGAAAATAAAAATCAATAAAATCAGTTGACAAAGTAGATTTATTATTAAAACAGTGAAACTTTAAAAGCTTTTTTCTTGCATACTTACTGAATTTCTGTGAAAATAATGTGTGCTTCAATGGAATTCAATTTTATAAAACCATAAAGGAAAAGTTTGGGATTTTTTATACAGTCAAATCTGAATTTGCATGATGAACTTCATACACTACCTTCGTGATTTCCAGTGCCGCCGACCAACTTAATGGCTCCGTCTTTCTTCTTCAGGAACTTCCTCATCATCTCCTCTCGTTCGGACCTCGTGTCACCCACTAAACCGATCTCACCGCTTGCAAGGCACAGGCATTCGAGGAGAACCACAAGATACACGTTCAGCTTCATTCTCACTGTGCAGCTTCTGCTCACTCCGACTGAAAATACGCGACTGAGCGTCCCGAGAGACGGTCTTCTAAACTCCTCTAAACTTGATCCAACAATCGCATAATCTAATTTCCAGACGACCATCCAGATGTTGTCAAGAGCACATGGAGAGATTCAGCATTATTGGGTCAAAGTGACTCGTGGTGACGGCAAAAAGCATTCGGCGTCTGAGGAGGAGGTGCCGGATGAGAAATCACCATCCACATGATTGCAAAATGACTCCCAAGACCTTGACTCAGCTCCAAATATTCCACATTCCTCACCCAGAAGCTCAGCATGAGCAACAGTGCTAATTATCCATGGCAGTTGTCATGAAATGTTCCACTGATCATGTCTTAACAGTTTATTCCATCTTTGTAGTTTTGCAGTGTTTATCAATTTTACTTCCTCGCCGTTTTTTGTGATTTTTTTTTTGAAAACTTCTTCATCATAATCTCACCATCAGTAAAAATGTCTCTTTTTTTACTTCTTATAGTCACCTCTAAGATATTATTATTTATTTTTCCACTTTCTATATATATACTTCTTTTCTTTTATACCATTATTCATGTACTTAACAAATTAGTCATTTTTTACCTCATTTCTCTTGAATTCATCTTTTTCAGCTCTTTATTCTCAGAGAATTGTCTTCGACTTCTTAAATACAATGTATGGAAATTTACCTCACTATTTCACAATGGAAATATTTTTTTTTATACACTTTCAATGAGCAATTAAAAATGAATTGAGTTAGATTTTTTTCGCAACATCCTTTCACACTACCTAATATTGGCAATCATCTCGATACTCCCTGAATTGGAAGTATTTTTTCCACCTTTTATCATGCGAAATTCTCTTCTTCTTCTTCTTTCGCTAAATATTTCCTCCTCTACATTTTGCAATTACATCACAAATGAAATAAAAACATCCTCTCTCATTTCTTCAACACGAAAGGAATGCTCTTGGTCGCGATGTAGAAACACATTTGGTGAAGGAAAACAGTGTAAAATTAATGGAAAATTATTACCTTTCTGCACTGCTCCCATTTACACTCACTGGAACGTCACCATCAAAGTCGATTAGAAAACTTTCCTTCCTCACCCAGAAATACACCATCTCGGTGCAAATTAAAAAGTATAAGAATGTGGAGGACTCTAATAAGCGAAGGAATGGCTTTTCATCGCATTCCATACAATTTTAATGAGATATCTCTCTCCCTCCTTTCTTTCGGATACCAAATTTCCACTCCATAATTCTAAAAATCTCAGTCTGAGAGAGTGAAAATGGAAATCGTGATTATTTTCCAATTGTTGCAATTTCAGCACATGATGTCGAATTCTCATGTGTCGCTTCTTTTTATCCTTCATCTCAGAAGATCGATAGACACATCCCTTTCAAATGATTTAACATCAATTCAAGCGTGAAACACATTTTTGCCTGAAGCTAAATTCATTGATCAAGACATCCATTGTTTAAAACTTAGTGAAAATCAGCCGAAAATTGTGGATTTCCTTAAGCAAATATAAGAGAGCATTGTGTGAGTTTTCATTCAAACATCACACTGTTGAATTTTCACTTTAAATTTAAAAGGTTAATTGGGTTAATTGTATGAAAAACCTCTTCACCAAATTCACTTGGCTGCGCTCTTAATCAGGCCACTTTTAGGGTGTAAACTCTTCAGCACCCAACAAAATCCAAAATACATTAGAAAGTTGGGAAATCACGCAAAGCTTGGAAAACAATCAAATGTAATCTTTTGAAATGTGAACACAACACACTTTAACAGTGATATCATGATGCAGTGACCGAGAATTCGCACGAAACAAGACCCAATATGGCTGTGAAGCATACGATGGTTAATCAATATTTTCGTGAAAGCTACCAAAATCACAACAGATGCTCCACAGTTGCTGAATAACAAACTCACTGTCATGTCCTCTTCTGAGAGGGAGAGAGAGAAGCAATGAAAGTATGCCGAATAATTCCAAGTGTACAAATGGTTTGATTGTGAAAATTGGCACGTTTTTGAGATGCAAATGGGTCCTTTTTAATTGCAACAAAGAGGTAATTGTCCTATCAGTCACTAATGGCTTTAGATAAATCTAAATTGTCCCGCTTAAACAATTCAATATTACACCTTACTTTTACCACAATTTACATATTGCACATAATCAGTCGGTTAATTGAGGGATTTGTGACTATTTCGATTTTCACCTATAATTTTGGATAAATAATTTCCCACTAAATGGGATCTATTTTTTTTTCTTTTAATTTTGATCCATGCCAGAAAACATGTAATAAAAACAATTCATCTCTGTTTTTTCTTCTTCTTCTTCCTATATAAACTTTTGAACAAGAAATTTGTATATATCAAAGAGAAAAAGGAGGGTCTAAAATGAGCAAATTCCTTTTGCAGATAATATCATTCTTAACTAACAATGTCAAAGTATTACTTTTATCACAATAAAAAATAATTAATTTAATCTATTTCGGAATGGGTTTGCCCTTTGTCCTCTTTCGGTATGTGTTCCTCCGTAAAAACTCAAATATTGAGCCTTTTCAGCGCGTCATTGTATACGCCATTCTTCCTCTCTCTCTCTAAAATTTATTCCCCAACTCACTCGCGCGTAATATTTATTTACATTTAACTGCAATGCAGAAAATGTCTTTAATGGTACTTATCTCTTATGCAATAACTCTGGCCTGTGTCTCCTGCTCCCTTCAAACCCTTAATAATTTCCGTCTCGCAATTATTAGATCGTCTTCCGTTGAGCTTTTATTGCACCGTCACTATTTCACTATAATCTAGGGGTGTTTCTCATTGCCGCTACCTTATTCCCTCATTTTCAATTAAAAACCACCCCCGTGTATTCTATACAGTATTAAAAAGACTCATTAGCTAAAAAGTGTTTTCTTTCCCAACTATTCTCTCACACTTTAATCTCATTCTGCATTCGTCGCAATGAATTGTTTTTCCATTTATTTCCTCCCTCATCTGTCACTTCACACCCTTTCAAAGTGTAGGTATATAAAGATGATTTCATATTAAAATTCATTTTTAATTTAATTAGATGATTATACTTTCACCGGAGACTGTTTCACCGTTGAATTTTGCTAAATTGAAAAATTTATCTCTCTATATCCTCATAGATTCCCCTCCACCTCTTTCACTATACAATTTACTTATGTCTCCACTTTTTTTTTTGAATTCATGTGAGAAAAAATCACTTTATTCCATAGAAATTGGTAGTAACTTGTCTTCCACTTCTCGAGAGTAATGGTCTATGTTTTCAGTACGTGGAACAAACATGGAAACATTGTCCAATGAAAGAAAAAGAATCGAGAAAATATCGAGGAAGTCGCGCGACCCGTCGTGGGAAGAAGTTTTACATGATTATTTACAGGTGTGTCTGGGCGGTCTGCTCGCGTGGCTGAGCTCATGGCCCCTACTGTCATACCTTGCTCTCCTTCTTGAGGATATCCACGGCATCGCCGACACTGTCCGGCGCCAGCGAGAGCGGCAGCGTTGGCGGATACACGTTCGTCCTGAGCGTTTGCATGGCGATTGGAGACGCGGCCACCATGAGCTTCGCCTGGCCGCTGGGCAGAGTTGGTGGGATACTGTAGCAAAGAGGTGGCGGTTGCGGCGAAGGCGCTCCAGAGGCATCGTGGGGCGCCCACTGTCGCGGCTGATTCGGCGGGTGCCGTGGCAGGGTGAAGGTTTTGTTGGAGTTGTAGGTGTTGATGACGGAATTCTGGCGGAGAGACGAGAAGAAATCTCCACTGTAGAGTCATGTTCATAAATATCGCCTCATCAATGACCGAGGGATCCGGAATGTTAATCCTTGTTACTTCTACATAATGCTTTTTAGGATATTATATACATAAATTTATGAACGCATCAGTTGTAATCATCCTTTATGGTAGAATAAATCAACTCTCTTTAATTGAAAAATAAATATCAATCGGCACAATAAATGTCTCATGGAATGAATATTACAGAAAATATATCTCAATTAAATTTATAAATTGCTTCCCCAACTCCCAGTGCCATCGAATAATTCAATATGAAGCCCTCCAACTCAAGGGCTCACACCTCGAGCGAGAGATGGAAGAGCAAAGAATTTCGCTGGGCCAGAAAAAATAAATCCCCGGCAAACCATAACATTTCTTTTCGTGGGAAACATGGTTTTCTTCTCTCCACATTGATACTGTTTTCTTGTAGCATCCCAGTTTTTGTGGCCATGCACTGAGCCGTTTCCACCCTTCTCGGAGCCCCCCAACAAAATATTGCAAATCAATACTGTCCCCTGGAACGATGCTGCGTTCACCACTGAATGATTTTTCTCAATTGTCAAACACTGTAAAAGTGCACAAGTTTGCAAAATGTATATATGCTCTTGGCGTTTCATTGGCACGCCACGTCGTTAAACATTGCTTTTCAATCAATTGACTCAACACGTTTAAAATGGTCGAACTTCTTGCTACTCCTTTTTTGCCGTCTCACTCAATATGGGCAAAAACAATGACGCCTTTCAACTTTAACCGAACGTTTCCACGTGATTTATCGGGTTAATGAGAAAATTAAAAGTGTAGACCATTAGTAATTTAAAGCTTGAGCTTTTCAAATTATAGGCTCTCGTTTTTGCTGACATATGCATGGGTAACCAAGTGCAGTGAACTTATTTGCTCCGCAAAACAAGAAGTAAAATGGAACATTGAGTATTTCTAGTAACATATCAAGACTCTGGATTAGTTTGTCGGACATATTTAATCAACGCCCATGCATAAAAAATTTAGGATTCAAAAAATAAAAGGAAGAATAGCACTCATCATATTTCAACTCATGCATTATGTTTAATAAGATTTGCTGTCTATGATAGGATTTAACAAATCTCCCTCGAAGCTTTAGTCTTTGGTGTGTGCATGTACGTGTAAATATACTATGAAGCGCAAAGCTTCACACAATCAATACAATGTACTAAGTGTAGAGATGAGCACATCCGAATGTTATCCAAGAAAAGAAATAGCGAATGTTTACATGATTTTCTGCTCTAAAATGTTTAGAAGGGAAGAATCCGCAAAATAGCCATATAATATTTCTATTCTTGTGCAATTTTCAGCTTATGCGTCATATAGAAATTTTCCCACATTCCCACACTAAAGTAGCCACCAACTGTTTACTGAAATCTGCAGCCTTATGCATTGGATTTAGTGATTACTTTGTACTTAAAACGCAAAATGTAATCTCTCACGTCAGACTGAGAAAACCCCCTTAATATTCTCTCGACAAATTTCAATTTTTGCACACCCCCTTCCGATTATATTTCCACTAAAAAGAATAATTTATTTTCATGTGGAATTTTTCATAAACTCAGAGCTTTTTTTTGTACAAAGGCGAGTGTTATTAAATTATTATTAAATATTTCACAGCCATGGACATATTCATATTGATCAAGAGGGAATGCGCGAAATTCATTAGCAAGGAGCTAAAGCAATTTGGGATGCTGTCGAAAAATACGCCAACAGAAAATACTGTCGCTTAAAGCTCCATCCGAAGGGTAATCAATATCGATAATTCAATTCGGCACATTTCACGTGGAGGGTGAGAAAAAAGGGGGGGGCTGGATCTTTCGTGAAGGGTCAGAGGGTAAATTTGGACGAAAAACTACAATTTAGAGTGGAATAATTTGAAATTAGCCAATAAATCATGGTGAATATTTCAGAAACTGTGCAATTTATAGCTTTCTTTCCAGGGAAAAATCCTTTGAAGGGAGATTTATGTGAGTCAATTGACCCAGTAACATGAAGGAGGAGACAAATTGTGGTTATTAATTCCCCGAGAAGCAGTAGGAGAGACCATGGGAAAGGCGGCGGAATCTTGTGGTGTGGCAAAAAAGAATTGCAACTTTAACGTGTTTCGAACTTCTCGATAGAAACTATCTGAATAAATTGTCTGGAGTTGTGTGTGCCATTGGGATTAATCGCCACCGTGTCTGGGAGTTAGAGGCATAGGTCAGGACTGTATCGTCCAAGAGTGCACTCGAGGCTCTTGCGAGGAGACGAGTGGAATTTAATAAATTCACTGGGTGCGCCTTGAGACGGGAACTCTACCCCTATCAAGTGTCACTTACAATGGAGACAGAAGTCTGGAAGTTGAGCCTGGAGTTGGTGTCTTTGCGGAGGGTGCAATAGGCCATGGGTTGCTGCTGATTCGGTGGCTGGCACGGTGCCAGACCATTTGTGCTGTTCGCCTGACTCTGTCCAGCGAGTCCGGCTGTATTTGGTGGACGTCGGCAGGAATTTGCATTTTCGATTGTCGAGATGGGTAGTCTTCGTTGCATGAATTTCTTCTGGAACAAACGTCACAATTGTTTCATCCCAGAAACACCACAAGCTTGCGCTCCAACCCCACAAACCTGATCGAGTGATTCCAGCGTGTCTGGAATTACGTCAGGGTTCTTCTCGTCACTTTCGTTGCCGTCAAACTCTTTGCTTTCGCCACTCCGTTCACTGCCACTTGGCGAACTCTCGCAGACGGTGTGATTGCGGCGCTGGTTCATGTCCTTGTGGCCATTGTCCTTCGCCACGCTGCAACAAGTGCGTCTGCAGGAGATTCTCACCGCCAGCAGCACCGTGAGCCCACCAATGAGAACGGCCGCCACGATCCCAATTATTATGGAAATCATGGGAGTGAAGGTTATCAAGGACTTTGGACGCTCTGCAATGGAGAGCAGAATAAACAGAATTATTGCTTCTCAATCTCCAAACTTCACCATCTCTACATCCCCAACTTGGACATGGTGATCAACTCTGACAGCGATTCAAACCAAAAATCTCTCATGTGTAGAAAAAACACACACACATTCCTCCGTTTCAGAATTTAAGCTTGCATTCAAATGAAAAGCTTTTTGCAGTTGTTGAAACTTATGTAAATAGTTCTGTTCTCTCATACCAATTACCAGTTGAGCATATTCATGGTATTTTGCTGGAACATCTCTAGCAGTTTATTGATTGAAATAAAGTGCCTCTCGTGATGCAATTAATCTGTACGCTGAGAGGGTGTTTAATTGAGTGGCAAAAATTCTTCAGTCGATACCATTTCAGGAGGAAATAATACTATGTTTCGAGGCGAAATTCTCCATCAACCTCCACGGGGTGGAATGCAGCGGAAATATTTCAGTGAACAATGTTGAGCGACAAAGATGCGTGGCATGCAGCTCATCAGAATGATAGAGCGACAGATAAGAGTCGGGATGCTCACCGTTCGCCGCTGTGAGTTGCTTCTCCGGCAGACGCAGCATGGCCACCTGCAGGGAGACGGAGTTGGAGCGCCCCTTGACGTTGAAGGCCCACACATTGACGCTGTACACGTGGCCGGGGAAGAGGCTGGAGACAGCGAAGCGCGGAATGGGTGAGGTGAAATTGGCAGTGACTTCCTCCGTCTGCGCCTCTTTGATCTCGATGAGGAATGACTGGGTGAGGCCACCATTGAAGCCCTCCGTGCACTTGACGCTGAAGGAGCTCATAGAGATGTTCGTGATGGTGCAATTGTGCACTTGGTCGGGTCGCCCGGCGGCGATTATGTGAAAGACACACGGCACCTGAGCGATAAGAGGGAAGGATTTGCGAATAAATTCTGTGAGTCATTCGAAAATTCCCGCAGGAGAAAAGCGACAGAATGTTATCGAAAAATCTTATAAATGTTTGAATGTTTTCCCTGTTGGCAATAAAAAATCAATTTTTTTTTGTATTATACATTCAGTGAATTCAGTTGCAAATGCTTATAAACAGATTGTCATTTATTTAAATCTCGTATTCGGAATAACTCTGAAAAATTGCATATTGATGATTACACACATTGATAAAAATGCATAATAAATTCATGCAATACTGCACATTCAAATAAGATAAAATGATTGACTTTTACACGTATAAAAACGATAAAGGTGAATAAATTATATGTGTGTATTCTAAAGTGTTTTCCGAGTGCCATTAACCTAGAAACCTAGCTAAGTTAGGTGAAGGTTTTATCGTTCGTACAAACAAAAATAAGTGTCCTTTTTTTCATTGCAGGGCAATATTTTTGCGCAGCTATTTTAATTAGAAAATTATCTTTTAATTGCTACAGTCATTAAATTTTAATTGATAATTGCCAATTATGCATTTCCATGGGATTTCCGAACATAAAAATACGAACAATTATTTGATGGATCGTATATTCAATTAAATAATCAGGTATCCAAAAATTCATAAAATTTAAGCTCACCCACACTGCAAACGTGTTCAAATTCGAAAGTAAACGCGTCTCTTGGTTACTGTACACGAAGTTTCTTAACACAAGTGTACACAAACCCGACATAAATACCCCTTAAGTTGACACTGAGTCAATTTTAGTGGAATAGCAATGATGTTTGTATTTAGATAGATTTCATGATAAACATGCTGACAATATGTACGAGTATAAACCTGAGTTGTTTTATGAGTATGATAGTTAATAAATTCAAGCTCCGAGAATGCAAGAGAGACTTTGCGCATAGTCAATATTGCACTAGAAGTTTAAAGGTAAGATTCCTCCATTCCTGGGTATTTGTATACAAGAAAATGTACATTACATCAATCAGCCAATTGAACTGATTTACCTAAACTGACCATTTAAGCTGTGCTTAAAAAAAACATTTCATGAGACATAAGGAAGAGGTAAAGTGAAAGCAATTTGCAATTTGAAAGAATACATCAGTGTAAACAGCAAGTTGTGGTTGTGAAATGAGCTTTTCTCAATACGAAGGAAAAACATTTCTGAGAATAACCATTAATGCCTCGTTTGCTACTCACCTTCTGACGTCCAATCTTGTTAGTTGCTTGGCACATCAAAGTGCCATAATCCAGTTCCGTCATGGGTGTGTACAGGACACTCGATGACGTCCCAAAGCGACTCACGTGTCCACCGGCCACATCAATACTCTCAGCGGAATTGTTGAAGGTCCAGCGGAACTCCACTTCGGGCGGATTTGCCTCCACCGTGCACTTTATCTGGGCATTTTCCTGCTTCGCCACACCGTAGATTCTTGTCTGATTTGGCGCACATGACGGGGCATCTGGGGGGGGGTGAGAGAACAACAGGCGAATAGCGGGGTTAGAGTCAACAATTGCAAATCCAATGCAGACAACTTTTCATGCAACAAAAGTTGAGAATTGGCTGTAAAACTTACAGAGAACATTCAACTCGAATGGTGAACTCACACCCTCACCCTCAGCGTTGAAGCCCACACAGGAGTAGTTTCCGGCCGTGGAGCGCGAAACGCCCTGCAGCACCAGCGACTGATTGCTGATGATAATTCCCTGTTGCTGATTGTGAGGCAGTGTTCGGCCCTGAGAACACGATAGAGTCACACGTGAATTTCCTCACCATATATAGACTACGATTGTCAACCTCCCGGGCAATATGTTCAGACGAAGAAGTCGCAGGATCAAAGTTTACAATCGCACCGCTTTGCCTTTGACTCGCAGCACTGTATCCTGTCTGCAGGATATTGAGTGATTCTAAAGAAAACTATACCCTTGCAAGCACTCTCTGATGTTCCAATTTCCCAGCAACTTCACACACGTTACTGTGTACATATACATATTGTCAAAGAAAAGCAATGCACGATAGCGAGCTTAGTGGCGGTTTGCGTACACTCTCAACTTAATCAGTTTTGATATTGCAATTTTATCGTTAACATGCTTTTTCAAAAAAGAAAAACAAAACAGTTCTAATTAAATCTTCACCACATTCAATAGCTTTTTTACTCTCCGTCAAAGTGCTGACAAAAAAATAAAAACGAGCCATAATGCTTTCCCGTAAATTACTCGATCCATTAGGAGTACCGTAAAAATACAGGAGAAGCGGAAGGAACGATATAATAGTGTGCACTAAAATGCACGTGTCTGTTATATCATTAAAGCACAGCATTTTAAAGATGCGAAAATATTCAAAATAACTCTGTCCAGCAAGGTGAAGGAATGCAAATTGCTTAAATTAAGAACCTCTTCTTTGCAAATTTTATTCTCGTCAATGTGAAATGAAAATTTCATGTAATCAAAAGTTGGGGAAGTCCTTTGCTACTGTTCTAGTGATTAAAAAAAGGAAAGATACGTGATGGTTTTCCAAGGATTCTTCAAGACACCATTCTTTTTTTCCTCTACTCGCGACTTTAAATATTCATTATATTTTCAGCATTAATATTCAGCAAGAGGCCAATATTCATAAACCCCGAAATTCTCAATCAAAAAATTATTGCACGTGTCTTGAAAATAATGTTCGTGATTGCATAAAATGCACGATGAAATTGGGGAAAAGACATGACTCAAATTAGCATAATATTCCTTTCATTTGCCCATTTTAAATTTCAAATACGACTCCGCGAATGTAGCATAATATTTTTGTGCAGACTTTTTGAAATTGCCTGCACAATTTGGGAGGATAAAAAACAACCCAGAGAGTATGGAATATATCGCGGGTGAGCAAATTGGCTCGAATGAAGAAGTGCTGAAGAAAGAAAATTTGTGTGTAATTCAGCGATGGCGCAGAGTGGCGAGGGAGAGATATTGTGTAGAAACCTTTGGTTAATTTTCTCAGTAAATTTGTCTGTTATGTAAATTCTAAGCTGAAACATTGGTGTATAGTAATTTGTAAATAATTCTCTTACATTGTGGCGCCACTCGACACGATAAACTGCTGGCTTGGCCGAAATGAGGCAGTCAAAGTATAAATCCGTACCCTCGTAGATTGAATTGGAGTCGAGTGAGGTTCCAAGGCGGATTTTCGTCTCAGGAATATCTGTGGGTAGGGCGGAATTTGCATCATTGAACCATCGCACTGGGACACCCATCAACTTCTCCCGAGGAAATCCCCGCCGGGATTGACAAACTTACATTGAATGTCCAACTTCCAGCCATCTTCCAGGGACTTTGACGACACGACGTGGTTGTAAGCGCGACAGCACAGAAACTTGCTCGAGTCATTGCGATTAAAGACAATCGAGAGGGTGCTCGTTGTTTGGTTTCCGTTGCTGCTCGTCTGCAAATTGAGATGGGATTTTGACGATTCACCTCAACACCCCCGGAATAATGCAAATTACTCAATGTACAAATACACAATTCGTACCACAAAACCAGTGCACTAACTATAGTCGAAATGTCACAAATAAGAGCTAATGATTAGCCCGTTTTTTTTTTCATTTTTCATACAACAAATTGTGCATTCATTCCTTCTTCTCTCGGCACAATTTTCCAACTATTTCACTCACCATCTCGGTTGATTGCTCGAGACGCTTACTGTCGAGCCACCAGGTGATGACGGCTGGAGGACGAGATCCCGAGCTCTGGCACAGTAGGTCATAACGCCGGCCCTCCGACAGTGGCTGATGAGTCCCCAAGAGCTTCACGTTGAGTGGAGCAACTGAAACAAGGCGAAATTTGTCCATTGAGAACCATTTCAGACTTCATCTCATCTGCTGCTCCGACTCATTGGCATTCCGGCGGCCAAAAGGTCAGAGACGAAAGCTCAATTGGCAGGAACGCACCACAATTGACTCCAAAATTAACAATGAAGCCATCGACAAAACACTTAGTGCGACACCCATGATCATTGCTGTGCTTTCTGCTGTTATAAGGAATTTATTAAGAATGAGACGCGCTCCTTCTTTCCTTGTTCCTCGATTTCGTAAGCAACTGCTCTCTTTGAGGCAGACCCATTTGCATAAAGAAACACGAAAAATGTAAGAGAGATGCTAGCATACTTTCCAGATGGGCATTTAATTTGGACATTAGAAGAAAAAATGCGATGAAATTTCCATTCCTGACCTCTGTCACTGGGCTTTTGCCAGAGCATGACGCTCAATATACCGCAATTCACACAATATATATATATATATTCATTTAGATATATATTCCACCATGAATCGCGTCCAAGGGGGAAGTAATTTGGGGTATTTGCAACTGAAGTAATTTATTAAAGCATCACCAAGGGTGAAAGTCGAAGGCAGAATTGCATATTTAGCCATTTATGGGGCCCTCTTTATACCACCCACTCACAATGAAAAATTACACACTTATCAGCTTGCGGAAATCGTTCCGCGCTATTACTTGTGGATTAACTCGGGAATCAGTAAAGTGAAGAGGAAGTCAAATAAATTTCCCTGTATTTATCCCTCGTGAATACCTACAATGGCGAATAATTTAAATTCCTGCAACATCATTCGAATTTCCTGTCTCCAATTGCTTGGCTTCGCAAAAATACACACTCCACACTTCTTCGGCACAATTTTCCACCTGTCCCCTTAGGGCGTACCGGCTTCACTTAGACTGCAATTAATATTGCATGCGAACCAGTGATTAATTGCTTTTAATTGCTCCACTAACTTCGGGTCAGTGCGGCTCAGGAGTATAGTTTAATCGATGAATGACACAATTCTCCGTAACATCACCACGTACATATAACGGGGAATGTCAGTTTAATTGTTACTTGGCTGAATTAGCTGTACATTATATGACCTACAGGGCTGTTGTGCCGCAGAGACAATAACCTATGTTGTGTACAAAGTCTCCCTTTAGCGTGGAAATGTAAGAAGATTTTCTTTCTCCGTGCATACTTTCGTTTGCTCATAACCGTATTCAAAACATTCATATGAGCATCCATCTGAGTGATGCGAGGAAAAAATTACTCAGCAATTCCATTTGCGGGTAATTTTGGGGGTACTTTAAAAAGTCCCCGGGGGTCAAAATCGAGAAACATTCGCAAGTACATTTGTTGAAATTGAGAAAATCAGGCCCTCAAGTTGCGCTTGTTGTTTCAACACTCCCACCTCCTTTTCCCAACAATACAATTTCCCGCCCATATGAGGGATGTTGTTTGAAATTTCGGTCTATTTACGTTGAAAGGCGAATGAGTGGGGCAAAAGCAGAGCGTAATCCGAAAGAGAATGACACAAATAGTGTGCAAGAAGATTTCCATCTTGGCCCCTGGAGAAATAATAAATAAAATCCTGTGCACATTACACGAGCCGAGGGGGTGGAAGTCTTTCAGCCCAGATTTCCTTCCTCATGTTGTGCTTTCTGTCACTGAATGCACCAAATAGAATTTCGTGCACGCCGGAGACAATGCGAACATGGGAGAGGAGGAGAAAAATCTTGCAGCGAGATACAATCAACTGACATTAATGGGGTCAAGACGGTAAGATTAATAGGTGTGATATGGGGACACTCCTGCAAAGTCAATTGTTTATTGATTGCCTAAGGCTCGAGATGAGAATTCCGCGATGGCATGCCTGGAGTGGCCCGACGGTGTCGAAAAGCATCACTTGTCCTTATTAAACCCATCCAAGACATATGGGTCACAGAGGAGTTGTAAAACTACCCCTTAATCGATTCCCATTCCCCGACACAAGAGCGTGGGCGGGACGCTCGGGAAATGGGGGGCTGTGAGTGAGAAAAAATTACAACCCTCCTGAAAGTTGTGACGCAGACAACACAAGGTGAGTCGAGGACCCGAGAGATGGGGTGGCAAGACCCAAGTACCAATCTCGGCTATATTTCAGGGATATGTAAGTTATGAAGCTCCTCCAAGCATAATAGCAAGATGCCGAAACGCAAAAAAGTGAATATTCCACCCTGAGGAGGCGGGCAATATTTGTAGGGTCGTGCCAACAGTCTACAGATTTAATAATAATTGAAAAAAGTCAAGCATATCTTTCCACACCGAGCGAGAGCAGCATTTCTCTCAGTTGTGCAATATTGTTGTCAATTTCAATTGGGCGAGAAGGAATCTCACAATTTACCCTCGGCAGCTCTCTTTTTCTCTACCAGCCAAATGTTAATTTTCATGGAAAGAAATGGTAATCTGAAAATTCAAGGGCTCCCCAATAGGAAATCAATTTTTATTAAAGTGCCTTTTCACGGATCACCAACATTCTGAAAAGAACAGATAAACGCAAAGCGTAGAGAAAGTCTTGGGTATTCAAACTATCACTATTTTTACCCCTAAAAATGTCCAATGATTACATATACTGAAAAAAAAAAATCAACGCCACTGAATTCCGAATGCAATTATCCGTAAATTGGATTAGATAACCACTTTCAAGATGAAAGCACCGCAAAACATAAACTTTAAGCTGAGGCATCGCCAAGGGACTTACAGTTCATGTCAATCTGCACGGTGACCTCCTTGTGGGCTGCTCTGGGATGATTGCTAGCCCGGCATGACACCACAGAATTGAGGTCCTGCCTCGCGAGGGGCCCAAACGTGATGATGCTCATCTTGTTCCTCCCCGACGCCGACGACTGGATGTCACTCATCATGTGCTTCCCGTCGCGGTACCAGTTGATCTTGGGCGGCGGCCGCCCTCCAAACACCTCACACTTGAGCTTCACGTAGTCCCCCTCGGCATAGGGACCCACCACAGACGCCCGCTCCACGTCCGCCTCGTCCTTGATGGCGATTCTGTCCGGTGGGGCTGAAAACGAAAGGAGACACTCTCAGTCCCAGGAGGAAATAGCTGACTCTGCAACTGTTCAACTTCAATTAAACTTTCATGGGGTAAATCTCGATTGTGAGGCTCCACAATTGGATCAATTCAAGCACTGAATGCAATACAGAGAAGAGTAAATTGGTTGTGCGAGTATTTTTCCCCAGGAAAAATATAGTGTCTGACATTTTGTATATGTACTGAAGAACAATTTCACTCAGGCTCGAAACTTTTCATTTACCAGCGCTTCAAAATTAAATAACACATGTAATAATGTAAATATCTATTTAAAATAAACCGAGTGACTAAAACAGAAATACTGGCTGAATATCCAACACGCAAACACATTCACTGTCGTGTACAATTGCTTCACTGTACATTTGTCACAACTTATACGAATGATCACCACAGAAATGGTTGGAAAATGTACTCACAACTGATAGAATAAATTTTCACCACTGAATACGCGCCAGCCAAACATTTCCCTGCATCCGCAATTGTGTGACAATTTAATATACTTTGCTAACTTTTATTATAATACAATTAATTATTTAAATAAAGGATGCGGTATTAATTTTCAAACGACACGCTCAACGTGATAAAAGATACGCACATTTTGCAATCAACGTGATTTTATAGAATTCCAAGAAATCAACTAATTGGATACTGTTTGTTGGAATAATTTTCACAAAGCCTTTTTTTACCCAACCACTGAAATGTATTAAATTTTTCCTGGTAATTGTAATTTTTGAACCACATTGTTTAAACAAATTTACACCATATCCATTTACTCTATTCATCATATTTGTAAATAACTTTCATGATCAATTAATAAACCCAATTCAACAATAGTTTTAAGCAAATACGTGGCTCCATATTTAGTTTGAACTAATATTTAGTTTACTTAAAATACATACCGCCCGTAATAAACTTTACTAATCAAAAGCAACAGATTTTAATTGAGAAATCAACCGAGTGACACACTTCAGGAGGCAAAAAACGTGCCTGAAATGTCGGATAAAGCAAATACGAAATGGCAGGTGACAAGTTCGGGGAAATCCCTAAAAAGACTTATTATCCATGTAAATATTTAAATAGCAACCCTCCATCCACGCTTCAGGATGAGGATTTGCGAATAAAAATCTCAATTAGTCGGCGGTTTGTTCCAAGAAAGTCTAAAGTGGTTGAAAATTCTCAACTCGCGCTAATGAGATTACATTATACAATCCATTTTCTCTCTAGAAATCTTCTGCGTATAAATTCCGTGTAAATGCACACCAAAAAAGAGGTAATGCGGATAGGATAATGTAATCGGAGAAAAATTAAGGGCCGACATGTGAAAGTTTTTCATTAAATCATCCCCGATAGAGTTGTAAAATCCAAAAATCCACTTACCACTGTTCTGTACTTTATGCGAGAATACGGAATTTTAATGTTACATTTTGAAATTATTTGAATACTAAACTACATTGGTTAGGCAATTGAGAGCGCACAGGCAAAAGTACTCAGGTAATTTGATTTTACAGCCGGAATCAAAATATAATACAAACATTTTTGAAGCATTTGGTTTTGCATATTCAAAATTCGTTAATATTTCACGTAATCGGAACAAACGAGTACGAAACATTTATGTACAGATTTTAACTGGATAGCTCAAATTTTATTTTTCGGGATTTGTTGCAAAATCTTTAAAAAAAAAACATTGAGGATCAATCATTTATGTATCGTTTTGGCAGAAGCTCTTAATCTAGGAAGATTGTTAAAAACATAGGATAATTCGTCTGGTATTATTTCCAATGATTATCGATGTAATTTTGTATTTTGATCGATTTATCTAAAATAAATGAACACATATGAAATGTAAATGGATTCTGTATATGTACATAACATACGTAAGCCTTTTGAAACTTTGACTATTCACATTATGAGATTCCATCTGTTCTAAATACTCATATGAATAACAAATTCTGAGAGTAATAGAATAATTCAAATTGCCCCCCTTCATATGAATTAATCTAAATTTTAAACTAATTCGTAAAGATGATAATGAAATAACCCCCATCGGCCTCATCGTTATAAATAATTATGGAAAGCACCGCACCGAGTCCGATGTTTTATGCTCTCTGATTATTTTAAATATATAAAATTACTTCACCACTTATTTTTCGGCAATCTCAGGAGAACCCAGCGAGTGTCAAGACCTCGCATGTTCAAGAGTCACTCAAGTGGAGGTGTAGCAATTTGCTGGCTGACTTTGGGTATCACGAGTAATTTGTTAAAATAGAACGAGACAACAGCAAGAGTTAATGTAGAAAATTACCCCTTCTAATCAGATTACTTTCTTGAAATATTATTCTTAAATTAATTTCCCTCCTCGCACAGTGAAATTTACTGTTGAGATTTAGGACAAAAGAATAGAGTGAGGATTTTTTTTTTCACTTCACGATGAGCACCCCAAAAGTGTTCATTGTTGGCAAGTGTAATAATTTATTAAATTTTCTTTCACAACGTGCTCTAGATGGAATGTAGAGCTCCGCGGTGGAGAGACCCCCAAATTAAATGTCTACACCACACCCATTATAGCAGCAGAGAACCCCAGCAAAATCCGCAACTAGAAGCAATGTACTCGTGTACAACACCATTGAAAGTAATAAAAGCCTCGGTAAACACACAATGTAATAAATACATGGTATAAAAATTTAATAAAATAAACTTTCATAAATATTATCAGTGATGTGGCAAAATTGTGCCCGCATAAAATTCCCGGAAAAATTATCGGGCACAATTTGTGTGCTTCCCCAATGTGCACACAGGAATACGGAGTGAAACACTGTTGGGAACTTCAGAGGAGGGCAGAAAAATCGCACAGTGATAAAAATCAACGGAGAGTAATTTGGATTGATTTTTAGCGGACTTTTTGCAATGTCCTCTCCCAAATGAATTCCTATGAAAACATCTCAACATGTGAGAATCAGCGTGCGTTGAAAGGTATTAAAAATTCTCGCTTCTCTGGTGAAATGTGCTCTTTGCAAACAAGTGGCAAAATTCGAGAGCGAGATTAATACAAAAAAAAAGTCCGTGCACTACAAAATCAACTGAACGACTGGCTTAGGACGAGATCAATACAGTGTGAAAAAAACATCCCCAACTATGATAAAATCAATAAATGAATGTATAATTTATGTAGATGGAAAGGAAATGGAAATTCTATTTACAGCATCAAAGCCCACCGGGACTGGGCAAAAAACAGGGCACGGCGCACCGGAGTGACCTAAATATGATTGGATATTCCTCCTAAAAATCAAAGAAGAAGAAGGCATGAGAGAGAATGCATGTGCCATGGCAACATCCAATGATAAACCCCAATAAAAAGCGGTCCAAACAAAAGTTTGCAATTTTCACCCAAAATTGATTTTCAGCATGCGGAATAAAAATTTTACGTGCCAATTGAGAAGTTGAAGTACGCTTTTGATTAGCAATCTCAACGCGAAGCAGCTTCTACAATACGCGCAGTGCGGATTTGATATTCGCAAGGAGAGAGAAGCGCAAAATTGGCACATCTCAGCGTCGTTCCCATCGCAAAGAGAGGTGACTCTTTGACACAATTTGAAAGATGATAGCAACTTCTTTATGTGCCGCGATGACTGTGAGAGAAGAGAACATTTATTTGCTGCTTATGGAATTCCCCGAACATTGACGCAATGGCCCGGAAGCAGGGGAAAAACATGTAGTTTTGAGGTGAACTGCCAACAATGGTGAATATATTATATAGTTTTATCGTGGGATAAAGTTGCATGAATGGTTTGGAAATTGAAAATTTTCAGAAACATTCAATGGTTTTCGAACAATTTGGCATTCTTTAGCACTAACTAATGGAAAACCACGGATAAAGCAGAATAAAATTTGCACTCAAATAGCACTTTGTTGAGATTTTATCTAAAATTCTGACCCTTTGCTTTCATTTCCGGAATTGATGTGACTTTAATTGAAGGTAGAAAGATTGTTTTGAACTGTAATCATATAAAAACTACCAGGTGAAAACTATAAGCTTTGACATCTATTCACATTTTGACGCATGAATTCATATGCGACCAATTTCCGATACAGAGCCTCACACTTGCGTAGAACGAACACCACCCAAAGCAGCCTCCACCATTCGGAGTGGACGAACGGAACAGAAAAGATAAATGATGAAAATAACACTCACCAATTATCGTGAGATTGACCATGCTGTTTCTCGTCTGGGCAATTTTGAAATCCACCCGACACCGATACAGTCCAGCGTCGGACTCCTTTGCGTCCTGCACCGTGAGCTCCCCGAGGAAGTGGTCAAAGTCTTTGTCGAACATGAAGTGGGCCCGATTGCCGAAGACACCGTCGTCGGACCATCGCTTGGCACCCTTGAAGTTCTGATCCCGAATGTCGACACTGTAAATGGGTGTTCCCTTGTCCTGGCGATACCACAGCACCAGCACCACATCATCATCCGTGTCTGGATTTGTGCTCACGTTGCAGTGGAGATGGAGGGTCTCACCCACAACGGCCTCCGTGGAGTACTGGGGCACTGCGGAGAGCAACAGACGCAACAAAGCAATATTGGTGTGCGGTTGAGTTGGTTTTCCCCAAGAATCCATCCACCCCCCGACATCATTTTCCAAGACGTTGAGGAATGTTTTGCAAAATTGGCGGGGATGAGCACAGCCCGGGAAGGGAGGAAGAGATGGAGTTTAGAGTAAGAACATAAATAAAATATTCCTTCCCTTCAAAGAGATTATTTATAAATTCCATTTTGTTTCCGAACACATATACACACTCTGTGCAATATATACAACCAATTCGCAATATTTTATGGAATTTCATTTTCTCTGTCTCAACACTGAAGCGTGTGGCAGGGGGTGGATGATGGTCTTGCGCCAGGGAAGAGGAATGTTTTTGTCTCACCAGTGAAAAGTGATACTACACAAGCTGTCCAGGATCTACAGCATTCTCTTGGCTCTTAGAAAAACTGACTTGTGAAAAGCGACTTTCGTTTCGTTATGTATTATATATTATGACTTCAAAGAAGAGTCATAACTAGTTTTTCCTGCTGCAACTTCTATGTACAGAAGCCCCAAAAAGCCCGGAGTCACTGAGTATATGAGACATATCGTTGTCAGAAACGATCCAATGCTTAGATTGCCATCATATTTTCATCATTTCAACGCTATGAATTCATTTCTACGTGCTCTAAACTCTTTCAATCTGCCATTAGAAAATCACCCCATAAAGGAAATTTCAAATAAACCAAATAGAGATGATGCAAAACATTCATAGAATCTGTTAGAATGAATTTTGAAGTGGGTTTTTGCTCTTCCCAACTGCATCGCAACTTGGACAGCTTGTGCATGTTGAATGGGGATTATTTGTGAACTCACCGTCCTTGACGCAGCCTCCGCCACGGAAATTACAAATGACCATCAGGAGGAGAGATATTTGAATAACTATCGTCATTTCCGCTTTGTGTGGCATTTCTTCGTGACGAGGAATGTTTCTAACATTCGTTGATTTATCACATGAACATAGATCTTTCCACTTTTTCCCACACTTCTTCCCGCACACACTTTTGGCCTCTCCGCAATATTGATGGATCCTCGCCTTGGCGATATCACATTTATTCCAATGAGCCACCCTCGCTGCCAACCGCGCGCGACACTCACCACAGGTCCCGGTGGCACATTTCCTAATCACTCTCACCGCCGCCAACGACGAGCAACAATCAGGGATTCACGGAGCGCACGGCATGGCTGGGGCGCCCTCGACAGCGGACATGGAGAGCAGTGGGGATCTTCTCTCTCTCTGGGGCAGGAGTGTGAGGTGCAAATTCCAAAATCCAACGGCAGCGACGTGGTGCGCAGAATTCGGCACGATGGCTACTTGCTATATGGTTGTCTTGGGCCTGCACCTTTCACAACGAATGAACTTTAATTAAATTTCGATTGATTTGCGTTCCTTTGCGCTCGCCCACCCCAGGGGTGGAAAAAAAAACTCCGCCACTGAGCACCCCTTTTCACCAGAAACTTCACCGTTCGCCCTGAGCTTTCGTGGGGATGCCCGAAGTTGGCCAGCAAGGGGTCCTGACTGGCATGAAGTTGTTGGGATTCAATAATTGATGAAGCACCATTGAAAGTTCATCTTCGTGCGTCTTCTCGTGTAAAATTTTCACCCATGAAAATGCGTTCATCAAGAGCTTTTGGGCCTTCACGGGACTCTCTCTTTTTCACCCAAACAGCAAAGGAGCAAATCAGATTAAACCCTTACTTTTTGCCGCTTCACGGAAGAAAGCTCCTTAGAGCCCCTTCGCGGGGCGGGGAAGGGAATCGGAGGAAGCCTCAAAGTTCAGACATTGTGTGACAAAATATTTACACAAAGACAGCGCGCAAGTTGGAAATTTCAAAATATATACCCATTTCTCGGAATACAAATATGCGAAATGGTGGAGCTTTTAGCGCTCTCCGTTCTCGCTTGTAAATCTCCGGCAAATGGGTGGGTGGTTGGGAGAGGACACAGAAAAAAAATTCGCAATTTCTGATCAATGCACACACAAACACCTTCGGCGCAAGCACAAAGGGTGGGAAAAGTGAGAAAAGAACTTTGATATAATGCGCTTTTTTTCCCACGGATGTACATACTTCCTGGCGAGAAAAGGCTCGTGTGTCTCTCTCTCACTCTGGCGCACTCGACCCTCTCACCTTGCCCATAAATTCCATCCCCCAAAGCCCGGAAAAGGTGGTCACACAGTGGCGGAGAAAAAACACACACTCTGGCTCGTGGAGCATGGGCTTACTGCTTCATCGTGCACTCGCGAAAGCTTTTCCTAGTGCCTCTGCTCCCACGGGATCGGGGCCAGTGTCTCTCAACCCTACTGTATGGGCCGTCGGTGGGACACCCACGTATGATTTTCCGAGAGAATTCTCCACTTTTCACTCATCTTCAGCCACAACTCTCACTGGCCCATTGTTGAGCTTTCGCAAGCTCCTCGACACTTGTAAGGAAATTCCACTGGGAGAATTTTCTCCGCCATAAACTTTCACCCGCCCGCGTTCTGGGGGGAAAATGCTATTCCATCGCGCGGTCCACGACGGAGATTCTCTTTTTTTCTCTTTCTCTCTGTGCGAAAATCACTCACAAATAACTAATAGCTCTTCCTCACTGAATATCTCTCCACTTTACTTTTAATCACTCACACCACTCCATATACTGTTTCCTTGCCCCCGAGAAAGCAATTACGGGACGAGGATAAAAATTCAAAAGCTCACTCGTTGAGTGGCAAAAGCACAGGGTGAAAGGAAAAAAGTGACTCGAGGCATCCGCACTGCGAGATGTGAAAAGTTTTGTGTGTGCGCTTTTGTAATCCGACAGGTAGTGAATTCGTCTATCTTGCAACACAAACAATTTAGTCCAAGAGGGAGCTTTCCTTTGGCCGCTTTTTGCTCTCCCGTCTTGCCAGGCTGAGATGAAAATCGATTTTTTGTCCCTTCACCACCACACAGCACACGATTCTGGGCAATGTGCTCTTCTCGCTTCCACTTTCAACACTGGCTCCACTGTTCACGATTTCGTGCTGAGAGCGCAGAATATTGTTAAAACATTTTCGGGGTGGCACTCACACCAACCCCACTGAGCTTGCACACAGCGCTGTCGTCGTCTCTGTCGCGTGTGCAGCGTCGCGAGTGCGCGAGAGAGACCGCCGCTGGCTCGTGCGTGAGTGTGTGTGGAAAACTTCCTGAAAACGATGCCAGGACAGCGAATGTTTGTGAGAAATTTCCATAGACAATGTGAATGTATGTATATATGGGAACATGTTCGCGCGAGAGCGTCTGCGCGAGAGCGTATGGCGAAAAGCGTCCCCGAGAGCTTCAGGATTTCGTCGAGACGATCGTTTCCTGGCCACACACAGAGCTCTCTCGGTTCCCTTCCCCCCCACTCCCTCCCGCATCCGCAAGAGGTGTCAATCGATTTTGGGGGCTCACGAGAAAAGCTCCACCAGATTCAGATGTAATCCTCCACCCAAAGGCCCCCGGAGCATCGCATTGATTGCCCAAAATCGATTTTGCGCCTCAACTGCCGCAACAATCACTTTAAGAGCATGCGACAAAGTGATGTATGACTTTAAATCGCACTCCATATTCCAGGTACGACGCCTTAAAATTGATTCCAAGTGCTGAACCCTTTCTCTCTCAACCACTTTTTTCCCACCGCTCAACCGCAAAACATGCACGAGCAATTTTGCATTCCAAATTGCAAGACCGTGTGGCAAAAAGAATGGAGAAACTCTATTAGTTCTTGAAACTTTCACTGGCGACACCGAAATATTTCCACCCAATAGGCGGACTCGTAAAATCAAGAACTGTTTTGCTCTCAGTGTTGCTTATGAGGAATAAAACTGATTTATTGCGGATTTTATGCTGATGAATTACTGTTTTTAAAGCGGCACAATTAGTGCGCACAAAAATTACTAATCAGGATAAAGTCATAATAAATTATGCTGAGGCATCCTTAAACACAAATTTGCGTCGGTATTTAAGGTTTAGACTCCCCAAATTTAAATAAAGAATTTGCTTTTCAAAACACCCTTCAAGACACGCGATAATTCTGTGCAAACACGTAAATTATTTGAGTGAAATGAATAAATACTTAATTTTAGAAGCTCAGATTTAACCTACTTACTTTAAGTGCTTGGAACGCAAGGAATTTTGAGTTTTATTTGTGCATCGATTTCATAATAATATTCGAGAATACGTGCTTAAGAAATGTTTCGCAATTCGTTAAGAACTCCACTAAAATTCATGAAATATTCAATGGCATAATTTTATTAAAAACTCCAAAAATTCAACATTTATGTTCATTTTCAAAATCCCAAGCTAAATCCCATCTGTTTATGATTTAGCTTTATTTTGTCAAACTACACTTTTGTCGACAATGCATATAAAAGCATTAAAATGCGAGATGTTCCAGATTATTTCAAAGTATATATAAAAAAAAGTGTTTTTTCAACATTCCTTGAATCTCTGTGCAAAATTTTCATCCAACAAGTTACATAAATAATGTCTCTTCGGTATGCAGCGAATGTGATAAAGTGCAACAAAATTTGTGGCAGCAAATTATGAAATTCAGCACGTGTAATTTAACTATGTCAATGTTGTGTATAAAAGTTGGCAAAAAGTTGTAGTTGAAAGGTAATTTTGAGGAACTTTTCAGGCCCATAATCCAGATTAGGTCAATGGCTTGTTGTTTACATTTTGATAACGTGTCCGCTTTTCATGTGAATGTGTCTCCTCAAATTCCGTGTTTCACTTAACTTTTTATGACACCATTTCTGCGTGATTCGTTATGGAGAAGCGAGAGCGAGGCTGGGGATGAAACATGAGGTTTGTGCGGAATACCAAGTCGAGGTATTGATTAACGGAGCACTAATTGAATGATTTAATTAGTGATAAAGGTATAATTAACTATTCAATGCATTAAATTTCATAGAAAGCCAGAACATTCAATCACAGCATTAAATGAAGATTAGCCACAATGAAAAGCTCTGCCAAAATATTTTCACAAGCCTCAAAAGAAATATATAATCAATGTTGTGGTGTTGAAAAGCAAAACTGCGAAAATTAAACGCTGATAAAGCATGAGAATGAAATATATAGAAATAATACTTTATTATCATTGGAAGACAAACCCCAAAAATTATCATTTTGACTTTCAGCCAAAAACCATACAAGCCAATGGAGCTCCTGATAAAATATTACTCAAAGTGCATAAACTAATAAAGAACCACAATGCCAGCAGTTAAAAGCATACGCTTTTTTAACTTCTAATTTCCTAACATTTCACCGCTTTTTGGCTTTTCACAAATGAAATGCATAAAGCAATAATTAATTTCCAACTGTGAAAAGTCCTTCAAATGAAATGAAATGAAATGAAAACACATATCTGTTTACACTCAATTAAAATTCATTTGCAATACGCCTGCGAACATTGCGAAATCCATTATCACAAATCACGATATTTGAGATTACATCGAAGGACTTGGTGAATCACAGCAAAATGTGACTGATATCTCAAAGTTAATCGTACGCAAAATAACGTATATAGAATGTATCATGAGTTGGTTGAGCTTTGAACTTGTGCTGAGAATAATTGCTTTTGCGAAGTTGTCTGTGTGGAAAATAAAAGTGCATCCTCTTGAAAATGTTATTAAGTGGCACACAATCTTTGCCATTTCTCTCGCTGGCGTAAACTTTTCAATATTGATTTAGCGTGACTACGGCGCAAGGGAGGGTAGAGCTTTTCTAAGATTGTTGTGCATCTTGTGATTTCATTTCAAAGTTCCTTTGTCGCCTTTGCGACTCTCAAAATGCCAAGAAAACACGGAGAGAAAGTTTTCGGTTGGAGCTCACGTGCGAGGGGAACAGACAATCTTTCGCTCCTATTCACATGGTGCACACACAACATAAAAGGACATTTAACTGCTTGCGCCACAAATTCGGGATTCTTGTTATTTTTCACCCACTCCACCGTTGCACATCTTCCAGCTCTGCACAATCCATGCACAGTATCCCGAGTGCTTGGGAAACTTCTCTTCAAGATGCTCCCGGAAATCTTACACGCAACTTTTGAGCTTGTGAGCAAAGTGGGAATTTCATCAGGTTCCATCCGACGTCAATGGAGGCTCTCTCCTATTCACCCTTTCCGCCCAGGATAATCCACATTTTGCGACGCCACCACCAATTATTTGGCTCTCTTGTCATCACTCATGTGGCTCAACTTTGGCCCAATTTTCCACGCGAAATCTGCGATAAGAGCGCAATTCTTTGAAATGACTCGGGAAGGGAGGGGGGGTTAAAAAAGAGGGAGGCAACCGGGAATTGAATCTCCTCAATTGGCGTGTTTTTGTGTCACTTTTCAAAGTTTCAACTCTTGGCGTCGCGAAGAAGTTAACAAGCTCCTAAAATTCCACTTCAGCATCTTTTTTACTCGCCCTTCACGAGACACTCGAGCGGATTTTACTCCCAATTCCCAACAGTTAATATTTCAGATACACTTTAGCATGTACAAAAGCAAGCATTTATAAAAGTTCCCAGAGCAAGATGAGAAAGACAAGGGTAAAGAGAAAAATATTTTCTTTTGTAATGAAAACTTTTCCTTAAAGAAATGTTGAGAGAGTGACAGGCAAAAACTAATCATCTTTGCAGAGAAAGTCTCCGGAAGAGGGATTTTTTTAAAAATTATTTTCTTTCACATGAAACACATTCGCGGGAAATATTGACTCTCTTCCTGGCTGGAATCGTCCTTTTGAATTTGTTTGTGAAGTCGCAGCGCAAAAGAGTTGAAAAACATGGGTTTATTGAGACATTTCATTTGCCACACAATCTCTACATATTACGTGCTATTTAATATTCCTTTTATTGGTAAATATGTGGTGATCTGATTACGCTAATTAAAATAAAATTGCGTGTCTTTGATCAGTAGGAAGGTTGGAAAAAAAACGTGGTTTATTTCGATTAAATTGCCAATTTAATAGTATTATTGCTATTGGGGAATATTTGAACAGCATAAATGCGTATATTAATAAATCGGTGTAATTATAGCGGTGATTACGTCTGTTGAAATACATTTCACCCTTTGTAAATAAACCATCAACCATCGACGCATAAGTGGGAAAAATACACGGATTTCAGGGACTTTTTCACCACAGCGCGCTCTAAGCTTTGAGGCATTGTAAATTCCTTCCCACATTGATTTTGCATTAATAAATGTTGATATTGTTTCCTTCACGCCCCGAGAGTCAGGCCCCCTTTTCGCACGCCACAGCAATATAGTGCCCACGAAGGCGGGGGCGGGCGGAAGGGTGTGAAAGGCTGTGGGGTAAAAAGTATGTGTGGATGTGTTTTCGGGGAGAATTATTGCTCTCCGCACATTGTGTCTCAATCCCTCTCACTCGCACCTGCTGCTGCCTTCATGTAATGAGTGTTGAAACATTATTAATTTCTATTTCATTATTTTAACATTAATTTCCATGACATTATGGGGCAAAGTTGGATCTTTTATTTACACCACCCACTACAATGAATATTGCCGCAATAAAATTTCCTTTCTCGCAAACCCACAATTAAACACCTTTTGCGCTACACACCCGCCCCATCATTAAGCGATACCCTGATTCCTATCACCTGGATTTTCCACGCAATAAAAAACATCCGACCCCAGTCCGTATCACTTTGTATGGACGTGTCGGTTTTATCTAGATTTCACAGATATTATAATCGAATTTAGAATGCCTTTAAATTCCTCTCGCACAATCAATACAGCAATTAATGCAGCGCACTAAAGCCTTCGCTATCACACTTGACTGGATTCACTCTCGATCGCACTTGAGTTCCGCCATTTCTGAGCTCCATAGCAAAATGGTGTCACTATCAAGATTTCGATCCACTGTGCGTCTGTTCAGGATCCCATAATGGACTCTCTATTGGATAGTTATCGGTGGATGATGAGGAAGTTCCTGACTCGAGCCACCCTCGCCGTGTGCCTGGCCACGGGCCAAGATGTGTGTTTTGTTCTAGCATCTCACCTCCTCCACCCCACGCCCAATGCACATCCCGTAATCCCGGTTCAGCTGAAAGGAAGGCCATTTTCCTCACGATTAATTGCATCCATTCGACAGGAGCCGAAAGCCTCTTCCTCCATAATTATTGAACTACGAAATTTTACATCAGTTCTGAACTCCGAACAGACGTGTTTGTTCAATCTTCAGCCTTTATGCCTTCTTTCGTGGCATTCATCCAAGAGTCTTCGCTCTTGCACACATAAAGAGAAGAGAGAGGGCAATGTTTTTTTCCTAGCAGCTTCACACACTGTTGAAAAACAACAATAAACAAAATTGCAGTGATTAATGAGTCGAGTCACTTTTTGGGGCACTCATTGCTGTGTAGCGGAAGTAATAACGGCAAAACTGGTCATATTACATGAGGGAATGTTTGGAAATTTGGCTTAAAAGGGAGGTTTTCTTCATTTCTCGGCCACAAAAACTGGATCAATGGCCACGCTTTTCGAGAACAATTAGGGGATAATGTTAATCTTTTATGAGTTTGCCCGGAAAAGGTAATTGTCCCTTAAGAGGATTGAGTGAATAATTTCGTGCAATTACAACTCCTGTGGGGGAAATCACACTCATTATTCTCGTAAAATGATTTGTAAATACAATGATAAACTAACATATTCTGTAGGGGCAAAAGAGACAATTTGACACACAAGATTAGATATCATAAAGACTGTTTGAATAACATGCCGATAAACAAATGATGTGGGAGGAAAATCGACTTTTGTCAACTTGCATATATATAAAAGACTTGACCGAACCATGATTATAAAATTAATTATTTATTTCAATACCAATGCGATTACACATTTTTCTTGTATAACATTTGGGTTTATCGTTTAACGACGCAGCATATAAATATGAATGTAGTGTATTATTAAATAAAGAATAATAATAATAAATGAAAATATTAATAAGCCAGCCAGTTATTATTTTATTTTCGCGATAAGACTCCCCCACCGGCAGTGTATTTGAACTTTTTCATAGTTGCTCATAAAACTGCGCTCCTATTTTGCATTCCCACGTAAAGCAAAAAAGTATATTGACAGCGGGAAAATCCTTTTCTTTTATGACCATCTCCATTATACTCTCACTCTAATAATAATTTAATAGAAGAAGTTTGATTATTACGCTCCTCTTCGCTCATCTCCCATCATTCTGGACACGAGACAACTATCGCCGCAGGCAATCTCTGTTCTCTGTCCAGTCTGACGGCGAAGGCTCTTAGCGGACGAAGGCATATCCGAGGCACGAGAGATGAATCTTCTCTCTCTCTGGTCCTGATTTAATCGACAATAATATGGCCGTAGGCGCATGGAAATAAAATAGTCTGGCAAAATCCTTCTGCGGCCCCTCATCCCGACAATCCTCCGCCCATTGTTATCACTTAATAAAAATCTGGCTGGAAAACTCGCTGGCTTTCATTCACTCCTGCCTCCCACCATCTGCCCGCAAAACTACATGTATTCACTCCACTTTTGGTCTGTCTATATCTCGCGTGTTTATTTTTAGTGGAGCGAGGAGAAATGTGGGCAGAAAAAAGGGAGGAGAAATGAGTGGAAAAATAAAGTCTAATCTGTTATTTTTTGGCCATAAGCCAATATAAACACTTTATCATTAATCTCCTTGAAGATTCCCCATCGGGCCTCCTCGCCGGAAAATCTCCTCTCCTCATTCGCCCAAAATTCATTCCCGGAAAAAGTCCCATTTCTGCTGAAATAGACAATTTTCCCTCCACTGGCCGGAGAGACTTGGCTTAATTAAATGTTTCTCCATTACTTTTCCGGTGTCTGAGGGTGGCGAGACGGAGAGCGAAAAAAGCATCTCTCAGGAATAGAAGTTGCAGTAATGAAATTTACTCACATGAATTTCATTAATTCTGCTTTTCAGCCAACTGTTTGAGTTGCTTGAGGACAGTCTCGAGGAGCTTCTTCTTGTCACGCTCCGACTTCTTCAGCACACTGAACATTGTCTTCTTGTCGGCCTCTCGAATCTTCTCCAAGATTATAATTATTGTCGTCGGCTGCACCAGTGAGTACCTCTTCTCCTCCTTGCCATAGTCATGCAAATATGCACTCCACTCCTCGCTCAGCAGCAGATCCAGCAATTGCCGCAACTCCGCAAAGTACTTCAGCAGTTCGCCCTCCTTCAGGCCCGGCACTGGATCGCTCCCGGCGAACACTTCGCACTGCATCAAGTCCAGACTGATCTGCTGCAGTGCTCCGGTGGAGATTTGCTTCACATCCTCACTCAGCAGCAGACTTCTGATGGCATTGGCGATGTGTTCGCAGGCTCTCTTGCACGCACCCTGCGCCACATTGGGCAACAGTGTGCAGAAGCTCTGAAAGGTGCTCTGCAGAAAAGCAATCATATCCGTGATGAATGGCGATCCATGGCCAATTGGTTCCGCCAATAGCCAGTCATAGCCCTCCAACTCCTCGAAGAAATCATCCAGCTTCGAGCAGAGCTTCTCAGACACCTGCATTTCCGCCTCAGCGCGCGCCACGTGGAACATTGCCGACGGTGCTTGGCTGATATTTTGCTTTGTGCCGGTCATTTTGCACACGAAATCATCCAGAAATGGTCCAGCCTTCTCCAAGTACTGCGTATCAATTATGATTTGAATCACCTGAAAGAATAAACAAATGCCCTCAAGGACTTGCCAAGAGAATACAGGGAGATTAAACAGCTTCTCACCTGCATCAAAGCCAAACTGGGACTGTGGAAAACCGCCGAGAGGCAACCGCTGAAACTTCGCGTAAGCAAAAGATTTGCTGCCTTTCGCACCATTGCGGCCACTTCATTGGGCGACAGAGACAACTCCTCGGAGAACTTCATGCAGGCATACATAAACTCCTTCGCCTGGTGATACACTTCGGGCACCATTTGGGAGAAGGGAAATCTCTTGGGAAACTCCTGACTCTCCAACTGCTCCGAATGGAAGGGAAATCTCTCCAGAATCGCATCGTACTCCTCCTGATCCTCCACCTCCAGTGGCAGAAAGTCACCACGCGCGAGAATCTCCCGGAATTCATTCACCCAGCGCTGCAGCAGCACTTCATTGTAGTGATCGCGCATCTCCAGCAGCAAATCCCAGAGCTGCGTGCATGTGTAACCGTAGGTCTTGAGCGTAGTGATGCTCAGCATGATTAGGTTCTTGATGCGAAGCAGAATATTGGGATCTGTGCACGAAGAGGAGTTCATGCTGAGCACATTCACGGCTCTCGTCAGTGACGCTGACCACAGATCGTCCAAATAGGATCGCGTGACGATCTCACCGCCTGTGTTCATCACATGATCCTCCACGATGAAGAAGCCCACGATTGAGTGAATGTATGTCTTGTAGGCGTCCAAATTATCGTGCATCGTCTGAGGCGCTTGCAAGACTAACTTAGCCTGATCTCGACGCTGCTTTCGCCAGTCATTCTCAAAGTACTCCTTATCATTCAGCACAGTATATATATGCAAACATCGGTACACCGGTGAGAAGTCTATCAAATCCTGCAAGAGGAAAGAAAACCCACACACACACATTGTTGCAAAGTGCAAGTATTCTCCTGAATATTTAATTTACCATAGCATGAAAAATGAAACTTTCTCCCGTGGAAGAAAGTTTTTGAACCATCGAGAATCCCAGAGATTTCCACCCGCTAAACTAATAGAAACTGTTCTCCTTCCGTATTGCCTTCATTGATTTTCCACGTGAAATTAATATTAAATGAGTGCAATATTTCGAAATTGCTCAACAGAGATAAATTACATTGTTCTTCTGTTCGCATTTTGCTTCGGAAAACTTATCGTAAGTTTTAGCCGGCGGATGGGGAAATGTGACTAAATAAGCCGCATAGATGTTCTCATGGAAGTGAAACTTTTGCAAGTGACTATTCTATTACCCTCAAAATGTGTGCATTGAGACAACGAATAGTTATATTTTCTAATGAGAATTATAATTGTTCATTTGACAATGAATACAATTATATAGTGTATGATGAATTTATGAAAGCATTTAAAGCACATGAAACTGAATTAAGCAAATATTTTGAGTCGAGCTTTCAATCTTATAAGCCCGGAAAGGAATAAACTTCTTAGATTTCAAGTTTTACTGAAAATAACACTTTAATAATGTAAAACAAGAATATATCGTTATATTTTCAGTTGTTTTTTCTTGGCTTCTTCAACAAATTAACTTTGGAAATAACTTTATTTTGCTCGTGTTTTTCCCTCAATGAACACAATATGAACGTTTTGCGTAAAACTTTTGCTATTTCTTGGCACTTTTGTGGTTCATTCTTAAGATATCCATTCAATTTATTTCCTTGTAGCAAAAACTAACATCGGAGAACTTGACTAAGAAAAAAAAACTATCCAACTCACCTGGGCACTGAGATCTTCCTCATCCACTGCACTGCCGTTCTTCTCCATGCTCTGATACTCTTCAATGATTGACTTGAGATTTCTCCGCTGCATCTGTCTCGTGTGATTCATCGCCACCTCGCCGATCTTCGGTGAGAACTTCCTGATATTCTCCAGGAACTCCCTGAAATCCTCCTCAGACGACTGCTTGATCTTCTCCTTGAGCTTCGGCACGGCACTCTTCATCTGCGCGGTGAAGCGATAGTTGGCCACTTTGGGCAGATGCTCATTCTCCAGCTGCTCGAGAGTCTTCAGTGCCGGATAGTAGCGCTTCTCGTGCACCTGACGCAGAAGCTTCGAGAAGCACTCCAGCACCGGCAAACAATTCGTCAGGCTCTGAATGGCATTGGCAATGTTACCCTCCACCTGGCGCGCCCTCACGAGCTCCTTGCCGCGCGTCAACAGTCCGGAAGACACTCCAGTGAGGGACTCATTGAGGCTCAACACCTCATTGTTGAGATTCTTCGTCTGTGTGCGCACTTGCAGCAACTCCCGGATGGACTCTATGAAGCCCTGGTAGTAGATGTTGCAAATCCTCTCGATGTCCTTATCGTGATTCCGGATCCGGGCATCAATTTGCTCACACAGCGATGCCTGATCAGTACCCTCGAGAATCGACCGAAAAGTCGGTCCCCAGTAATCGTCCACGGACTCTATGTCCTGTATTGACACGTTGGCCATCGTACCTGAAGTTTTCACGAAAACCAACACATTCCTTGAAGTCTTTTTACGGAAAAATAGAGCAAAACATGTTTATTTACCTTCTCCTGCAGTCGCTTTTCTCCCCCTTGTCAAAATGACACCTTCACTCTGTTCAAAGCCAACTTCACTCTGTCGATCAGTGTCGATAAGCATGAGTCAGACTGAACAAAAAAGGCTTCGGTGTGCAATTTTATTCGCCAATTTTGACTGATTTTTAGTAGAAATTTTAAGATAAAGTGTCCTTATCACCACCAGAAGTTGTGCATTTAGTGAAATTAGTCAAATATCCATGCAATGGATCCCGCGCACAAGGAGAATATCCGTGCCAACACGAAGCGTCTCCTCAATGTTACGGATTATGAGAACTTCATAAGGTGCTGCATAAAAAAGGAAATTATCTCCAATACCATGAGGGAAAATATCGAGGTAGGGACTTGTGGGATGTCCAGGAAGCAGTGGTTATCATGTGCACTGTCTTGCAGAACGAGTGGGGCAATGAGACGGACAGGAAGCAGGCGCTGTGGGAGAAGATTCCGAAGAGGGGCCCCAAAGCCTATGCGAGGCTGCTGGAGCTCTGCAGTGAGAACTATCCGGTGGCTTACACCATCCTCAACAAGTCCACGGGGAAGAATCTCGGCCAGGTGGCGAGTGTGAGCCAGACCAGAGAAGTTTACACACCTCTGGATGAACCAGACATGAAATTGGTCAACGACGGAGCGTGTCTGTCTATGGAAAAGGAATTGCCCAGCGCAATAGTGTTGGAAACATATCCGGGCCCAGTAATCAACCACCTGAATCTCACGGTGAAGAAGTCCAGGAAGATACACAAGAATCCCAAATTGAATGTGTACAAAATGACGTCCCGGAATCGTGGAGTTCTCCTGCTCATCAACATTATTAAGTTCCGGAAAGCGGAGCTGAATCGCAGGGGAGCTGACAACGATAGGGACAATCTCATCTACTTATTCACCGAGTTGGGCTTCACCATTTACTACTATGAAGACATCGAACCGAAGAAGCTCTTCCGATACCTCGAAGCCTTCCAGATGCAGGCAATTCTGGAAAAATACGAATGCTTCGTGTTCGGAATCATGACACATGGGAACATTGAGAACCACCAGACGTACGTGGAGTTTGGCAACGGACAAACCATTCCTCTGGATTCGATTCTGGAACAGTTTTACAACGACAAGTGCTACTCTCTCATAAGGAAACCCAAAATCTTCCTTCTACCTTTCTGCAGGTTAGAGAAATTGCTGACCAGGTGTGTAATCCTGAATGCATTAAAGCTGACTTATCTTTTCAGAGGAAACCATCCTGATCTAGGAGTTTTCGTTCAGAATATCCAACACGACGGCTCTCTCATGATACCCAGCGAAGCTGGTCAGTCTTCAGTGCGTAAAATAACAACAAAGAGTGATATTCTCATTTGCTACGCCACAGTCAAAGGTAAAAGAACAATCAACACTAATTAAAGAGATCTCTAAAGCATTCTCAATTTCCTCATCAGGATACGAGAGCCATCGTCACAGGGACACTGGCTCTTGGTATATTCAGGCTCTGTGCCAAGTGTGGGCAGAAAATGCCCACGACACGGATGTGGAGACCATGATGAAGATGGTGGACACGAAAATGCGAGAAGAGTGGGGCAACACTACGCACACCGTTCAGACAGCCTCAATGGAGAACCTGGGCTTCAACGATGCTCTCTTCCTCAATCCAGGATTCTACGAGGAGTGACGAAACCTTCCATTTTGTGTGTTTTTTTTACTTTACAACGACAAACACTCGTTCCAAACGAAGATATGATTTCAAATCTTTCAAATACTTTGTACGAACTCAGAGATTAAATAATACAGTATATATTTTTAATTTAAGGAACTTTTTACTTGATTAATCTTTGCATTCATTTTGAATTTTAAGCGGGAATAAAAATATCCCATTTCGACTTGAAAAATATCCCCATTTCGCCCAAATTCGCCGCGCATGTTGACTTTCGCCGAAAGAATAATTTGTTGCTGTGAAAATTGCGTTTTCTCTATAATCTAGGTGAAAATCTAGTGAAACGCGCTTGATAATCAAATAACAGCTAACTCTGCATAATTTTCAGCCGAGGGGAAAGTGAAAATTGCCTATTTATCGTCAATTTTCACTGTATTGGGTGACAAGTGAGGTTAAGTCTGTCCGCAAGTGTGCGTGCACATCTCACAATTTGACGAAATTCCCCGTGATTATGACGCTACCTGTGGACGCATCAGCGCTGGTGAACGGAGCAGCGATTCTCTTATCGTTTATCGCCGGCTACAAATACGCCCAAATGGTGTCTGAGAGGAAGTGTCGCGAGCAGAAAGACGAGGCGTGCGGAATGGACAGAGACACTCCGGTAAACAAAAGTATTAGATTTCCTATGGTGACTTTGCTTCACACATTCCTTCTCATTTCTCCGCAGATCTTCCGTGACAACGGAGAGTACAAGATGATCTTGGTGGTGAGGAATGACCTGAAGATGGGAAAGGGGAAAATAGCCGCTCAATGTGGTCATGCTGCCGTTGGAGCTTTCCAGACTGCCATGAAGAGAGTTCCTCACATTGTGCGCCGATGGGAGAATTCCGGCTGTGCTAAGATCGCCGTGAAGGTGGAAACGGAGGAAGAGATGATGCATCTGCGCAGGAAGGCAGACAGCATGAGGCTCACCACGTGCCTCATTCGCGATGCCGGACGCACACAAATCGAGCCAAACAGCAAGACAGTCCTGGCCATCGGACCAGCACCGTGCCATGAAGTCGATCAAGTCACAGGGCACTTGAGATTGCTCTAGAATTCCGTGTATTTCCCAACACACAAGTGATTCTCAACTCGCATAGAAACAGAAAATAATAATGGAGAGAAGATTCGGACTTACAGGAAGCAATGCGGCGGCGGCGGAGTGATCTTAGAACCACAAATCACCCTCATTGTTGTCCATATTGGGCTCATCCTTCGTGATGCTCAGGATAAGGTTGTTGTCCTCTTCGTCTGTGTCCGAGATGGCTAAATCATCCTGGATCGCGACACTTGGGTTCACCATCACGGCAGGCTCTTCGACAGTCACCGGAATCTCCGGCGGCACCTCCAGGAGCGGCTGAGAAGGTCGCAAAGGCGCCGCAGACGTGCTCGATGTCATCCCCAAGAAGTCCGACGGATCGTAATTTGGATCCATGTCAATCGACTCATCCTGGGGCTGATTGTAGAAGCCAATGCCACTGAGCTGCACCATCGCTTCCGCCGCTTGCTGACTGTCATCATCACCGTGCACACCTGCAAATTCACACACAGCAACCATTTAAAACATCCTGTGACCACAGAAGAGCCACAAAGAAAGCCTCACCAATTGAATTTCCTCCACCTCCGCCGCTTACAACCGAACCACTGCGATTCAGACCCTCTCCCTGGGCTAAAGTCTCCACAACGCTCTCGTGCTCATTGTCACTTCCCACCTCCTCGAACTCCTCGTCGTCCGTGGAGTATTGCAAATCTTAGATGGGAAAGAGAAGGAAATTAGCACAAAGCAACTAAAGGATCTCGAAGATTGGGTACAAGAGACAGATTTTTAACACGCAAAATAATACAGAAATAAGAAAAATCATACATTATCGCACATCCCATTCTAAAATGTCGCTCTTGCGCTTCATTCATCAAATCAGTTATGAACAAAATTCAACGTTTTGTATGAAAATTTGATCAATAAACTGAAATTAATCGGGAAACTATATATTCTTACATAGAAAGAGAGAAAGATAGCGAAGCATTACAATAATAATAATAATACTTCTCTAAGTGCTATTGAGACTAAAGATAAGAAAATCTACCACTAAAAACCATGCAATGCTTTTGGAATGCGATGCGCCGGAATGAGTCAAAGAAGAAACCAATCAAACAATAATCATGAAAATACAAAAGATGGGATTTACAAAGGGTGGGAGGAAAATAAAGATAGAAAAGCTCACCTTCTTCCAAATACGTATTTTGTGTACTACTTAAATTTGAAGTGTGGCTGTCTTTACGCGGACGTCCACGACCTCGTTTCATGCCCCACAATTTAACTATAAAAATAAACCATGTCCATAGAAAATGCCATTTCTTCAGTTATGCACAAAAAGTCATGCAACAGTATAAGAAAACAGAAGGAAAAAAAGGAAAGACATTATTCACCACCCGAGAAAAGTGTCGGAACTCACCGTCTTCAACTGTGTCTCTGGCCTTCCTCGGTCTTCCGCGGCCGCGCTTCACCTCGGGCAGCGCCGGAATGATCTGGGGCCCCAGAGAGCGCGACGACTGTGGGTCTGCGGACGCGGCGGATGTCGGCCTCTCGCTCGCCTCAATGTCCACATACTCCTCGGCTGAGCTGTTGCCACGCGTCTCCTGCTCATCATCCGCCCAGGATGCGTCCAGTTCCGCCTCATTGCGCGCCCTCTCTTGCACCTGTGCAATATTCCCCTCCAGATGGGCACAGTGCTCGCCAAACTCATCCAGAGCATTCCTGGCGCAGTCCAGAATGAGCTTCGCCTGCTTCGTAAAGTTGGACTCACTGCCATTATACTGCTCACAATTCCGTGCTATTAGCTCCACATCCTGAAGGAACTCCTCCCTGGAGTGGTACTTATGCGCTGCAATCTTCTTCGTGATCGTCTCCAGATCCATGGGCCGCTTAATGACAGTGTAGTAGTCCTTCACCTGCTTCTTGTTGACAGGCTTGAGGAACGGCCACGCCTCCTGCATCACCTTCAGCTTGTTCGTCATCAGCTTCTCGAAGATGAACGACAGCGCCACCTGATCATCATCATCGAGCAGCGGATTGATCGCCTTCTCCAGCCTCATCAGACGCTCCTCCTTCTCCGCCAACTTGTCCACACACTTCTGCAGCATCCTCTGAGCCGCTATGGTCAGCAGATTCTTCGGCCCATTGTACACTGTTGAGTTCTCCACAATCTGATTCACATCCGCGAGGAACTCTTCTCTACTCTGATATCTCTTCTGCCGCAGATTCTCCCTGATGGTCTGCAAGTCCATCGGTCTCTGCACGATTCTGTAGTAATCAGGCACTAACTTAGCATTCACCGGAAACATGAAGGGTTGCACATCTGGCAAATCTCGCATATCGTTCAGAATCTGCTCCAGGATCGACGAAAGAACAACCACAGGATCCGTGCGACGTCGATTGGCCGTCTTGTTGTGCCTCAAATAGTCACAGTGAACATCCAGACCGGCGCGTCTCTTCCTCCTTCCCACGGCATCCTTGGGCACCTTCAGCAGCAACGTGCGACGCTTCACATCCTCATGACGCTTCAACAACTTCCCGCTCAGCTTCACCTTCGTCCCGTCCACATTCACGAGATCCTCATCATCGGCATTCAGCTCCTTCTCAATCTCCTCCTCCTGTTCCTCCGTCAGAGCCACATTGAGCGGTGGCGTGGGTCCTGGCGCCCCCGTGTACAGCGGACAAGCCTTGTTGGTCCTCATGTGACCCACCTGACCGCAGGCGCCGCACTTCAGCTTCAAATCCTGCTTGAACTTGGTCTTCCGCCTCGGCGGACTAATATCCTTGCTGCTGTTGGGAATCGTGGGCGTGTGACTGGGCGTTGGACCACTACTGTGCGAACTAACACTGCCCCGATCGCCCAGACTGATGGGATTCCCAGGCGTCGAATGAAGATGACTCATCATGCCCACCTTCTCCTGATTTCTCCTGATGCGCCTCAGCTGCTCCTGAATCCTCCTCTTCTCTCGCTTCATCTCCTCCTTCTGTGCCTCATCCAGTGTGGCGAAGCTCTTGATGAAGGAGTCATCCTTTGTCGTCCTGATCTTTATGTATGCATCAATTACCGGCTGTCGACGGACAATTTCCGCACGCGTAAACTCCTTCCCTTCGGCATTTTTAAATGTCCTGGTGATCTTTAGAATCCTTCCCGTCTGAGGATTGTTCAAATTGGCCGCCTGTTCATCCTCTTTCTTCCCTTTAGCTCCCTTCGGTGTGCCTCCTTGCTCCTCCATGATCTTCTTCAGCAGCTCCTGACGCTCCTGCTCTTCACGCTCCAGAGACAGCTGCGTTGAGGTCTTCTTGTTGGCCAGCATGTTCTCCAAATTCTTTCCCAACTCCTCCAAATCTGACTCCTCAGACGCCGTGGACTCACCCTCGTCCGTCGAGAGAACTTCCTCACTTGCCAGGACGCGATTCTGCAGATCAAAGATCCTCTGACACTCTTCCTTGTAGCGCTCCTGATGTTCCGCAATGGAAAATCGGTTTCCACGAGAGAACTTATCCATTCCCTCCTCACCAGCTTTGGCCTTCTCAGTGGACAACGTTCTCACCACATCAATAACCTCCCATCGAGACAGCTTCTTGATCTCCTCCTCGGGCACCTGGAATTTCCTCAGCAGTGCTTTGGCATTGTTCAAAGAAAGTCTCCTCAAATCAGCATCCGTTCCCGTTACTGTCCTCTTCGGCTGACTCTCCTGCTCCTCCTTCGTCTGTGTTGGCTTATTGGGCACACGAACGTAGGAGAATCCCTCACCACAGCCTGTCGGATCTGCAGGACCGGTGAGTTGAAGCAAACACTTTCCCCTCATGGCTTGAATGTAGGCTCTCGTTGTATTCCAAGGCGCCACCTTCACCTCATCGTCCATCTTCAGCTGCATCTCCTCATCGTCATCCTCTTGCTGCGCAAAGATAAACTTCTCCCCATAACCGGCATCCTTCAGTCTCTGTTCAGCCGCAATCATGCTAAAGTACGCACAACATTGCTCCGGAGACACCATCGAGCGAATCTCCTCCTCACTGGGCAGCCGAAACTCCGGCTTAATCACCCACCAGTTGGAATCCATGCCGGTCCTCTTGAAGTCAGCACACTGCTTCAGTCTCTTCCTGATGCTGCTCTCACTGTGCGCCGGAAAAGCCTTCTTGATGTCATCCATGCGAATCCTTCGCGGATTGTCCGAACTCTTCCAGAACAATCGATAGATGAACACCTGCAGGAAGTCCCTGACGAAGTTATTCGCCCTCTTGCTGTTCGGCCCGAACACCTCGTACAGCGGACACTGCTGTCCAGCCGTGAACAGCGAGTCAATCTCACGGATGAAGTAAGTGTTCCGCGTGCGGATGAGCAGGAAGTCCGACGAATTGATGTTGTGCGGATAAATTGGAGCACGATACATGTTATTCTCCACAGCTTGGATGACATGACCCGGCGCCAGGATGCCCAAGAATGGACTCGTGTGGGCATAAGCCACTTCGCCGTACTTATATTCTGGTGGTCCAGAATCCTTGGCCGCCTTCCTCTTGTAGTAGTTCTTGATCTTCGAGCACATTCCCACCTGATTCATCAGCGGCGGATGCTCCTCGCAGAACTCCACCAGAATCATCTCTCCATCACGTCCCGTGAGATCCTCTGGGTTTCGCATGAAGAACACATCTCCACCACCCGAAGCGATTCTCTCCAACTCCCTCTGTTTTGCCTTCTTGCGAATGTGTTTCAGCAGAGGCAACACAGGATGCGGGATCGATGCCGCCAGTGCTCCGTGAGAGTACTTCTTCATCGGTGGCCTGTGGAAACTCCTCAGCTTCATTGGTCCCATATGAGTGGGAATAAATGGCGATCTGAGTTCCACAACGGGCGTCGAGTGTTGAATAAGATTGCCTCCGCCCACTTTGAGTCTGAGAGTCGTCTCTGAAGACTTCGCCTGGTAGAACACATCATTTGAGATGTTGTAAGGATCGCGATCTGGCGATTTTGGTGGCGGTGGCGGAGTGTCCTCTTGCAAAACATTAATCACTCCCGCCTTTCCGAGCAGAATCTTTGACTTCTTCACGTGCGGATGGGGTATCTTGACCTTCGGCGGTGGTCCAGTATTCTTCTGCACCTTTGACGGATCAATATCATCGGGAATCCCAAGAATGATATTCTCATCATTGGGATCCAGAGTCAAAACTTTAGGTTTCGGCACTTTTTCCATGGATTCTGCATCCCAAATCACTTCATCCTCCCATTTGCTGTACACCAACTCTTCATTCTCCACCGGAAAGATGCTGTACCAGGTGTCATCCGCCTCCTCGGGCTTCTGGAGCATCAGAGATATCCTGAAAATACGCAATTTGACAAGGAATCTCATTGATATCACACTTTGCACTACTCACATTTGCGATTTGCTCATCTTCCCACTCTGGGAGTTGCCCATCTTCGTGCCTGGCAGAGGAGTGGTCACAGGAAGCACCTTTCCAGTGTGACTGAAGGCTCCTGCTGTCCTCGAACCACTCGAAGGCAACCACCCCGCTGCATTTGTCTTCGAGTTGAGCTTCTGCAACACTTTGTGCTTGATATCATTGCCATCCCACACAACATCGTCTTCCCAGTGGAGTTGAGAAACCATCAAATAAGCATCATCAGGAATTGGTTCGCCATTAATCACAATCTCCTCTCTCTTCTGCGTCTACAATTCGAGAAGCATCGCGCATTAAATTCAAGCAATCTAATAGCCTAGCTGACAAAATCACCTCATCTCGCATCTTGAAGCCATAATTGAATCCTTCTCCAGAGTCTGCTACCTCCAGCATATCATACCACACCTGAGCTGGCCCAAATCTCCAATCCGCAACCTTTGGCTTGTTGTCACCGGCTTCGCCCGTCTCCGGAGACTTTTCATTGATCGCATCCGTGATCTCACTCAGCAGTTTCTCCTCATCATCCGAGCACAATTCCTCCTTTGTCGGCGATGGAGCGAAATTTAAATACCACCCACGGAACTTCTTAGGCTCATCTGTGTCTGAAGTCGAGTCTGATCCCTCCTTCTTCACTCCATCTCTCGACTGTTTGCGCTTTCTGCGCCTCTTCCGGACACTTCTCCAGATCTGTGGCAAACTTGACGGCTTTCCAGGGCCGAAAAGTCGTGAGAATCTCAACACTTTGTCGGGACGAAAGTCCGGGAATAGCTCTCGAACGTCCACATTGGCATATTTTGAGGGAAGCATCGCCGCCAAGGGTGTGTCCAGCTTCTTATCTCCCGACAGATCCACTTTCTCTTCCTTCACCTCAACCTTCGCCTCCAGCTCACCCTCTCCAGATGCTGTCTTCTGCGGAGCACTTGGAGGCGGCATCAGTGCCTTGTCGTCAGAAGAAACAGATGCACTGCCAGAGTTTCCATTCTCCACTGGCTTGTCGTCGTCAATCTTCACGGCAGCGTCTGAAGAACCGCTCTCAACTGCCACTTTATTCACCGGAATGGCGTCCTCAATATCATAGTCATCCTCAGGATTGTCCTTCTCTGCCTCCGACGGTTCAATTGTCACCGGCAAGTCTTCAGCCAACTCATTTATGTCAGAGTAATCTATCGCCGTGTCGGCTTTGGTGGTGAAATCCTCCTCAGTTGTGTCGTCTTCAGATTCTTGGCGACGAAACTCATCGCCACTGTCATCATCTCCAGAGCTTCGGCGACTGCTCTTATCGCTCGGAAGACTAATCACTTCGCTCAGAAGAGCATTAAGGCCCAATCTGAAAGGAAACCGGGAGTTAAACACAATTTATATTGGTGTGATTCGCGTGTCGACAAACCTGGAGAGAGATGCAAGTTGTCGCTTTGATTCACTGTCAAAGATGTCCTCCTCCAGTCGCCCGGAAGAATCAATGTTCCCAAAGAGGAATCCCGTGAGATCCACCTCATTTCTATCATCTGTATCACTATCATTATCCATTTCTCTTGCTTTCCGTACTTTGTTTACGTTTTGATACAGACAAAAGTGTGGTTAGAGTTGTCACTCCATATATTTCAGAATTTTGATTAAACTAGCACATTTAAGAGTCAAAACACATGTGATAATGAGAGAACGTACGCTTATGCAAAGATTCCAAGTGTTTTAGTTGCGTAAAACTAAGTCTTTCCTTAGTTTTTAGGGAATTTTCTCAGAGAATAACACCCAGCGACACCAACAAGAAAAAAAAATTCGCCGACTGAAACGTCAAAAACTCGCCGAGCCGCTTTGTGACGGTGTCCCACGACTGTCCCAATTCGCCCCAGGGTCGCATTCCCTCCAAAATCAAGCCGCAGAGCAGCGAAATCATATGGCAAGGAAACGTTGAGAAACCCAAAGAATATTTGCCTTTCAAGATTTTATATTTTATTCATATTAACAATATTATAATTAATCTTATAATATACACACTTAACTACAAAAGAAGGGAAAATTTATCATCTGAAAATAAATAAAAAGTGGTGAGGAAAAAATCGTTGTAGCTATAAAGTTTTAAAAATTGAAACTAAACATTTTGTCCAATTTTATTTTCCACGATTTTCTCAAATCTTCAAAACTGCATCCAATATTTCTCTCACTTATTCCCTTTTATTATTTATTCTTTTTACCACTATTCGTTTGTGATTCTTCTTGCATGCGCCTTTCGAATGCTCTCGCTTCTCTTTCATAACACAAAATATAATAGCAATTTTGAAAAATTTTGGTTATTTTTTCTTGTTTTTCTCTTTTGAAAATCCTCTCCACACCAAAGGCCGACCGAACACTTGATCATCTCTGTCAATTCACTCGCAAAAACCATTTTTTTTATATAAAATTTCGGCATGTTTTCTTGCAAAAAGGTGAAGTTATTTTGATTTCAATTTCACTGTTCTTCGATTCAATTAGAAAATATATTCCTAATTTCTCACATCCTCCAAAATCCACTTATACTGAAAAGCAACTATTTTATTTGTACAAAGGATTTTCCTTCCTTCACACTGGGCTTCTTACATTCCACTTTCTGATCATCATTTTTTATTTTGTCATCGCATTTAAAAGAACCTCTTATGGCACTCTAAAATTGTCCAAATTGTCTCTCTTCTCTCTCTCTCTCTCTCACGGTGAATACAAAATCAGGAATAATTTGGCACCCGATTCATTTGAGCGATAATTGCTTAATTTTGCTTGTGTTTGCATCAAATTGAAAAATGAAATTCCACGTGAATCCAAAAAGCAATCGGTATTGTATTATTAGTTTTCTCTTTTATCACTGCAAATATTTACAAGAGATGCACTGCACTTAAAGTAATAAAGGTTTATTTATATATTTAAGGAAAAATTACATGCTTTTCGCCTTTCTTCTCATCACCTTACAGAAACTGTTTTTCTCTTTCTCTCCCTTCATTTTCATCTTCTTCTTCTTCTGTCAACTCATAACGGAGGAAGGCACGGATTATTTCTATATTTGCTGTGAAAAAACAGACACGACGATTTTTTTTTGAATAAAAATAAGATACTCTTTCCTATTGTAAAACTGTTAAACTTCATCCCCGAAGGTCGTCTTTGTCCCCCCCAATGATGCAAATCTTTAGGAATTCAGAGACGACCTCAGTCTGGAATTTGCATGAAAGAGAGAAAAATTGAGGCTGAAAGAGGCAAACTCAGGAAGACAACGATTCTAATTTTTTTTTCTTTTGCTCCATTTCACGCTGCAAATATTTTGTTTCTTCTTAATTTTTCTCTCATTCTCAACCCATTTGCGCTGCAGAGAAGGATAAAGCAAAACTTCTTCAATTTCCTAATAATAAAATCCTCCATTTGATTTCATATTCTCTTATATTACCTTTGTTTCTAAATTGAACCAGCAATGAATGTCTTCAGCATAAAAAATAGGCAGGACGCAAATGTAACAGAAAAAATGATTGGCTTTCTTTTCTCCTTTTTTAATTGTGATTTTATGTTGCTTTTCGAATTTATCTTTTTTTTTGTCCCACACTCGCATCCTCTCTCTCTCTCCCTCTTCACAAATCATTTGTTTTACAAATACTTATGTTATTATTTTATAAAAATATTCTTTAATTTTACATTATTACAAGATGACTTCCTATTTTTTTTTATACTCCATTCCTCTCGCATTCCCACTCACAAGATCTCTTTTATAAATGAATTTCTAATTGTATTTTATTTCAAAAATCCTATTCATGTATAAGTTTTTTTCTTCTCATTCTCTGCGCTGCTCTCTGTAAATATTGTTTTCTCTTGCTAAATATCAGCCGTTTGCCACTGAATTAATGTTTTTTCTGCTGTTCTTCTTCTATAATGACATGATTATTCTTGCAAAATCGCTCTATACAGCATCAATTGTTTTTTTTTTTTCAATGTTATCTCTGCATGATAAAATGTCTCTATTTTTCGTCCAATGATTAAAAATTACGATTTCCTCCATTGTGTTACTTATGTTAAATGTCTGTTCGCCTTAGAATGAATTCTCTCCTCTTGCTTTTTATATAAAGATTGTTTCTTAGCTATTCCATTTCTTGCTCATCATTCTCTTCATATTTTTTCCTTCCTTCTTTTTATACATTATACGGAGAAATGCGGTAACCAAAAACTAATTCTCTCTTTCTCACTAAAAAAAAAGAAATTACACTAAAGTCTGTTAATATCTCTACGATTTACACAAATTCCAATCAATCCTTTCTCTCGCGCTCGCTTCCCCTCGAGTCTCACTCTCTCTCAACCCCACCGGAAAAAAAGAAAATACACGAAAGAGGGATGAATAATGCTGCAAACAGATTGAAACGCGTCGTGATTGCATTTTCACATTCCATTCGTGTATTTATCTCACATCCTCTCGCATCTCCCTCTCTTTTTTCTCTCTCAATTCACCCAACATCATCGCGAGCATTAGGAGAAGAAGGGAAATTAGAGCAGAGACGGCTGATGTATTTTGTGCCATTTGTGTACAATGGAGACACAGGATGAATACGGGTGGAGAAAAAAATACGGACAAGGAGGAAAATGTTGGCTAAAATTTATCCTGAAAGATGAATAAGTTATTGGTCGCCGCAACTGCTATAATATTCTCTAGTGGATGCCAGGCCGTGTGAAGGATTTTCTTATTGAAATCCAAACAGTCCACACTAATCTCGTCTTTTTTCCTCTTCCCACCCGTGCACACCTTCCTCGGCTTCAGCACCGTCTTAGGCTTGATGATGTCCCGCGATGCCTCCAGTGTTACATCCTTCTTTGTATTGCGATCGAATACACGGAAGAAATTATTGTAACTTCCCGTCATTATCGCCGTATCACTGCCATTCCAGCAGCACTCGAACTTATCGAAAATGCAATCCGTCTCGTACAGCGAACATAGCTTAGACCTTAAATATTCATGAACCTGCAAAGAGACACACAGAGGAGAGAGAAAAGGATATTAGCTACAGCTTCTCGCCTCATCTTAATTACCGTAATGGACACTCATCATAAAACATAATTACTTTAGACTACGACCCCAAGAAATACATACAACGGAAAACCCAGAGAGCAAAGATACAATAAAACATTCTCTCTTCATCATCATGTATTAACTTCTCAAAGCCACAATAATTCTTTAATATAATAAATTCCGAAATAACTAAATAAAACAAGAAACCATGAAAGTCGATGAGAACAATTTTCAAATAAATATGAATCTACAATCGAAGAGTGAAAAGGTTGAAATATAAATTATTAAATATTCCTCTCAGAGTCTCAACAAAGCACGATCAGGTAAAATCTCGTGTTTTTTTTTTTACCTACTATACACAAAAGGCCTTCGCACTGAAAAATACAAGAGAAAAATATCTGCCCGGAACAGATGTAATAAATCACACCAAGACAACTGGATATTTCCCGCGTGGAAAAAGAATATAACACATAATTCAATGTGATTTTCCATGTCAATGGAACAGCAAAAAAAATTCAGAGTATAAAATTGTTATTCAATATTGGAATGTTACTTTGTAGAAATTTTTCTTTCCCTCACACTCTCCTTATCAATTTTGACGGTCACACAGTGTATTTATCGCGAGCATAGCAGCTGAGTCGAGTGTTTCTCTCGTTCTTTCAACTTTTATAAAATATCAAGAGCGTCACTGAAGGTCGCACCGTATGCTAACCAATCGTCCCTTATCACACGCTCTCCTCACATTATCAATGCTCTCTCTCAAACACACAACATTTTCAATATTGTAGGCTTTGTGTTTGACATTTTTTTTCCCTTTGCCCGAGAGATATAGCCAGCGATAAAGGAAGGTTTTTTTTTGCACTACACACAGTGTGCCCTTATCATTTGAGTGCGCTTCTGTGAGATTAGTTCATGAGAAAACAATATATTCCACACACTCACCGGATACGTCTCAATCGGCTTCGTCTCCATGTGAAGATCCCACACTTTTATACTGAGGTAGTCCCTCGAGATCATATAACGACCCGAATTGCTCAGCTTTACATCACTTATCGAGCTGATGATTTCACTGAAGAAGCTGCGATTCGTGGGATCCTCCGGCTCCTCGAATTGCTTGGCATGGCGATCGCACAGGGCAGCCGCCCTCATATCACATAGCCGAATTGTGCCCTTGCTGCTCGAGTACACGAGTAAATTGCATTCTGTCGGATGAAACTCCGCCGCTGTAATCACCTCAGTCAATTCCTCCATATTCGTCGGCTTGATATCCACAATATTGAAGCTCTGATCCGTGATTTCTAAATGCCACAAATTGATGCGCAGATCATCCGCCGACAGGTATGTCTCCTGATCCGAATTCACCGATATCGAATTGATGTGATAGGTGTGAGCATTGGCAAAGATCCTCCTCGGCGACGCCTCAACCATGAGGTCCATTGGCTTTATCGTTGGTACCCTGAGGGCAGTGATGAGACTGGGATCGCGCACAATGCCCGTGTCCTCCTTCGTGTTGTAGCCCTCCACCTTCTTGTCCCTCTCCGACACCTTCCACAATTTGATAGTTTTATCATTAGTCGAGAGGAGAAAGTGCGCCTGGTTCTTCCTCTTCAGCCATCGGATTTTGTTTATCTTCTCCTCTATTTCTAACGACTTCAGGTAGTCAAACTCGGGCTCGTGTGATTGAAATGTTGAATACACATTGTATTCGCCTCGTCGCGGCACTGAAGTCTTCGATGCTGCATCTCTCTGTTGAACCAAAACAGAGAAAGGGAAGAGTATATGAATATCAAATTTAATTAAAATCCCAAATTGATTTTACAACCAACTCAATTTCAATTAATTCATATTGACTTTTTTTTCTTCTCTACCCATGTGACATTCTCCAGTCTCGTTAAAAATTCCAATTGAACATCACTCATGGCGAGAAATATATTCATATAACACCACTTTGGACAGATATTATAAACAAATTTTTGCATATAAACCAGAAACATACATTCCTGACTCTCTCAGGATAGATTTCTAAATAAAAACGACCTACGATTCTCACGCTTTCCCTCTGTCTAATTTTAATAGTGTATATTTATCATTCGTTAAGCGCTTTTCAGTAAACAAACTCACTTTTCATCGCCTTCAAAGAGTTTCTCACTCAATTTCGCGTTGAGACCCTATTTTCCACCATAAAGAAACACCATGAAAAGTCGACATTTACAAGATTTTTAGTTAGCATTATGCAGAAAGAGAAAAAAAAACTATAAGCACTTCCTCAACAGAGGTCACTGACGCTCTCTCCTCACGGCGGTGTATTATCTCGCCTCTGCAGCACATTTTCAAGCAATAATAAAACTCACAGAATTGATGTTCATGCATGCAATAATAAGACATTTTAGAGTTCAACAGAAATAGAATTTTCTGAAGGTCTCTGAGTTGTATAAATGATGAAAAACAGAGAAAAAGATGGAAGATTGCTTCAATAATAATATGATTATCTCATTATCCGTTCAATTAATTTGTTCTTCACTCTGTTTACATGCAAAAAGAAACCTATAACTAAACACCATAGATACTAAACAACCTCAAAAATAAATAGTTTAGTATAGGCATTTTACGATGATAATTATTTATTAAATCATCTAAACATTATTTCTCAATTGTCTACTTCTATAAGTTGTCAAACTTCCCTCCTCCCTCGCATATCGTTGGGAAGTTTGAAAAACAAATTACGAAATGATACAACATAATCGTAAAATAAAGACTCTAAACGACTAGAGAGATTTTGCAGTCTAAACACTTCCCCCAAAAACTCCCGCAGAAATCGTTTATGTAGATTTTCCCAGTGTTCTAGGCTTTATATGCTCAAAAAAACCCCTCTCGTGGCGTAACAGTCAAAAAGCACAGGAAAAATATAAATATCCTCTAATGAATGAAGATTGTATCTACAGAGAGACTCACTCTCGCGCCCCTTTGCAAGCCAACCAAAAAACCAACTACCCAAACCGCCGCGGCGTTCGTCTCTCTGTGCAAATTCACTGTGCCACAAATTTAATAGACATTTAACTAATTTAAGTGAATATTATATCACAAACTACCCGCTCACGAGCTCAGTTAAATTTTCATCAACCTGGCACAATTGCATTTTACATTAACTAGCTAATCATTACCCCACACCTCTCCTCGCGATACTACAACAAATTCCACAATATGACAATATGAAAATTTAATACTAAGCCATTACATTACAAACTTTTAGCCTAAACAGCAAAATCAATAGAATATATAGAGCAATGCATGGAATTCTCTACTGCACTAACTCTATCGTGTGTTAGCAAATTGGCATTTGTGTGCTTGTTTGCTCACAAGACACACAAGTTACGACGATGGGGGAAAAATGTGCAAAGTAGCTGAGTCAATTCAGAGCAAGTCAAACTAACTGAGAGACACAGACTGGGTAATGAGGGTCATTTGACAATTGTGTGAAAATGCAAAAAGAGTGCACAAAAGTGTGATGATCATTGAGAATTTTCAATAAAATAAATCTCTCAACACACAACTGACTGTTGTGTCACTCTCTCTCTCTCAGATACAAATTCACGCTCTGGCGATTCTCTTCTAAAGAATTATTGCGACTACACATTTTCACGAGTGTGCTTGGGAATTGAGATAATATCCATGCAATTTCCCATTCAAGTCAATAGAAATGGGAAAAACGCTAAAATTCAGAGAGAACGATTCCACATTAGATAGGCGCATTGCCATAGCTTTTCTCACACTTCAAGAGTCATCGAGAGAAAGAAGATATGTAATGGAGAAAAATGAGGATTTTATTTGCAGGAAAATGTCCCTATATAACCAGAATTGTGTCTGCATGATTGACATAATCGACACAATTATTATCAGTGTGAAATACTAAACATAACTCTGTGTGTGTGCTGTGTGTGTAGTTATTCTCACTTATAATTTTATTATTATGAAAATTGAACAAAGAGAATGGAAAATCGATTTGAGGTGAAGATGAACATTTTAAACAAGCACCTAACTTATGGCACTTATTTTTAGAATCTCCCTCTGCACATTTTCACAATACATAACAATATACAATAACCATGCGAGCTAAACAGCTGTGAGTTGTGAATTCTCTATTCGCATTTGCAGAAAATAAGGAAATTCACAGATATTAAAGTGAGTAGTATTTCATCATTTCATACCTGTATCCTTCTCACTTAATATTTATGGAAAGTTTCAACTTCACCCTGATAACATCAACTTGTCTGACTTGTGAGAGTAACTACTTCTGCAAACATTTGCACGAATATTGTGTCACACGACTGTGTCGTAATATCAAAGTTACGCATTGAATTATTATCAAATTTTCAGTAAAATTCTGAATGAGGAAGAAAACTGCCCCACATTTCCTTTCCTTATTGTTTACCAAGGATTACATCTTTTTTTTCCATGTCTCTACACTAAGTAGAATGACACACATTTTCCCCCGAGAAGCTCTCCATTGCATAATTCCACCCTTTTTTATACACCAAACACTTTCAAGGGTTTTCCTTCCTATTATCTTCTTCCACACACAGCATGCTCTTCACTCCGCTTTTCCTTTTCCGTGACGGTTTAGTTAAAAAGGAGTGATTCTACATTTTTTCTTTCTCCTCTCCCGGACGTCGTCAATGCATCACTTTTGCTAGACAATGCCTCAACAATCCTTTAAGGAATTCCACCATCTATCGATTAAACATACTCCACGGACATCATGTTGAGTGTGTAATCCATTAGATTTGTAAATAATAGACGAAACACACAAAGACGTTGACCCAATTAGTGAGAAAACACGACAGAAAAAAATTTTGGTCTCTGTTTCGTATTTCATCTCGCGACAGAATTCAACCATTTAGTAGATTTTCTCTATGTCCCCTCCCCCTCCCAAAAGGTTCTCACACTCAACCACCTACTTTATCCCACACTAAAATACAAATAAGATTCAGACATCATCAATTTACAAGCTCATCCCGTCACACTGACGCCAATATAATCAATTAGGAATGTTATCTGAGTGTTCACTGAAATTTTCATCCACTTGGAAAATATTCAAATGGGACTTGAATTGCAAAAAGGCTCCACTTTCAGCCAATCGAGGCCTATAGCCAGAAGAATGGCACGATAAATGTGAAAATCCGATAATTATACAAGCTTTCAGTGGAGTTGAGAACTGATAATTTTCACTGTTGCCAAATTACAATCTATTACATATTCATTGTCGCCAAAATTGTATACATTGATTTCTCCTGAAACACCAATCCACACATAAATGCCATATTTTCCACCCACTAATTTTACTGATCAAGTCTGCAACTCATCAAATATATAACTTTTGCAGTGACACAGACAACTTTCCACACTCAAGAACATAAATCCATACGTCTTGTTCAGAGAATCTCTACACTCAACAAATTCAGTCAAGTTACATGAACAAATATTGACTGTACTTCTTATCACACAATTGAAATTGCTGTCTTGACGTTTCTTTTTCTCTCCTCTCTTCGCTCCACAAATCGTTGCTCTGTATAGCTCTTTTTTCCCCCACACTCTCATCCACTCTTGAACATTTTCGTATAGTCTTTTCTTCCTCTTATTTCACGACAATTTGCCATCATTATTTAATTGCATTTGTGTGTTTTTGGCCAAATAAACTTCCTTTCCTCTGTCTTTCCTCCCCAAAACTAACCCGTAATACTTTTCAGACATCATTATATAATGCGAGTGTGTACACTTTTCCAGAGTAATAGACACATTCATCGCAGTAATTTAGCAACATCAACTCCAGAAAAGAACCTTTTTCATATAACTTTTGCTTGATAATGCGACATTTTCTAAACTCTATCTGCAAAAATCAATTCTATTTTTCACACAGAAACTCTTGGTAAGAAGAATTCACAAGAAAAAAAATAGACTAGAATTTGGAGTCGGATCAATACTAAATTAAAATGCAAACTGTACTGTGCTCCTTCATGCAAGCAGTCTCCGTGCTTGCTCACAGATTGAATATTCCAAATAGGATAATGTTCCAAAAGACGCATCATAAAACATGAGATAAATTCCCAAATGATTTTGCAGTGAAGATGTACGCCAAAATTGACGACATTTCCACCATGCAAACCAGCAGTAGTATAGCTTCCGAAAGTGTCTCTGTCTGTGTGTGTTCTCTTCATTTCCGTCTTGGAAAATAACAATAATATCGAAAAACGCCACACAAAGTCATAGGGCAAATAGAGGTTTCAAAAACAAACCATATAAATAGAGCAATTTCGCTGACAGTATTAATAGAGATTGATAGACTCATGTCAAACAAGAGGTTCCCTTTCATTATCACCCAAGACAAACCATCAAGTCTAATGATAGTTTGTGACTTTCGACGGACACCGTATGGATGGATGTTATACTCACTTGGAATATAACCACACGACCACCTTTGTCGCCGGTTGCAAGCAATTCACCATCGTGATTGAATTCAACACAGGATATGATATCAGCATCCGTTACGTCATCGTCCAGAGCTCCTTTAATTTGTGAAAAGCACCACGATGTCTCGCCATTGCCTGCAAGTGAAACAAAGAAGAACACATCGTCAGACAAGATACTGTGTGACATTAAACCAAAAGTTGGATACTTTATCATTCAATGAGAAAGGTGAATGAAAGCTCAACAAATAGTCTTTTTTTCTAGCATTTTTCTTTATATTCAATGATATTTATATATTCAAAAAAAAAGCACAGTGGAATTTTGCATGGATAGTAGAGTAAATTATAAAATGTGTGTTATACAAAAAGTTCCTTTGATTGACCTTCAAAATCTTCACCATCATCATCATCATCTGCAACATCTTCACTATTGTCTCCTTCTTGTTCTTCTTGGTATATCATAAGATCATCCTCCTCCAGCATCTTTGTCTCTTTCCCTCTCTCAACACCTCTCAAAAATCACTTGTGGCCACTTTCTGCTTCTTCTTCTCTCTCTTCTCTCCTCTTCTCTTTCCCATTCACCGCCGATATTGCATTTAACGCGTTCAGCCGTTCAATTGCACTTATCTCAGTGTTTAGTATTCTTGAAAAGAGCATTAATGATTGTTGCTTTTTTTCTGCCTCTTCTACTACACTTCATATACAGCCAATATGTGGATATCCAATTACGGTCAGTTTTTACGCAATGAACTCATATTGTCCAAGTCAGCAGTTTTTCATCTCTTTCCATTCCACACACAACAAACGACAGTAGTGGCTTCACAATATCACCTCACTCACACACAACATTTTCCAACCTTTTTCATCTCACTCTTTCCCACCTTACACGCTTCAATTTTTCCTTCCAACACACCACACACTCTTTTCTTCTTCTTCTTCTCCTCCCAACACTGGTAAATCCGATTCAAATATATTGCATACTACACAAATTCCACAAAAGTCCCCTCGTCATCTAATTAACTTGTCGAAGGTGAAAATCATGTGAAAAACTCCTCCAACTAGAAACCTAGGTACACCCAGAGACTTGATTTTAGCACAATGTGGCAGAAATACACCAGTAGATTCTCTCTGGCACAGAAAACTTGCACCACCACCACTATCTAACTTATAATTCAGTCAGCATGACGTCACAAGAGTCGCCAAGAGGAACACACCAAAAATCACTGTCTCATCCAATTTTTGCACTCTCCCCCACGACCTCCACCTACTCCATATCACCCTCTTCTCACCCGCGGTAACCAATAATTAATTATGAAATGAAATATTTTTATTCCTCTTTACCGAGAGAAGCCTGTCTCTCTCTTTCGCTCTGTTCTCTCGCACTGTGGTGGACTCCGCGAGCAACACACCACACGTTCTGCACTGATGAACGTCACGTAGAAACTAACACAACAAAAAAACCAACATTCCATGTGACTCTCTCGGCTACACACTTTTCCTACTCGTCCCTCTCACACACTCTCTTCTGCTTGGCTCTCTCATTTTCTCATTCGCAAATCTCCACACTCTGCAATGTTCTCTTCTCCCAACTGCCACACAATCGCAGCGCTCTCTCTCTCTCTCTCTCTCGCAGTCTCACTCGTACGATATTTGTCAATTCTCAGAATGTGTTTTCTTCAGTGCTGAGAAACATTTTGTGAGATGTGCAAAATTAACCTACAACTCTTCTCACTAATGCTCTGGAGACACACTCAAAGTTAGTGTGGAGCAATTGTTAAAACAACAACGCACACAACCACCACGCGCTCGAATCTCATCCTCGCTAATTGTTTTCTTTTTCTACACACAATTTACAACATAATAAACTGTAATCGACCAAATAATATCGAGTGTGAATGTGGAAAACTGCGAATCACAATTCGCTATAGATGTACACATATTGCACATGCCAAAAACAGAATTGTATATTCCAAAAGTTTCCTTAATTGTGATTCCCTACATATTTCCAACTTCACCGTACAACCATCGAACATACACACACACACATTGTTTCTTTGCCAGAACATTGCATTTCATTCACTTTGTCATCTGAACCGAATGAGCATTTTCAAGAGGGAAACATAGTTGATAATTATATTTTCATTTGCATGCTAAACCAACTCTACCGTGTTTCAGGTTCGCTTTGAACGTGGTTGGTCAAAGTGTTCTTCACGTCGGAAATATCAACCATGTATTTTCATCCCATGACTACAAGCACCAGCAACAGTACAATGTGGTTCAACTTCCAGTCATTTTCGAACAGAGGAAAATGCAACATAAAAACCTGCATTTATAGTACAGTAGTTGTGAAAATAAAGTCCCCAAGGGATTCACCACACAACTAATATCCTCTCTATATTGCTCTACTTTCAATCATATCATCAACAATTATCCCTCAGTTTGATCTTTCACCTCCACTCTAGCGAAAATGCAAATAATACGCCTTTTAAATGGCTATAGACAGAACAACTGTGATTGAGCCATTTTCATGTTGGATTGCTATTGGAAAACAAACTTACTTGCATTGTTAGACTGTATACAAGATAGCTATACGATCTATTTACATTTTCACTAGTGTACCTGAACTCCAGCATCCTCAATTCACGCTGTTTACAACTTTGTCCAAGATTTTTTTCTACCTCAGTTCGTCCAATTGAAAAGACGAGACTTCAAACAAGCACTGCGCGATTCCTTTTCATCCGTTCCACTAACACAACATCTCTCTCTCTCTCTATCTCTTTTGCTCTGTCAGCGTTTGAAGAATTCACAACAAAAAGATTTTTTCCCTCTCCTCTCTGTCCATTATTTCACAAGCTAAAAGTGACGCAGAAAGAAAAGTCGCCCAGAATATGGATTGAGAGGAAAATGATTTTTTTCAAAGCAAAGAAGAAGCAAAAAAAATCCCAGATGTTGTGTACATTGAATTTTTGCTCAACGTTCCATAAAAAATGCAAAGTGTTTGTTGAAAGGAAAATCAAACCCATTCATTTCCACCATCAAAAACACCACTAACTTTTTAAATTCCTCCAAAAATTTCTATGCTTCATCTCCTCACACTTCTTCCCATTCACCCATTTATTATTAGAAAAGAAAGCTTTTCAGTTGCAGCGAGAAAGGAATTAATAATATCTTCTCGACAATTTAAGTGCGAATTTTTCTCACATTTTATCGCCTTTCCTTTCTAACTTTGCCAGTCGTCTTACCGAATTTCCACCCATGAAAAACTCGCCTGCATGAGCACACTAACCGGGGCCTTTGCACTTTCAATCTCACCCCATATTGATTTATTTGCTAATGAGATTTTTCACATGACAGAGAGAAAGAGAAAACATACACTTCCATTCACTACACAGTCACTCTTCGTAACACAATTAGAGCAGAATAAAGTTCTAATTGCTCTGCTCACAATATACTTTTTTCCGACAATTAAAAGATTCCTTTGCAAATGCATGAGTGCATATTGAGAGGGATAAATATCAACTATTCCATCTGTTAATCACCATCAATTATTGGCAAGCATTCATTTTCCAAACAACACACACACACACACAAACACAAACACACTTGTTTTGCTCGCCACAAATCGGAAATCGCTATACACAAAGTTCAACAGGGAAAACCGTGAATTGCAGGTTGAAAAGCAAAAACAAAGTGTTTGACCAAAATTGTAAATATTATTGATTACTTTATTCATATAATTGTCAACAATATACTGTACTCCAAGATATGTTATTACATAAGAAAACATACACAAATCAATTCAAAATCACTCATCTTGAAATTCATACAACACCTCATAAAGTGTGAGAAAATTTTCAATTGATATATTGTGTAACGCCCAATCTCTCAACACTGTCACATGGAAAAGCTAATCAACATTGAATTTTCTGAACAAATGAAGCACCATGGGAAAAATAATTGTATTAACAACGAGAAAACTTTACAGATAAAATGTTAGATGATGTGAAAATTATAGGGGAATCAATTAGTCCTCAGATATTCAATTAGCAACACTCGCTCTCTCGACAGACACAAGAATCCCATCATATATTCACTGCATAAAACCCCCAGCCGAAAGCCCCAAAAGGGTCACACCAAAGTACCGTGAAAGGAAGCAGTAAAGAAACATGTGGAGACGCGGAACAGCGGAAAAGGGTGAAAGGTTGAGCCGGCAAAAATGTGTGAAATTTATATTCTTGTCCTCAAACACAAGAGAAACAGCAAACACACATCTGACCATTCATCCTTCTGTCATTGACCCAATTTGCCAACCCTTTTTCACCCCCACCAGCAACTGTACAAATACACATACACACAGAGAGTCGGAGGAAGAAGTGCCGGACATTTTGCAAGAACAAAAGATATACAGATAAAAAAAAACCGCTCACGATAAACTTATCGATTGGAAGTTCGTTTAGCTGGAAAAATTGGATCATTTCTTCCTATACAACTTTGCATTGCAAATTATCTGGTGAGTGTTTAACACCATCAATCTGTGACACTTTCCACGGCGAGCGAGAGAGAGAGTAATGAGTATGAAGTGTTGCTCGCCAGCTCCTCCCCCGACTTCCACTCTTTAAATTGACAGAAAATTCAATTATTCCCAACAGCACTCACGTAACCCGGTGCCGAAAATTCACTCCATCATGTGCACACACACACACTTTCTCTGCCTCTCTGCCGAACATTTTAGATTTTACAGCCAGCACGACAGTGTTTAGAAGGGAAAGACAATCATGCTGGGAAAAATTACATTAGCATTTTTTTACCACCTCTTCAAGCACACGGAAAATTCGTGAAAATTGAATAAATTGGAAAGCATATGTGAAAAAAATATGGTGGTTTTTATGCTTTTATGCCTCTCATGCAAAAGTGCTTCCTCAGTTATGACGTTTTTTTGGGCAGTTAAATTTTTAAGAATCGCCGGCTTTTGTGATTGATCCACACAGCCAAATAACCTGGAAGTCATTTTTTGTGTGGAAAAGCATCACTTTCATCTTTAGTGACTCCTAAAGATGAAGTGAGAAAGTGAGTCAAATTGAGAACTTGAAATCTCTTATAAGCGCGCACATAAAATTCACCCTCAAGGGCAACAAAGTTCTGAACAAATAATTGAAGTACACTGAAAAATTGCCTAAAATTTGCTCAAGTTCATTTTGCGATATTCCTGAGACACGAAACACACTCAAAAACAACCCCCAGACATAGTTCTGCTCGGCGAACAGGAGAATCACAGCCACCAATAGGCAAACTCTCCCTATTCCCACCCCTCAAGGGTGCGTGTGTGAGAAAACATGGGGAAAAATGCTGATTCATCAGACGGAATGCCCTTTTCTCCGGCTAATTAATTCGCTTCGCATTGTCCCCAATTTTAGAGGATTTCCTTGGCACTTTTGGAGCTTTTCAGCGCCTGGCGCGGCGTCTCAAATCCACCACGACTGACCCATCAAATCTGTTGGCTTTTTGAGGCCATCCATCGCAACTGGGGTGACACTTCTGCCAGATTTCTGCCCCGCGGAGTGAGAAAGAAAGTGCAAACTTCCGGACGGCGGTGCTCCTTTCACACACACACACACCATTCACTCACTCACACGCTCGCATACGGCGAATGCGGTTTCTCTCGCATTCTCACTCCTCCAGCGCTCCCGGATCAATATTCGGGGATAATCTGAGGCGCCCGTCGTCGCGGTGGACACGCCAAGGGCCCGGCATTTCGTGCCACTCGCCCGGAAGGGGGCCGCGACAGCCGCCGACAGACGGTATCCGGCCGAGAAGAGGGTGAGTCTGTGGTGACCCCCAAACACGCTTCCCATTGTCCCGCGGGCATTATCGCAACCCGCGACGCCAGTGCCAACTCCCCAGGCCCCGCAACACCCCCGAGTGGATGCACAGCGCGCTTGGACAATGGGGCATTACGGCATTTTCCATGGTCACTCGTGTGCACCGGAGATAAAGGGCACAGAAGGCGTAAGTCGGGGAAGAACGCTCGATGCAACTTACCGGCCATGTCAAATAGAACCAATATTTTCGGCCAATCTCCTCATAAACAAGTGCCCACGCGACGCCCAGTAACTCCCTGATCAATCGTCTCTACACTGTGATACTTGAAATGCCCAATTTAGCACGTTTTCAGCACAATTTTTCACTCCACAAACTTGCAATACGCATCGTCAAACATGGCGTCCTTCTTCTTCTTCTTCTTCGAACGGTTTCGCTCGCAGACGTGAGCGCCGCCAGGCGATGGGATACCGCAAACAGCCATATGGTTGTGTAAGAAATTGGCAAGAAATTATCATTTTCTCAGAACTCATCACCAAAAACACCCTGAAAAAAATTCATATTCTCCACACATTGTCTCGGACGTCTCAATCATTATATTTAAGCCTCCAAAGTTGTGACCAAAAATTCCGCGAAAAATATTTCGCAAACTCCCTCTCGGGTGCCTCAGTGACCTCTCGCGGAATCTTTTTCACCCATGACAAATTTAACCTCTCCAGCAAATTCGCGCGTTCGCGCTCAAACCAGAGCATCCACGAAATCCCGCTTGAAGCCCCAAATACGGATTTTGAGGATACTCACTGTTTTGCCGCTTCGCCCCATTCATGGCTGTGTTTATCATGTAGCCAATCTTGGTGAAACTGCTCTGGCGCGACACAGATGGACTGGACACTCTGGGCGGTATTGGTGGTGGTGATCCACCGGGGGTGCTACGCCCCCATATTGGTGCGTGCTTCGTGATGATGGTGCTGTCTTATCGAACGACCCTACGAGAGGCACAAAGAGACACACTATCAGTGTTTGCGGAGTGTGGCCGGGACTCCCGGCCCGGGAGTATGAGGAGCTTTGATTGAGCATTTTCATCAATTCGAATGGAATATCTAATGAGAAAGTCACATTTTGATACGAAGTAAATAATTAAATGGTTGATTAGAACCTCCACGTGAAGTGTAAACACACAGATACACAGGAGACAGTGATTCAAAAGGTGATAAGGCCTGATAATTGTTTGTCTTAACAGAGCGGACGGAAAAGGGCGAGGAAAGCGCCCACATATCAGCGGATGTCGCGGAGTGTCATCAGTCCTGCTCACGAGACACATTGTGGATGTTGAGAGGGGCACAGGTGAGTGTGGAAGTCATGAGAGCCTCATTAATGTCGCCGCAAAAGTGCCCTCTTTTTCGCGCCTCTGCGTCGCGGAGCAGCGAACACGTTCATTCCGGAGTGAGTCGGTTCGCTGGCTCTGCTCTGAGCCTATCTCACGAGATTGAGGATGGGAAGACGGCGTACAGCACTTGCGTCACGCACAAACTACAGGTGATGAGGAGACAGAAGATAGCCTGATATACGAACTCAGAAAAGTCTGTTCCTCACACAGACTTTCTGGGGTTCTTTTCTAAAGAAAACTTCTTTGATTCCTAAACCAATTTTCTTATAAATCGATTGATTTAAACTCTGAAACCACATTGAGGATTCTTAAAACCCAATTCAGAAATTAGATCATTTTTGCACGCGAAAAGAAGGCAAAAACCTAATTGAAGTCTTTAACCTCCTAAAAATTAATCACATCGTCGATATCAAAACGCCCCGTTTGGCTGCGGTGTAATCAAAATTCCAGATCATTCAACCCTGATCGGCGTGGAAATTTCCGATAGTGAAAAGTGGGGAAAGAGAACACCTGTGACCATAATTTCCCAAGATTGGAGTTTTGACTTCTTGTTTGTCTCATTTATAGGTTGATTACGCTGATATGCTCGATATTGACCCACTTTTGGCCTTTAATCCCTGATTTCATTGACGAAGTTCGCACTCGGCGTCTTGTCCATAACCATATTTATAAACCTGCCTCACCCAAAATCGAGACAGAGACGCATTAAAGTGCCGGATATGCGACTGAGAAAAATGCTATTAATTGGACAATTAACCCCCAAGATAAATTCACTTTCTTTCCAACGTTTATTTAAAGGTTTAATGGACATTAAATTGCCTTTTTGAAAATGTGCAAAAATTTCATTACTTTTTATTAAGTTTTCACACATTGTGGTCAAGAGATGCAAAATGTTTCTGGCCAAAGCTAGATTAGTGAATAAAGTGTGATATTTCTTGAGAATTGGCAGCAGAATTGAGAATCACCACGTGATCTTCCAATGCAATCACACACATTTGATGTTTTCAATGGCCTTTCCCGTCCTCTTCCCGGAAAAACCGCCTCGGAAAAGTGCACTTTTGCATTGACGCAAGCATTCGAGAGAGTGGCGTGCAAAGACGAAGTGAGCTTGTTTGATCCCAAAAGCGAAAAATGTGTTGTTCGTGAAAATCGTGGCTTTGCAACATCCAAATACAATTCACGAGACAGCCAGCAGGAACCTTCTCCATGTATGGCGCTCAGGTGGCCTCTGAAGGTAATAATGTTCAATGGCAAGACACTATACTACATTTTGATACAAGCTCACACCATGAAAAATTACACCTCAAGCGCGTGGAGTTGAGCAAAGGCGTCTCTCTCTCGGTGCGGAGATGTTGAGAAAAGAGTTAGAAAAAAAGCTCAATGTATTTATTTATAAAGAATTAAATAACCATAACAAGAGCCGGAGACACATTTCTATAAATCTCTATTTCACATGGGGGATATTTGTGTCAATGTTGTTCACATTGCATTTGTGCATTTCACATTAATCGCACTTTGAGTTCGGTCAAGACAACATTTTTGTTGTGGCCCCAAAAAGACCACGACAAGAATTGGAGAGAGTAGAGCGTGCAAAAAATAGCTCCACGCGAATGATTCATATGTCGACTCTGTGAAATGACGAATATCAACCCTCGAACTTGCGTATCTCGCGTTGATTTTATCAGGCCAACTATGCAGCCATGATGCTACTGATAAGCCCCCCAAATGGAATTTTTTTGCCAGCACGTGTGGCCCGAAGTGAGATAATAAAAATACATTTCGGACATTCACTCAATGCACTATTGTGACGAAAAGTCCTCGAATGACCTCCCCCGAACCTTCAAGTTCAGTCAATGTCTTCCACTGCGTCTATTTACGCAGAGATTCGACACACTCGGAGTTGCGCGCCAAAAAGATCAAGCAAGGAACATTAACTCTGATTTATCTGCGGTGTACAATCTTCTTAGCACTTTCCCTGCGCCGGAGAAACGCACACCTTTTGTAAAAATAAATCTCTCCATTTAGGTGTGTTTCTTTTGAGAATCTCAACTTTGGTCTGTTACCAAAATAAACAATCTCGAAATTGCTGCCCAGGAATTCTCAATTGGAGTGATTTCAAAGCGCGATCCCTTTATATTTACACAGAGAAAAATGGAAGAACTTTGAAAATTTTGATCATTCTTACTGCAAAACTTTCTCACTATACTAAAACGCAAATTTACGGCCAACCATGCAATAGTAATTCTTGTGAAATTGCTCAAAATCTGTTTGCACAGTCGAATAATAAACCTTCAGCAAATCATTCATAGCGGTTTTACTGATGGCAATAAAGCGATATGACTGCAGAAGTGGCAGAAGTTCTTTACATTTCTAAAGGACTAACAGGAAATTAAAAAAAAGAACTATGATTAGATTTCATAAACAAGATTGTGAAAGTGTGAATCACAATGTCAAGTGGGCAATTTTATAAAATTTCCCTGACTCGACAACGGAACTTATAGAGCAATTAAAGACATCTTTATCAGTTGAGATTTGAACTCAACACATACAAAAGCTGTCATCGCTGACACTAAATCTGGAAAAAATGTGGTCATTGACCGAGTGACAGGTGTATTTCGCGTCTTATTTGCTGCACTCGGCAATGCTCGTTTGGGGGTCTAGAAAAATTGAAACACTCGCCGTTAACACTGCCATAAAGTGAGATGGAAAAGGCGAAAAGTGAGGGATTTTATGGATTCCCTGTGCTCATGTTGACTGAAAAAATGTCATAGAAATGTTGAATTATATTGTTCTTCAGCAACAGGCATTAATTGATAAGGGTGTCAGCCTGATAACAGAGTCGTTCAAAATTGCGAGGTGTGTGTACTTTTTCAGTCACATCGCTCAACAAATAAACAGCGGAATAGACCAGAAAAATGCAGAGATTTATTGCGCAAAAAGAACTGCAACATTAATTCAATTAGCCGTTAAATCAATTTTATGGACGTTTTTTTTATTACCAACTCGTCTTCAGTCTCCAGTGTCCGCTTAAATGCCACACTTTGTGACTTGAACAATTTCGCAGAAGCATGTTCCGAAAAAAAAACTAGCGATAACATTCACTTTTCACATGGTTTTTCACGCGAAAATGTGCGTGACACACATAAAAGTTGTTTTTCATATGAATATGGCTTCTGTAAATTTTCGAGGAGTCATCGTTTAGTGATACAGGCGTTTTTCATTCAAGATTTATTTGTATTATTTCGCATAAATAAAGTAAATAAAGTGAGAAATCATGAACATATCCCACAAGAGTGAGAAGATCAATTGCACAAACTAATTCACAGCCCAATGCTAAGTGTTAAGCAGCAGAAAATGGTGTTTGAACACCTCTGGGCAGACTCACCAGAAGAAAGATCAGGCAATTAGTCCTCGTTTTTGCATCCAACACTCTTTTTGGAGGGAAAATCCCCAGTCAGCCTGGGCTTTAATTGCTCGCTAACTCAAGGCAAGGGTGAGATCGTGAAACGGCGACTCCACACGCGTGGAGGAACTACACAGAAATAGTGGAGAGCCAGTAAGTTCTGTGGCGCATGACTAGAAATAAGTCACCATTCAGAAGGATTGCACGTCCAGCAACTTTTACTTTCTGTGCACCACTCGACCACAGACTGAGCTCGCGAATTGTGTGATAAGACAACCCCTAAAAGGCCGCCGAAGCACTTGTGCACAATCGAGAAAATCCCCGTGAGCCGCGATCGATTTGATGTTGTGAAGTCTTCGCACTTAACTGATGCCTCTGTGCGATTTAGAAGGCGGCCGAACCGCGAAAAATTCCCGCGGCCACACACACTCTCTCTCTCTCTTCCCACTCACACAAATCCCACGAGACGCGCTGCCGAGGCGGATTTTCCTCTCCAAAGGAGAGTGAGAGGGAAAATCTGGAGCAGTCAGTGATTTTTCATCTTTCACACTCACGACCGTTCCAATTCGTCCGATAATTGTAATTTCGATTGTGGGATATTTTTGGCCAGCGACACTTCTTGCAACAGCCGCGTGAAAAGTGAAAATTCACGGGCTGACAAGTGGCACAAATGAGTGCCAATCTGCGCAGATGAATCATCGAGTGAGATCTTTGGTCCAGAAATGTCTGGTTTCGCGGTGAAAATTTGCTGCTTGTGCGAAAAATTGATCATCACTATACGATTTCATTATCCGCAACAAACGTGCTAATTTGTCTTCAAATTGTAAAGAAATGCAATCGTCATTTCGTAGAATTCACAGTGAAGAACAAAATTAATAACTTGTAATTATTTTGCCTCATGATAGAAAAATGTCAGATGTGATTTCCTATTCTAATGACTTATTTACTCCACATATACAATTGCATGTTCTAAAGCCCGTTGATAAACCTACAAGAAATGTTACGAAATAGATATTCTTGATATGATTGTTACTACATACACAATTTTTATGAGTGCACAAGAAGCTAAATTGTTAATAATTATTCATAATTTAACCATAATTAATAAGTTTTAGCGGTTTTGTCGTATCCTTCAAACCACATTCCGCTGAAAAATCGTCACTTCTAATTCCAAAACTGACCATAATCCTATGAAACAAGCCTTAATCCAAGATCAATGAGAAACTTTCAAGCTCAAATACGAGATTTTCCGTTCACTTTCGCCCAACAGACTTTGCTCTTAATCTACTCAAGAGCGCTGTTTTTGCGATCGTACACAAAACATCACACGTTGAAAGAAATTGTTCACCCCAAAAGCAGGAAAACTCACCGAAATTTCCACATTAATTTGCGACGCCGTGACGTAAACGTGTCGAGAGTCAGTGTCCAAAAATCGGGCTGTTACTCACTTTTCCACTAACGACACACTTTTCACCGGAAAACATATATTTTCCATCTAATAATTTCTCCGTTTAATTGTTACCACATTTATTGGCACGAAGCTATTCGACTTTGGAAGTTTGATTGAAAAATTTCATTATTTTTGATTCAAAATCATTTTTGTCTAAATTTGTATTGGTCTTCTCTTATTATCGAGTATGCCAGAGAAGCACAAACCATCAGGAATTACTCTTCTGTCGACAATTGATGAACAATCACAAGTCCAGTTGAGTGAAACAAGTTTATAACGCTAAAATTCTCCCAAAATCCTCACTCTGATCGACTTTGGCGCAATGCTCTCAGAGTGTCGCCATTATTCGTTTGTGTAAATTGCAAGAAAGCGTCGCTGGAGGAAAATGGCACGGAAAGTGGAATTGATGGCTGAGATCAAGAAAATTAGTGATATTGTCTCCGCATCTGTGAGTATAGCAAAGATTTGTGCACTCTGTGATCATAACAATTCACTAGAAATCGCCACAATTTGATTATATTTCTCTCGACTTCTCAGGACTCCAATTGGGACGTGATCGAAGTCACGCAATTGTTGAAATCTCTGGGTCTGCAGCTGGACAAGCTGGGCTTCGACACCGCGGCCAAAGAAGGCGCTTCTTCCGGCCTCTCGGTGGAGATCCGCTGCGGCACCTCAAACATCGTGTCGAAGTTGTCTCAGGCGCAGCGCATTTGTATTTGTCCGGAGAATGGACACAACAGTTCCTTCTGGGAGGTTCAGGGAACCGCTCCTGGCGCAATCAAGCAGGAGAAGATGGACGAGACGTCGTCTAATCTTCTGCCGGACATCTCCAAGTGCGTCAATGATGGTGTGAAGGCGCTGATGCAAGCGGCTCTTCAGCTACTGAACAACAAAAATGGCCAGAATTCCGATGCCAACAAGGAGAACACTGAACCACAGGAACTGAACACTTCCTCCTCGACGCAAATCTTGTCCAGCAGCCCGAAGATTGACGTCTGCCTGAAGTCTATGCGCGCTGACACGGATCGTGATATTGCCATCATCCAGCAACTCTCCGAGGCGCGATACAAAGTCGACCAGGCGCTCCTCATGCTGCAGCTGAACAAGAGGACTGACGGGATTCAAGGCTCTCTCCAGATGAACACGCCACAGAAGCCCACCGCCGCGTCATCGCCTCACTTGCCATCTCTGAAGAAGTATCCATCACTGGGTCTGGGCCTCAACAAGTTGTCAGAGAAGCCATCCGTCGGTATTTTGGCTCTGCCACCACGGAAAGATGCGCGCACCAGGCGATCCATGGGAAGTCTCCTGGACACTGCTCCGTCACAGCTGCCCAAAAAGGAGCCTCCAGCAATACGCGTATCCGTCGCGGCCAATTCAGGAGCAACGCCGAAGTTGAAGCCAATGGTTAAGCAGAACATCACCAGCAGCCTGAGGAAGAGCCTCACAAATCTCAACAAGCCGCAGGACAAGAAGTAATTTTATCAGTGATTTTTTTTTTCAAAAATTGATTGCGTCAGTATTTTTACATTAAATGTTTCCATCAAAACTTAAAATCACGTTTTACTGATGCTGGAAAGGTTGGTGTTATTTCTCACCAGATATGCTGGAAATGATAACTAGGATGTTGCCTCGATTCTTCTCTCAACAGCAACATTGTGGTCATTTTGTCTACAGACTCCAGGACACCAGTGAATTGCTTCTCGATGGTTTGGAGCTCTATGTAGATCTCCATCTGCTTTATCCCCGTGATGATTGAGCACTGGCGGAGGAGCCACGTGAAAGAAGGTGGAAGTTTATCCAGCATTTCCTGAAATTCCTCCTCGCGCATAGCAATAAAATCCCAGGATCTCCGGGCGATAAAATGGTGCCAGTACTTAAAGTGTGGTGTGAAGAACTGTATTTGATGCGATGCTGGAGAAACTGGAGGACATTCAGCGTCATCTTCGTCACTCATGTCGTCAAACATGGTGATTGACTCGCGTTTTCGGCGCGGAAACCGTAGAATATCCTTGCCTGGATTCATATCTTTTTCAGACAGGATGTCTGCGGAGAGAAGCCCCGAAGAAATGTCCCATTGCGTGTCTTTAGGTGATTCAAAAGAAATATGCGAAGAGGTTTCAAAAATATTCTTCTCTTTCTTGAGTGAATCCAGATGATTTTCCAAGAAAGAAGTTAAGACTTCCTGAGTTTCTGTAGGTTCTGTGACTTGTTGCGTGGAAGCTTCAACTATTTCCATTCGTTGACTACTTGTTGACTTCGAAGATAAACTTCTGGTTGAATGAGATCTTGTTATTCTCCGATCATTAGACTGTTCTGATGAATTCTCAATTCTTTGGTCCGTTTTATCATGTAATTTCTCTGAGATCTCACGAGTACTTTTCGATGATCTCACTGCATCTTTGGAATTGTCATTTGTTCCGGAAACATTACTGTGAGCTGATTGAGATCTCAATATTTTCCCATTCATTGAATTCTCAGATGAAATCTTCTTGTTGACCTTTGGCGAGCTTTGTGGAATCTCTGTGTCTTTTGGAAATTTCCTAGGTCTTCCTCGTGGACGTTTAAAGGCAACTTCTTGCGATAACTCTGATTTCTTCTTCCCATTTCGATGCTTCTCTTGCAAACAGTAATCACTCTCCTCATCGTGCTTCACAATTTTCACTTCTGCCAGAAAATTTGTTGTCTGACGCTTTGAATTATCCACATAAATCATCTCAAGATTCTCTGGACACACCTCAACTGAGAGGCTAAATTGAGGCATTCTCAACTGGTTCTGGAAGCGATGAGGCCTCAGAAATGGATCAATGACACGCTTGGAGTGGTCAATTGTCATGAATTCAGGAATATTCAATTCGTGACTGTGATTGTCAAGGAGATAGTCCATGTATGTTTTGAATGGTGTGAATGACGCACTGAATAAATAGGACTTCCTCTTACTATCCTCACCATGCAGTTCTGTGAGGGTTTCGTAAATTTGATGGACGTAATTTCCAATGCTTTTCTTACTCTTCATCTCAGGTCGACTGCAGTGATTGAGAAAATCCAAGTACCTTTGCGCATTGTTGCTGCCACCTGGCATTCCCATAGCGATATACGTGGGCTCGTGATACTCAGTGAGGATAATGCATCGCATCTCTATGTACTTTGTCCATTCCTCGAAGTCAAAGAGCAATTCATGATGGATATTCTCATCTGAAAGTCGCTTGTTGACCTCTTGTGCGGCTCCAGACATCACTTCTTCGCTCCTTCCATCGAGTCCGAAGAGCCACTTCAGCAGGAATATCACATAAGCCACAGCACGAGCTTCGTAGTTTGGGAAAATTCGCGAAAGAGGCATTTCTGGTGGATGAAAAGTGATCAGGCGCTCAAGAAATTTCCCCAATTCATTGGGAAGGCACAATTCCTGTACATATCTCATGGAAAGTCGCACCAAATCTGGCATTACAACATCCTTAACGTTCATGCGCTTGCAAAGGTTGGCCGAGACTTGTCTTATATAGCGATGCTGGGGAAAACAGAGTGGCCCGGTGAAGTTAACGAACGTACTCTTGTTCATGTACTTGAGAATGTTGTCAGGAAAGAAGTGATTAACATTGAAGATGGACAAGTGTGCCTCGCGGGTGAAGCGAATCATGTCGCCCAATTGGATTTCACTTTTCGTCTGGTTTAATCCAATGTAGAGGAGTGAAAGCAGGACATTCTTGGACACTTTCTCCAGGCGCTCATTCTCAGTGTTGCGAGCTTTCTTCCGATGACACTTGAGAACGTATTCCGCATCATCTGCGTGCTTCTTAATGTGTTTCTTATTCATCGTTTTCTTCATTGCTTTTCTGGCCTGCGATGTGAATTCCAGTGACATCGATGTCCTGGTTGTCTTAGAGCCGGTCACTTCCGATGTGTTCGTGGTGAAACTCTGGGATTCGAAAGAATTGTCGATCGCTTGTTTGCTGGAATTTGTGTCACAACTCCTCTTCATGAGTGCTTTCTTCGATTTGGTCCGTGCTATCTTGAGAACCCTTCTGGATCTACTCCTTGGAGATGCTGAACTCTTGTTGGTTGCTGATGACACGGATCTAGGACGCTTCTTACTCACATTGTATAGAATAGCAGCATCTCTGAAAGAACAAAATTTATTAGAGAACATGATACAGCAAATAGAGAGGAAAAAGTTACTTACTGCCTGAAGAAGTTTAATGACAATTTCGGCAGCTTTGCTTCGGATGATGAGAAAAATGCTGCATTGATTTTCTGCAAATATCTGGTCCAGAGTTGCAGGACTGTCTTCTTTAGAGCAACAGGCGCTCCCAAAGCCATAGCCTCATTCACCAGCCCAAGAAGGATGTAATTGTACTCTTCCCAGGAAGTCAATTCAACTGTCGGGAGTACAAGAAAGGCATCAATCTAGTAGACTAGTATGTCCATTATCAAATTCTCCATTTATCACTCCTCTTCAAAGGAGTTTTCGTGCAAAATTTGTAGTTTTTCTCACCCTTGTTCTCCTTCTCGCCCTTCAGTTTAACTCCTTTCACCCTGATTTTCTCATCGCCCATCGTCAAATCCATCACATCGCACTCTATTTCGATGATATTCCGATTCTGGGTGTTGCATTCTGAGCAATAGTAGTAACCATCTTCCACATTGAAGTCTGAGCCTCCGCAAACGTCGCATTTTCCACGGAAAACCATTTTCACACAATGCTTCACCAAAAATTTCCTGCCGCGACTATTTGTAAACAAAACCACGAGGTGGCCGACTGGAGAGCCACCTGACGGAATTCGTGGTGGTGAGTTGACGCGCTGTTAAGTGACGTAATCGGCCATGAAAAATTCGGGACGGCGATAAGTGGAGTGAATTTTCATGATTTTCTGGCTCAAAACTCTGTGAAATTGTTTCAAAAACACTGGCATTTCTTTCCCACGAGTGCATACAACTAGTCGAAGATGGTGGACAAATTTATAAGCATGTGGAAAGTGCGAGAACTCGCTGACAAAGTGTGAGTTTCGTATGGATGGAGGTTGTTGTGTTGTTTTCAGCATTTTCACCTATTTCCTCTGATTTTCACCCCATTCACCGCCCACACAGCGCCTGGGCGCACACCCAGGAATCTATTTGTGTGGCGATGGCGCGAAAATGCGCGCAAGTGAGGGTCGAATGCGAGGGTGAAAGAAATTCCAGAAGATTTTCCATTTGGTGGGTTGGCAGTTTCGCTGTCAAAAAAACCACCAAGGTTGCCAGCGACTGGTTTCTGAAATCACGGCGTTTTCCCTTGCAGAAGAAATTCCGCCAGACACCCAGCGAAATGACCCTGTTTTTCTGCTCTTTCACCTTCTTTCGGCCAATATGCGCTAATTGACGCTCGACTTTGTGTGTCTTTGCAGGACGAATGTGGTGATGAATTACACGGAGATCGAGGGAAAAGTGCGCGAGGCCACAAATGATGAACCGTGGGGCCCAACGGGGCCCCTCATGCAGGAGCTCGCCCATGCCACCTTCACGTACGAACACTTCCCCGAGGTGATGTCGATGCTGTGGAAGCGGATGTTGCAGGACAATAAACAGAACTGGAGGAGAACTTACAAGGTGGCCAAATCATTCTTCTATAAATAGACCCTCGAGAGTCGAATTATTTATTTCGGATCTGCTTATAAAAAACATGAAATGTTATTTTCGCGGCAAAAAAGTGCGTCTTTGCGGCTTCCAAAGTTCATTGATCACTTGATGAAGCACTTTTCGCAAATTATGCATGCCAAAGTCTTTTCCCATGTCGCAGAAAATCTATGAAAAGTGCCTTGAACTGCCGTGCATAGGAAAATTGAATTATTTAGTGGAAGCTCACAAAGCAATTTTCCCATTAATACCTGTAATTAGGTTTGCACGTGGATGTTAATCACGAGTTTCTGTGATTCGATGATGGGAAAGTTGCAGAAGCTTTTCACGTACAGTTGGTGAAAGCGAAATATGTTCATCTTCAGTATATAAATTATGTAATTATTTATACCTAAAATAATTACTAATATCTTAAGCTTCAGTAAATTGATAGCGCTGATAAACTTGTAGAGAATTTGATAATAATCTTCGTGTCTCTATTCTGATTTTACCAACTGTAAATCTAACTGACCTGTTGTCTCAGCAAAAAGCGGTCTCTAGTGAGACGGAAATTGCACCCTTTTGTGTAATTTCTCCCACAATGGTTGTGCAAATAGAAGGCAAAAAGAGACTGGACACGAATGAGCGGGAATTCTTGGCTGGCAGATAAGATAAAATGCGAAAATGTGTGTTTACCGATGTCTTGTGCTGTTTATCCATCAAACATGTGTATTATAGTTCCTCTTATCATCAACTCACACGCGTGCCCTGTTTGTCTTCTTGCAGAGTCTCCTTCTTCTCAACTATCTCGTGAGAAATGGGTCTGAGCGCGTGGTGACATCGGCTCGGGAGCACATTTATGACCTGCGGTCACTGGAGAATTACTCATTCATGGATGAGAATGGCAAGGATCAGGGCATCAATGTGCGGCACAAGGTTCGTGAGCTGATTGACTTCATTCAAGATGACGATAAAGTGCGCGATGAACGGAAGAAGGCGAAGAAGAACAAGGACAAGTACATTGGCATGAGCTCAGACGCGATGGGTGGACGCTTCGGTGGCTACAGCGATAAATACAACGATTCACGATATGATGACAGAAATTGGTGTAAGTAATACACTGATGGTGTTCTGTTCACCTATTATTTCCCTGTTAATTGCCATGGCAAACAGTGTGCTTTGCGGTGGATTCCTAAGACAGTTGTCTCAGAAATTGCTCCAAATTCCTTTTGTATTTTCCATTTGTTAAAGCGCTTTTTATTAGAGAATCGGGCATTCGATAAGAATAATTTGATACAATATCTTGAATGTCATGCTTCAATTGAGAATCAATTGCGTTTTAATTACCTTTCACAAGACTGCTTGGTTTTTTCGTCATTGATTATATGTGCAGAAAGTTATACTGGAGAAATAACATTTTTTTCTCTTTACATATATTGAATACATGAATGAAAATTAATATCTTTCCGCAGATTGACTGCGCAAAATAGGCGAGATTATAAATATAATTCGCTCATATTAAGTATCTTCATTTATTTCATCAATCATTGTGGTTTTTGTCTTTATGTTAATACTGGAAAATCGATGAAAAAAACCACTTGCACTTTTTTTCTAAATTCGTATTGTTTTAGAAGAATAATATTCACATAAAACTGAGAAGAAAAGGTAAAAAAAATTTCACACAATAAGTTTGTGAGTAACAAAACTTTCATAAATCAAGCTGCTTTATTACATTCATTTGCATTTTTCTGACTAAGAAAGAATGAGAGATGAAGGAACAGAGACACCAAAGAATATTTATCTAAATACAATCTTCACATTTCTGCTCTTTTCAATATGCATAATGACTTTTTTTTTGCTCTTTTGCAGATTCAGAATCATCTCGAGGCGGTAATAATTATGAGGATGAATATCCATATGATGGAGAGAAAGAGGATTCTGACCACGAATCTGGTTACAATTCGTCAGCAAGGTAAGACCACATTTGTGGAGTGGATAGAATGGATTGCGTTAATTGACGTTGATCGCTTCTATTGCTACAGGCGTTATTACGACAAGGAACGCACGAGTCCATCGCGCACGACGCCAACAGGCACGGCGTCATCGTCGAGTGTGGAGGTGAAGAAGCAATCAAATCCCATTTCTGTCAAGTCACCCACGAAGCAACAGCCGGCGACGAAGCCCAGTAAAAAGATCGATATGGGCGCGGCGGCGAATTTTGGCAAATCTTCGGAATTGGGCATCAATTCACCGACCCATAAATCCAGTCACGATGAGGATCTCTTCTCGCCCAATAACAACACTGCGGCGGCGACAAAGGGTGGTGACTTGCTGGAGGATTTGTTCAGAACGTGTCCACCGGCACAGAGCAAACCGACTTCCGTGGACAGTGTCAGTCTCGGGGATGAATTCAATCCACGTGCTGATGATAATCAGGAGTTTGGTGACTTTGCCAGTGCTTTTGGCGGTGAGAATGCACCGAAACCTGCTGTGGTGAAGAAGGAAGATGAGTTTGCGGACTTTTCGTCAGCCTTCCTGGGGGCGGAGGTGCCACCAGCGCCCGTGTCTGCCAATGCAAACAATCTCCTGCTCACCAACGCTCCGTTGGCGTCCAATGACTTTGGAGGACCATCGCCCACAATCAACATGTTCGGCAGTGCAATTCCAGTGCAGACGCAGGCGCCGGCTCAGGATCTGCTGTCCGACTTCAGTGGATTGCAGCTGAACACAACACCACTCAATGGTGAGTTTGTACATATTTTATTCATTTCGTCCAGTCCAATCAAGAATTCTCGATCTTTGTGCCCTATTTGAATTTCTCAATGCAATTTTGACGGACAATCCATTAAGCAGTAGAGAGTAATAAAAGTTGTATTGAGTAATTTAACATTGCGCTAAATGTGCCGATAGAAGTGTGAATTGCGCGTGTCTAATTGATTGAGTGAGAAAATTGAGAGAATATATTTTAATGTCTCAGTTCTTAAGTCATGGTTAATTTTCCCTCGACTGAAAGGGGAAATTGTGCAAGAAGTATTTATAGTTTTTTTTTCATGGAAACAATGCTATGACAGAAACATATTGAGAGTATTGTGGCCAAAGATGATTCCGACATGGGAAAAATTATTTTCCCCTTACAGTTGACGGAGGCAAAAGCCACACGGCGTTCGAGGAGAATATGCGGAAATTGTCGCGGAGATTGAACACTGTGGAGAGGATTGCCAGTGAGCGAGAGGAGAAGGAAGTCACGGAGTTGCTGAGGAGGATTTTGAACGACATTCCATACTGTGGCGTCATTCAGGAGCTGATGAGCGGGGAGAGGAATTTGAGGGTGTTTGCAGATGAATATGCGGAGCTTCTGAAGAGTCTCTTTGCTGTCGTCAAAGACAATGCTAGTGAGACTGTGGAGGAATTCTTCCTGATTCACACCAATTGTGACTTTGTCACTGAATCCATGGAGATTTTGTTGAATGGCGAATCCCTGAAGGCGAATGCAAATCTTGCAGTGAGAATATTAGAGCGTATGATGGAGAATGAAGAGATTTTCTGGGCAGCTTTCATTGATATGAGTATCTCAGTGTCGTGCGAAGAGGAAAATCCCCTACAAAAGTTAGATAAGCAGTCGTCAATGCAGAGATTCATCCAATTAGTCGTGAGTGTGCCTGAAAGGTTGGCAAATTGCCTGCAAGGTTGTGTTCCAGAAGTGTTCACACGACAAATCTGGAGCCAAAAACTCACTGTGCGCGTTCTCTTGGCACTGTATTCAGTGGGAAGAATCAATGATTTGGAAGACAGGCAAGTCTTTTCAACGATATTCCTCGGAAAGCTCTTCAGTCGAGTCATTGTTGACTTCAATTTTGATAAAACATCCATGGCATTGATAGAGAGTGTGAGATTTTTGGGTGGAATCGCTGGTGAAAAGGACTCAATGCGAAGGACAGTGAATGAGTTTATTGGCAATCTGACGAGAAATGCCACAGAAATCTATGCGATGATCTTGCTTGAAAATGGATGGAATATCAACGGTATTCTGGGAGATATTTTGCTACAATCGGAGCATTGGAGATTTGCTCTTTTGACAAAAATACCTCTTTTCACCATGACAAAGTCTTCGTGTGTTGTCAAAAATCTCGTGACCTTCTTGGCAGATGTTTCTGATGGCGAAGAGCATCGCTTCCTGCAGGATTTACTGGAGAAAGTCCTAAATTCCTGGTCAAATAAGTTTAGCATTGAGAATACTTCAATTGAGCAACATATTTATATCACAAAATTCATAATTTTGAGTGTGTTGCACATGAAGAGAATGGAGAAATATCAACTGAAGGAGGATTCAGTGTTTCTAAATGCAATCAAGAAGAAGCTTTATGAGGGAATTCCTCATCATCTGCAAGCGATGGATCCAAATATGAGAGCTATTGGAATGATTACGGCTGAAATGGTCCTCAATGAGATCGAGAATATCGATGAAGAGACAAAATTGAACTTTGAAGTTGAGAAAATGCAGAAAATCGATGTGAATTTGATAGGAGAACTCAGAAAATTGGCTGATTTATCTTCGGAAGATCAATTTTCAACCCTTGATGTTGCAAAAGTGATCATGAAGATCGAAAATGGAGGTGAAAACACTGTGGAAATCGTAAAAGAAGTCGCTCCAAAGCAGAAAGTTCCGGAAATTGCAGTGAAAGTGCCAGAAAAGATTGATGAAGATGATTTGGACTCGGATGACGATCTTATTGCCTATGACATGAGCAATGATGTGCCGCTGAAGGAGACACAAGCTCCAAAGTACTTGTTGGATCTTCAAGATGCTCTTGGAGATTCAGAGAATGCGGATCGTTTTGAGCAGAGTTTGGCCGTTGCTACAGATCTAATTTATCGTCAGTTGCCAGACAATGAAGTGCAGTTGGGAATTAATCTTCTCCAGATGCTCTTGAATCTCGAGGAGAAGACTTATTGTGAGAATTTCGAGGGAAATCGCTTTTCCGCATGTGTTGCCATTTGCTGTGTCATTCCGAAGGAAGCTGCTGATCATGTGTGCAAGGAATTCTACTCGAAACAGTCAAATTATTCGATCAGCAATCGAATTCTGATGTTGGAAATTCTTGGAGAAACAGCAAAGGAGCTCTCAAAGATTCAGAAGACGGAGAAACATCTGAAATTGAGTGAAAATCGTCACGATGATGAAAATATTGTGAGAAAATTCACTGTTAACGAACCAGATTCACTGAAGGAAGCTCGAGAGGTGATTCAGAAGCGGATTCTTGCCAAAACTCGTCGATTTGCTTCGAAAACTCAGAGTCCTGCTGAATTGGGGTCGATTAATCGCTTTGCTGGAGTCGCTGGATACTTCTTCTGGCCACTTTTGCATGGATTCGGTCGAGATCAGCTGATTATGGAGGCTCAGGCGAAGCTGAAGCTTGACACAGACAATGTTCTCTTGACCGCCTTCATCAAAACCTTGTCTGTTCTCATGGTGTCAGCGCAGAATTGTCCGGGCATTCAGAGATTTGCGAAGGAATTGTTTGCTTTGGGAGCTGTTTTACGCTTCCACGCCGATGCTGGAGTACGATTGGCTGTTTTCCAGATGATTGGATCAATTCTAATGACGGTGTCTGTGGAAATGCTGCAGAGGGAGTTTCAAGAGTATCTTCTGGAGCTCATCAACTGGCTCACGGAACGTGTTGGGAACAATGTGGTGAAAAAGGATCCGGATGAGGAGTGCAAAAACCTCGCCAGACACTTGCTTGTCTTCTGCACAAATGTCTTGAAGGAGCTTAATTGAGAGTTTTGCATTGAATTTATATTTTCTTACTGTTGAAGTTACTAAGATAAGAAAACGATCTCGAACAATACTGATAAGAGCTTGAAATAATGTAGAGTTTTTAGATAAAATAAAGATAAATTCAATCTGAAGCACGCAAAGATGAGAAATTCAGTGAGAAATCCAAGGCAGAATCTTCTCAATTAACGCCAAATCTTCATTTTCCAGATAACGTTCTTCTTCCGAGTTCCAATGCAATTCTACAGCCGCAGAATCCCAACGTGACGAACGCCAATAATGAGGCAGCCGCCGCGGCCACGCGGGCAGCCAGTATTGTGGGCTCCACGTGGACCAACACGGGCAGCATAAATCTGGATCTGGACAATCTGCTGGCGTCGAAGAAGGGGCGCGGCGAGGCGGCGCCCTCGATGAATCAGCTCAAGAGCCAGAGCCCCGTGAAAGCTGCGCCGCAGTCGCCGAGTGGCGGCTTCATGGCGGGCGGCCTCATGAGTCCCACGCAGAAGATCCCTCCGGCAAACATTCCAGTCTTTGGGGCGCCCTCGTTCGCGCCGGCGGCGCAGCCGAAACCCGCTTTCGCGCCGTCCAACCAGTTCAATGCCTTTCAATGATACAAAGTCAACTAATGCAATTCCTCCTCCCCTTCCACTGGCATTTTTCACCTGACTAACCCCTTTAGTTTTCCTGGTGATTGGGTTTTTTTTTCTATCACTTTATCGTTAATGCAGAGTTTATATATTAATGAGTTATTTTTTTTTGCCACGCATAAAATGTGTACATTTCACTGGATGAAGAAGAGACGCAGACAGTATTCTCTCCCCCCTGCCCCTTGTTTAAAACTGAATAGCATAAACTATATATTGTTCAATCCCATTTAATTATTGGTTTTCTTATGCTCTGTTGTTGATGTTTTCCAATGATTATTAATATTTTTTAACATGAAGTATATACATATTAGAAAAGTCGCGCATGGGAAGACAATTAAATTCTCGCTGTAATAATTATTATATTTAGTTTAAAAGAAATGCAATTTTATAGAGAAAGAGAAAGAAATATTTGTAATACTAGGGATTATTGGGTTTCTAAACGTTATTCATCGATACATTATACAAAAAAAAAGAACACATTGAAGAAGTGTTAATATTCTCCTTAGAAGGAAAATTCCCTGAAGACGTAAAAGAAATATCAAATAACAATAAAAACGCTTCCTTTTATCAAAGTGAGAACAACAATTAGAAGTTTAATAAAGAAAAACAGGAGGAGAAGAAAAAAGACGCGAGGATAACTAGAACAATGTAAAATTACTAGATGAAAAGAATCAATTATTCTATTTATTCGTGTGGGATGTGACTGAATTGATCGTTTTAACCCCGTTTCCTTCCCTCATTCTACCTTGCATTCGACAATTTTTAACACTAAATTTAATAATGAGTAAATTATGTATGAGAAGAGAAAATCCCCTGAAGAATCCCACTCTAGAATAGATAGTCGAAGAAAAAGAAGAAAGAGAGAGAAAATATTTCCAAAATGAATAATAAATTGAGGTGTGTTTAAAAGGAGTTTTTGTATATCAGAGAGAGAGAGAGAGAGAGAGAGAAGAAAAAAATAATGAAATATGAAACAGGCATTTATCATTTCCACATACATATTTAGCAATATAGGACGTATTTTGAAAGAATTAAAGGTGAATTACAAATTTTCAATCAGAATATTATTGTAAATACAATCTTGATGATAAGAATGTAACTTTTTTGACGAGTTGTGCAACTCCAGATGTTTTCAATTGTGAGATGAATGGGAAAGGATAATCAATTTAGAGATCCTCTTTTCGCCACACTTTCATCTCAAAATTGTGAACAATTTCACTGCATGTTGTGCGTTTAATATTTGTCTGAGAGCTCATCAAACGACGATAAATCAATAATGAAATGAGAAATTAGCAGGGAAAAAACTAATCAACACACAATAACAGTGGATATGTTGTGTAAAAATTTGTTGTTGTCGGAGTTTTGTGCCTTAAAATCAAGAAAAAAAAGAAGAGTAAACTTTGAAAATCCCCAAAAGTAAGAGAGAGAGAAAATCAGAGTTATCATAGCAAAATTCAACAAACGTCTTTGTCATGTTTTTTTTCTTCTGTGGAAAATTCAAGAATATGGAATAATAAAAAGCACAAGATGTAAAAAGAAATAAATTTGAATGGATATATTCTGAACATGAATGCTACACTTTTTTTTCTTCACTTTCCACCAAAATCATCGGCAGCATCACGGAAAATTCCCGCAGAGAAGGATCGAAGATATTTACGCCTCCTCCTTGTTCTTCTTCTTCTTCTTTTTCTTCTTGGGCGGCTCCGCCGCGGCTTCTTCCTCGCCATTGTCCGCCGGCAGCGTCTCGTCGCCGTTTTCGCTCTTCATGGACACATTTCCATTCTCAGCGGCGCGCTTCTTCTTTTTCTTCTTCTTCTCACTCTTCTGCTGCTGCTCCGCCATGGCGATGGCCTCCTCCATCACCTCCGTGTTCTTCCTGGGCGCCTCTCCGGACTCGTAGAACTTCAGGCGATCCTCCACTTGCTGCCTGAGCGCATCGCCAAACACACTGGACGGCGCCTCAGTGAAGCAATCGATGCGCGACGCAATGGAGCACTTGTTGGCCAGGAATCGCGAGATTCTGCCCTTGTTCTTCAGCCCAGCGCGTCCGATGAACGTGGAGTGATACAGTAATCCGTATTTGGGCGTGTTGGTGCGCGTCTTGAGAGCCCTGAAGAGTGCCTTCTCAGCGCCCAGGATCTGAACTGTCGACGCTGGATATTTGGCCAGATTCGTGAGACTGCCCGCCTTCGAGATGAGCCTAGCGCCAACCTGATCGCCGATCAGGGACTGCAAATTGGGCGCCACATTGCCCATCTTCGAGTGCAGATACTCCGCCAGCTGCTTCCGGTAGTCAGACAGCCGAACGACGCGCCCAGCGAACATCTGGATGTTCATCAGGTCCACCACGGAGATGTCCATGCCCATGGACATCTTGGCGGCATCCACAATGGCCTGTGCCTTCTCCGAGTCCATCAGAATCTCCTCCAGCTCCGCCACCGAACCGTCGGTGAGACTCTTGCGATCCCTAATGTGCTGCGCCACCTTCGCGTACAGACGATTATCCGGCACAATCTTCACGAGTTCCGGGAAGTGATAGGAATACCACTCTCTGATCCTCATCGAGAACGTATTGATGTCCTTATCGAGCATGTCCAGCAAGGCAATGGACTGAATAATCATGTTGTCCGATCTGTGCACGTTGAACTTCACCTTGGCGCGCGAATAGCTGTGCCCCAATCCCAACTGAGCCACGCCCGCCGTCTGGGCCGTGAAGCCTTTGACCAGACTGGGAAAGTGCATGCGAATGCCGCGCAGGATCTCCGGAACGGCGCCCACATGACTGCACTGAATTCCCAGAGCCTCAGCAATGGCAGCGCCCAGCTTGGCGTCCGCAACACCTAGAGTCACCTTCTTCTTCTTCGCCGGCAGCGTGGTGTCCAGGAAAGTGGCCAGATCCTGCAGCAGGATGCCCTCGGACACAGCATTGGCGCTCTCCAAGGCCGCCACAGCCGTCTTGAACGGCGAGAAGCTCACCAGCTTCACGATGGCATTGAAGCGACTCAAATCCGTCACGGACGCCTCCACCTGGGGCAGCAGCATGGACACCTCCTCGAATTCGCTCACAGAGAAGAGCCCGAAGCCGGCTGCGTGCTCGTAGAGCACGAAAAGCTTCACCTGCAACGAAGTAAGGTTATGTCATTGTTATTATTTTCATCTTTTTCCCAGGAAATTAATCAAAGAATCTGGATTAAATGTGAAGGATTATCTACTAAAAGAGTCAAAGAAGGCTCTTTTCTACAAATATTGAAGGATTCTTTTGGAATTCAAGTGAAAATGCGATAAATCCTCGATGCTCAGACGCCAAACACATTTCATGGTGATTCATTGAAAATATTAAATATCTAGCTTATATTCCAATAAATTAGTAATTAAGGAGCTACAAATAGCATAATACACACCATTTTATCAAATAATTCACACTTTATCAGGTATTTTATTGATATTTTTGCGCCGACACGTGGGATTGTTTTTCTCTACGCCACTGAATTGATGATGTCCAAGCTTGACCCAGCAAGGGATTCGGAAAAGCATCTGGAAGACATCTACGGACGTGTCCGAGGACAAATCGACTATATTTCTACAGAACAAAATCTTCATCCTTATCATCATCCTGTTCAGGTGGATCGAAATCCTCATCATCAGATGCATACTTCTTGGATTTCTTCTTGCTTTGCTTCTCATCACAGGCTTTCTCTGACACCGCAGGAGAACTTTCCACAGTCGTGTTGCTGCGATGGTGAAACACGAAGGAGACATTCTTGGTCACTGCCCAGGAATCTGTGAGGATGTTGTCAGGGAGTCCCTTTGGCGTGGACGCATGGAACCACTGGGAGAGATCAGATGTACAATCTGAATCTTCTGGCGGGAGTTTCGTTTGAACGCTGTTAATGCATCTTTTGCACTTGAAGATGCTGTGAGTGTCGGAGAGCGTCTTCTCGTCCAGTCTGAACAGATCACGGAGATCGTCCTGCGTGAAGTGCCTCTCAGCGTCCTCATTGTTGTCCACGACGGTGGTGGACAGAGCCTTCTTGTGCGTCTGTCGCTGGAAGATCTTCTCTTCGATGGTTCCCGTGGCGAGGAGTCGATAGATGAAGCAGGGCTTCTTTTGGCCATCTCGCCACACTCTCGCCATGGCTTGCTCGTCATTGGCGGGATTCCAATCGGGATCGAACATTACCAGGCGATTGGCTCCGATGAGATTCAATCCGCAGCCGCCCGCTTTGGAGCTCAGCATGAATATGAACTGCTCAGAATCGCACTTGTTGAACTCATCCACGACTTTCCCGCGCTTCTTGATGGTCATCGTGCCGTCCAGGCGCACGTATCCGTAGCCTCGCTTCCTGCACAGCTTCTCAAACAGATCCAGCGTCTGCGTGTAATTGGACACGAGCACCACCTTGTCGTCGCTGCTCATCTTGATGTTGGCCAGCATACAATCCAGAAGCATCAGCTTCCCACTCAGCTCGGGCAGGAGATCGCGCATGCTGTAGCCCGGCGGTAGGAATTGTGCTGCGTTCTCGAATCCCTCGGCGCCCTCCTTGATCTTCTCATTCACGAGATCCGGATGATTGCAGAGCTTCTTCAGCGACGTGATACTGGACAGCGCTGTCAAGTTGGCTTTCACCTCGTCTTTATTAAGCACCGTCTTCCTGATGGAGTCAGACTTGAGGAAGTTCCTGTACAGGCCCACCTGCACATCTGAAAGACGCACGCAGATCACCATCTCGAACTTCACGGGCAGGTACTTTGTGAGCAGCGAGCTGGTGCGTCGAATCATGCACTGATTCACGATGTTGGTCAGCTCTGCCAGACGCTCGGTGGCCTTTTTCCGCTCCTCATCCGTCGAATCGGCGTTCTGACCCCGCAGAATGGGATTCTCGTACTGTCGCCGAAATTCAGCGGTGCTGCCCAGCATTCCTGGGTTCACGAAGTGAATCAAACTGAAGTATTCTGTGAGGTCGTTCTGGATGGGCGTTCCCGACAGCAACACTCGTCGCTTCGTCTGCAGCCCCATGAGGGACTGGTAAGTGAGGTTCTCACTGTTCTTCAGCCGGTGTCCCTCGTCGCAGAGCACCATTCCCACTTCCGAAGCATTGAGGATGGCGCTGTAGATCCGGAAAGTCTCATAGCTGATGATCAGCACAGGTGTTCCCGATCGCACGGCTTTGTTCGCCATGAACTGCTCCAGGTTCTTGATGGTCTCCTCCTTGGAGTTATTGTCCACAGCGTGGCAGTTCACGCGACTGCCCAGCCACTTCCCGAACTCCTTGTACCAGTTCTTCACCAGAGAACTGGGACACACAATGATCGCCTTGCTGATCGTGGGCTTGCATTCTGGGCTCTGACGCAGCAGTGTCCAGATTAGTGTGATGCACTGCAGCGTCTTGCCCAGGCCCATCTCATCTGCCATGATGCATCCGTGAAAGTCCCCTTTGGCGCCCGTCACGCAATCGTACATAAACTTCACGCCCTCGCGTTGATGCGGTCGCAGGATGTTGCCCAGCACCGGATCCACCACCACATGGACCAGGATCTTGCTCTTGTCCACGTGAATCTTATCGTGCTGACTCAGCTCAGCCGGTGTGAACATGATCAGAGCATTGCAGGCAAAGGGATCGTGCAGAGCGCGCCGGATGACACTCCTCTTAACGCCCAAACTTCGATTCCCATAGCTGTCCGGAATGTAATCTGGGATGGGCACCTTGAAGGGACGCTTGAGGATCATGGCGATCATCGCCTCGTGATCTGATAGGGACATTTTCGCAGGCGGGGACTTGTTTTCTGTTTCATTGCAGCGTCGAGGGCGCTTCGGAGCCTCCGTTAACGGGCTTTTGAACGTGCCATTGGGACGTTTGGTACCCGTTTGACTGGGCGCATAACTCCGACGCTGAAAACAAGACAGTGAAGGGAAAATTAATGGAGATTCTAGAGAAATCTGGCTTTATTTACCATTTTTAACCAAAAGCAGTCTGGAGAAAGCGGGAAAACTGTAAACACTGAACCCAGGTGGACAGTTGAGAACAGTGGCAAATTTCAAATTTCTTTTGAGAACAGATTCGTGACAGGCACAAAAGTGTCATAACCTCAGAAAGTGAATTTCTTGCGGTGGAAAATGCTCGCAAGCCGAGGCAGAGTTTTTCAGTTCTGGAGCATTGTCAGGAGGTACTCTGTGAAATCCAGTGATAAGCGAGTTCCTGAGGTCTCCACGAAGATATCAGCAACGGCACAAACTGCTCCCGGGAGTGAGAAATCAGTGCGTAAAGTTTCCATTGATGAAGACACTATTCATCTTCTCGAGAGATTATCCCTGGTAAACATCGAGAGCAAGTGAGTATTTAGCAAATCTCTGGTCAGTTTTAGGGAGTTTCATCTATCATATTTCTTCATATAATTGCAGGGAAGCCCTAAGAGTCGTGGAAGATTCCATAGCGTTTGCTGATAAAATTCTAGACATCAATACAGAAGGAGTGGAGCCTCTATACACAGTTCTCGAGGATTGGTGAGTCTCTTCCTAGATTTCCGTGGATTTACACAGCTGACTTTGAATCTTCTCTTCCACAGCGACTTGGAATTGCGAGAAGATAAAGTCACGGATGGGAATATTCGTGAAGAGGTGCTGAAAAACGCCTCAGTGACAGAGGAGGAATACTTTGTAGCTCCACCCGGAAACATCCCACTGGAGAAGGAGAAAAAGTCCTTCACGTAGATCTGAAGATGTCTCGTATTAGTGGTGTGGCAGGGAATCTTAAGAAAGTCGTAGAGAAACTCGCCAAGATTCAGTACGTTAAAGTGAATCTTAAAAGTGAAACTCAGATCGAAGGCTTGAGTCTTCTGCCATTGGGGATGCAATTGCTGGAGAATCTGAAGAGAGAGTGGATTAATTCGGATCCTGTTATTAATATTTACCACAAAAACAGCTCAGATGCCAACGAGAAAAGAGATTTCCAAAAAGATCACGTGGAAAATCCACTCGCATCGCTAAAATCTCGAGCTTTTGAGGAACACTTTCGGAATCTGAGTCAGAACTATCAAGCAGAGATTCCTTTGGGTATCTCAGAGTGTCTTTCCTATCCATCCATGATTGTGAGAGCGGAAAATCCCGGAGAAAGTCTGGATTTCTCCCTGAAATCCATTCAATATCTGACTTGCCTGTACTTCATCTCACCCGTCAGTGCAATTGAGCAGTTTTACAGGATTCAGAGACAGAGGAAGATTTGGTGGATGAGATATTCCTCAAATCCTGGTCGATTTAAGATTTCAGAGTCAAAAATAACGGAGTATCCTGAAGGAAAAGTGCAGAAAATCTCAGTGAAATCAAGTTTGAAGGACTCTTCCGTCGATTTGGAGACTATTGAATTGATATCCCTGAATCCTGGAGCCAATATTGAGATCAAGGATCCTCGAAGTGGACGAAAAATCACCCCTTCAATTGTGAAAACGGGAATGTGCCTGGAAATTGCGACTTTAGGAGTTTTAATCGATGCTGTGAACTCTTCAGATGACAGTGAGACTCTTCTATTGCATAGAAAGATCGCTCCGCACCAATTGGCAGTGTTTTGCTTCTCTGAGGCACAAGATAATCTGGCGGATTTGCAGGATCTCGCACGATTGTTGACGATAAAGACGAGAAAAGCTGGAATTGCCACATTGAATCTTCCAAAGTGCTCAACGGCGAAAGAAAATCTGCTTTCTCGGCAAATCTGTGAAATGGATCAACTCGGTGTGCCTTACTGTTTCATCCTGGAGGACGAGAGCCTTCGCAGTGGGCTGATAAAGCTGCGCAGCAGGGACACGACACTCTCCGAGACGGTGCATCTGACCGACATTCCCAGGTATCTTCTCAAAATCTACTCCTCCTTCTGACGCTTCACGAGGGTGAATTTATTGTCCAGACTACAAAGATCAAGTCACATTTAAGTTAGATTTGTTTTAAAATTAGTTAATGTTTTCTTGGTATGATTATACGCATTTTTTGAGTCACTTAAATAGTCTGCACGAAAAATTGTGCAATTTAATTTATGATTTTTTTTCTCCCATAAACTATCGAAAAGAACGTCTATTATTACGGTTAATTTAATTTAACACGATGCAAGTGGCGGCGAAAGATGCCTAAATGGGGGGCGTTTAATCGAGTGCCTCTGAGGACGCTGATATGGTGTTGGGGACGCGGTTTCTCTCCTGCGATGCTGAGAATCTGTTCAAGATGGGAACTGAAGTGTTGTATTTGATTGTGGTGATGCTCAAATCCTCCTCTTCCTCATTATCGCCTTCGCTCTCCAGCAGAGTCGTCTTGTAGATACTCTTGAGGGAGCCCGGGAATGGCGTCATCATCTCTGAGCTGTCTGAGCTCATCTCCTCATCATTGTCATCATCATAGGGCATCACAGACACGTAGGAGGCTGAGAATCCTTTGAATACGATGTTGTCGTCTGTTCGGAAGCGCACAAGCAAAGCTTCATTCATGGAAATGATGTCCGGAGGATTCTGGTAGAGAGAAGAGGAGTTAGGAAATCACTTCTATCGGAGGTTTATCTAATTGCTTACCAGATTTCCGCAATAGGTTCCGTAGAGAGGCCCGCTGTTATCGTCCAGACCGCCGTAGACTTCCACGAAATCGTACGAACACGCTTCTTCATTCTCCAGTTCGAATGTGAGGAAAGTGAGCTGAACATTCTTCCCAGGCTCCGCTTCGATGGTCCAGTCGCAATCGGCCCTGTTGTCGTAATCGTTGTCCCCGAACTTTGAGTGGCTGTAGAAGTGCTTCACCTTGCTGGTGGCCTGAAGATGTCCTCCGCAAGCAGTGGAGTGACTGGCAACGAAGCCCTTGCGCTGGACACTCGAGTCCGATTTGAATAGGAGTAGAAGTTCGTTGGATGTGGATGAAATGGGATGAGGAGTCTTGGATCCACAGAACCTGCCCAGAGTGCTGGAGTCGGGATTGTCACCGTCGTAGACGGCAATGTGATCGTAGGCGCACTCCTGATGTGGCTCCACTTCGAAGCTGTTGAAGAGCAGCTTGATTCGATGTCCAGGAGTCGTGGTGAAGTGCCACACGCAGTCTTTCTTGGCCGGATAATACTCGGGATAGTTGGGACTGAAGATCTGGCCGCTTGGCGAGGTGATCTCGTGCTTGCATCCGCCCTCCTTGCAGTCATGACCGTTGTCGTGGAGTGTGAAACCGTTGTGGCAAGAGCAAATGTAGGAACCTATAGTGTTTTTGCACTCATGCTGGCAACCTCCGTTGTTAACCTTTTGCAGAACAAGGAATGTGCCAATGAGAAAGTATCCCAACGAGAGACTGTGATCAATGTACTCACCTCGCATTCATCGATATCGGTGAAGAAGACTGCAGCAAAGCCACCCTTTTGCACTGTGTTGTCAGAAGAAAATTCCACCCTGATCGCATTTGTCTCGGATGTGATCATTGGAGGCAAACGTCCTCCGCAGAATGTTCCGTGGCGCTTGAGATTGTCTTCAGACATCTTTGAGTAGATGGTTAAGGAATCATATTCGCACTCCATCTGGAAGAAATTGTTGCCCTCGAGGTCGAAGTGAGTGAAATTCAGTGTGATCCTGTATTGTGGTGGAGCCTGGATCTCCCACACGCAATCCTTGGACAAGGGATAGACATCGGGGAAGGACGGTGATGTGATTGTCCCATTCAAAGTGTTGAGAATTCCTCCGCATGCATCTGAAAGAGAGCGGAAGTTTTAGTCCATCTGCAAGGAAAGGAAATTGTGATTCATCTTACTTTCGCACATCTTTTTATCGCTACGAAGTTCATATCCAATGTGGCAGCTGCACTCGTATCCGCCCAAGGTGTTGATGCACTCATGCTGGCATCCATGATCCAGAACCTCACACTCGTCGATCTCTTTCATGTACGTGGCGGAGAATCCCGCCTTCTGCACCGAACCGTCCGACACGAACTTCACGAACAGTTTGTTGCCACTAGCTCGAATATCCGGCGGCACTTTGTAGCCACAGAAGACACCGATGAGCTTCGAATCAGCGCGATCTCCATCCCTGATCTCGACAAAATCATACATGCACGTGTCGTGATTCTCAACCTCAAATGACTGGAACTTCAGCGCCACTTGGTAGTCCTCGGGCACGGTGATCTTCCAGATGCACTCCTTGTTCGGCAGATAGTCCAGCGGATAGTTTGGTGACTCCAGATGACCACTGGATTGCAGATTCAGTTCACCACCGCAGACAGCCTCGTAGTGTGCCGCGAAGCCCTTGTATCGCGCTTGGCGGTGGGTCGTGATGTAGGTCAGCAGCATTCGGCTGCCATTGGACTTGAACAGCTCATTGACCTTTCCTGATCCGCAGAAGCGTCCCAGGATGGGTGATTTGTGCCAGTAGCCGTCGCGTATCTCGAGATAGTCTGTGCGGCAGTTGTTGGACTTGAAGATGTCCAGGTCGGTGATGTTGAGCACGATCTTCTCGCCATGCGTGGCTGTGATGCGCCACTCGCAGCGCTCGGGCTCCGTGGGTGGAACTTTGCTGTAGTAGCTTGGTGACGTGAATGCACCCGCATTCTCTTGAAATGTCCGACCACACTCTGGAAGAATCACATTAGGGACGATGATGGGGCACATTATTGAATGAGTAGAGCAGCAATTGAAAATTTGTCACTCACTTGCACATTTGTAGAGTAAATTGGCCTGGGCTATGTCGCCCTCCGATAGTCGAATGCGTTGACCAATTTCCGGCATCTTGCGGCCCTTCTCCTCAATGGGCAGAATTGTGTCCAAGTAATTGGCTACAAGATATTTTCGTCACAATGTTACACCATTTCATTGGTCACTATCAATGTCCAACAATGCCTCGAATGTCGAGGAGAGGAAGAAACTTATTGCCAATGCTGGGGAGCTATTAATTTTCGGGGGGGCATTGCTGGACTGGAGAATAGAGACATTATAAATATAAGGGTTTAGTTACTTTTAGAGAATGTGTTTCTGGCGTAATGCATGATGGAGTCATAGTCATATGGCAGTCCTAGCGAATTCACGTCCTCCTCAGTCAATTTATTGAAATTGTACTCCTGTCCGGACATGATGTTGGTCTTTTCAATCACCACATGATTCTCGCGATCGGGTCGCGTGTGTTCATGCCAGAAGCCCACAACGTGACCCAATTCGTGCACGACAATGCCGAATTTGTCGCAATTCTTCCCAATCGAGATGGCTTGTGCGCCATTCCCGCGCTTTCCCACAAACGAACAGCAACTGCAAAGATTTGGGGCGTTATTGTGTTGTCACCACACACAACTTGTGATGATTGTGACCAGGAGGAAACTCACCCACAGGGTCTCTCAGTGAAGACGATAAAGTTGGGATGCTCAGACGTTCTCTCCACGAATTTGATGCACGTGAAATTTTCCCAGTGTCGCATGGCTTGCTTGAAGAGCGCCTTATGAGCGCCACTAAAGTTGCCGTCAATCTCATAAGGAATGACTCCATAATCCCAGATGCGCTCCTTCTTGGCCGTGGCGGCGCGCGTGATGCGATGGTGTTGGTACTGGTCGAGCCTGAAAATGTGGATTAAGGGGATAGATTTTCAGCTGATGTGGCTTCCCCACCTGCGCGCTCTCTTTACCCACCCATCGTCGCTCTTCTGCGGCGGCAGTGGTGTCGTGGTGGTCATAATGCCTGTCTGCTCCAAATCATTCTCCTTGTGGTGATTGCTCTTGAAATCCTCGGCCGTTATCACAGGACGATCCAACTCCTTCTTCAGTCTCGTAAATCTCGCCTCATAATCATCAATTACGCTGTGGAATTTCCTACGTGAAAAACGACGGGAGGTCATATCACTTGTGCACACTCAGCCGAAGGCACTCCTTGAGGTTGACGGCGAGAGTCTGTCGGTTTTTCGCGCCACCCCAAATGTGCCCCATTTGGTTGCCACCATTGCCACTGATTAAACTATTATCGCAGCTGAAATTCGTGTAATTCTCCAAAAAACATGACACACTCCAAATGGAACTGATTGAGAATTCACGAAATTCATTTGCCGCAAATACCATTTGTGGCATGGATTTGAAAATGGCTCATGTTGTGTGGTTGGTGGACAATGAAATGGAATAAATTCATGTGTGGTTATGCTCTCGGATACAATGAATTTTGGAGGATTTTCATTTTTCATCTGACAATTCAATACTGAATTTCCTGTTCTTCAATAGTTTATGGCACATTGCAAAGCAATACCATAAATATTGGTTTGTTCACAGAGAGACATAAATATGCGTGAATTAAGCATTTATACATACATATTATGAATAATTCATAGCTTAGCTATTTTAATAAATTTATAAAAACAATCCGTCTTCGCTTAAAATTGGCAGCACTTTGCTCTTTTCCCGAAAAACCGACACACTTTGCCTACCAACCCCTCATGAGGGCCTCAGTATGGTGGAATTATTGAGTGAAGATGGGTAAGCAAAGAAGAGGCTGATACCTTCCCTGGCGGCGTTTTCTGTGTCTCCTGCGTACTGCCCCGTTTGCAGTTAATGTCTCAATATCGTCCAAATGACCACCATTACCGCCAGCATTGCTGAAGCGATTGGCGAGGGTGGACCTGACGGCGGGTGTGTTGGTTGGCGAAACGGTCACCCTCCTCTGCTGAATGTGCTCGCCAGAGTGATTGACAATGTCCTTGCTGTTGGACTGTATTTTATCGTACTCCGTGTGCCGTGTCACATTACCGTCGCCCTTCTTCACCACCTCTTCTGTGGTGTTGGGGATGTCCGAGGGGCCCGAGATGTTGCCATTGATTTCCGTAGTGGATGTGGGCGCCAGAAAGGGGTTCTCCTTCAGCTTCGCGCCACCGCTGCCACCCTTCACATTGTGGTCCACCACGTCGTTGTTTTTGGGATCGGTGGCTGAGGGCTGCGTGAGTGTCTCCTGGGCCTGCTTTGTCTTCTTCCTGATGATGTCCGTGAGGCCCTCCTCCTCCACCTGCAGTCCCTCGTGGTACACCTCCTGCTTCAGCTTCTCCAGCTCCTCCTGGAAGGACTTGTTGAGCCTCTGTGCCTCCCATTCGCTCTCATAGTTGATGTTCGGCAGCGCAATGTCTCCCATGTTGCCCACTGTGGAGATGCAAAGGAAGATCATCATCTTGGGTGAAATCGCGAGTGTCGTCAATGTTGTGTTATTGTGAGTTGAGTGTTTTTTTTTTCTCCTCCTCTTGCTTTGTGTCTCTGTGGTCGATCGTGGGTCATGTGAATATCGCATATATTTGCGCATTTAATTTCCGGCATATCTTCACTTTATACCATTTTCCGCAAACTACCCCACACACGCATTGGCGGCAGTTATAGAAATCATCACCACACGCGATTTTTCCGCCCAAACCGCAAAATCATCCCTTCGGAAGTGCACACAGAAATTGAGTTTGGCGGGAAAATAATTGGAGCAGAAGGGTTCAGTTGCAGAGGATATTTAATGCTAAATGATTAATTACAGTTTGAATGAATGTATTCATTCGATATGATTTCCATTACCGCCTATTTATTTGAAGTTGCTAAATACCAGTGATATAGTTTCAGATTAGTTTAGCAAATTGAGAACCGTAAAAGTGTACAACGTAAAAAGAGGTCAACGAGAAAACCTCTCTTAACAGCTAAAATCCTTCACTATGTCTTCTGATCCGAAACAATGTTGTATATAGTCAGAAACATACATTTTCCTTGATTGTTCCCCACCGAATGTCCCGTAGACAGAAATGTAATGTGTTGTCACCCGCATTTTGAGTCACAGCCATTGTTCCAGATTCGCTGTGGGAGGATTAACTCGCAGCCATGAAGATAATCTGGCTCCCATCCACGCTCAGATTATGTCTATTTTGGCATGAGGGTGGCACACGAGTGATTTAGGAGTGGTTGATGGGTGACAAGAGACGGATGCTGCAGTGAAATTGATTCAATTTCCGGGATCATTTCGCTCCTGCTCCAAATCACCGTGAAGAGACTTCCTTGCACAGTTCTGCGATTGTGGAAATGGAAAGATCTTCAAGGGGGAAATGACCAAGCTTGAGAAAATTACATTGGCACAGAGCGAAGTTCCTTGGGGAAGACAAAAGTGTCTCTCACATTTCAATTAACTCAAATGCTTTTGGGGGTTGTTGGAAAAAAATAATCTCACTCGTATTCTCTCTAATATATATTTGAAGTATCTGATTTATGTGTCTATTTTGATAACTAATAATGAGTTATATCGTCCATAAATCACATTTCATTGAGCCCTTTATCATTAAATACAGTGAATTGAATCTCCATTTATCTAAAATGCAGTAATTAATTCCTCTTTGTTTACCCATTTGGTCCCCAAGAGCCAGAAGAGTCAATGGGACACAATTGGCGGCAAAGGCTTCGTGAAATTTTCCCTCTCACCCCCCAAACCGCCGTTCAGCAACAATGTGTGGATTAAAGCGGGCAATAAGCTGCATTGGAGGGTTTTCATTCAGTGCACCCTCGTTAATAGTGGGTCATCGATGAGCGCAAAACGTGGCTATGCAGCTGTGGTGCAAAAACACACACACAAGGATGGTGTGAATTGATCCAATTGTTGTCACGAATATCCATTAAACCTGCTAACCAATATTTATTCCTCTCTTGGCATAGAATGTTACCGCGCTTTCACCCACCCCGAAAGCCTGAAAAGGCCACAGAATTGTCCCGGAAACTCTATCTCTGATGGTATTCCTGCTTTGAGCTAATAAAACCACTGATGTGACCTGGGAAGTCCTTGTGTGCACATGAAGCAAATTCCATCATAAAGTGTGCCTCTCAAGCGGTAAACATCGTGGGCAAGTTGCAAAAGCATCTGCATTTTGCATATGACAGATAGATTAAAAGATGTGGAAAAAGTGTGTAAGATATGAGAGAGGCGAGAAAAAGCCATGTGGATCCAAACAGAGACAGGGTCAGTCTGATGGGGTCAAAGGTGGGGTAGACGATAAGTCTCTTCCAGTATTCCTCGCTTTGCCCTCTTCAGTTTTCTATTCTTTGTGTGCCGAGGCTAAAGCACAAGACATCCCAAAAGTGTGTGTATTTACTCGAAAAAAAGAGGCTAATTAATTTCCCAAGGAGAACCATAAATTCTTTCCTTTTTGCCACCTCTTTTGCATCTCAAATAAAACGAGGATAAAGCTAAGGACATCACATTTGTCTCAGCTTCTTCATCACATTACATAAAATCCAAGTTGTATGATCTTCAAGAATGTTGTTAGAACAGTAAGATGTAGATTTAAATTTAATTTTAACAGTCTCTAGCAGAATTTAATCTTGTGAGAGTCAGAGGTTAGTGTATTAAGACACATTTGTAAATAAAAATAGACTCATTACATAAGAAAGTGCAGGAAAAAATTTGCTTACTTCAAGCATAAAACTGCAAAAACCTTTCTCTCACATGAAGAATTTCTGTCTTACAGTCTTTGGGTATTGTGGAATAATTTCTCGTCTTTCTGCCGAGAAAGTCAAAGGGTAATGGAAATATTTACATATTTTGCGCCACTATCAGGACTTTTTTCCCCATATGAACCTCAAAGGCTGAGGATGGAGTGTGATTGTGTGACTCTGTTGTAGAATGTGAGTGCCTTTGTGTCTACCGAGATTGTGGTGTTTTGTACACCGCGTGCGGAATGGGAAGTTCTCGTAATTATTCCTGGGATGGAAGGGAAAAAAAGTGTTATGATATTGTGAGAGGGACAAAGCACGTGATTATCGCACAGTCTCCACCACTGACTTGCTTAATTTATATGCAAGAGCACTCCTTCACAAAAACCCCCCAGCAGGATGGAATGATTCGCAGCACCATTTTTGGGGGTGTAACTGACAAATACTTCCTAAGAGATGAATAGTTTGTTTAGAGGAAACTCCATATAGAACAGGTGACAAAGTGTGGCATGAGCGCTTAAAACCCGTCCACGAAATTAATTTATGGAACTTTGCCACCGAACAACTTTGCCTCTTGCAATTTGTGGTGTGGTTAGGAGAGCCTGATAGAGCGCTAAACACTCTCTGTCATGTTCTGTGGCCAGAAAATCTATGCAGAAGTTCACCAGATGCAATTGAAAGATTATAACTTGCATAAAATTAAATTGAGAAATTAGTAAAATCCGTAATTAATTAGACTCTATACAATGTGTAGCTTAAATTTATGCTCAATGTCCTGGAAAGTATGGAAAGCAAGATGGTTTTTTTGGGGTATTTTTTGGCTTTCAGCTGTTATTCGCTTGCTATCTCTCCACTCATATGACTTCAATATGAATTCACTACGTATTTGCTTGCATCAAACAGCTTTGAAAAATATTTGAGCGTCTTTCCTTGATTAAATACTGGAATCTGTCTGATAACTCTCGCTTTTTCCGGTGACTGCAAAATTGCCCCAACTAATCGATCTGTCCACGTTTCTTCACAATTTCTTTTCCATCCACCGAAGGGTCAATATGCCAGTGATAAGTCAGTCTTCACTTATTTTTGAGATCAAACCTATTTTCGTGTCTATTTTCGGTTCAAGTTGAAATCCCTGTCACGATTTCTCCATCGCTGAGTGGTGTGCATATCTCAATGGGTTTTTCTCTCTTGAAGATGCACAGTGTTTTGTGTTTTCAAAAAGTGACGTGTTCAAGTGCCTTAAAACATCTCAGAGAAAATGTACATATGCCAATGGAGATAAAGAGAATATAATAGTCGACGTCAGGGAAAAAAGGTCAGTTCGAAAATGATAATTTGCAGTTTATTTCTGATAAGGACAATTCTTAAGTGATTTTTTTCTTGCACCAACACACCATCTGCTGTGTATTGAGCAGTTTCCATGCTGGAATTGATTGAGCTTCTAGGCGTGAATTAAGAATTGTTTCTCACAGCAAACTTGCTGCGGATTTTGCAAAAATTTGATTAGCCAAAGTGGAAAAGGAAGAAAACATTTCGCGGAAGTAATAATTTTAATTACTTACGACATATGCCTTTTATACTGCGTCTCAAAGTGATTTCAGATGCACTTGATCAGTGAATCTTCTAGGAATTGATTATTGCAATTTTTGAGTTTGCCAATGATTATTTTATATCTTGTTATTTAGATCATGAAATTTATTTTTTTCTAGATTCACATAAAGTTATTACATTAGAAGAATTACGAAATTGCTATTGAATCAGATCTGATACGAGACAAAGAATGATTATTCAATATTCTGGTGCTGTATTTTAGTTTCTTTGGGTATCCTGGACCTTTTTTTCATTTCATGAATTTTCAATCAACCTTTCAACTATGAAAACCAACCTCGTGGAAAACTTCAAAATTGACTTCTTCACAATTCTACTCTTTGTAATGGGGATAACCTGGGAATCTCCAATGGGAGATAAGGAGGGATAATTGTGAGATAATATTTCGCCAATTCATTGGATTACATGCTCACTTATCAAATTTAGAAAATACTAATGGAATTGCGAATTTTCAAAACGTGTTGTTCCTATTTTCTCACCAGAATAAAGTATTTTCAGTCTGTAATTTTGCGATAGAGATAAGGAAAGGCTTTGTATTCAAAGTTTCAAGATAAACAGGCTCATATGAATACTATCTTTAGTAAAAAAAAGAACCTTGATTAAATGCTGTTTCCACAAATATAGGATGATTTTCTAAAAAAAAACCTCTCTAGCTGAAGGAAACAGATTTTCAAGCACAATTGATGTATTTTCAATTTTACCATTTTGACGTAAAGATTATGTTATATATTTGCAATCCTTTTGTCAACATTTAATTCACACTGAAACTTCTTTGATGCACAATTTCGTTGCCTCCAGATGTTGCCTGACTTGCAAGTGTGGCCAAATGTTTTTTTTTAACGTCTGTCAGTGTGTCTGTGATGACTTTGTCGATTTAGTGCTGAAGTACAGTTGTGATTCTTGAGATCTCCTCAAATCTTACCTGACTTGCAAGGATCCATGTCGATATCATCGGAGATTTTGGGTGGGAATTTGGTGGCGAGCAACTGCTCAATGGTGAACTTCTCGGTGGAGCCCTGAACTTCCGTGGGGACAGTTGGGGGCTCCGCGTCACCCTTTGACTTATTGATGGACAACGTGTGACCACAAGTGACCAGGAAGAGCACGAGGAAGGGCAAAATGTGCCACCGAGACATTTTCACACAAAATTGTTTCCACATGCGACACAGAGATTGTTGATTTAATATATGAAAATTCAAGGAATTGCGGGATGTTTTCTCTCACTCGCGATTCTATCACTGTTTTTGTGAACTTTTCCACATCTTAACACTGCGTTTTTGCCTCCTTTTTGCCTCCGCGGGCTGGCGAATTTTTTCTGTCTCCCTTCTTGGATGCTCTTCACATTTATATGAGATCTTATTAATTCCTTCTTCTCCTCTTGTGTGCAGAAATTTTTACCCAGTCCTCTCACCAGGGCAAAAGGGGTTCAAGTACACGCGATGCTCGGGTGTGATAAAAAGACCTCCGAATGAATGAACACTTCTCTGGTGAATAGACAAAAAAGGCCAATATATTCACAGTTCCTTTCAACTTTCGCGACACACACACGGATTTTTGGCAGCGACACCACGAACCAGAGGTTCTTAGAAAAAAAAAGCACTACTAGGAAGGGTAGAATCCAGCACTCATTGCTGATCAGCGACAGAGCGAAATCAAATCGTCCCGGGATTCTGCTTGAGCCTCCGTCTCGGAGCGCGGACCGACACGAACTGAAAGTGTTGAGCAGCAGAAACGGTCAAAGTGCTTGAGTTCTGAGCACGAAGTGGGATGATACTGAATTCGGTGGATGAGAAATGGGGAGAGAAATGTGTGGCCCGAATGTTTTCTATCAACTCACCATTCGGGAAGATGATGCACATTCCCGCTCGTGTTTTCCCACTAAGCGCGCCTTCAAACTCTCACTTCCGCCAACTCTCTGACGGACAACAGATAAAAACATCTTCGCGCGCGGGATTTCTGAGCTGTGAAGGGGTGAGAATGCGGATTCCTTGGGAAGTGCACATATTTTACGCGAAATTTGTATTCTTCAAGCATAAAAATCGTTCTATTTTCCGGGAAATGAAAAATGTTAATTAGCTGATTAGTAGCTTTCTTGAGAGAATATTTGAAAGAAATGGTAATTCATTGTATTTTTTTTATACATAATTCATCCCAACTCATCCTCGCTGTAAGAATTTGAGCGTCAGTGCGTACATCTTCGAGTATTTAAACATCCCTCAAGGGTGTTAAATTCAATGAGTGTGTTTAAACAAGAGCATGAGAAACTTTTAATTGATTTATGGCGAAAGTTTGCTTGCCAACAGATTACTTAGGTATTTATGAAAAGATTTAATTAAGGGGTGTGTTGCACACATAAAAAACTTTTCCACCCTCATTTAAATTAATTGTTTCACAATTTATAGCATCTCCTTAGACGCTAAGGATGCCAAGGATACTCCATCGCCACAAGGTTGGCTGAATAGCTTTAATTTAGCATTTAACATGAATATAAAGTAAGATACTCAAGAGTATTTAAGAACAATGAATCATCTGATAAGTCTGATAATCACGAATGGATATTTTTACCATTACTAACAGGTCTTTTAATTCTAAAATCTCTTACAAAATTCATTCACTCGGTGAGTGAGTAGCCCTTTGGTTCGAAAAAGAGCGCGACATTTTTGGGACATTTCGGCTCCGGTTTTCCGGAGGAGACACATAACCCCACTTTGCCCTCCGGTGTGCTTGCAAATTGTTGGATGTCAGAGGAATTCTTGTGATTTTTCCGCGAATAACTGTAAAAACTCCACTCGAAAATTGTGAAAATGAGCGAAGAAGTGCTTCACGTGTGCGAGACGGTGAATTGTAAGAAACAGGCCCGATTGCAGTGCCCAACATGCCTGAAATTGGGCATTGTGGGTTCGTACTTTTGTGATCAGGAGTGCTTCAAGAAGAGCTGGAAGTCTCACAAGATTATCCACTCTCTGGCCAGTGAGTTACAATTTTTTCCCCATTGTCATGCTTCATGGCTAATTTGTTGGATTTATTTGTTCTGCAGAGGGTGAGAATCCTCTTAATAGCGCCGCCAATGGTGTCTACAATCCCTGGCCAAATTTCACTTACACGGGAAAACTGCGCCCAGCAGAGCAAACTCCGAAGCGAGAAGTGCCTCCCCACATTCCTCGGCCAGACTATGCGGATCATCCGCTGGGCAGGAGTCCCTCCGAGGAGGGATTCCGCGGGAATACGACAATCAAAGTGCTGGACGATGAGGAGATCGAGGCGATGCGAGTGTCTTGTCGCTTGGGGCGTCTCTGCTTAGACGCCGCGGCGGCTGCAATTGACGTGGGCGTCACCACTGACGAAATTGATCGCATCGTGCACGAGACCGCTATCGAGAACGATTGCTATCCGAGCCCACTCAACTACTACAACTTCCCCAAATCTTGCTGTACGTCCGTGAATGAGGTGATCTGCCACGGAATTCCGGACGTTCGCGCTCTCGAGGATGGGGACATTTGCAATGTGGACGTCACTGTGTACCACCGAGGCTTCCACGGTGACCTCAATGAGACCTTCTTCGTGGGGAATGTGTCTGATCAGCACAAGAACCTCGTGAAGGTCACGTATGAGTCTCTCTGCAAGGCCATCGAGATTGTGAAGCCGGGCGAAAAGTACCGGGAGATCGGGAATGTCATTCAGAAGTACGTCCAGTCGCACGGATATAGCGTGGTGAAGAGCTACTGCGGCCACGGTATCCACCGTCTGTTCCACACAGCGCCAAATGTGCCTCACTATGCTAGTGAGTATCCTCCACTTGTTGCTCCCTGGAATGTGTTGTCTCACGCGAAGTTGTTCTGTATTTGCAGAGAATAGTGCTGTGGGCATGATGAAGGCCGGCAACTGCTTCACAATTGAGCCCATGATTTCGGAGGGCACGTGGCGTGATGAGCAGTGGCCAGACAACTGGACAGCCGTGACAAAGGATGGTCTGTGGTCGGCACAGTTCGAGCAGACACTCCTCGTGACGGATGATGGCTGTGAAATTCTCACGCAACGCCCCAGCGGCAAGCCGCACTTTTTGGATAAGATGTAACAGGTTTTTATAGCTCATCGATTTATTTTCTCACAATCAGTTACTCGCGTCTCTGTGTCGTATACACGCCAGAGTGTCGCACAGTTTCTCATCTGGGAGTGTTTAGTTAGTCCTTTGAGACAAGAGGGAGAGAGAGAGAGGGAGGGAGAGAGCGTGTGTGTGTGAAAAAATAGGTAGCATAGAATCATCATTTTTCGTTGTTGAGATGTTTTTTTTTCGAGTATACATACGCCACACATATGGTTCTTACAATAAATAACAAATAATACAATAACAGAGGATCAGACATCTGGGAAATGGCGGGGAAGTGATCTTTTTACATGATTGGAACAAGTTTGGGGCTCTACAGCGGAATTGCACTAAAACTACAACTAGGAGTCAGAATCTTCCGGCTTCTCTATGTCTCTTGAGCCTTTTCTGATTGATCTGCGTCTTTGGTTGTGGTGTCGTCTGAGCGATTTTGTAGTTTGACCTGCAAACAGTGTCACATGAGAACATGTAATTAGCTGAGAGAATTGATTGAGTGTGCAAAAAAAGGTAAAAGCAAAATTACGAGGAAGTGTCGATAAATGAATTGCATGAGCAAAAAGAGGCGATGATCGTGATTCCCTAAATCACGCTTTGTCTTCTTATTTTAATTGAAATCGTGCATAAAATTCGCAAAAAGTGAATTGTTTATCTTTTCAATTTGGATTCAATTTTTTTTGCCATCACAAGCTCGTGGGAAAACGCAATGTTTCCTCTTTTATTCCACCCAGGAGCTCACCTTTTCCGTGTCGGTCGTGAATTCGTCGTCAGGCACATAGATTCTCATCTTCTTATCAGAGTTCGCGCTCTCTGATATAATAGGGCTCTGGTGTGAGAAGGAAGCCTCGGGTTCATCGTGGAAGGCTGAGTAGCCTTTCTCCATTAGTTCAGCATTGGCTTGCTCCAGTATCCGCGCGTTCTCCTCCTGGTGCTTGGCCGCGAGATCTGGAGCGTAGTAGAAGGCTGGCGTGGGTGCGGACTCGGCCACATATGGTGCTCGCGTGGAGGAAACGCTGTGAGGGTAGTTTAGATAGGCGCCGGACTGGAAATACTGCGTCGCCTGGTCCAGGAGTTGCTTGTACGCGGCGCTCTCATCTTGCTGCAGTAAATTCTGCGAATCTTGGTGTTGATACTGATCGTGCTGGTGATGCAATGCATCTTGCTGATGATGCAACTGATCGTGCTGAGCGGCGTAGATTTGACCCGGACTCGCGGCACTTTCGTAGGTCTACAGAGTGCATAGTGAATTGGTGCAGATTAGTCTCTACATCTACTTTACAGGTGTGGATTGTTTTATGGGTTCTAAATCTTTGATCTAGAAGATTTTTAATGCATTGTCATTGGGAATATGGATTTTTAGTCATTAATAAAATTCCTATAAGATTCAAAGGGGGTTTCCATCCACAAAACTAATTGGAAATCTCTTATAGGTTTAGCGCTGATTATATTTTTCAGTGTCTAGGTCTAGATATGAAAATTTAATCATTTTGAATACGTTTAGCCACCTAAAAGGAAGTCAAACCTTGTTTACAACAAATCTCTACAGATTACAATAAAATTGTGCGTTCAATAGAAGAACATTAGAATTTATCGAATGAAATACTCTTTATCAATCTTGAAAATGATTATATTTGTAGAGTTTTGCAATTTTTGTCACTGAACACAGTCTTTATTGTGTGTTCCCCTTATCTAAATATGTTTTTCTTTAAATTCCAATCACCTGTAAAAGTATTCTTTCGTTAAAAAGCTAGACCTTGAACTCAATAGAACGTCCCTACGTCGTTGAAGTAAGGGACCATGGGGTCCCTGTAGGTGTTGGGAAAGTGGGGAAGGTTGAATGATTGTGGCGTTACCTCTGTGTCGTGTGTGGTGAGATGTGTCTGTGGGTGGGCGTGCTGCTGCTGATAGGCGGACACGTAGGCGGGCTCTGGCCGGAACAGGTGCTGCTGATGCTGCTGCAGGAGATTATTGGACTGTGTCACGAGGTATGTGGGATTGTACACAGAGTCTGGCATTCCGTGCAACATGGACATTTGCTGGACGACCTGCTTCTGCATGCGCGGGAAGATGGGCCTGGTGCCCAGCTTCACGTACTGCAGGATGTGCTGTGTGGCTGCGGAGGGGTTGGAGTGATGGGGACGGCGGGAGGCGGGGTGGTGGTGGGGATAGGAGTAGTCGTGTGGTTTTCCGTTGCTCGGCTGCCCGAAGCGGGTTGTCTCGAGTGGCACCTTGGCAACCGGCAACCTGGGATCCGGATCGGGGGCAAAGTAGGTCTGCTTGCCGGACAGAGGATCGTGCAGGGTGAGATCGTTGGTCGGCTCCTCGGTCACTTGGTAGGGCTTCACCTGGGAAAGGGTTCGATCTCGTGACTCGGCGTCGCGGCGCGTCGCGAGTTAGTGTGTGTGGGAATGAATGAGATGGAGTTACTCGGCATGAGCGCGTTAGTGATGCGGGAGGGGGTTAACCGGGGTCTCTACTTACGCTCACGGGTCGCGGGGGAGAGTAGTAGGGTGTGATGGTGGGCGTGGGCGCCTCGTAGATGTGGTTGCTGTGGATGGGAGAGATGGGCGCGAGAGGCCCCACTGGCGAGAGATTCGGCGCTGGTATCGTGTGAATGGGGCCACTGGGCGCTGGCTGGCTCATGTACACGTTCGCGGGTGGGTAGGGGTTCTCGTAGATGTACTCCCCGGTGTTGGGTCCCGGCGGCGAGCTCTGGAACACGACGGGCTTCAAGTGGGAGTAAGTGGCGTACGATGGTCTCAGGGTATAAGGCGACGGCTTCAGCAGCTGCGTGTACGAGGGCAGAATGATTTTCTGCACGGGTCTGCTGTGTGTCCAGAAAGAGATAAACATCAAAAGCCACTCTCAAAATCCAGTGGCTAATGACCACATTTTCCCTTCCATTGACCCCCAGTAATTGCTAATCCACTTTATACCATGGCGCACAAATGCAATCTCGGACAGACGAAAGTGAAAATATATAGAAAAAAAAAATTAACACACTTACATATCTGTGAAATTTTTCACATCATAATTTTCTGGTTCATTGCATTCGTACAAAAATATATATTACTCCAAATTAATGAAATTAATTCACGAGAGGCCATTTGAGGCGCTACACTTAGCATTGAGGACTTTCAGAGCGGACAAGTACATGTTTTTGTTATTTGTTGAACTCATTCTTTATTGGCTTTTGTAGTGCCAGAGAAAATTGTTGTCGGCAGTTATGTTGGAAAAATTCAGAAAGCATTTTCATGAACGTTTTGAAACTATGATAATGTTGAATTTAAATACCTCTTTTACACTCTGGAATTTTCGAATGATTTATGTCTATTTTGCTTTTCGAAGCACCTCTGCTCTTCCCTACACATTAATTCTGTCATTTTTTTTTGTGCAAAAGTGCTCGCGTCAGCCCGCAGTTTGGTTGGACATTAATGTGGTTATAAATCTCTTTAGTGTTATTACAGTTCACTGCAGACAAGCATCTATATATTTCTTGCATCACAATAGATCATTTTTGCAGGCTGAGCCTTCAATTGGGTGAAAGTTTAAGTCAAATGGGATATTTTGCACGATCAATTCCATCAACCATTGATATCTAATGGCTACTGCTGTGATTATGCTTTTCAATGAATTTGATTTGAATCCACTTCAGTCTGGCTGATAGATTGTATACATTTTTCAATTGATGCCAGATGAAGCGGTAAAGTGCTGTAGTGAAAGAGGTCTATTGAAGTCTAAGTGATCTTGGAGGCAATTCTTCCCAGCATTGGGGAGAGGCCATTATAGTGCTGCTGCAACGGGGTCGGTATGCAAATGTGTGCGAGTGAAAGTGATAACTTTAATTGCTTGCACTCTCATTACCTCGTAGGACGCGAGTGGATCTTAGTGAGGATGATCTGCGAGGGTAGCTTTACGGGTCCCCGGACTTTGATCATCATGGCCTTTAGGGGGATCATTTGAGACTTCGTGGGCCACTTGCTAAACACCAGCTCGCCCTTCATGATGGCCGGTGATTCTGCCGCCGCTGACCAGAGTATTGGCATCATCAGGAGTAGTTGCAGCTGCAAGAAATGTAGAGTGGTTGTTGGGTTAGCGAATGAGTGAGAGGAAGTGCGAGCAGCGAAACAATCTCGCACCATTGCTTCAATGGCAGTTTGAAAGTATGAGAATTTGTGCAAAAGAAATGGTGAAATTGAGCATCAATCACCCAATTGATTTCTGTGACACCAGACGAACGCGAAAAAGGGTGAAAGTAAAGTCCATTCTGGTGATCAGCCATCCAAGTAATTTAATTGATTCACACCGACCAAGAAAGTGATTGTGGGCGCATCTCTATTGCTCTTCTTACTCAATCAGCGTTGCGCAATTTGGCGAAAAAAGATGATAAACTACTTTTTAATTCATTAATAATGCTAAGAGGATCGAGATGGTCATCAACGTGCCATCTCTCGCCCAGATTTCTTCGGCGTAACGCCCAGGAAAGCATTTCTTATATGGCTTCTCAAGTTTTTATCGTCATAAATATCACACTCCGAACCGGATTATTAAATTCGTTCATTTTTAATTATTTCTCAAGTGTGGAGAAAACCTACTTTTTCACATATATAGAATCTCAATTTTTAGGACATCTTCGTCATTCTTGCCAATTGCTCTGCTTTTCTCACAAACTTCACGTGCAAAATGTAGCGTTTTTCCACTGTGCCATCATTTAAATCTTTCGATTCTGGGTAAAAAGCCAATTTTGCCAATTAACTTGAGACATTTCCCAGAATGTGACTTGTCACTTTGGCGGAAGTCTCGTGAAATGTGTGACCCAATTTTTGACTCAAAAGTCACTATATATAAATCAAACAATTTGTCTCATACATATAAATGTTTTAATTTACTGTAAATGGTAGTTTTGTAGAGCGCCACTCTGATGACTCGAAATAGCAGAGATTTTCGAGGTGGATAATTTATTGGCTTGTAAACAATTCACCAAACAGCAGTTTTAGAGGTGTTACTGTTTATTATTTGCGAGGTCTAATTGCTTCTGGAATGATTTTGAGAAGCATTGCCAAAGGCAAATTGGCTATTAACATTGCAAACTGTTTAATGGCTTTCAAAAGAGTTTATTAATAAAATGGTTGAACTTGAATTTTTGACAATGAATTGTGCTATTTTCTACATTTTTATTAAATAATGCATTTTCGTGTCCAACAATTCTTCGCTTTATCGTAATGCGAATTGATTTGGTTTTAACGAGTTTGAATTTTTTTTTATCAGGGCAATTTAACAATTTCAAATATTATTGTTATAGCAATAAAAAATGTGAAACATGCAAGAATCTAAATATTTCGTCAAACGATGCATTGCATTACCAAGAAATCAATCCTCATTGGGAAGTAATTGCGTTTAGGGATTGATATTCAGTTAAATTCAACGCTTCTAGTTTTTTCTGTGAAATATTCTGTAAATATTCGCACAAAATCAACATTAAGTGTGCGCTATGTGTAAACCAAAGGCAATTTTTTTTGATTAATCAATCATGTGAGATGAATAAACTTCGGTGTTTATCTCGTTGAATAAGCTCGTTTGGCGAGAAGAGAGAGATCACAGGTGTTTTTGACTCCGCAATCATATCACACACTTGGACTGTTGCCGAACATAAACACGAAACACGATTAACAACTTAATTGATCACATTATTGAAATGAGCTGCAGCGGTTTGGCCAGAGAAATGCATCAAAGCATGAAGCTGAGCATTTGTATTTTATGCTATTTCATTTCATTAATATGCATTTAATTAGTATGTATATTTGATTTTTTTTTTGCTATCTAATGTGTGGAATTGCTGAGCGCTTCGCGGGAGTTTCACTGGCAGAGGGAAAAGCGCTTTCAATTCAAACACCGGCATCTGACAAGAATTTCAATTCACGGAAGTACACGCATTTTTCTATTTGTGCATTTTGGAAGAGGTGGAGAGATTTTTTTATTCTCCCAATTCGCATGAATGTATTTTCCAGTCAATCAACTAATTTCCTCATTTGCTTTACTAAACTTATTGTGTCAATGGAATGTTAATGAACTTCAATGAGAGTTTTTAAATGCTGAAACTCTTTCACTTGCCCTCCTCCCATTCATCATCATGAATATGAATTTGGCGGCAAATCTCGGCTGATCAATGTGCGGCTTTTTGTTGATTTTTGGGCAATTGGGTCGAGCACTGAATTAGATTTTGGCAGGATTATCACACCACGCACTGGCGCTGTGACTGTCGCGTGTATTGCAGAACATTTCGTCACGTATCTGACGAAGCGCAAAGTGAAGATTGACCGTTTGGTGTTTTGGAATGCATTTCAATAGAACATGGGAGTAAAAAGTGGCTTTTATTAACGGGCAAATGGTCGATTCTGGGTCATTTGCAAATTCCTTGTCAACTTTCTTTACAGCCAATGCACTTTTGTGGCTTTAACACTGGCATTTTCACAGTGCTTCAATGATCTCCTCTGTTGAGTTATGCCATCCACAATTTTAGCCACTTGAAACTTTGCATTCTCTCTGGTGAATCACAATGCGTGTCTCTTGATTTTCCTCCTCGACCCAGCGAAATGTGTTGAGATTTTTTTGTATGTTCACTATATCGTTGAACAGGTTGAAAAATGTACAATTACTCAAGTTTTCCGCTCAATAAGTACACTGATCATAAGTGGATCAACTGCATTTCATCGCATAGGTCTTATCTTACGAGAAATTACCTGCAAATGCATTTTAGAGTTGGGATTTTTTTTTCTTGTCCTAAACCAAACACACTTTGAGAGAGTCTCTCGTCAAGATCAAACTGATTTCTATCTGGCACTTTTGTAACTGGCTGCGTTTTCTTCCAAGCAACAATCACACTCCGATGATCAACAAGCGGTGCGATAACGACAGGACCACCAACTCTTCACCGACAGTTACCAGCGAACATGAGTGCGTCTTCGCGGCGGAGCAGCTCGATGAAGACTGAACGGGCAGGTGAGTGCAAGAGTTGGGAGAACTGCAAGAACCTCGAACTTGACTTTCGAGCCGCACACTCCGCGGATTTCAACGGTTGCGGGCACGGCGTATTCCGCTGAACATGCCCGATTTGTGTGCTTGGATGGAGGTGAGAAATACCATTCTTCTGCGCCCATCGAGACATGTTTGCTGTACAAGTGAAATTGTTGCATAATTCCATTATCTACGCATGGATATCCTTCGCACCAGCGAGAGTGTGAAAATGTTCTCTCTTTTGCTCTTGACGGAAGTGCTCCAGCCGAAAATCACATGGAAAGTGGAACGCTGGAGAAGGTGAGAGGCTCTCACTGGGCATCCAGAGTTCATTGTGAATTTCCGTTCGATTAAGCGCGCCGGGTCAGCATTTGCACACTTTTTGCCCAATCATCGCAGAAAAGCGCGAAATTCTCATGAGCTCAATAGTGTGTAAATTGTAAATTGAAAGTGATATTTGGGCGGTGTTTATTTGATTATAATCGCGCACACAATTGATTTTATCAGAATATATATCTGAAATTGAGCTGACCAAGTGAAAAACCAAACAAACAAAGCCAGGAATTATCAAATTATTCAATAACATATCATAATAACCACAATAACGGATATGCAGAAGGAATTGATGAGTTTATTGCATACAAATGATATTTCCTATCTGATTGAGCGAACTAGTTCATTTATTGGCATTTGAAATACCATAACTATAAATTGAACTAATTTCCTATCGATATAGGAAATCTGCATTTCAGGGAATTGAGTTTATACGCACACGTAATATATCTTTATCAGTTAAATATCACAATTATTTCTCATTCACCAGAATTCTCTTTAAAAGAGAGAAGTCGTATGGATTTAATCGCAACACTTTATATAAGCTTGTGCAATCTTCTGCGAGGAGCTCAATTTATTCACAGTGACAATAAAGATAAATTCATCACATTTTATTTCCGAGTCATGGTGAAGATTGAGATGTATTCACCAAAGACGATGATTGCAATTTACGTGGAAAGAGGGCACAATTACGGTCACAAAGCGGAAATGCCTCAGAAAAGATGCAGCGTGGAAGAGATGGTTTATCGCCTTGAGGCAATTTCCTCCTTTTGTGATTTTTCACTCATCGATTGCTCGTGTAGGATTTTGTGAGTGAAAAACCATCTCGTCTCCTTGCGCAACGGTGACTTTTCACGTCGCCCTTTAACCGCCTCGAGGAAGTAAGGCAAAACTATGAAAAGACAACGAAGTGGACTAAAGTGAAATTCGAGCACGCGTTAGAAAATGAGATTAAGAGTTGTGTTGCTTAAGAATTCCCATCACAGCCATTTTCACACTCTTTCTCGGTGTCCGCAACAATGTGTGGATGGTTGTCTTTTTATTTTTCCGTGCTCGACATGCACGATTACATTTTTCAATTTAATCACATTGAAATTTGCCGTATACCTTCACTTGGACGCGCGTTCTTTTGCGCGCCTTTTAATGATCCTCCTTTCTCGCTCTGGCGCACTTTTCTCAAATCGCGCTGAGGGAAAATACCTCGGCGGACTTTGCTGGTCGCTGGCCAGATGCCACAGCACCGAGAGTGTTGGAAAACAATTCGCGCACGAAGAAAGTTTTCAAAGTCATGACGAGGAGTATGAATAGTGTCATAAATGCGGAGGCTTCGGCCACAATTGGCATCTTACACTTGTGCGATCATCGAATAAATGTGATCAAGAGGCTGAACTATTTGATTGGAGCGCAGGTGTCTTGTGCGACATTAAATAAAAGCTGTACTCCAGCGGTTAATCACCATAAAACGCACTTATCACTACCATTACATTAAGCGGCGAATAATTTAGCTAATACACATGTTATGCAGTCTAAACATACCTTCAACAGCCAATAAAAGGTATAAAATGAGATAAATAACTTGCAGTAGCGCTGCAAATCAATGAAATGCTATATTTAATGGTGATTTGCGTGCACAACTTATTTATAAATTACATTTTCTCCACTTTACTCGAATTTACGCTCATGATTTTCAACACAGAAATTTTGGGAAACTCAACAAAATGAAGACCTCAAAAGTAAATAAAAACCATAAAAACATGTAATTAATATTCAAAATGCGATTTGGACTCAATAAATTATATTATTTTACACTGTCTCAAGGTTCGTGAGACAGTTTCAAGTCAGTCGATCAAAAAATTATACAATTTTTCCAAACGTTCGCTTTTCCGGTTGTGCTTTGAATCAGGTTCAAACATGCTTTGCATAGAGAAACTAAACAAGAGATTTTTAGGGCATTTCTGCCCTAAACTATAATGATTAAGAAATTTCTAAGTATTAGGGAAAACGTGCAGTAAAGTGTCCAAATAAAATTATGCTGATTTTCATTTATATCCTAAAATTGAGTAAATTCTACTCAAAATTAATTAATTTGGTTATTTTTCCAAATGTATTCAATCAAATGTAGATCATAATTCATTGAGACAAGAGCTCTGATGCTCGTGAAAACATTGTTACACGTGCGTTCGGTCCAAACTAATTATCTCCGTGAAATATTGTTGGTGCAAACATAATTTGAGCGTATTAATCGATCATTTACGGAAATTAGCGCGCTTCAAGTGAAAATGAGAGGACCGAAATTCACGGAATTGGGCAGAAATCAGTGACCCAGAAGGAGTGCCTGAGTAAATTCCCACCAAACTTCAACGTGCAGTTCTCCTAAGCTCACAAGCTCACATTCCAAATTCATTGGGTGAGTGTTAATTGCATAAAAGACGTTATTAGTCTCCATCAATCACTGTGGCAAGAGACAACAATTAATTTTTCTGCCTCTTTCACCAAACATTGTTGGGTAAAGGGAACTGCAAGAGACTTTGAGTGATTTTGTGAAGTGCATTAGATGGGCAATTGGAGAGAGAAGGCGGGATTGCGCGAAGCATTCTTCTCTGTGGCGCAGAGTGGCAAAGCGAATGGCAAGCCGCCCTGTTGAGTGAATAACGCGGAATAATTAAGAATTAATAAGTAATAAAAGTTCATTTCACTTTTCACATTCCACCAACACGAAATTATCGTGTGCTGCACACATTCACTGGGCACAAGCTTCAAATGTCTGCAAATTGAGCTGTTGAGGTCTGGGAAGAACACCTTCTATGGGAAGATAATTACTGGGTGGGAGACGAAATGAACTCGTTAATGTGGAGGAAAAGAGCGCCAAACCATTGACTTTATCGATCACTCACGATGGAGGCTGTCTAGAAAAGTACACACGGAGGAATTACCATGTAATTCATCTTATTGACTGTCGAAGCAGAGGTGGAACAATTCGAGATCTCAGACGCGAGATTAGCTGAGAGGCGTTGGGGAAAGAAAGGCAATGATTGTGGCGTTTTTCCTACATTATCGCAGCGGCAAAATCTCTGATTCTCACAGATTATAATTTGAGAGACAAATCGAAGGAAAAACTACTAATGTTTGCACACAACCTCCATCTAATGTCACTTTCCATTAAGAATGTATGCAATTATCTCACACTCTCGATGGATATCTCGTCGCTCTGCAAAACTATTATGTCTGTTGGCGCCAATTTATTGCACGAGACATATAAACCTATGCATGAAATCAGTGAATCTCAGGAAAACTCACGCGGAAGTCGGTGAATGTAGCATTTTACTCAATTTTAGACACATTCTAGCCTTTCCCTTTTTCTCAGAAAGTACCTAATAATTTTTCCACCTCCCACAATAAGTGCTAAATGGATAATTTGGGAGCATTTGTGGTATTTCAGCTGAAATGAAGAGCTAAATATAGAGTTTGTTCGTCTAATTAAATTAAATCGATAATTTTTTTTTCGAGTAATTACTTGACTAAATAGCAAAACAAACAGAGAAACACGCTGGAGAAATGGCGGGAATTATGTGCAATAATACTTATAATTGTTTCTGCGTTTCAAAGAGTGGTCAATGTGCTCTTCAAATGAAAGTGAAAGGACAAAAGTGCAATTGCAATTTTGTTCCACACATTTCCGAGATTCTGTGAACTTGTTTTCCGCACGTTTTATTGTAATATAAAAAAAGAATACAAGTCTTGGTTCCTTTTTCCATAGTGATAAGAAATTCGTGATTAGAAAAAATCACATTGCTGTCGATGGATAAGAATTAACAGCAGTTTTTGCTGACATGATCACATCATTTATCCCAATTCCATCGTAAGGTGCTCCGCAGAGGCGCAGAGGAAGTTTCTGGTCGTGCATGTAATCTCTTATCCTTTCCACTCTATCGTGATGCCCCAAAACGTACTGAGGAATACACTTTTTCAAGATGTTCACGCGCGAACTAGTAGGCTGCTCTTGAATATCAAGGATGTCTTTGAGATACTTTTGAGCCGTGGCTAGAAAATCAGCTTCCTTAGGTGCGTCTCCAAAGTATTCCTTGAACCAGTGTCCGCCCATCATCACTGTCACCACAGTGCTGGTTTTTATATCGAAGCAGCAACTATCGAATATGACTCCCAGAATGGGAATTTTCTCCCGCGGAGCAGCCAAGAAACCGAAACCTTGCTCTTTGAGAGCGTGCGGAGAGGAAAAGTGTAAATTTACCACTCCAACATCAACGTAAGGGATTTCGGTGAGCATTTCACTCAGCTTTGGGTGCTGATCTTTCACAATCTTCGCAAGTTTATAACTGGGCAAAGCAGAAATAACTTCATCAGCTTTTTCCTTGCCGCCCTTGAAAGTCAGTTCCACTCCTTTTGAAGAGAAATTAATTGAATTACAATCAGAATTCTTCAAGATTTGCACGTCGTTTTCCATCAGATAGTTTTCTAATGCTTTCGGAAGGTTTTCCAATCCACCTTTTAAGCTGTAAATTGACCATTTTTCTTTCTTTGCCTTTTCAGCGAGTTGTGAAGGTTCATTGAGTGTTTTCTTTTTGGACGAGCTAAAGGCATTGGCCAGGATTGCCTTAACAACTCCTCCATATTTCTGCTCCTTTGCGAAGAGATCTTTCATGAGAAATTTTACAGAAATCTCTTTGGCATTTCCAGCGCAAATCCCACAAATCATAGGACTTATCGCATAGTCAGCCACTTCTTGGCCAAATCTTCTCTTCGCGAAGCTATAAATGGACTCATCTTGAAGGGCTTTTGGTGACTTTCCGGCAAAGATGTCATGGAAAAGAGCATAAAACAGAGGCCGGGAGAAAGGCGATTGCTTTGTTAACAATCCCTTGAAATTGGACGGCAGCGGATGCAGCTGTCCATTAACGTAGATCAGACGTCTCTGGGCTGCTGGCGAGCTCCTCAGAATGGGTTGAATCTCACTGTCCAGCTTGAGTTCTTCGAGGAGAGCAAGAGTATTCTTGCCGCTTTCTCCAACTGGACGAATTGTTCTTGGTCCACACTCAAAGGTGATATTGTGCTCCTCATTCTCTATGGATCTAATCCAGCCACCTACGCGAGAAGAGGCCTCATAGAGTTTTATCTTGCTCCCAGGAACTCCTCGCCGAAGGAGATAGAACGCCGCTGACAGTCCGGAAAGGCCACCTCCCAAAATACTCGTCATTTGTGTCTTTTTCTGAATGATTGATGAAAAACAGTTCTTCATTAGATAGACTGCTGGAAGACACTACCATTTCACTCAAAAATACCTTTATTATCTTCTTAATTACACGATAATCCTCCCTTTTCTCACTTCATGACTCTTTGTTTTGGTTCTTCTTCTTCTTTCCATCGCCTTCTCGAGCGGTTCAGCGCAATGAGGTTATGCTCCCCAACCGGTAAAACGTGGTGCCAGATGAGCGCAAGATGGCTTTCAAAATTCCCCAGTACCGTAACGAGCCTCCACAGTGCTTCCTCTCTCTGTGAGTCCTCGCGGAAAATTGTGATTTTCGCACTTGAACAGTGAAAAAATCACCACTAAAAGGTATCAAATATCTACTCGTGGTGCTGCTGCACACTTTTCCAATGGAGTATGAGTTTGAGAGGGCAGGGAAGTGTGTGATAATTGCGTGAAAAGTGGGGCCCCAAATGTGAGTGGACCTTTTCATATTACCCGGAGAGAAAAGCAAGATCGACGCCGTCGCAAAAGGCAGTCCAATTTCGTATTGATTCCCCCGTTCGTGCTCCCGATTTTCCTCTAGTGCTCCACTCTCACGAAAATCGACTTTTCAGAACTGTGTTCAACTCGCTTGCAGAAGGTTCGTGTGCATTTTCACCTCTGTAAAAAATTATAAATTGCTGTGAAGAGCTTGTATTTCTCTCTGAAAACTGCTGAAAAAGTCAGTTTTCCACCCATTTGTGGCCCCACGAGTGTGTTGATTGTTGAATATTGGGGGTCCAGTGTGAATTTCTCTGAGGAATATATTGTGCATTTTCCGCGAGTGTAGTGAACTGGGTGGGAAAAGGGGTGGCTGAAATCTGCGGAGTCCTCGAGAACACTCCATGGCAGCATATTGTCCGGGAAAATCCGCCCTTTCCGTGACTTTCCATCCGTGATCCACTTTCGCCACCCATCCCCGTGGGAAAAACCAGATTTTCTCACCATTTCTACGATATTCCGTTGACTGGGTGCCCCAGTCGATGCTCTGGAAAATTTCCCGGGAAAAAGGTATTTTTCTGTGATGAATTCTCTGGGAAAACCCGCATTTTCTTCTGAAAACTCCCATTTTCTGCGGCAAAACCAAATAGTTGGCTTGAGAAAATATGCTGATAGTCCTGTTTGCACGCAGTATAAGCTAATTATGCGACAAAGAGCTTATATAGCGAGTTTTCATGTGGGGTGGAAAACAAAGGAAAAGCACACGATTGGTGACGGTGATAAGGGAAATTTTTATGTGATTGCCCAACAGGGAATGTGCATTTTTGCTCTTCGCCAAAGTAGAAAACGTTTCCTCGTTCCGACAGCCTGATTGAGGAAAAATAGTTGATAACACAGGAAAACTATCACAGTAAAAGTTACGAGAGACTATTGGAAAGTTTTTTTTTGTATCTCTCCAATGGAAAAAGTTCTTTGTGGATATTTTTTTTTAATAAATCTGAAAAGTTATACAATTAAAATCATGAAAAGTTTTTAGTTTGAAAATCTTGGAACATTGTGTGATGAACTATTTTTTAAAAAAAAAAGCTCTTTGAAAGATGTTAGACATTTTTTCCTGCTTTATATTTTAATATAGTAGATAGAATATTGGTTTTTTTGCGAATTGCAACCGTTATAGAGATCATCGCACTTGTTTTACAATTGACTTCTTCAATTGGCAAATTGCTGTAAAATTAAGAGGGTCAATTGAACAATAATTCCGCCAGTCTCGATTACAATTTCACAGTGCATGATACTGCGAGATAACCCTAAAACAATTAATACTCGTCAATGAATATAGATGCACAACAATGTATGAAATGTTTGATTAGACCGAGTTGAATGCAACTCCCGTCCAGTTCTTTCTGCTCACTGAAAGAGTTCAGATCGTTAGTGAAGTTGTAAACATCAATCAACAGAATTTGAGCGCGATTTCATCAGAGGAAAAGTTCAGTAAGTTAGAAATAATAGAAGTATGGAATAATAATGCACAGTTGATAAATTATTCTTAAATTTGGAGAAAGAATTCATGAAAACCTACCAGTTTTCTTTTATTTTTTTAATGTTTAAGAAAATGGATGGAAAGTATTTTTCCTCTAAGTGGCCTTCGTAGAAAGCATTAAGGAGTTTTTGGTCTGAAGCCAAGTCTAATTTATTTCTTTTTGTTTGTGGAAAATAAGCGGTTTTATGCCAAAAGCTAAAGTTTTGCAAGAATATTTGAATAGTTTTCTATATCAAAATAAAGATATGAAACTCACAAAGTACTGTATTTCATTAATATTTTATGAAGATTTTAATTATGAAGCTAATTTACATCTCAATGGCTGTTCTGTGATACTTCAATCGCACAGGATCTCTATACAGATTGTACAAAGGATATCAGATTTAACGTACGAGATTGAGAAAATGTAATTTTGTGCAAAACTTCCTCTTAAACGACACTTTACTGTGGGGCGATTGAGCAAATGCACTATAGAAAGTTTTCAATTCACCTAATTTAGTCCGTATGCTTTTGAAACTGATATTTTCTATGGACTACAGATATTGATTTTCTCATAGACAGGAGGGAAAATGCTACATGGGAAAGTTTCAATGAACAGTAGAAATTGTCTCTGTGTGTGAATTTTGTGGGTCAAAAGACGAAAGCTTCGACGATATCGATTGTTTTCTTCCAAGCTTTGTCGTCTTTTAAGAAAGTGAGGGGGTGTTTTTCCGTGATGGCCGGAGAGAGTTTTCCGTGCGTATGTGCCATAATAGGATTGAATGAGTAACACATTTGAATACCATATTCAGTCAGTGGGCAAAAGGGATGAAGATGCTGATAAATTCCTCATTGAAATTCACACTGAGAAATGTGCCTATTTTTCTCATTAGCGCGCCACAGTGGCAACGCAATATTGGAGAGGAGGAAAAAAAAAAGTGGAGTTTATTTGTATAATAAGGGAGAATAAGAGAGATGCTTGGTAGAATTTTAAGCATTATAATCAAAAGTGTTCAATTTTCAATCGAAAATGCTTGCTAGCCATATTGATGTGAATGTTTTTTCATAAAGCACAAATAGATAGATTCTTATAAGTATAGGGACTCTTGAGAAAAGTGAAGTTGTGGAGAGAGTCTCAGAGGAAAAAGTGTATAATTATCAACTTAGCGTGTGGAACTTGATGGCGAACAATATTCTTCTTGCAACTCGTAGGTTATAGTTGAGTATAGACACAAGAATTAGCAACAGAGCGACTCTTGCGGAACGACAGGCTGGGAGCGAAGGTGCACGTATCAAGGAGGGACAGAAGAGATCATCGTGACAAGTGTAGTGATGTGTGCGACATTTGCGTGAGCAACTGATGATGTCCAATGTGTGGGAATCAAACGAGAGACAATAGTGCACATGAGTCATCATCCACGGCATCAGCGTCAATCATCAAAAGCAGGGGATGTCGTCTTGTGACGAGGGAGCTATTGAGTCAACAACTGAGCCACCATCCATCGATGACTGTCTCAAGGTGCGCAAGTGGTGGTGCTTTCTGCTCTCGAGCATCTTCACATTCTTCGCCGGGCTGCTGGTGGTGCTCCTGTGGCGTGCATTCGCTTTCATATGTTGCCGCAAGGAGCCAGAACTGGGGCCTAATGATCCCAAGCAGAAGGAGCAAAAAGCCTCGCGGCAGGGGAAGCAGGAGTTCGAGGGAACTTTCATGACAGAAGCAAAGGACTGGGCAGGCGAACTCATTTCTGGGCAAACAACAACTGGACGGATACTGGTGAGTGTTTTCCACCCTCAAACATTTTCTACACACATTTTTTCCACCTCGTGAGAGTCTGTTTATATACCCAGTAATACACACAGTCTCTCAGTGAGATAATTTTACGCTCACGATGACGCCTTTATGACTTCCCAAACACTTCACTCAATAATTCAATACAAAAAAATGCCTATGAGAATTTTTTTTCCATTCCCTCTCAGTGGCACTATGGACATCGATAAATTAATTATTTAGGACAAAATTGTCCATTTGCATGTGCTCGTGTTTTTTGCCCACGAAACAAGACAACTTTCCATATTTGTTAACATGTGGAGAAAAGTGTTGTAGAGTTGATCCTTTTTTGCTATTACTACACAACATCGTAATTGGACGGTGTAATTGTTTGTTGATGCTCTGAAAATACCATCAAATTGAAACACTTTAGCCAGCACAGGATGTGTATACAAACAAGTTCGAGAGTGCTTTCATTGCAAATAAACAAAATCTCCTTTGTAAATCATTTTACATAAAATGTTTACTGTAGCATTTCATTTACACAACTGAAAAGGTTTGGGTGTGTAATGTGCGATGAATAGATAAAGTTGGAGTTCTGCAATTCTGTTATTAAAATATTTGCAATCGCACTGCGCAATTTTCACATTCTTGTTTCTGGATCAGAAATTTATAGTGTGAGTCTCTTCCATTTTTCCACACAATTTGACACATAGTAATGAAAATTCTCTCGTGTTAAGATTAAATCACATTGAATGGAATGATGGCTTTTGTGTCTGGGTTTTTATCTTAAGCTGCGAGATGATGAATAGTAAAAATTTCTCTCCTAATTCTTTCCGTATGAATAGTGGAGATTGAGTGGGTACATGTGAGATTGTGCAGTGCTTTAGGGTAAAAATGAGGCGGACAATTGTTGGTGAATGGGTGGTTTTGGTTAGAATTTATGAGGAAGTATTATAACTTCGATCGTTTTCATTGTTGGCTATTAAATTTGACCCATTTTCTTCACACTCTGCATGGGGGTAAAGTCGGTGATTGAGTGTATGTGTGTGTGTGTGCATGAGGATGACTGTCTTCAAATGGGGCAAAGGTGAGGCACTTAGGGTGAGGTGTTTTGGTCACACATTATCCACGAGTGGTTGGTAAGAAGAAAATTTCACAATTTATTGAATTAACATGACAAATTCAGATCTTTATAGATAAAAATGTAGCAATATTTCCCTCTTTTTACGTCATTTGCAAAATATTTTCTTTACAGAGCACATATCCTTTGATATATGTACATATAAATTTCACATGAGTTTCTCAGTGAGTTCTTTGTGGGGCGGAAAAAATTGAGTGAAAAATGTAAAATGCAAGGGCAAGAGAAATTGTCTTTAGCAAGAAGAGTGCATAGATAAATATGCATCAGAAAGACTTTCCGCTTGGAGTTCGTTCCATAGAAGTGAAACATGAAAGACTAGCCTGAGTTAATATTGTGAGAAATTGGGACACAGAAACGAAGTATTTATCGATTTTACCAGAAAATACATGAACTGTGTGTATATATGTATACAGGACGAAATATGTTTTATTAAAATGTAATTAACATGGATTGACACATGTTTATGTGGCAGGTTTTGTGTTGATTAATCTTTCTTTGGGATTGTGGCTTCAAATTCATCTTAAAATATGTGATTAGATAATAATTTTGGCAAAACAAATTGATCGTTCTACTTGGTCAGTGGATTAACATTAGCGCTTTGGTGAAAGGCTTATAATCTGTTTAATTTTCTTTATATGAGTGTCACGTCTAAAAATAATTGCCATCGCACTTAAAGTGAATTTATATATTGAGAAATTTGTAGCAAAGATGTGATTTGAAGAATTTCAATATTATTTTATAGGATGTTGAGACGAGAGATTTAGTTGTGCCATAGAATAAATGTTTAAGGGAAAAATTTAATATCATGTAGCTTTCAACGGAATTTTACAGTTTCACTCTTCACAACTGTTTGTACATTGGATGAGCAGAGACAAAATAGAGAAAAGGATGAGGTTAATAAAAGAAATTTTCCTCAGTATAGATAAACAATTGCGCTGTGTTTATCATTTGGTCTGTTTTTCAAAATTATTACAATGAAGATGCGTAAAAGAAATGTTGAAAATAACTCCGAAATTGAGACAGAAATGATGCTGAAAAGGCGACGAAAGAATTAGTGAAATGGAGAAAGATCCATTTTGCAAATAAAACATCCAGAATCCAAGTGAGATAAAGCGTGAAATGTTCGAGAAAAGTTGAGTGAATTGGATAATTGTTTGGTGTTGGTTCTAATTGTGAGAAATTGAAGAATATACCTAATATCTTGTGTGTCCCAGTACATTATAAATACATGAATTGTAATATTTGTTATAGAGTGTGAAGAACACTTTGAGACATTTTCCTCGATGGTTTTGACGGTTAATTTTAGAACTCACGCGAAAATACATACGCATTTTGTGGTGCAACTTATAAATAGATTCTGGTGTTGAGGAGATAAGAAAATTAGTAAGACGGAGACAGAGAGATTATACAGATGATGATGATCATTATAAAGTTTATTAAACAATGATCACATCGTGTGAATTCGTCATTATTTATCTTATATGATTTTGAATGCGAATTTTTTCACATGTTTTTCCACATATGCTTTCCAAACAATCAACTCATTAATTTGCGTGTTTTTCTTCCTTTTATTTTCCATTTAATTCTGATGATTTGTTTATCTCTAGACGATTTTCTGCAGTATTTTACTGCACGTGTGAAATTTCAGGGTGTAACTCGATAAAATGAAGAGATTATTAGTCAACAGGGTGTGTCTGAATTTCCATTGTCAGGTTCTATTCATGAAGCAAACCACTAGGGAGTTTGATTAACACTTCATTCCACTTTCACTGATGAGATGGGATAGGAAAAAATGTACAGTGAGTATCGCAAATGTCCAATTGCGAAGTTTTTGCGTTACGACAAAATAATATAATAATCATCAATTATTGGGGAAATATTACACGTTATTTTCGAAAATCAATTATTCATATCAAATTGTGTAGAGTCATTTAATATTTATCAATTTTACTAACATTGCCACACATTTGACACTTACTGTCTGTGTTACGTGAGTGATATTTTGCCTGACAGTTGGTGTGAAATGGCAAAAAAAAGATAAAAGTTCATGACTTTTAATTTTCCAACACTTCTTCGTCCCTTGACGCGGAACGCCCAAACAGGGGAGGGAATGAAATGGGAGAGGAATCTCGGGAGAATGTGTGACATTTATTTAATTTTTCGCAGCTCACTCTTTTCAATCTTCCAATATTAAAATATCCATTTTTATTGCTCACCATCTCACACACAGCTTGTTTGTGCCAAAGAGGAAAATGTGCCAAGTCGAATTGCTGAGAAAAATCGCGGTGAAAAGACTTGAAGTATGCGTGTATGTATGTAAGATGATAAAATTGTCACAGTGCGATGTTTTTTTATATTGGCTGAATATAAAGGAGGTATAAAATTAGAATTTTTCTTTCAATTAATAAGCACTCTTTTTCCATCAATTTGTCGTGTTCTCGAAATTTCTGTGTGTGAAGGAAGAAGGAATGTATATTATGTATTAGAATTGTGTCTGTATCGTGTAATTAAAGGACAATATATTTTTTTGAGTTGTCACACAAGAGAGTCTTCCAGTCCGGAAGATATATATAATTTATTTTTTGACATGTGTGTCGGTAAATTTTTCATGCTACAGGAAGAAAGTGAGAATACTTCTTTCAATTAGCCCAAATTGCTTCCTATAAGTTTCTCCTTCGCTGTCCCATGGCAATAATGAGGGGAGAAGTTGGGCGAAATTGTGTTTTACATTCTGTATGTTGAGAAGTGAGCCAGTGTTATATGTGATGGTGGAAAATGGAGAAATGAAAGATTTATTGCAATACCAGCTGATTGCGGGGATTTTCTCTGTCTCACAATGTTCGCTATACTTTGTTGTGTCGTCATTAATTATGAATGTATTTCTTGGCTACATATTCATCAGCAACAGCACACACTTTCCACCTCTACACTCCGTTGCTCTGGACGGATGCCAATTAATGGCATTCTCCACTCCCTTTAGGGGGAAAATGTGTGTTGGACTCAGGGGAAAATTCGACAAAATGTCTGAAAGTGCGAGAATATCTCTGATTGAGGAGGCTAGTGAGTTGGATAATTTGTGGGAAAAACTTGTAATTTTCTTTGCTCTATCTGACGCAGATGGAGAAAATCAGTAAATTGCTCAATGTGTGATGAAAATCTGATGGGAAGGGCATCATGAAACACAAGGACAATATTTTATTAAATGAAATGCTGTCTCAGCATCTGCTAGACTTACAACGCATTGCTTCATTCTAGTTTGAAGATAGATGAATGGTTACACCTATTTATAATCCTAAAAACATCGATAAGGGTCACGGGCGTCTCAGGCGAAAGAGCTTAATATATATTTTAACGTGAAGGGAATTTTAAAAATAGTTTGTCTTCTCTTCCTTTGTTGCGTACACGAAAAGCCTCAAAGTTGACACGAAGTGAGCCACATACTTTCACTAGTAAAAGTATGTAATGTAGTTTTATTGTAGGTTTTTAAGAAATTGGTTTTATTGTGAGGAGCAGTGCTGTGTTAAGGTAATTTGAAAACTCTGAAATTCTCTGTCTTGTGTTATGTTTTCCATCTCGTCAGCACAATTTAGACTTTCGCGTACTTATATCACTGTGTGGTTGGGGAAGAAGTTTGTTAGCTGTGAAAATGGGTTCACTAAATTGTCTCTGGAGAAGATGCATTGTTAAAAAGTTTGCCAAGAGTCTTAAAGGGAATTTGGCAAGTTGTTGATGTCTCTGAGACTGCATGTTTTAAATGCTGAAACACCGTTTTGGCAACATTTTGTCGTGATTAATCGAATGAGGTCACTGAATCTCGGGGAGTATTTTTTTTTTCATCGAGGCTTTCCTTCTTGGACTCCTGCCCGGGATCATTGTCCTTATGTAATGTCTGGCAATTGGTGAGATGCAAAAAGCCATACAACTGTGCAGATGGAAAGTGAAGGGGGCAAAGTACAATGGATGAGAGACTCATGGGCGCCTCTGTGGTCCGCGCGTTATACATATTGGGATACTGTGCGTATTGATTTGGAGCAGTGTGCGTCCCTTTTTCCATAACCCACAATGAACACGTGGGGTGGTGAAAGGGGGTGTGCTTTGGGGTTGGTGATCCAACGAGGAAAAGTGTATAAATATGAACGCGTGGGTGGGCGCTATGTAATCTACACTGTGGATATTTCATATAGACGGAAAATCGGAGACCGCCTTTTTTCCATTCGCCTTGTTGATAGCGATGGGATCTCTACTGTCGATTTTGCTGTTTTTGACACATTTCGGCCCGCGTGTAGGAAAAAAATGTGACAAGAGGGGAGGATCAGAGAAATAATGATTCTTCCTACATACATATTGATTGAATGAAGTTTATCTCTGTTCTTCTGGTTGGGAACGTTTTGTGGTGGACCAAAAGTTATTTAATAATAAATTGTCTGATGTGATGGACAGATTATCTCTGTTTCACTTGCATGTATTATTTCTTACTGTGGTCAATCGATAAAAATTAATAAACTATCACTGTGAAAATTTAACGAGAATTTATCGTGAATAGGTGGTCTTGTGGGAAAAACCGAGTGAATTATGTCAATAACTTTGCCAACACTGCCAGATGATTCTACACTGTACACATATGAACACTTTGCATACATATATGTGTACATATGCCTCGCCATCAGGGTAAATTTGGAATTTTTTATTATATTGTACATATACGCAAAGGTGACGAATTTTTCTCAGGTGGCCAAATAGCATTAACAAAGTATAAATGTTACTCATTCCCACGAGTGGAATGACGAGGGTAGCGCTATGAATTATTTAATATTTTTTTCATAGAATTCTAGCTTTTTGGATTTGTGGTGGGGGGAAATCAATAAACTTGAGAAAGTCGCGCTAGTTCCTTCTCTCTCCCACGCAATTTAGTAGAAGAATGACTAAGAGAATAATTGTCAGGGAATTAGAGTAATTTGTCGCCGAGAAATATCCGCAGTCTTGGAAATCCAATTAGCACAATGAATTTGCTGGAAAAAGAAGTGAAGAAGCCGAAATACAGGGTGAGGCTTTAGATTTGTATTATTAACTTTCTTACAATGTGATTTCTAAATAAATATTTTACTTATAATATTCACTTGTATATTTGTGTTATTAAGATATTTATCCACCTATAATTATCCTCTTTGGCTTCTTTCTTTCTTAGATATCTTAATATCTTTGGGGAAGATATTATTCCATGTCTGTAATTTGATGGGAAACGCTGTGAGGGAAATGTTTTGATGAACGCTCCATTTCACATTGATGGAGCCGCCTGGTGATGTAGACTCATGAATGAAATACCAGAGGCGGTTCCGCCTCCTCACATTCCCTTGTTTAATCAACTTCAAGGGTGAATTAAATTTTCAATTAAAGCAGAATGACTGATGCCATAATTCAATGTGTGACATGGTGGAAAAGTAAGAAAAAGCCCCTTTATGATGGTCTTTGACATGCTGAGAGAGGCTGAGATAGTTGAAAATTGTCGCACTGGGAATGATGAGGGTTGGAAAAGGGATTCTGAAACACGCACGAGAAGAGATGATGCTCAACGATGGCAATATGCGATGAGAAGTGTCTCTATTTTCTCGTCAATAAGTTTCCTTGCACCTCCCAGAGATCCTGTCTATCGTTTTTTTTCTTCTTGTAAGTGATTCTCTTGCTCTCTCGGGATTTTCGGGTTGTTTGATGAATATATGGGGGTATATTGATGTGAAGAGAGAGGACAGAGGAGTGGAAAGTTGTGTCCACAAAGCCTAAAAAAGCTCTCACTCTCTTCCCTCACGTTCGCTATGTACGAGTGTGTGTAAATTAGTGCGCATGACACACACTGGTAAAAACGAAAATCTATTTAAGCTGCACATTGTGGTATGTATCTTGTCGATGAAACACTTTGGCGACACACAAATTTTAACACAGAGTAATTCCACACTTATTGCAGAATCATGTAAATTTCAGTTATACATTGGAATATTTCATGAGGCAATTTAAAGTTCGTGCCGGGTGAAAGGATATATCGTGTGAAATGTATAGCATAATGGCATTCAGGTCAAGTTGATGTTTAATGGAATTGTCCCATAGCAATGTTAAATAAATTACAGCCACCGTGATTTCTAGGTTAATGCTCAACACGGAAAAGTTAGCTTAATTCGTTGAAAGAGTATGTAGAGAATGTATATAGTTTGGTTTTTATTTATTTTCTAATTGAAAATCTTGCATGTTTGAACAATTGCATGGATAGATGACATAAACATTGTGCATTTCATCTCGTTTGCATTCCACGCAGACGGAGCGCATTTGATGCTTGTCTGATGTGGCCATGTTTCGTCCATAAATGGGTTCTTTTGACCAATTTGCAGCGTTTGTTTTCATTGCATGTGACTCTCTGAATTTGGCCCAGATTCTGTATGACCGTCCAACGTTCCTTTGTGCATTTTCTAGCCACACTGTGGCGTTGAGAAGTGGGTATTATGTGGTGGACAGATGAAGAAAGTGCCATGCATTGTAGCTGCTAATTAATGTGGACAGTGCAGTTTATTAGAGGGTCTAATTGCCGGAGAGATGTGCACTCGCCCTCCCGAAAGGCTGCTCGTGTGAGTGGCTTTGGGCTATGAATTGATGATGAATTCAGGTCATGGTGACGTAGGGGTGAAAGCACTGCAAAACAGTGTGATGATGTGACGTGGTAAAATGATTTTCAATGCAGAGGTCTACGACACACATTTGATTCTCTCAAACACTCTGAGCATTTGCACACAATTTCACACATAGATTTTCCGTATTATCCTATATATTATGCTCTGCAATTTTCTTCTCCACTGCTCTCATCTTGCTGACGCTCTCTCTCTCTGCTCTCAAATCCTGCGAAAGCATCCGTACTCATGCATTTAGAGTGAGAGAAAGAGAGTGTGAGCGAGAGAGAGAAATTTATTGATTTTTCCTTCGTGCAACTACACTTGGTGTTGTTTTGAGGGTGGCACACAATTCTCACAGTAACGTGAAATTTATACACGGGAAAGTGGAACTTTGCAGTGGGGACGCCTGGTAGTTGCTGCAATGTTTCACAAGAGGGACATGAGGAGAAAGAAGGGAGGATGGGTCAGAGAAAAGAAGATAGGACAATGAAATAACCAAGATGGTAAATTTATAACTCCCTCTTGTGCAACTCTTACTTGGACAGGCGGGAGGAAAACTAATGTACAAGAATGAAATTTCATCTGAAAATTACTTAAAGTTCCACATCCTCTTTCTCTAATCCTCGCTCACATCCGTTTTCCCCCGTAGACAATTCAATTAATTCAACAATAATACGAGCAAAGCCATATTGAGGTGGATTCAATTAAAGTTTTAATTTGTGGAAGCCACTTGAAAAGTTATATATTGAATTTTGTTCTTAGAGATTTCACTGTCTGTGCCTCTCGAGAGGCAGCCAATGTATCGATTAATTGTTTGGGTCATAGGGTAGTATTATGGTAGGCAATTAGTGTGAGACCGGCGATAAATCTCTCTAATTTGCATGTACGTGCGGTTATGAATTATCTGATGGCATAAGAATTGGAAAGACAAATTGAGTTATTCATGTGCATGGTCAAGGAGGGGAAGGTATGCTGTTTGAATTAAATATTCATTTTATGGCTTATCTCTACCTCGACAATACATTTCCGCTTGGGTTATCCTTTATCGCACTTTCATGCTTGGATGTTTGAGGATTTGCCTTTGCCTAAGATTGACAAGACGTGTATCATTTATTTGATTGCTTCTCTGTGGTCAGCTGTTATGGTCAAGATTGAGAGATTTATGCATGCGATAGGGAACGTTAAGTACACAGTGTGAGTCATAAGGAAAATGTAAGAAAGTGGCATAATTATGGCGTATTTGACTTGTTGAATATCTTACTATAACACAGTTTTAGTTCTTCGAGGAGTGTAAATGCACATTTAGTGTAATAGGAAATGGAAAAATGAAGATATTATGAACTAATTTGAAATGATGTGTAATTCGATGTTGGGAAAATTTCCATCATCCCACTGGAATGTGAGCATATTATCAAGGGAAATTATATGCATGTTGTCGATATTTGATTGACTTTATCTGATTCGCTTCCACTTGTGTGAGTGACACCCTAAACATTTGAGATGTTGGTTGAAAATCAATATGAGCTTGTAATATTTTACTGAGACGCTCTAAATTTGTGCAAAGTTATCTCAAAATTTCTTTTAAATCCTTGTATTTAGCTCAATATCACTGTGTTTGCCATTGAGAGGAAATGAAATAATCTCTGTGCTCATTATATGAAAGTGTACACATTGTAAATATTTGATTATCAGTGAAATTTAGCCCGATTGATATTAAAAAGCGGTAAAAGATCAATTGAGTATTATCAGTGTTTTGTATAAAAAATGTTTTTGCTCTTGTCAATGCTGGAGCGTTGTCTCCACTCGAGCATGAATCTCACGAGGTGGTGCCAAACACGACAGACATGTTTTGAAGTTGAGATGAAAAATGTGGTGAAAACGAGAAGTAATATGAGATGTTCGCATATATTTTTTTTTATCTTTCTAGGTGGTACTTGTGTTTATCCTCAGTATTGCATCCCTTATTATTTATTTTATCGACGCTTCGAGCGAAGAAGTGGAAAGATGCCAAACGTGGAGCAACAACATTACACAACAAATCGATTTGGCATTCAACATATTTTTTATGGTTTACTTTTTTATACGAGTAAGTATGCCATCTGATATTCTGACAATGTTTCAATTTATTAGGTCAGATGTGATTTTGAAGTGATTGAATTTGTTTCTCAATTGCAGTTCATAGCGGCATCGGATAAACTTTGGTTTATGCTAGAGATGTATAGTTTCGTAGATTACTTCACAATACCACCGTCCTTCGTGTCCATATACTTAGATCGTACATGGATTGGTCTACGTTTCTTGAGAGCTCTGCGACTCATGACTGTTCCGGATATTTTACAATATCTCAACATTCTCAAAACATCCAGCTCGATTCGATTGGCTCAACTCGTATCCATATTCATCTCCGTGTGGTTGACAGCGGCTGGAATTATTCACTTGGTAAATAATATATTTGAATGCTGCTGGATTGCGACCTTTCGCTTACGGATAATGTTGTTTTTTATTTCTCTTCGAATGTAGCTGGAAAATTCGGGTGATCCTCTAGAGTTCAACAATCCTCAGCAGTTGTCCTACTGGACGTGCGTGTATTTCTTAATCGTAACAATGTCAACTGTGGGATATGGCGATGTGTACTGTGAAACAGTTCTTGGGCGAACATTTCTCGTGTTCTTCCTCCTCGTCGGTTTGGTGAGTGCAATGCATTTTTTGTTCTTTACAATTTCTGGCAAAAGAAGTTCACGAAAAAAAAATCACCTTTTCTTATCTATCTCTTGTCTCTCATAATATACAATTTTGTGTTTCTCCAAGCGGAACATAAAACATAGATAATTCTGCCGTTCTCATTATAAAGATTATAATCCATCAAATTGAGAAGTTTATGATGTGAAAATTCTTCAGGTGATCAAATCAGATGAATATTAAAAGTAGGAGCCAAGGAAGAGAAACATTCTTCATTCTTTCTTTTTGTGTTTGCATTTCCAAAGGATTTCTGTTCACTTTCTCGCTTGAGCTGAAATCTCCCCAAAAAGGAGAATAAATCATTGAAGATGCTTGTAATTCTCTGTAAATTTCATCTATATTTTTCCTTTATCCCTCAGAAGAACGCTTTAATTATTTATTTGATATCACCTGATTTCCATTATTATTATTCGTTTATTTTGTTCTCGATTTATGTTGTTACACATTAGATTATTTCATTAATTAATATATATATATATACCCGCAGAAGAAGTCATATCGCAAACTTAAGCCAAGATTCCAGATTAAAGGAAGGAGAACCTGTTAGGAATAAATATGTCTAATGTTAAAAAGAAGTTTACCGACGCGACGTGTGAGTGAATGTGGTGATAAAAAAGAGAGAATCTTTTTAATGATATCGATAAGAACGCAAGAAACTCTTAAACAATTTTTTTCTTACATTCATTCACGTTTTATTTTGCTTTTCGTCACTGTGAAAATGCGTATAGTGAATATTATTTTTAAAACACCCCTCTATCCATTTATTTATTATATTTTTGAGTTCTGTAGCGTAATATATTTTGTTGACAAATGCATGGAAAAGAATTCCCATATTATTTCGATGAAATAGATAAAATTGCACGTTGTAATGCTGGCTGCTGCATATTTAACGATTTACTCATGGCAAAATTTTTCAAGATTGTCATCAAACAATTTACAAGATGAGAAATCGAACAAATATCATTGTATCGATAAATTATACCATTGAATACTCATGCAATTCTGGACTGTATAGGCGAAACAATTTCTTTCTATTGAAAGAAATTCCTCAGGGTTAGCTTAATGCCAATGCTTTGACACATTTTTTATTAGTTGTTTCTTTTCGTTTGTTCTTACTTTGATTTCTGCGGTCTAGCTTTGATCATGTTACAAGATCACCGATTCATTGATTTTCTTCATATGCTTCCATTCACGAGCTGTATATTCATGAATTTTTTCTCAAACTTCTTCGCTCTAAAGGAATTATCTTTTCCGAGATTTTTTTATCACAGAGAAGGGAAAGAAAAACATATGCTTCTTTTTGCGTGGGTGAAGGACATATTGAAAGGGTCTCTTTTTTTCTTTATGACTTTACAATTCAAAATAATCTTCAGGATGATTTACTGTGCTTGTTTTTGTCCTCGCAATTTGTGGAAGTGAATTGGCATTTGGAGAAAAAAGTATACTTCTTTGTACATATGTTCAAAGAAATTTCTAACATGATAATAGCAATTTCTTTATTTTCCATTTAATTGTAATGAAAATAGAGTCATATGTTTTACAATAATGTGTATGTGACTATATGTTTTCTTTCTGTTTTAATGATAAGACGTTGTGATATCAAGTTAGGCAAACATCACAGAAAGCCACATGTCGAGATGATGAAATAATAATCTTACTAAATGAAAACAAATCTATTGCATATGAAATTTTAGGCAATGTTTGCCAGCAGTATCCCGGAGATTATTGAGCTAGTTGGTAGTGGATCGAAATATGGTGGTGAATTGAAAAGAGAGCACGGAAAGAGGTAGAATAAATAACACAAATACTCGTATATTTCTCCACCATCAGTTTATTTTTCCCCCATGATAAACTATATAACATAAAGATTGTATTGATTTGAAATCAAAAATTTTTGTTTAATACATATTTTGGAGTAGTAAAATTGCAACTTTGAGAAATATCAATCGTTATTCTCACAGTGTAATATCACAGTATCTTAATTTTCTATTTTATAATTGCAATCATTGACAATTTTTTTTTCTTTTTCCAATATTTTCATAGGCACATGAAAATATATATATATAAAAGAAAAAGAGCGCACTATATTGTTGAAGTTTTTTTCCGAAGAATTTGTTGGTTTTTTAGATGAAGTATTAGTCTGTTACCCCTTTTTCGAATGTTTTCTATCTCAACATATGATTTTCCTTCTTCAAATTTAATTTTAAAAAAATTTTGCATTTCATTTTTTTTATCTTTCTCTACATTTCTATCAATGCTACTCTACTGTTTGTTGACTTTTGAAGAAAGAAGAAACTGAAATTTGATCTTTATTTTGAACTAGTTGTTTGGAAAGTTTTTTTTTTTATATCAATAAACATTTTTTCTTGGTGTGTAGAAGTTATAACTCACTGTCTACATAGAAGATAAAAGTATGAGATAATTCTAACATTTTTTTCTTGTAAGTTCTACAATACTTTGTAAACGTAGAAATTTCCGACACAATTTTTTACAATTTTCCTTTAGTCTTCTAACATTTATCAACATTTTATTTGCGTTTAATTTTGCTTTTGTAAGAGCAATTTTAATGATAAGGCAAGTCTATTCATAATCACAAATTTACATATATGTTTTATTGAAATTAATTTTTAAGCTATAAAAAAAATTGCAAGAAATACAGGACAACCGAGATTATGAACGATAAAACCATGAACGATGTATGGCGTTGATATAAATAATATGCAAGTCATTGCTTTATTATGTAACAATCGATGATGATATACTGCAACGTAAGAAATATGAAATTATAAATGGATTGAAAAAGGAATATTTGATGACAGAATGATTAGAAGGCCACGCATTTTCTGATATTAAATTGATATGATAATGACAAAAAACGTTCTGAAGTTCCAAATGCAACATAAAATGAAAGAAATTACTCTAGAATTGATGCTGCGGAAGATGTATGAGTGCTGAATAACAGTTGAGAGGGAAAATCAATTGATCCGAAATGAAATTCGCATTTTTTTAATCTCCACTGTCTTTTCATTTTTTTTTTAACTTACACCTTTTCCACTTTCTATCACATTCACCGATTTTATCCATTTGTAGTTATATGTATCTCTTACGTTGTTGTATTTTAACCTAATATCCGCAAAATGATCTTAAGTCTGCCAGAGTGTTTCGACCCTGTGCTAATTATACAAACGAGAAATTAGATTAAAAGTGGTGCAAAAAAAAAACATTGACAGAAAAAGAAATGAAAAAACGAGCATAAACTCCTTAGACGAAGAACTTAACATTACAATTATTTTAGAAATTTCTCAGTCCTATTTGATAGTTTCTTTTATCTAGTTTCATTTCCTTTCTCTAGAATTTTTATATTTCTACTCACGTTTTCCTTTTTTAGTTTTTTCACCCTTTTTATATTAAAAGCAAGAACATATGTAACAGAAAAAGTGGATTTTTTCACAACAAAATTCTAGAACAAAATTGAAATTTTGTGTGAATGAGAAGTGTGTGAATGTGTTTTATTTTTAAGAGATCTAAAAGAGCAATATTATTATGGCATAGAAATCATTCTTTAGCTATTGCCCTATAAGTTAAGCTATTGCGGTGTATAGGCCATAATTAGACTGAAACACAGAGAGAAAAACAAAAACAGCATTACTATAGAGAGAAAAAAAAATCAGAAAAGTTTGTTAGCGCTTTTAAAAACGCGATCTGCTGTGTTTCAATTGTGTAGGCGGTGTTTGCAAGTTGGATTCCAGAAATCACTGAACTGGCGGCCCAGAGGAACAAGTACGGGGGCACATACAACAAGGATATTCGAAGAAGGTACACCACACCTTGATGATGTACCTAATTGAAATCTTTTTTTTCTGTTTTTGACCGAGAACTTTAATTGAAGATCGCTTTTAGAAGATTTCTTATGATAAAAATTATACAGAATTTTAAAAGTATCAACACCACAGAATTAGGCATAAATCTTATCTTACTTCTTTTCACACTTTTTTCCGTTCTCTTTCAAGTAATCAATTCATTTTCTTTATGCATTGTCTTTTCTTTTTTGAAATAAATATGAGGCACACATTCAGATGACACACTAGTTAACATGAGACAAGAAAAAATTTTTCTTCACCGACTCACAATAAAATTGACATTTTTTTTCTTATTACTTAAATATTTCGTAACAGTTTTATCGCACTGAGTAATAAGTTTTCTATTGACATTGATTGAATGCTATAATTATTATTTTTTTTACCGATTTGGTTGAAAATTCTTTGTATAAATTCATGTAACTAATCAAAATTTTGAGCATTTTTCAAATCAGTGAAAAAAAAAACACAGAAATTATTGAGTACAAAAATCAACGATAAGGCATAAGGTTTCTTGGCGGCATGAAGTGTTTTTTGACTTTTGCGTTTGCTCTTCTGTAAATAATCCAATATTTTAGTTTAAAAACTGAATTCATCTATGCTACATTATTATACAAAATGAGCATTAATTTCGTTTTACAGAAGAAATATTTTATCTTCATAGCTCACTTCACATATGTATATGACACGTTTTCCTCAGTTTCGCGTGACAAAATTTTCTGAATTCAGAGAAAAAGAAAAGAAGAATACAGCCAGAAAAAAGTAAAGTTGAGAAAATATATATTTAATTAAAATGAAAAAAAAGGAATTCTTTGATGAGTGAAATTTTCACAACTTTTGTTTTCTAATACTGCTTTCGTAATTTTTGGATATTACATTTAATTTCCAAATACCTACATAGTAGAAAGAGTTTGATTCCAAGTTTTTGAGTGGATTTCCAAGTAATATACAAATTGTCTAATAAGTATACATTTTTTTTACTATTTGAGATCTGAGCTAACTGCACCAATTGATTTGGTTTGGAGTGGTTTGAGTTCTTATGTCCATTTCACATGTTATCTTTGATTTACGTATAGAACTAATCAAAACAAATTGGAAAGTTTTATTTACACATGTTTTTCATCGTGGATTTAAAAATTATATACATAAAAATTTCAACCAAAAACCCTTCATTGTATACAATTCTAACATTTTCTGAGTTCTGAGAGTATTTTCTTTTAATTATATACATATATACTTTTATTTCCCCCTTTTTCTTGATACTTACTACAAATATATAGTAGAATTTGCTTGCACAGCCTGTATGCCGCAGCCACGCATCTTAGAGCAAAATACTTTTCCTTTTTATGAATTATTAAAAAAAATTTTATAAAAAATATAACGTATTCTATGAATTTTTGATAAAGAATATTATACCAATATTTCTCATTTTCCCAAGTCCTATTCCACTTTGATAATCTCTATATTTAATGTTTAATATTCGTGTATTTATTACCTTTAATCATGTATTTTAATGATATAGACAAAAATTGATGTATCCAATAAACATGAAGGCTCAATAGGAGGGATAGTGTGTAATTTGTTATTAGTTTCAAAAAGAAAAAAAAAAAAAAAATTTAATTCTGATTGGCAAAAAGGAGTGATAAATTTGTACGTAATATCGAGTAGTTTATACACATCAGTCCCAAGAAATCAAAGCCTCAATGTGATTTATTCAATTTTTGCATATTTTTACTAGCCATTACAAATCTTAAGTTGAAATCTAAAAATAAAAAAAAAATAGATAATTGAATAAATCATTCGACCTGATTTACTAACACATATTTTCGAAATAGGATTTTTTACAATAGATAATGAGAAGAATTATTGATTATAATTAAGAACGAATGGTTTGTGTGAATTGCAGTGAATGTACTTACTAAATAGTATTTTCTGTTTTATTTTAGGTTTTGTTTTTTATTCTCTTGTCTTTTCTCCCCATTTTTTTGAGTTTATATTGACTTTATCTTCAGTTTTTGGTTTTTTTAGTAAAAATCTTTGCAAGAAAAGAACAAAGAGAAACGATACATAAGAGTATTGATAGAATCTAAAGGAAACTAAGAACAAGGTTAAGAATAATAATATGACGATCAGCCTGAGAAATACAAACATACCTTCTCTCTGCAGGCGAATATTCACGACATTATAATGAATGACCTAATTAATATCTGCATTTATCAATAATAAATCATTACAGTGTGACTATTTAATGACTATAACGGTGTATGCTAAGGTAATTTGATGAGAAATGGTGAATTTTAACCCGATGCCAAACGATTAAGTGTAAGGCCTGTGGAGCAATATTACATGATTAACAGTAAAAGTGAGATATTTTGTCCCTGAATCCCATTTATAAGCATACTTAAGAGATATAACAGGAAGATTTAGCAAATATTTTGTTCTTTTTCTATCTTTCTTTCTTTATTTCTTAAATGTACCGTGTGATTCCTGCACCTTTGCGCAATAATAAACACAAACACGAACACTTCGAACATCCATGAACAGGCGATATTTGCAAGTTGTATTCCGGAGATTATAGACTTGATTGGAACTAGACCAAAATATGGGGGCACATTGAAGAACGAAAAAGGGCGAAGGTGAGAATATAAATTAAATTAAAACGATAAAACCAAAATCAAAAGAAAGACTTCAAATTTTATTAGTGTAAAGGATTTTTGTGTTTATTTTTTGTGAGGTCACAATGAAGTTTGTATTGAACTTGAACATCTTTCTTTGATTTTTATTTATTTTTTGGAAAATGGTTTCATTATTTTTCAAGAAATGGCCAAAAGACACGTATACACTTATTATTCTTATGTTAAGAAGAATTTATAAGACGTTACTTCAGACATCAACCACACACACACACACAAATAATTTTCAAGAAAAATATTCAGATTAATGTAACCTAACAAAATGTAATGTTTTAAGTCGTGTTTTTGGTGTTTCTTTCCTCTTCATTCTTCAACATGAAAGGATGAATATTTAATCTCTCTCTCTCTCTCTATTAATCTTTAATCGGATTTATGTTGTTTGTAACTCGTAATAAATGGATATAATTTTTCTTTCTAGATATTTTCTTTCTATTCAAAAGAAAATTCTCTTGATTTTAAGAGAGTAAATAACCTGGAACCCGTCCTCAATTAACATCTCTCAATTATACTAATATTTAGAACAACTTTAACTGTGAATAACTAATTTTTCCCCGCACGCTTTTTTGTGTTTCTCTCCGTATTATAATTATGACAAACTGATTTTGTAATTTGAGTTTTTCGCTTTTTGTTCTCCTAACCCGTTGTCTTGGTGTAACTTTATGTTTATTTCACACAATCGTGAAACTATAGTGCCTATCCCGGAAGATAGATGTTTGTGTTGCCCTATGTTTAGTTGTCTCTGTTTGTGATAAGAGGAAAGTATCCAATTTTAAACATTTTAGTTAATGTTTTAACTTGAAAAATGTTACAAAGAGATTTATAAACTCTTCAACACAATATAGTTCTAATAGTTAATTTGAAAAATGAAACACAATACATTATACATTATTATCTTTTTATCTTACATAAACCTTACAACTCTTTAAAATAATTTCTAATCATTCGTATACTTTGAATATTTTTAACATATTTTTCTCTACTTTCTTTTTTCTCTCTCTCTCTCTCTCTCTCTCTTACGTATTAGAGATGGTTTAATTGTGCCTACAATATTGTGATAATAAGACATATATAGTGTTGTGATAAAGTTTTTTTTTTAGTTTGAATTGTGTACATATCATATGGAGAGAAAAAAAGACAAAGTATATATTAATCTCTAGGAAGATCTTTTAGAGACTGACTTCATAAAAATTAAAATCTAGAGAGCATACAGTAAAAATCCTTTTATTTTCTACTAAACTATATAGTGATTATTTTTTTTGAAGTGCCTTGAGACAAGAAAAGAAGACAGTGTGACACTTGTGAGCACGTTTCTGTTATCTTGCTGAAATTGATCCGAAAGATATAGTTATAATGATTTTCAGGAGAAAAAAAAATCTTTTCATGCAACTTCTATTTCACTTTTATCCTTATACTGCCGTGTTCTTCTCTCATGTCTTCTATTCTGTGTGATGATTTCATTCCTTCTCTTTATCTTTTAGCCGTTGTACGAGTGTATAAAAATTATGGAATACTATTCCTTTAAAAACAGAAATAAATGTTTAATTAGTTGAATGTATATTGTGTTGTATAAATGTATAAATAAAGAAACAAAAGTATACATAATAATAGCTATACATAAATGTAAAGTCCTGAGATTCAGCAGTGATGCGATAATTTGAACGAAAAAAAATGTTTAAAATTGATCTTGTCTAAATCGATGTATGAGAATATTGTTAGTTTAATTGTAAGTAAAGAGCTAAAGAATAATGAAAAGCTAAAGAAGAGATTTAGATAAGTAGTGTGTGTATTATTTGAATATCTTTATAGCCTATCATTAGGATACTACTTTTTTGACAAAATGCGTGGCCAGGCAATTTTTGTTAAATTTTTCAAATACATTCATATTCTTTATAATATGAAAATTTTTGAATAACAGCAGTGTAGATTCCAAAGCAAACGATATGCGTTAGAATTTAAGATGGATTGCACCTATCACACGACTTGGTGCAAGATTTTTTCTCTAAATTATAATAGATATTGAATTGTTTTCTTCTCTTAGTTGTCATAAATATAAATATATTTTTTTTAGTTTTATAAAGAGAAACTTGCTGTATATACAATAGTGTTCTGAAGCCGCAACATTTTGTTAGTAAGACCCATACCAAATTTTCAAACTTGGTAGTACCTTCAAATAAAAATATATATGTAATTTCTGTTCACAAAAAAACTCTATGCTAAAAATGTACATACTATATTATAGCATAGCAAATTAGATGCATGGCGTAATATGCATTTCTTCAAAGATATTCAAGAGTGTGGTGTGACTTATTTTGTAACCTTTTTTCTCCTGCAAAAATACAAATAACAGATTATTTTCATCCATTTGTATCAACACCTCAACTTTAACGTATTTCTTTATTTTTTTTTCTTTGAGTAGAAACACATAAACGAGGAAACACAGAAATAGAAATAGAAAAACAGTGAACTGCATGTGAATTGATCTGCATAAAAATGCACTCGCAAGGATTTGGTTTGGTTACTTTAGTGAGAATGTTGCACTAATGTTGTATGTACTGTAGCTGTAAACTTACAAGTACTTACTTATGTATAGCAAGAAAAAAGAGCATTAAAGGAAATTTAATGAAAAAAAAAGAATAACACGACACACATTCATTGAGTTAAAAGAGAAAACATTTAATGCATTTTTTGTTCTATCATAAACAAATTGATTTACTTTATGTTATCTATTTTATGTTATTATTTGTTAAAAGAATTATAACTCAGAAGAATACCAACAACATAAAGGTGTCTGGAAAACTTGTTAGTATTCTTCGAAATATTTCAATTAATTAAATATATATTTACATGGGGGTAGCAGACTATGAAAATAATACCAATAAATATTAAGATTTATAAAACCAATTGGAATATCGGTTTCAGACAATATATTATTTCATATCAATTTTGCATGACTACTCCCTTTATCACTTTTATATTGGGAATTAATGTATAACTAATATTTTGAAACACTTTAATTTTTTTACTATCTCAAATTATCCTATTTGATTAAAAATAACACGCTAAAAATTTCACTGTTTGATGTTGAAGAGTGCTTGTGAAGGAATCTCTATTAATACTGTGTTTTTGTATTCCCATTCTTCCTGAATCATCGATGGATTTCTTACCTTTCTTCAACTAAAGGCACATTGTCGTCTGTGGACACATCACATATGAATCAGTGTCGCACTTCTTGAAGGATTTTTTACACGAAGATCGTGAAGATGTTGACGTCGAAGTCGTATTTTTACATCGGTGAGTTGATTGAAGAAATTTTTTTCACCTCCCTAAGTTGAAAAATATATTCAATATTATTATTTTTTCACCCTTGTCTTGTTTTTATGATTTCCAACTGTTCTTTTTTTTATATCTTCTATGATTGAAAACAGACAATAAGTAGATGTTTAACTCAATAAGATATGTGCATTTTCTTATACAATACATAGTGGATAACATTGTAGAATGATAAACATTATATGATATGGTCGACGAGAGTTATGTAACAATAATGAGGAGGAATTACAATGATTTCCATATAGCAAGGAGCCTGATCTGGAGCTCGAGGGACTTTTAAAACGGCACTACACGACTGTGGCGTTTTTTCAGGGAACTATGATGAACGCTGTTGATTTGGAACGAGTTAAGGTACAGCAATCAACATCACACGAAAAATGTCTTTACGCAAATGACAAAAAAATCGAGAGAGAAAAATTCCTCTTTAAAAAATATATATAGAAACAATTTTGAAAACACGACACCAAAAGTCACACTCGTTGGACAGCGTTGAATTTTTTTTACACAGAAAATCTCTATTCAGAGATTAATGGAACTAACTAAGAAATTCGTTTGTAAGACTGTGGTGAAAATTCGTAGGAATTTGCGTAGAAAGGCACTAAGAATTTAGCAATGATTGTGCTTTATCGTGTACATTCCAGTGCCTTCTTCGCAAATATCTCCGAATTTTTCCCTTTAGATACATGATAATTCTATATTTATTCTTATCTCAGTCCTTTTTTGCATGTGGTTCTTCAATATTTATATTTTTCGTTCTTTTGCAAATTTCTGTCGTTCTTTATGATCCTATGTTCTCATCCTCTATATTTTGACAACTTGTTTCTAAAGTAAGTCTATATTTAAATGGAATGCAAAATATTTGTTCTCGTTATTTCTTTTATGTATTTTTTATATTAATAATGTGAATACATTTCATGAAACATGATTGACTTTATTTTGACTTGAGAGTAATTACGAAATGTCAGACGAATTATAAAATTTGAAATCCTGAAAGTCAATCAGATCTTTGTGCAGTGTATTCAGTATATTACAAAATTTTAAATTCATAGATGAATTTTCTACAATTTTAAATTACTTTAGATGGTTTTTGGCTGAGGCGGCTGCAGTTACTGAAATGATAAATCCATATTAAAGAGAAATTGAGAGCAAAAAAGAAAAACTCACAGAGTAACTTATTAAATTTATTTCCATTCTTCCTCATTTCTCAAAGTCATATACTTAAGTAGATGTTTGTAATATGAAATATTCTGTTCTCTACTGCAATCTCTTGCTCCTCCCTTTTATTAATATTTCTCTTTAATTGACTGCACATTTTCTTTCTTTTTATCTCTTTTCCGTCGAAATCGTGTGCTAAATTTGTCGATATTGACCGCCCAAAAAAAAAAACACACTCGCCATGCGAAATGGACCAAAATTGATACCAATTCTGATCATTTGAATACCAAAAAAATGCTATATATCCGGTATCTTGACTGAAAAACCTGAAATACATCGAATTGTTTGCTAAACATTCGAATGCATTGAATGGCAAATCGCATTGTGTACCTTTTGACCAAAAATGCTATACAAAACAATCTGAAAAAATCAAAACACGATCTATTGCTCTGTTCTGAATGGCTATCACGAAAAAAGAAAACCACCCGATTTGGAGTTAGAAGGTCTGTTCAAGCGTCATTTCACGACGGTGGAGTTCTTCCAAGGGACTATTATGAACCCCATCGATCTGCAGAGGGTTAAGGTAAAGAGCCACAATCATGATGATGACGCTACTTTTGTACTTTACATAAATGTTTATTGTGTTAATTTTTTCTTTCATCTTATGTTCACCCTCTCTGTCACTTGAGTATTGAATTTTTTACAAGTTTAGTTTACATTCTTTAATGTCAAGCCGAGCGCAATCATCACGTAATCTTGTGTTATATCCGATTTTCTTGAATTGTCTTTTATTTACAATACAATTATACTTGAAAAAAAACCCAAGATTTTCTAGTTGAATATGAAAGTAAATTTTTTCCCCTCTATATATATAAATGTTTGCTGTGATTGGGTATTTGTCCCTTCTTGGCCTTAGTTTTAGTCAAATTAATTTGAACTGGAGTTTTATCAGAATCCCATTAGAAAGTTGTATTGCTATATTGTGATGAACTATTGTGAAGGAAAACATAAGAGACAAAGAGAAATTTATTTCCTGTGTGCAAAAAGTCACGAAGAAAACAAAGAGAAATAGATTTAAAAATAAAATTGAGCATGTTTGAAATTGTAATTGATATAATTTGTGAATTGAATCAATTGATTCGTGCTATTGAGTTACATTACACATTTCAACCACAAACTTATACTCTTTGATCCTTTTTTGTATTCATTTCTATTGAACCTCTGGTTTTGAGTTAATTTTATCGTGGAAAATACACAAAGAGAGACTAACAAGCATTCAATAAAAGATATCATGTGTGTAACGAATATACCTTTATGTGTGTAATTAATATGGTAAGTGTTTGCTTATTTACAAAATTGCATGCTTACAAATTTATTTTCTTCTATTGATTTTCGTAGAAGCTTCTCGTAAAACGCTCACACGTGCTAAACTGATAGATTTGGTGTTGTGTTGTTTTAATCGATGTTTGTAAAACTGTTTCGACGAGAGTGAAGACATTTTTTTTCTCTAGAGAAATAAACTTGTGTTGAGATTATTTGAGAAGATGAATCACTATGAAATTAAAGTGTATAAAGTACTAAGTCTTTATCCACAAATTCATAGGATTCAACTATTTCCACATCTCAAATGATCTCCAAAATAATAAAGAATAGAAGACACGAGAAAACTTACAGATATAAACATTATCAATTCCACTTCAGAGTATTAGCTTACTATGCAAGTCTAATTGTGTTTTCTCTCCAAACCCAACTCAGGTACACGAAGCTGATGCCTGTTTAGTGTTAGCCAATAAATACTGTCAAGATCCGGATGCAGAAGATGCTGCCAACATTATGCGTGTGATATCGATTAAAAATTACAGTGACGACATTAGAGTAATTATTCAACTGATGCAATATCACAATAAGGTAAAGTTTCCCTTCCTATCCATCATATCATATGATTGATGTGAATCATTATTTATTGTAAGAGGAAAAAAAAAGTGTTATGGCGGATGGTTGAGTCAACAAATCCGTCATAAAAGCCAAATGGGATTGTATAATGCATGATTGTTGTCTGCATATGGGATTTCGTAAGTCAATATGAGCATAATACAGAGGTTTATCCTTGCTAGTCGTTTCATTTTGGGAGGATTTGATGTGATCGAAAATTTTATGATGACCGTATACACTTGACTTATGGAATTTTCTGGGCGTATTTTTGTCTTATGCATAATTTCTTGAGCAAACAGGAAAGCTTTCTACTGTACGTACGATATTTGCATTTGATAATTCGCATCACTGAATGAGATGACAGTTTCTCATTTAGTAATTTTTACACGAAAAGGCTTTCAAGAGTCATTATCCTGAATTTGAGAAAATTACGTGAAGTTGGTTCATAATGAAGTTTCTTCAATATATGTATTCAGAGTAAATGTTGAAAAAGCAACGATGCGTGATATGATTTCATGCGAAGTTGTTTACAAAATCACTCTCTTGTGGGAAGTCTAAATATGAATTTTATTAATTGCCCAAAAGGTCTTGGTTTAAACATTTTCTCTGGAAGTATGTATGGCAATTTTCCTTGTGATGATTTGCCAGAGTAAGCAAATATTTTAGATAAAATCCACGCGCACTGGCTGAATTCAGCACAAGGAAAAGGTGAATAATGTAATATTTGAGCTAGACTGCCCTTGGTATTTTACCACTGTTTTGCAAATAATTATTGAAGTATTTTCCGCTTGATCAGTTGCCAATGCGGAGAGAAGTATAATTTCACTTGGAATTTTCTGCGTCAATAATGGTGTGTTTTTGCAATGTTTGACTCTCAATTGGGCAGAAAGAATTGGTTGAGCGGACAAGGAATTGTTGGCGCCGTGAATTAATGTAATTGCCATTTGATCTAATTTGCTCTCTCACTGACTTTGCCAGGCGTACTTGCTGAATATCCCATCGTGGGACTGGAAGCAGGGAGATGATGTGATTTGTCTGGCGGAATTGAAGTTGGGTTTCATAGCTCAGAGTTGCCTGGCGCCTGGATTTTCCACAATGATGGCCAACCTCTTTGCCATGAGATCCTTCAAAACGGTGAGTTTCCTTTCATCACAATTGTGGCGTTGCGCAGCTTCATCATTTAGAATGATTTAGAGTAAAATACATTATACGTTTTGATTTTGTGGCTAATTTTATATGTGTAATAATTGAAATAATTTCTTTTTTCTCTTAATCAATTTCTCTTTTTCAGAAAGTAAGCTCCCCTTCTCTATCTCTGTTCTCTGTCACTAAAAATTATGTCTTACAGATAAACTTGTGAAAATACTTGAAATTAGACATAGTAAATAGCCAGCCATATATTTTTGGGTTGTATAAAAAGTCATGTTAATGAATCATATATGCATACATTTTATATTTTTTTCAAAATTCACTGTCAAACTCACATTCATGTACACACACACACACTGAAACCTCCTGGAATTCTGATGATTTCGTGTCTTCTCTGCCTCCATTTGTTGTGTTGATTTAGTCACCGGACATGCAAGTCTGGACAAATGATTACTTGCGTGGCACTGGGATGGAAATGTACACGGAAACGTTGAGTCCTTCCTTCATCGGTATGCCATTCGCCCAGGCAACAGAGTAAGTCCCTCACGTGAGTGGCATTCACATGCGAAAAAAAAGAAGCCGCCAAAATCATCACCCAATCAAAGCAAAATGAGCGACTCTAAATGTTCTCAATATCTCTTCGTGATGTGGACAAATTAGTGCAATATTCCACATTTACAATGATAAAAATGTCACAAGAAATGTTTACAACAGTCGTTGAGAAGAGATTTGATGTTGCTTTCGCGTAAAATGTACAACAATTATTCGTTTAAATATTGCTTATTTCTTGCTACATTAGCAATTAAATGGCAATCTTTCAACCGATTCGTTAAAATTTGTATATTTCTGAAAAGAATTTATTTATAACATGAGAGACAGGTTGAGAAAAGATTAATATTTGTTACTCAATAGCTTTCCTCTTATTGCCTCGATGTGGCTGAAAATTGGACAAAAAAAAGCGACGAGGAAAAATATTCTGGTTTATACTTTTGCCGAAGAGTCATAATTTTTCACTATATTTCCACTATGCATACATGAAATGGTCTCTCCAAAATGGAATTTCCTGAGCCTGAAACACTTTTTTGGGCAACACAGAGGGTTGAAAAGGAAAAAGTTTCATGACAATTTGTATTATTATTCATGGTGCATTTGCATTTACACTGAATGAATATGAAATTATGGCGGAATTATTTTAAGTCAGAGTGAGAGAGAGAGAGAGAGTTGAAAATTTGGCATATAGTGCAAAGTAGAGAAACTTTTCATCCAAATTTCCGGTGGGAAAAAGTGAACATTTTGCTGAGAAAACTTTAAATAAATCATGTGCATAAACCAGAATATTTTCCAGTGAAAATCAGAAAAAGATCGATGTTGTGCGTGTTTTCTCATTATTTCCTTCATTTATTCATTTCCGTGTATCTTCCTTCCCTTCTGTTTTATATATATTATATCTTTTGAAATCTACTGTACATTTTCTTCAGCGGCTTTTGTGTAATATTCTCTTCTTTGATATGATATCCATCCACTTTATCTCTTCCTCCGCACCCCCGTGATGACGTAAAACAGGACATTGTGTTGAGAGTGAAGCAGGAAAAGAGGCAGTGAAAACTGAAATTTCATTAGGAATTTACTCTAGTAAACTCACAAAGTGCATTCTAACAAGTTTTATGTGTCTTTCCCACATTTCCCCTCCTGGCTGCCATGGCGAAATTTAATTGAAGAAATTTACAGTGTGACAAAATTGAGTTTGAACATTTCTTCGACGATGAACGACGAAAAGTTTTCAGTTAGAAGTAGAGAGAGAATTGCGACGAGCGTGTGTGTGTTTTGTGTGTCATTTGAGCGGTTTGCTGGCTACCTTTTCCTGCACTCAATCAGAGAGTGGTTAACTTAATGGTGTTAATAGAATTACATGAGCAACAAGCGCCGGCTATTCTAATTCTGAAACCATCTTAAGCACACTCTGAATTTAATCCCTCTCGAGTGAGTGTTCTTCACTGCGTTGAATTGGTTTTGTGTGTGAGTACGTGTGAGTGCACATCCTTTTCCACCCATTGAGCAGGACTTCCTACAGCTTTTTCATCCGACAGCTGATGCTCGCGACCGTCAGACGACCGAGCAGACTGCAACTGATATCGGCGATGATAAAAACTGAATTCAGAACAGAATGCTCTAAAACGATTTTAGATGGTTGGACAGAAAGAAAATGGCTTTTGTCTGTTTCTCTCTTTTGCAGTCACCAGACACACAGGCTTGGCAAAATGACTACCTTCAGGGTACAGGCTGTGAGATGTACACTGAAACCCTATCACCTTCATTTACCGGCATGACTTTCCCACAAGCGAGCGAGTAAGAGCCCATTAAGCAAATCAAACAATTCCTCTTAATTGATTTACAATTTTGATTTTCCTGGTATTAATTCTCGCCCGAGAGTTGCAATTTAAAAGAAATTTGTGAATTTTACTCTTCTATTTTATTATGTTTTCTTTCTGTTTTTGCCGGGATGTTGTTCCCTCACGTTTTCTTTTTGTGACTTCTAGAGTCACTGAGTGGATGCTAAAACTAACACCAAACTTCGTATTGTTTTTTGCCTTTATATGACATGAAAGAGAAGCAAAGTTTTGCGATAGATTTTTTTTGGACCACAGCACAAGAGTGCATTCTTATAGAGAGGAATGTTTATAGGATTCATATTTTTGTTCTCAGGATTTGTCTATAGTAATTCTACATTACAAGTGGTGATTGTGAAATAATTTTTGATTCTAGACCATCTTTATTGACACTCATATGATTTTGTGTGTGAAGAGTTTGTTATGTCTTTTTTGTATATTTTGTGATGACCCTTGAAGATTGTGTCTGACCCCATTTTTGCATTTGTTTCAACTTTCACTTTATATACTTTTCAATCACGCTCTCGCTTATCAGTCTCTCTGTCTCTGTCTATTCTCATTCAATTTCTTCACCGATATTTCGCTAAGTGCATGCGATGAATGAAGCATTAGGAGATCTTTATGACAAAAATATTATCTTTTGCCTGTTTCTAAACACAGCAAGTTTTTTTTTCTTATTCTTTATTATTGAAAATCGAAAAGAGAATTTAGCAGCTGAAATTTCTTTTTCAGTTTATTATTTCACTTTCACTTTCTTGGCTTGATTCGAGAAATGAATCAAGTTTTGCTTGAAAAAAAAACATAGGGTGATGATATTTTGTTACTCAAACTGCTTTAAATGTCTAAAAGAATATATTCGTAATTACTTGACAAATTATTTATTTTTAGAATTGCAATAGGTTTTCACATATTGACAAGAAAATAATTTCTTTCAAATACTTTGTTAATGTTTATTGACAGAAAAAAATGTCAAAAACATCAGTTTTTTTCTCAAATTAAAAATAAAATGTTGTAGATTCAAAATATTTCAGTCATCGTGTGACTGGTAAGGTCTTAATAATAACAGAAAATTGTATTTCCCCGTGTAGATTGTGCTTCACAAAATTGAAGTTGTTACTGTTGGCGATAGAAATTAAGGGGAGCGAAGATGGAGCAGATAGTAAAATATCAATTAATCCGAGAGGCGCGAAAATTCAAGCGAATACCCAAGGATTTTTCATTGCTCAAAGTGCCGATGAAGTCAAGAGGTAAGAAAATGTATAATTAGTATATTTCTTCTGTACTGGAATTCATTCAATTTGCAAAGTGTTTACAGTACGAAAGTCTGAGTTTGTGTCAATCATGTGGCATTGTACTATTATTGTGCTGAATGAAATTGCAAATGGGCGTGGATGAAAATGTTATGGGGAGGGAAAACAATTTCCTGGTATTTTCTCCTGACCCAACTTGAGATATTGCCTCACCCGCGCGCATTTATTGGTACTAATAAAAGATTTATTGATTATCACTTTAGGGCTTGGTTCTACTGCAAAGCATGTCATGACGATATTAAGGATGAAACACTCATCAAGAAGTGCAAATGCAAAAATTGTGAGTATCTGAATCTCTTTCCTTCTTTTCTATACATATTAAAAATTTGACTTCCGCCACATAAGGAGTAGAAGTAAACAGATAACATGAAGGATTAATTAGATGAGAAATGATTATGAAGATGATTTAGTGTTTAAAAGAGAATAAGGAGAAAGATATTTTAAAAAAAAGAAAGAATTGACTGCGTTTTTTTCCAAGGAAAAGGTGTAGTTTTAGTACTAATATTAAGTAATTCAGCGATTTTTCACATGAAAATTAATGCTTTTAACTTCTTTCTATCTTATAGAATTTACATTTTGTATTATATTTATATATATGTATTGTTCCTCAAGTGACTATATTAATGATAAATCTAATCACTTATATTTTCTGGGGTCACCTTGTCTACTACAAATTATCCAAAACTCTCTTCCCCAAAATATCACATATAGTGACTGCTCAGCCAAGGACCAAATTTGGTGACCTAGGTAAAAATCAAAACATAGATCAAGCAAAATCCTAGAATTTCAATCCAATTTTTAACTGTGATTTTATTATTATTTTTTTTTGTTGATAAACTAAAAACATAGAGATTCCAAAAAAAAATTCAAACCCTTGAGTCCTCTGTGGACTTTCAATTTGATTCTCCATTCAATTGAATTTGAAAATAATAAAAAAAAAAATGATTTTTAATATTTTTTTGGACTATTATTTTGTGGTGTGTGTTTTAAGTTTTTGTTGTCTATACTTTTTCTTAATCTCTTTTGATTTACACTTTTTTTCACACTCAAAGAGTTTGCATCACGTTTTAATATCCGTTTTCTCTTTGAACCCCTTTTCACCCTTTTTCTAGCCTTTAAAGTTTAATACCAACTCTTTTCTCAATAAATATCTTACAGACTTTGAAGAAACTTGTAGATTTCTTACATTTTAGTTCTTTCAAATTTCCCCTAGTATTTTCTTCTTTTCTTTTGACCTAACGAAGATATTTTTTTTCTCTTATCTTTCATTATAAATGTACAGAAATTGCCAATTGTTTTTATTGTACAAATCATTATTTTTTCTTCAATTTCTTTTCAATATATTCTATCGCCTGATTGCGAAATTTGAGCCGATTTTTCTCAGTGATTGTTATGTGGTATATTTATATACAAAAACATATTTTCCTTGTTTTAAGATGAGTCGTTTTTTTGAGTACAAGACAAGTCAAAGATATTTTATCTCATGGCTATGCATTGCAAATATCATTTTATTTGAAAGAATATTGTATCGAGTATCTTCTTTCAATATTTTTTTCAACATTTCGTTGTACACTATGAGGTACTGATTATAATTTTATGAATTCTTTTTACAATTTTAGAAAATATCTTGATGAGCTTTCAATATCATTCACATCTTCATGAATTTGTGAAGCACCAGTTGTGTTTTGACTTTTTATTTCCAAAAATTTGTATTCAAGTTTTTATTTTGAAGTTCATTTTTCTTACAATCGACCGTTTTTTAAAAGCATGTTCTCTGTTTTTATCAATCTTATCCAATTGATAAATTTCCTATGAAGTTCTTTGAAATGGATTTTATCGCGATTTTTAGAATTTTGCCAAATCAAATAAACAATAAAAAATTCAACAATATGAGTATATTTTAAAAACTTAAACACACTACACATTTTTTACACAATTCTATATTTTCTTATTCATTTATATAAAAAAAAATTGTCCATTTATGAAATGATGTACAAGGAAAATTGACTTTACTATCGTACCTCTCGTAGATTTTTGTATTTCAGACCAGCCATTTGACGGCGTCTCATGACCTTTTCTTCTTGGTGATATCGTACATACATAACTTCTTTCAATATTTCTATTAGTGTGTAAAGTTAGGATAGGGCAAGAAAATAATGAGAAGGCTCTGCAGATATGATCCCACCAAACTCGTGTACACTTGAGTGTAAGGCTTCGTGACATTTTTGGATGTTTTTCTTTTGGTCGCTAACTCATCATCGTGAGATGAAGAAAATATAATGGGACATCGAAGTGCAATTGCATCACATAATGATTTTTCTTAATATTGAAATTAACAACAAAATGCCAATTTGTTCAACTATTTTGTAAGAAATGAGAGAGAAAGAGATGTTTTTGCAAGAGTAAAATTTCTTGGCTAATAACAAAAGTCTAAAAAAAAATCTGCCGAATTTCTCATTCTTTCTCTTATATTTCTCATGTAAATCCTCCAACTGTTGTGGTGGATATTCTTCATCCTGGATATTAAATGACAAAAATTTGGGCCTTTCACAGATGTCGGCATGATTATGATGCAAACAGGAATGGTCAAACAAGGCATAAATTCCGCCTGTCACACTTTCATCGACGGTACGAATTATGCAATGACAAAAAATTAATCACATTTTCAGTAAAATTTGGCAAAGAATTTATAAAATAAAAATGCCAAGAATAAGAAATATGCTAATTTTTGACGTTTTACTAGCTAATACCAAACATTTTGAATAAGACTTTTTCTTTGATTAATGCCAGAAATATCACTAAAAAAAAATGTGCTACTCTAAAAAATTTTTCGTTTACTGTTGCCACTCTTTGTTGTATTTTTGTTGAGTTTATTTTCTTTTTCATTATTACTCAGTAAATTTGAAATCCTCCCTTGAATTTCCTTGAAATCATTTTAGAGCTGGGATCTATAAGATATTTCTCATCATGTCATGACTTCTTTGAATCAAAAGATTTGGGTTAATTGAAAAATCTTTTCCACTACATATTCTTTGTGAGATGCTAAAGAAAATTTGTCATTATTCCATTCTCATATTTCTTATTCAACGGAAGAAGATTAGCGTTGAAAAAATAGTTTTTTGAGCTTTATATATATGCTCTTTTTCATTGTTTACCTTCTCAATGGTTTTGTGAAGTTCAATGTTTTTTAACATGCAGCATTTCTTTTGGTTTTAATTCAGGGCTGATAAATGATATTAAATTATCAGAAACAGAATGTAAAGAGAAATCACTTTGAATTTCCGCACATTAAATTGCATAGAAGCCCTGTTTTAAATGAATGTACTACTGTTGATAATTGAATATTCTGTTGATTCTTTCTTGTTCTGGATAAAATGTTTAAATCTCATCATAGTTTGACGGTTTTTTCTACTAATTTCTCTTCACTAGTTTTTTAAAACAACATCACACAAGAACATTGCAATTAAAAGCTCAAAGTAATGTGTATTTATTTATGGCTAAAGCGAAAATTGTTCAACAACGCTTCGTCAGTGTTATATTTTTACACGAAAAGAAAAGAAAAAAAAGATTTATTTGATGAGCAAACGTCAGAGTGTTCTCCAAATTCGAAACAAGAAATCTCAATGAGCCTACATTTTTGTAGATTTTATTTTTATAAAATTAGAAAATAATATATGATTAAAAGTGTTCCACGCTGCTTTTTGGCGCGTTTCGCTTTTTGAACCACAACGCTGTGTGTTCTAGAAGAGCTTTTGAAGCGCTATTTTTGACGGATTAATATTTATTATTTTTGATAGCAGTTGATGAAAAATACTTCTCTGCACAGTAGAAGTTATAAATGTATTTTTGCGCAGTTTATATTACACTCACGAAAAGTTCTTTTTGCTGCGATACAACAATTTCGTAAAAGTTTCTCAGGACGACATTTAGAGTTTTTTTGGTTCTAGCAAATCATCAAAAAAAATTGTATTTTTTACAAAGAGAATAATTTTTCATCATTTTACTGGTTACTAATTGTCTTTAACTCCAAGCTTGGCTGTGTTTCATCGGGGACGCAATAGGTTTATCTACTTCAATGATCTTTGGCGATTGTCTTTCTTCGAGTGCATAGGCGAAAATGGCTAAATGTAACTTCTTCCACAGCTTCTGCAGCATTTATGAGTCTGGATGTGAACTTCCTATGATATCAAAATTGTCTTGTTTAGATAGAAATGATAAGAAGTGGTGGATATTTAGGTGCTTATCATGCATATATTCATGCCAAAACCTATTTCTTCTCTTTCTCATTCATACACTTTCACACGTGAATTGGGGGTGATGATACGATAAACTCGTCCTTGGCCACAAATATCACATCGTCAAAATAACTTTTTAACTAAACCATACTAACAATATTTGCGCGACCAGTGGCGACATTCAGGAAGGGGGTTCGAGCAGTTCAGATGGTTGGGCGTGCAAGTACGTATTTTTGTCTAGAGAGTCACCAACTTTCCTTTAAATAAGAAAAAAAAAACATCTTAGATGAGAAACTGAAGTTTAACATAAAGAGAATTCTTTAAAGAAATGTTAAGCACAGACATGATGTAGAGATTTTTGAGTGTTTCTGTGAAGAAAATGTGTGTGAATGAGATGATATTGTAAACATTCATTGAGAGTCATTTTTATTTAACTAGATTTTTATCAGAACTCTTTATCTACTTTCAATTGTTTTAAAACTATAATCCATTAATTTGATGTTCTTTTCTGACTGAAGGAAATAAGTGAAAATTTCTTAGAATGCTTTCATCGTCTTAGATAGGAAATGAGTTTGAGAATCAGAGAAAAGATACTTGTGTGGTCTATTTTTTATTTATTTATTTATTTTGATCTCTCAACTTTTATATGAATTTTTCTTTGAAATTCTTCTAAAAATGTAATTACATATATCATCGTTGTGTGTCTTTTTTTTCTCTAAAGATTATGATTTTAGTTTTTCATTGATGTAAGAATGATGTACAAAAAAGACAATCTAAGTGGAAGAAGAATTTATGGATTGTGAAAAAAAAGAAACTTTTGAGAACATTAATATTCTAAGGAATTTGCAGAGAAGTGAATTAATTGATGTGGTTTCTTGTCATTTTCATGTTTGTAATCTATAACGTTATTTACAGATATCAGTTTACAACAATTGATTAAGTGATGATCAACAAGTGTGATCTTGACACGTGAAAAAGCTGTCCTTAATCAGTTGTTTTGAGAAATGTTTTTTACTAGTCTTTTATTTGATTCACACACAAAAACACTCATTAGGGATGTTCGCAAGAAAATCAACACAATTTCAATGAGAAATTTTCTTTATTAATACATATGGGTTTTATTTTCAACACGGATTATTTATTGACTGGAATTAGCTGATGACTTCCAATTTCCAAGTAAGTCTGGGTTTGGATAGCAGAAGTTCCACCATCACCACAAAAGCTGTTCACGAAGTAACTAAACAGAATGTGTTTGTTTTAGTTTTTTTGTCAAAGCCTCTAAATAATGAGTAAAAGCAAAAGATTGCTAATTTGCCACCACAGAAATAAATGAAGGAAATTCCAGTTGCAATTCAATGTCAACTTGTGCCAGTGAAGAGAAAGACATAATTTGTACAAAATGAAATTTATTTTATTGGTGGATATTAATTGTCTCTGTTCACTTAACTGTCTCTGTCTTCTTGAATTCATCTGTACAGCAAAATCGATTTCCAGATTGATCATAAAGTGATTCAATGGAAATGTCTTATTATATCGAAACATTTATTATTTTCTGCATATTTTTTCGTCAAATGTATACATTCTCAATTGACCACTCGCCATTTTGTATTAACTGTTGACTCGATATATTTTATCTGTACTGTTTTCCCCATATAGAACATTTTTACACTCACAGCAAGACACTCCTCGAAACAACACCAGCAAAATTGACCATTTGTGTTTTGTCTAATGTTTTATACGAGCTACAGAAGCAATATTATTATGAAAAAAACACACAATTTCACGAAAAAAAAAAAAAAACTCTAGGGATTAATTGTAACACACTGAGCTACACACAGTAATGCATATTAACGGAAAATAATCAATAGAATTGCTAATTGCAAAAACGCCACAGCAATGCTACATTTGCATATCGCTTTCCTGTGAATGGCTTCAATAGAATTATGAATATCTGACAAAGAAAGAATATATATGCTTCTTCTACTTTAGACTAAACGTAAAGTTGAGATTTTTGGCAATTGATTGCACCTTGCACGCCTGATCCTGTCATAGATAAAATTCGTTAGAGAACGTATATAATTACTTATTTCGCTCACATTTTCTTTTCTAATTATATTTTCGTTAAAACAAAATATCTCCTCTTCTCAACTGTCGAATTTGAACACCGTTTAAAGCGTTAAACAGCAAAATATGAAACAAATCTAGCTTTTGGCAAATTTATTCTTATTTCATTTTGAAGTCCCCTCTCTTTTATTCTTTACCTACTTAAATTTTTTTCCGTTGATTATATATTTGTCAAAATTATTTAAATATCTCAAAATTGTTTTTTTTTTGTTTTTATTTCAATAATAAGCACAGTGACTTATGCAGGAAGTTGCTTAAAAAGAATCTTTTTTTTTCAAAAATTGTCCCAAAACATTTATTTCTTTTCACTGCAAAAAAAAATCAAATCATATCAAGCAACTTCCGAAGTGATTAAGTCACTTATGAGATCACAAATTATAAAGCAAAAAAAAATTCCAAGTATTTGTTTAAATTCAATGGAACCTTAAAGTTGTTTTCTTTTCGTTTAATTTTATCACGAGATCAATGTTAAGATATAAATTTTTGTTTTAAAAGAACAAATAGTTGATTTTTGTTTGTTATTCTTAGAGCAAATGTTTGAAACAGTAAAAGAAAATACGATGTGGAATCAGGAGACTGTTGTACAATTTTGCAGATGATCATCATCCCGCCCCGACGTTCACCCCACCGGAACTTCCGAAGCGGGTGCACGTTCGTGGATTGACATCGGGTAAAAGTCACTTTATTACAAAAGTGTCTCTTTCATTTGTCTAATTGTTCGTTCCTTATTTTTCTATCATTTTATATTCCACACGTTAAGAATAATTGTTTTTCTTTTTTGCCACGTGTTTTTTCGTTATCTGTAAGATTCCATAATGTAGGAAGAATGCGGAATTGCGGATTCAGAGTAGTCTTAAAGTACTCAGAAATAATTCCACATCAATTTACTTCTTCCTGTATTATGGAGTGAACCATCAAAGAAATGTTTGCCAATTCAATTCTTTTGATTTGCAACATACAATTTACCTTTTGAATATATGATTCTGATTTCAAAAAAAAAAAAAAAAAAATCTACGCTTTGTTTCCTTTTGATTTCAATTTTATATGATCTCTTTAATAAGTAAAAGATAATAAAGAGAAAATTAAAAGTTCAACTGAAAAAAAATTACCGGATGTATAAAAGACAGAAAGTTGAGAAAAATTCTTATGATTTCTGTAATTTCTTCCTCATCACGCATCCTCCATCCATTCCATTATATTCTCTATCATTTGTCCGTCTATGATTTCATTTTGGATCATCGAAAGCGATGCAAAATGAAATTGTAAATCACAAGGAGAATTTCATCTTTTCATTTTGTGTAATTTTGTCTGTAATTTGAGAGATTTCTTTATATGAACAAAAGAATTTTTGGAAAATACTAACAAATTTTGTGAACTATAAAAATATATAATGAACAGTATAATTGAGTGTAATAATGAGACTGCATGAATTTGTGTCTTCAATATCGAGAAGAATCTTATAATCTCTTTGTTTCTTTCTACTTAAAGAGACTGCTTTTTGGTGTCTTCTCTATTATTATAACCGATTTTTTGTTTCAAAGTGACTCAGTGAATATGTTGTATAGATCAGTAAAAAAAAAAAGAAATATGAGCCTATTCTCTGAACATTATGTTGTGTTCCGTACTTCTGTCGATATTATTGTTTATTTCTGTTTTATTTTCGTTTGGAATTCACATTATTTAACCCTTTGCAAGAAGATGATTGAAAGAAAAGCAAAGCAAAAAAAAATAAATTCAAAGACAATTTATTTTCTGTAGAATCTACTGCAATTGTTTTTAACTATAAATGGATGTTTCTTCATGACTTTCTTACAGGCGAGATCACAAGGGACCGAGAGGATATTAATTGTGAGTAATTTTACTTACTTCTCTGTAAGTAAATACTTGCAATCAAATGACAAAGAGATGATGAAATGATATTGAGAAAAATGAGAAGACGTACAATTGTTTGAAAATGAGCGGTCGTTTCATTTTCACTCAGTTTTTTCTTTAGATTTCAATAGAATTTCCACGATCGAAGTTTCCCTTCATGATCTGACCGTCCAACACGTATTCTGTCTCTTTAGTTTCCTCTACACTCTCTGTTTACATTTTCCTCAGCAAACATAATTTCCATTGATTTGGTTGGATTTTTTCTGTTGGAAAACTGTCCTCTTTATCTGTCTATCCTTCTCTGTAATGATCGTGCATTCTTGGCATAATTGTCGTGTTGCCTTTTTATTATTTGCCGTAATTGAAGTATTTTATTGAATTTTTGAAGTAAAATTCACTGTATTTAATATTTTTTCTTTTGGCCAAAGAAGTATTTTAAGTTGAAGTATTTTTTGTAACTAATTTGGTGGTATGATGAAAAATTTATCTATTGCAAATTTACACCACCATTGAATTTAAATGTATAATCATGATGCCATTTGGACAGCAAAAACGACATGAACAGAATTGTTGCAATACGTGTTGGGTGTTTTCTCTGTGCAGCATCAGAAAAAAGAAAGCCGCCAAGAAATTGAGGTGTACAAAGTCGATGTTTTGATTGGAAGTGTTTTATTTTTCTATCCTAATTTTTATGCCCAGTGATAAAAGAACTGTCTTTTCTTTATGTTTCAATAATTGTGTTCTGTCTCAATCATCGAGTATTATCATGTCTGCAAAAACTCTATCACAACAATTTTCTAATTATATTTCTAATATTTTATTTCTCTCTTCACTTTGCGCTGTGTCAACTTTTGCAGTAATAAATCGCAATCGACGTAATGCGCAATTATCTCAAGCCCCGGGTGGCCCTCAAAGTGGTGCTCTAGTGAATTCCACGAAACAAGTTAACAAGGTGAAACCGAATGTGAATCGCCAACCACCGGAAAATGCAGTTTCCCCATCGAATTACAATGCCACAACACGGTGAGTGACTTTGTCATGTCATCCTGCCAATGAAGATAACATCAAAATCATAAAACATTTCACATCTATGACCATTTCATGCTTTAATATCTGTGATATAAATGGAGATTTAAATAAAAAAATATATATATCTATTGACTTAAAAGAGAGTTAACTGAATAAAAGATTCGGATAGTAATTCAGAGAGAATATATAACAGAAATACTTTAGTAATTTGAATATGGAGATATCTAACAAAATTAATATGTGATTTGTGAATTGATGAAACTTTCAGACCTGCGGAAACTGATGCTAATCCATACGCGGGCTATCAACTTGCTTACGAAGTGAAAAAACTCATGTATGCGCTCTTCTAACATCTTTTTTCATTTTTATAATCTTAGCGTTTTTTCTCCCTCTATTTACTCAGTGTTACTCTTCACAATTACACTCTTTTAGTTTTATCTATTTGCAATGATATATACACATTTCCTCGTGCACTTTTTCGCTTTCTTTTCACTCCTTTTTGGCTGTGCCTTTTGAATATTTAGCCTTGCTATGTGTTGTGTAGAGATGCAATGCAACAAAAAGACGTAAAAAAAATACAGACACTCTTGAGTATTCTTGATGGAATGAAAGTACACAGCAATTAACTTTTTTCACAGTAGTTTAGAAGGAAAAAAAAACATCACAGAGACGACAATCAGAGTTGATTATTGTTTAAAGTGATGAAAACATCATGAGAACACAAACACAATTTTTCTGCTTGACTTCTTTTCATATGAAAAACTTACATATCTGAGACAAAATGCACTGAAAAGAAGTGCAGAGAGAAGTGAAAAAAGAGGGATAAGTTTTTCATATTTAAAGAATACTCACAAATACATTTACAACAAGCATTTGGAATGATTTTCTCACATCTTTTCTAGTGTTTTAGTGAAAAAAAAATTCATTGAATTTGTGGGTCTGTAAAGCCATGAGTAATCTCCATTGTCTTCATTTTTCACCACCATTGCGTCGGCACAGGCCCACGAGCCGCGGGAGTGGAAGTGGAGCTCAGGCGGGGACGAATGGTGTTTCCATGCCAGCGGGAATCGCAGATGATCAGTCGAAGGACTTTGATTTTGAGAAGACAGAAATGAAGTACGATTCAACGGGAATGTTCCATTGGAGTCCTGCCCGAAATTTAGAAGACTGCATCTTGGTGAGTGTGCGGAGAAATGTGTGGTGTTGTGCAGATTTATCTGATTTTCTTTTCATCCTTTTTCTTAGGATCGAAATCAAGCGGCAATGACGGTTCTCAATGGACATGTCGTTGTGTGTCTGTTTGCCGATCCGGATTCACCATTGATTGGCTTGAGAAATCTGGTGATGCCACTGCGAGCGTCCAATTTTCACTATCACGAGTTGAAGCATGTGGTCATCGTGGGATCTGTGGAGTACATCCGGAGGGAGTGGAAGATGCTGCAAAATTTACCCAAGATTTCCGTTCTCAATGTGAGTCACACAAAATTGAAGAATCTCTGAAAGTTCTCCTCATTAATCCGATTCTCTTGTCTTTCACCATCAAATTAGGGGTCGCCACTGAGTCGAGCTGATCTGCGAGCGGTGAATGTTAACTTATGTGATATGTGCTGCATCTTGTCGGCCAAAGTTCCTAGTAACGACGATCCAACACTCGCCGACAAGGAAGCCATTCTGGCATCTCTCAATATCAAAGCCATGACTTTTGACGACACAATTGGCGTTCTAAGTCAACGAGGCTCTGAACTGGATAATCTCAACACGGCAGGAAGTCCAATTGTTTTACAACGACGTGGTTCAGTTTACGGAGCCAATGTGCCAATGATTACTGGTAAATATAATTATTGAAATTCAGAAGAGATCAACACGAATAAACTGCGGTTTTCTTTCAGAATTGGTCAACGACAGCAATGTACAATTTTTGGACCAGGACGACGATGATGATCCCGACACGGAATTGTATTTAACACAGCCATTTGCTTGCGGAACAGCGTTTGCTGTTAGTGTACTAGATTCCCTTATGTCTACAGTGAGTTTCTGTTTTCTCTTGAGAAAGTTTTTTGATCATGTTTTTATTTACCGATTGATTTTCTCGCTTTGTAGACATATTTCAACCAAAACGCCTTAACGTTAATACGATCGCTGATCACTGGTGGAGCGACACCAGAACTGGAGCTGATCCTTGCGGAAGGAGCGGGTCTACGTGGAGGCTACAGCACGCCTGACAGCCTCAGCAATAGAGATAGGTATAGAATTGTGATATTACTCCACTTTTAGGGGATGTTTATTGACTCTTCTATCTTGCTTGATGTGTTGATTAGATGCCGCGTGGGACAAATATCGCTGTACGATGGACCACTGGCGCAATTTGGCGAATGTGGAAAGTACGGTGATCTGTTTGTGGCTGCCTTAAAGTCATATGGAATGCTGTGCATCGGCTTGTACAGATTCCGTGACACGAGTTCCAGTTGTGATGCCAGCAGTAAGCGATACGTGATTACAAATCCACCAGATGATTTTTCACTACTGCCAACAGATCAGGTATTGTGTCATTAAGAATTATGTGAAATGTGAAAATGATTGATTTCTTTCTCATCTTTCGCGCAGGTCTTCGTTTTGATGCAGTTCGATCCGGGATTGGAGTACAAGCCGGCGTCATCGCGGACAACCACCGGCGGCAGGAATGCGACTACACAGGGGTCCGGAGTCGGTGGGGGTGGCACCAACAAAGATGATAACTCTTGACTGTTGTTGTGTAGCGCCCTGACTGATGGTCCCTACTCTTATATATGAACAACATTGATATTCGATGGTGCTTTCGCTCACTTTCCGCTCAATGCGATTATCAACTTCTATTGCTCATTCACGTGAGGAGGAGGACAAGGAGGGGTTTTGGGCTCAATCTGTGGACGTGTGAAGAGGAGAAAAGTCAGGCAGGAGAATCGATGGAATGAACAATATAAATTAATGAGAGCACTGAGCTTAAATTGGGCGAAATTTGATTTGGTTCTATTCTCTTTCTCTCTCTCTCTCTGATTTTGGGATGTTAGGATTTCTGATTGTGTGAAGAGAAGAGGAGAAAGAAGGATGTTTGAGAGTGAAGAGAATAGAATCAATTCAACAGAACAGTTGACATGATGAAGATCAAGATAAGACCGAGAGGATGATCGTTGTTCATTGTATAAAATTGCTTCCCACACCATTCCGTATAAAAAAAAAAACAAGAATTTCGATGAAATACTTTCATTTTCTTTATTTTTATTTAGATCAAATGTTTAGAAGGTTTAATTGATTTTATATAATAGTCGAAAATTATCATTGAAATATGTTATGTTATATGAGTTTAGTGAAGGACACGTTTTGGTTTTGGTGTAGATAGTTTTTGTAAAAGAACTTCTTTCTTGTTTGTTTCCAGCAATTTTGTTTTGTTTCCTGTATTTCTGATCAATGGTTTAATAAATATATTTTATTGGGAATATTTCTTTTATTACAGTTTCTCTTCATTATGTCTCTCAATATAGTTTGATTAACACTAATAACTTTATTAATTTACTAACACTGAAAGCAATAGCAAGCTGGCAATGGTGTGAGCAAAGGGAACCAAAATTTGGGTGTCGCTACACTCTTCAGCAAAAGCACACTAACAGAAAGAATGATAAAAAAAACCGCCTAGATTAAGATAATGGGGGATGACTTTGGGTGTGAACGCTAAGATTACTAATTAACATACGCATATTCATAACACTAAAAAAAATATTTACTAAGAGAAAAGATAACATTAACTTAGCTAAATGAGATCGTTTTGAGTGACGAGACAGAATTATTAAAAATGATTTTGTTACGTGTCATCGGATTGTTTTATATGAATAACTATATTAAGAAATAAATAATTTATTGAGGAATTTTTTGGTTATATCTTTCAGGCTATCAAAAAAAAAAGATGTGCATATAATGTTATGGAGTATAAAGTTTATACAATTATCAAAATAAGAAAATTCTAGAGAAATAATATGATAATTGATATTGAAAGAAAAAGCTTGTTTTTCCGTTATAAATTGGAATCTAATACCAAATCAATCATTAATAAGTTACCTCAGAGGATAATCATGAGATGAATATTTAAATCTGCCTGTGATATCATAGAAGTGATTAGTTTTTGTTACAAATTCAATAAAACATCGTTTTTATTACAAATTTTCCTGAGTGAATATTTCCAAAAATTTCCTCAATTTTTCAATTCAATGTGAAATTCTATCAAAGAAAAAAAAAACGTAATGTTTGTTGGTTATTAATGTTTTCAGGGTGTTTAGGCAAAGCAAAGGAGCAAATTCTCACTTGATTTTTGTGTTTCCTGTTTCACTTAGTGTAGAAAGAATTAGCTTAAAACAGCCTAAATGTCACGAGAAGAATTTTTCGCGTTGAATTTACTACGAAAAAGTCTAAAAGACAAGAGGCAGATGAAATCATTAAATTTTAGCTATAACTTGTGATCCTTGTGATACATGTTTCTGATTTGTTCAGTGTCTGGTTTTTAAAGCAACACATTTTTCATCACCTTTGAGATAAAGAAAAAAAATGCAATTAGGCTAAGACAAGTGAAAATATAAAAAAAAAATGCCGCAAAATGTTAGTTGCTAAAATGTGTGAATGCGATTAGACATTAAAGATGATATAAGATTACATAAAATTGAATCTGAGAAATTTCGATATTCGAGCTTTTTCGCTAGGACAACAAAATGATATTTGTAAAGTTAAGTGTAATAGTAAATTTAATATTGAAGTGAAAATGGAATGGAGATGTTTTCATTTATCAACAAGTTCAGACAAATGGATAAAAGATGGTGAAAAAGAAAACTGAATTTTTAGTGCGTGTGTTTGTAATTTTTACCAAGTAATTTAACAGAGAAAAAGCATAACAAAGAGAGAAGATAAAAAACGTGAAACACTCAATCATTTATCAAATTAAATTCCTACATTTGGAGATTCGTGGAGATAAAAGTGGATGAAAACTTAGGAAGTTGAATGAAAGAAATGCGTTAGTTTATGAATTTCTAAAGAAAAAAAGGAAGATAAAAAAAGAATAATAAAAATTGAGAAACATAACAAGAGTAATTGAAAACCCTGCCACATGCTAATAAATAATATTTACGTGAATTATAAAATTAAAAAAAAGAAAGAAACATTCATACTAAATAAAGAGAAAGAAGGATAAAAATATTTAAAAAGATTTAATACTTACCTTGATATTAAAGAGTAAAAGTGAAATTACGAAGGAAAAACTGTAAATAATTGTTACAAATTATTAACTGTTTCTTATTAAAAGACATTTTCCATTTGAATTTTTATTATCATTTCTTTATTGATACATTGATGAAATCACAATTTTTTATAAATATCATTCAAACCATTAGAGCTGTAGTTGGGCAACATTGTGAAACAAAACAAAATATTTCACCCTTAAATAGGATTTTACAAAGAAAAAAAAAAGAATCACTACAAAATCTAAGTGTTGTGTGTTATTTCTGTTTTGCAAATTTGTGGCCTAAATGACAATTCTTATTTCCACTGAATTTCGCCATGAAAGAAATGATTTTTCAAATATTCATTTTTATCGTCCACAATCAAGATATAATAATAAATCGACTCACTAAACACTCTTCCATTTTTGATCTCTTCATTATATTTTCTATACAAAGACAAACTCTCTAAAGAAAGTGAAAAAAAAGAAATCGCACATTAAACGTAAGGCATCAAATAAAAAAGAGAAAACTTCAAAAAAAAAAACATCAATAAGTCATTGAGAAGAAATCAATATTTGCACTATTGTTTGCTCATTTTTGTAAGAAAAAAAACACAAGTGTCATGAAAAATGCTGAAAAAACTACATTAAAAAAAATCATAATGAAAGAAGAAACATGTTGTTAATGTTAAAATAATTGTTAATTAATAAAAGATATTTTTTTTGGAGCTAAATCACAGATTTTTCACTCCTCTGTCATGACTACCTATTTCTCCTTCTTTTTTGTACTCTTTCTTCGTGAAATTTACATTTATTCAGACATTTTTACAACGTATAATTATTTCTACAGTGTTTTTTTTCTTCATTCGCATCGTAAGTATGTTTCAAATAAGCACAAGTTACACATTCCCTCAACTCGAATCTGGTAAGTTAATATGTAGTGTCCCCAAAGAGCTCCACTACACATTGAAAGGATTGATAAAATTCTACATTCAAGAACTATTGCAATTATGCAAAAGAATTATAATTATATAATCTCAAATATTATGATCGTTTCCAGGATCTTTTCAACATTCCCAAAAACTAAATTGAAACCAATTGCCGCCTTGGGCATTTCTCAGAAAATTCTTTCTAAGGCACAAAAAAGGCAATTAAATGTGAAATTTCTGACCCAAAAATTCTTCATAGAGACATTAATGGGGTGAAAAGAAAACATACTTGATTGTGCAGCGCTTTCCTCCTTCTGCCGATATTACTTCCAGATGTTGGCAGCGTTGTCCTTGCTCCGGGAGGCACTCTGAACTGGCTGCGCGGAGAAGATGTGCGCAATCTGGCGTCGATTGACCGCAGAGATCGATCGGGCGGCGAAATCCTGATGAGGAATCAAGTGTCTTCCCTCGATGGCCGGCAGGAGAACGCCTAAAAGTGCCGAGAAGATTAATACTCGCCACTATATTGAAGCGTACTAGTTGATACTCACTTGCATGGCGCGGCGGCTCTTCTCGCGGCGCCTCGCGATAAATCAGCCTAATGATCGGCGGCATTGGTTCCAGCGGCTCCAGCCGATGGGCCTGATAAACGGGCAACTCCGTGCTGCGACCGCTGCCGGGCAGGAGGGCATTTGACGATTTGCTCTGCAGCAGCGTCTCTCGACGCGGAGGCCTCGCCATGGGCTCCAGTTTCTGGATGTCCAGCCGCTGGAGTCTCGTTGAGAGATTTACCGTGGAGCGCTCTGGTGACTTTGGGCGGCTCCTCTGTGGCGCCCGATATGTGATGCTGCCATTGCGCAGCTCCCTAGCGCGGGGGCTCACCTGAAAAGTGGCTGAAGTGGGCGAAGTGCCCCCAAAAACGTATCCTCTTCTCGCCTGGATGTGGCCGCTGCGCGTCTCCGACGAGAAGTGTGATTTCCGCCGTCGCTGGGGCGGAGGATCAACAGCAAACACCTCCTCGAAGTCCTCCTCGGCCTCGGGGAGCCTCTCGGGGTCGTAGTAGATGGGGATTGTTGTGCCGGAAATGCGTAGGTGGGGAAAAACGTTCACCCACTCGAGGATTTCTTGCCTCGTCTTGGCATCCGATGGCAGCTCTTCCTCCCCGTAGAAGACGCGCTCTATGCGCTCCCACTCGAGCTGATTCTGCCGGATGGCATCCTCAGCCCAAGGGATAGAGCCCGTGCTGCTCCGTCCGACCGAACTTGATGTGGAGCGATTGAACACTTCTCTCAGACTGCCGGACGAATCGCCCGACGAGACTTCCTCATCCCCGAACAGTCGCAAGTTGTTCAACTTACTCGACATCTCTCGTCTCTCAGTCAGCGCGATCCACACGATCCATTGCGAGGAAAGAGGCCAGAAAATCCACGAGCAATATTATTGGCTGCTGGAGCAAAACACAAAAACTTCTACACTGTAAAATTCTGCGTGAGGGTTGTTTCATTCGAAAACATTTTGTGGGTGGCTCTTAACTTAAAAGAATGTTTCATTGAAGAGGGTGGTTGTTCTTAAAATAAAATGTGTACTATCGCCATAAAGATTCTCTTAAAATTTGGTTATTAATTTGCTATCCTTCATCCCTAATACAGATTGGGAATAAAATGCGAAACACTACAAAATATTTCATAAATAACTCTATATTGGAACCATGAAGGAATTTCACTGATTCCATTGAATTCATCGTTGAGAGAATTTTACTGAATTTCTCTTATCTTTGCACTCTTTTAAGTTAAAAATCTTCGAAAGTCGAACATGTGTTGTGAATCCCAGTCACCGCGAGCGCTGCAGTGGTGGCGAAACGTCATGATTTACAGCTGGCTTGGGATTTTGCCGCGTGTTTGCAGCAGAAACGCAGTGATCTTGGCCAGGAATGCAAGTGGAATGACCACAGAGAGTGGCCCTGTGGCGTCCGCCATCCGCCGGGGACTGGAGGCCACCTTCTCGCCTGTTCACCTCGAGATAATCAACGAGTCGCACATGCACAATGTGCCCCCATCGTCAGAGACGCACTTCAAAGTCCTCGTTGTTTCCACCCAATTCGACGGCGTCCCTCTCGTCAAGGTGAGCAATTGCAGGTCAAAAGACGTGGGAATCGATTGCTTAACGATATTCTTTATTTGACAGCGTCATCGGATGGTGAATGAGGCAGTGAAGAATGCCCTGGAGGGCGCTTTCGTGCACGCCTTGTCGCTGGAGACAAAGACACCGAGCCAGTGGGACTCCGCGTCCAAGGTGGACCCCAGCCCCAAGTGCCTCGGCGGATTCGGGCGGTAGACACGCCGGTGAACAAAAAGGGACGAACGAGCAACTAAAAAGGTCCACTAAATTCATAAATTCACCGAGTCCAGTCTCAACTTGCCGTCGTTCTCCGTGAAATACAGCATATCCGCCATCGACTGCTCACAGATGAGATTCTCCACGCGCTGGTGCATCTGCAAGATTCCAGGCAAGAACGATACAAGGTGAGATTGGGCTAAAAGTCCAGCAATCAAGTGTATTTTGTGAAATTCTTCTGTAGTCAAAGTGTGCATAAAGATATTCAAGAGACAGAAAAGCGAACAAAAATGTGATTTTTGCACACAAAAAAAAACGGTACACTTTTGGTGAAATCAAAGCCACGCAAAACAATTGTATAACGTTTCTGTGTCTTTCCTAACAAATATTTAATTGCATCAGTGATGTAGCTCTTTGTAATTTGATTGATTTTCTAATCCGGAGCTGCGACTCCGACCACTTTCACCTCACACAAAGAGGCTTCAGTCGCGTTGTAAACAAATTCGCGCGAGATCAATTGGCGTTATCATTAATTGTAATGCATCTGTGGATGCGCATAATGGTTCGGTTGAACTCTTCATTCATCTTTGTAATGACCTAAAATAATTATATTTATGTTTTGTGAACTCACCCCTCTGCATTTGTATCTCTCCTCAATCTCCGGATACTTGAAGTTCGGCCCAAAATTACAGCTCACCGTCACTCCTTTATGCAGCGAAATCGTGGGATAGTAGCTGCCGCCAAAGACTTCTGTCCACGCTTCGCCTTGGCACTCGCCGTTCTTGAAGTAGTAAATCTTGCTGCCCGGCAGTGGCTTCAGACTCTTCAGCGTCTCATTGATCTTGTCCTTGTCCTCGTAGTACAGATGACTCTTGAACTTCACCAGCGGACGATCTTTGTACGTGTTGGGCGTGTAGGCGCGCCCCTCAATCTGCGGCAGGACAATGAGGAAGCCTAGTGTGTCTCCCTCACCATAGCCAGGACTGTAGTGCTTCCCATGAGACTCGTGAAAGCGCGTACCTTTGCGCGATCGCCAAGAGTAGCCGAACTTGTCATAGCCGAGCGGAGCCTGGAGATTGGCGTACTCCTGTCCCCAGCCCATCCGCACAGCCGCTCCCTCGGGCATGTCCTCAATGGTGGCCTCCCAATACCAAGCGCCTCGGTTGACAAAGTGTGTCGCTCTCACCATGCAATAGCCTTTGTCGCCTGCAAGAAAGTGCATTTGTTCGTAATTGCAACACAACAAATGATGATTCACACTGAAGCTCACCGGTGACAGAAAGTCTGTCCTCTGAGATCTTAAGCTGTGGCGCACGATCGTGCAGTGCAAGGAGCACGGCGTTCGGCGAGAGGATGCGATAGAGCCAGCCAGGAATGGGCTTCCCCGCCCAATCTGCACTCTCGTCGAACTCCTGCCGGAACGGGGCGTGCGGATCGGGCTCCGCCAGGATGTAACGATAGCCGTCCTTGTTGAAGGGATGCTCCATCGGATACCCATGAGCGGGCAGCTTCACATTGGCCGCCACGTCCCCACTCAGACGGCCCTTCTTCCCCGACGGGCCCGCCTCACCGCCCGGAAACTTCCGCTTCGTCTGGCGCCCCGACTTGGCGATATTCTGAGAGCCTGCAAAGAGAGTCAAAACAACAGTGTGAACAATGCCTTGTGTGCTGATTTCACAAAAGCCAGTGATTTACAGTTTAAATTGTCCTCCATGTGCGATAATCCTTTTCTCTCTCACTCCGCGTGTGTGACACAAACACACAAAAGGCGCCCCCCCAAAAATGAGTTCAATCGATAAAACTTAACTGTTGTGTTTTCTCTTCCCAACACACGAAAAAATACACAACTTCACTCTTGGCCCGACTATCGAGGCACAAACATTGCATTACATTCTATAAATCGAGCTTCTAATTAATAATGCATCGCTTGAACACACAACTGTATGCTAAGTGGGTCTCTTGAATCATTTTAAAATGCATTTTGATAGCACGTTTCTTCACATATTCCTCCTTTTCCCCATTCAAAGCTCACAGCAAGAGAGAAGACACACTGCCAAAGTGGTCAGGCAGAAAAAAGGCAAACATTTACACATTCTCTCGAATTAATTTGTCGTGTGTGACGTCCACTTTTTTGATTACACTCTCTCGCGCTCGATGTTCTTTTAATAGGAGAGAGCTACAGAAATTTGCGTGCGCTGAGGGAAGATTTCAGGGAGTATATTTTCAATTGTTTGCCATTGTTCTGTCCATTCAGCAAAATAGAAGTGTGTAACATTTGTAGTGCACACTAGAGAATTCACAAAACCTTGACACCATAAAATCGTCTCTTTTCCCATTCGTCAAATTCATGCGAGAGCAAATTTTTATCTCTGCACAAATATTCTTTTCTTCCGCAAACACACAAACACACTCCAGTCGTGCTTTTCGATTTTATTTTTAAACACTGGTTTTCTTTTTATCTATCGCTCTGTGTGCACTCAATTTTGTATCAGCAAATCAAATACCAAAATTTCAGCATCTTATTTCACACACACACAAACACAGGAAATTGAAAAAAAAAGTCATGCTTTGTTATTGAAATTATATATCAACTCGATAAATTCACTCTGCATTTTCTTAGCAATGCCAAAACATTGATAACAATTCTTTCACACTATTCCTCAATAACCCACACAGAAGATATTTCTGATGCTTCTCAGATAATAAAACTCAACGTTCCTTATCAATGTGCTTTCACACAATTTCAGTGGCCGAATTACAAGCATGAAGGAAAAGTATCTTTCTCACGATAAGATAGTGTTTGGAACACATCATTTCGTTCATAAACCAGGCAAGATTATGATCCTAAATAGAGTATAAAATATGCATTTATGAATTCTAGCAATCTAGGATATTTGTTCACATTCGTGAAAAATTTTATTCAGCTCAATCAGTGAAAAATGTATGCGCTAAAGCACATTTCCCTCAAAAACGTCTTGCTGACAATCAAAGAGAGCATTTGGAGGCATTTTGGATTGTCTAACTCTGCAAAAGAAACACCGATAGAGAGTGAAGAGTTCATTCCCTTCAGAAATGCTTTGCTGACGATCAAGACGCTGATTGAGAGTGAAGAGTTTATTCCACTCTTCATGATATCAAGCTTTTTCGGCCTTGTATTGATCTGGATAGTGACAATTCGAATGGAAAGTCGGAATACGAAGAAATTGCAAAAGAAGTACAGGAAAGCTAAGAAAATCCAGAAACCCCTTCGAATTGCTTTCCAACTGACCAACCAGGACAAGCTTGAGGACAAGACTGAAGTCTATAAGGAGGGCAAAGAGATTGAGTATGAGGAAAAATCTGTCATTGTTGCACCAAAATTGGAAGTCATTGGAGATGTCGGTGAGCAGAGAAGTGAGAACATGTTCACAATCGACACAAGTGTTGCAAAACTCACAGAAATCCCAGAAGTATCAACTAAACCAATTGTTAAACCCTTGATCAAGAAGAAAATCCCTAAATCCTGCCTTCCCAGAGTGGATCCAATTGAGTATCGCAACAAGCGAATGAAGAAATCCAGTCTTGATAGTAATTTTGCATTCGGAAGTCGTCTGTCAACGCCTCGTTGGAAGGATTTCAGTGGTGATGGCTCTAAAAGAAGTCTGCACTCGCAGATGTCCGTCGACATTACGTCCTCAAGAGGCTCATTATTAAGTACAGGGACAACACTAATCAGTGAACAAAAGTGCCAAAAGATAGGCGAGAAGAAACGTAAATCAGAGGCCAAATTGAATCAAGACTCCAGTTCAAGTTCTTCACAACACTCAAGTCACAAGTAGAAGAATTGTAGTCAGATGAATAATTAGAAATATGTAATTAAAATTAATTATTAAATATTTTGTTTCTTCATGCATCCATTAAAGCTTTCAATGTCTAATCCTTCTGCACACAAATCACAAAATGATGTGACATAAAGGGAACACTGTGGCGTTAGAGTGCTAAATATGATATTTATTAGTATTTTGTGAGATGTTCACGTATCAATTTGATAGCTGTGATAGGTGAAAAAAAACTGCGGCGAAATAATATTGATTGTCTATCGTCGACAGACACGAATTGTCGACTGTTTGGTGGGTCAAAGAAGGAAGCACGGCAAATAGACGACACAATATCACCCAAAAAATTCCTCTTCTATCCAAACACACATTAGCACAGCGACGTGTGCGCGATTGTGACTAAAAGTGCGGTGTTTTATTGTTATGAAATGCGGTCAAATGTTGCGACCGTGTCACACACACGAGAATTTTATTATTAATTTTGCATTGGCAGGGACAGTGACTGAGTGAGTGACTTGTATTGAAGAATTTCCCAATTGTGTACCGATTTGTGAGTTGAATTGGAAGGAAAAAAAATCAGATCAGATGACAAACTGTATCGATCTACGCGACTGCTGTCTGTGCGGAGACTGAAGGCCTCACGATAGAGATTCCCAGAATAAGAGTGGAAAAAGAGAAAAATTCTGCTATCTTACTCTGATAGACGCTTTCCGGTTTGATTGCCGTCAAGTCTCGCGCCACCAGGCCGAACATTTGGCCGCTCTCTGGATTCTCCTCGTACGTGAACAGCGTCCCGATGTCCTTCACCAGTGCTCGCTGCACTGTCGCGTACCAGGATTGCGTCAGGCGTCTTGGCATCGTGGTCATCGCCTCCCAATATTGATCAATGAAGGGGATTATCTCCTTGTCCTTGCTGAAACTGTAGCGAACGTTGCCATCCTTCACCGTGGCCTGTTGCATATTGGCGATGGCGGTTAGACACATCTGTGGAAGTGCTGATAAAGGACATTCGCAGTTATCAAATGTGCAAAATTGTGCTTCCGGACAGACAAAAATCCTTACATGCTTGGCTTTTCTTGAACGTCTCAAGGCCAGTTGTCGAGCAATTCTTGCACACAAAAGTGTAATTTGTCAAGAAGGGGAGGAGCTTTCCCAACTGATACCCAATGCAAGATTCATGATACCACCGGCTGCACGTGACGCAGAGAAGTTCAACTATGTTGAGATTTCGCTCCTTCCCACTGAAATGTAAACAAAAAGTGTGAGGTTATGAGACCCCAAACAAACCACTCAATTGACAATCTTCAGCCAAATAGACACTGGAAATGGCATAAAAATAGCGTGGAGGAAGTAATATTAGCGACTCCTATGAGAATAATCACTTTATTAGCTTACCAATAGCAATTATTGAGTGGATCCTGCTTCTTGTTCTCGTTCGTGCCGTTCTCCATTTTTTCTCCGTTCTTCTGCATTTTAACACTTCACTCACTGTTTAATAGCAATAAGACGATCACTTCCGAGATTACTTTGTTCTTTTGTTCCAAATTTAGGGGAAATAGTGGGATTTTCTAGTGTAAATCGCATAAAAAGAGATCTGTGAAAAACCGATGCCCACAAGAAGTAGTTTCGTTTTTTGCCTATGGCGCTGCTGTTCCATCTTCGAAAAAGGCCTATTGAAGAAATCTAACCTCAAAATTTGTGCATCAAAACAACCGGTGATTTTTGTGCAGGAAGATTATCCGTTGAATTCCTCCTTAATCCTTATCGAACAATGAAGCGTGTAATACGCAGATACAGCTCTGCGAGGCCTGATGTTTTTCCATCTACAAGTAAGAAAATTTTTCGCAAGAATGACGGGAAAAAGATTGTGGAGAAAGAGACTGAATTCCGACAGAATTCCGTGAAAATTCAGATGCTCTCGCGATCTCTGTACAATCAAGTGTTCAAGAATTACGAGAAAGACAAACCACCTGATAATATTCTGGTGAACAGGTGAGATTAAAGCAATATTCAGTGATTAAGAGACATAATGTTGTGATGCTTGATGTTTTTAGGTGGAAGTCTGATCTTCATAGATTTGGAATTGATTTGGATAGTCCGCAGAAGCTTCCAGATGTTGACTTGAAGCTGCCAGAGTTCAGGGGGAAAAACCTCGAGGAGCACTTTGAAGCCATAGCAAATGAACAGAGTTTGCCGTACAGAAACTTAATAGAAACTCTGTTGGGAGATGTTCCAGAGATGCCGAAGATCTGGTCATCAGTTCCCGGATGGACAGTTTATCACCCTGAGAGTGGAACTGCAGAATCCATTCCATTTCCCGAGGAAGAGGCGGTGGTGTTTGACGTGGAAGTGTGCATGAAGGCTGGCAGCAATCCCACTTTGGCTTGTGCTGTTGGCAAGAAGAGATGGTATTCGTGGACAAGCCGAGATCTTGTCAATGGTTCATCTGGACACGTCGATGGGACAAGGTATGAGACAGAAGATCTCATTCCCTTGGAATCATCACCAGAACAGGCTTTCAAAGATTCTCCGGATGGTTTCTTGAGGCCCAAAATCATCGTGGGTCACAATGTATCCTTCGACAGAGCTCGCGTAAAGGAGCAGTACTGGATCGATCAGACTGGAGCGCGATTCTTGGACACAATGTCTCTGCACGTGTGCGTGAGCGGAGTCACGAGCTACCAGCGAGCAATGCTGAAGAGCAGCAAGGAATTGTCGGACGAGGACATCGCCTGGAGTACTCAAAGTTCCCTGAACAGCCTCGCGGAAGTCTATAAACTCTATTGCGATGGGCAGGAGTTGGCCAAAGATGAAAGGGAGTTGTTTATGAAAGGATCCTTGGCTGATATTCAAGATAACTTCCAAAATTTGATGACTTACTGCGCCAGGGACGTTTTGGCCACACATTCTGTCCTGAGAAAACTCTTCCCTATGTTCGCAGAGAGATTTCCCCATCCCGCCACCCTTGCGGGGATGCTGGAGATCGGATCAGCTTATCTGCCCGTGAATACAAATTGGAACAGATATATTTCCGAAGCGAATCTCACGTACGAAGATCTGGACATTGAGGCAAAGCATCTTCTGGCTCGTCGAGCAGACGAAGCGTGCAAGTTGATGCACGAGAAGGCTTATTGCAAGGATCTATGGATGTGGGATCAGGACTGGAGCACACAGGATCTCAAGATGAAAAAGAAACCCTCGCCAAAAGCCTCAAAAGCCCAGAAATGTGAAGAGGAGGAAGAAGACGTGGAAGAAATGACTGAAGAAGAGATTTCCCTGCGAGAGAAATTCTCCAATTTGTATGCGATGAAGGATTTACTGCCTGTCCGAAGACCTCTTTTGCCTGGCTATCCCGAGTGGTACAGGAAGTTGTGTGACAAGCCCGATAGCGATGATTGGTCTCCGGGAGCGAAGAACATTGGAACGGGAATGCAAGTTGCTCCCAAACTGCTTTCTCTATGTTGGGAAGGTTATCCTTTGCACTTTATCCGGGGGAAAGGATGGGGATTCCTGGTGCCACACAAGAAGGAGCGAGAGGAGGGCGAATCTGGTGATATTCCTCTGGAGCAGCTCGTCCACAAGTGTCCAGTGATTGAGATAATCTCTGAGGCATCGCCTAGAGAAAGCAGGGATGCAATGAGTGGACTGTGGAAGGACGTGGAGTCGTCGATCAGTCGAAAAGACTTCTACAGGAAGAAGAGGAAGGACAAGACAGATGGAGTTTACACTGGGACGGGAGTTTGGTGCAATCAGGATCTCGAGGACTGTTGCTGGTTTCTCAAGTTGCCACACAAGGATGGTGTGTCGCATAGAGTTGGAAATCCTCTGGCCAAAGACTTCATCAACAAATTCTCAGAGAATGTCCTATCAGGTGAGGCGCAATTCATATGGGAAATATATTATATTTGGTGGACTGATGGAAATCTTGTGCATTTTCAGGCGATGGAGCGACTGCGAGGCGAGTGATTGAGATCGCTAAGATGCTGTCGTACTGGCGCAATAATCGGGATCGTATTAGTGGGCAGATCGTCGTGTGGCTGCTGAATAGTCAGCTTCCGGACCATCTGAAGCTGTCTGAAGGAGATTTCGGAGCGATTATTCCCCAAGTTGTGGTCTGTGGGACTCTGACGAGGCGCGCCATGGAGCCCACTTGGATGACGGCCAGCAATGCTCAGCCGGACAGAGTTGGCTCTGAGCTGAGATCAATGGTTCAAGCTCCTCCGGGATATCGCATTGTGGGCGCCGATGTGGACTCCCAGGAGCTCTGGATAGCTTCAGTGCTGGGCGATGCGGACGTGGGAACTCATGGAGCCTCGCCACTTGGCTGGATGACACTGAACGGCACCAAAGCCACCGGAAGCGATATGCACAGTGTCACGGCAAAGGCTGTGGGCATTTCCAGAGATCACGCCAAGGTGATAAACTACGCGAGGATTTATGGAGCAGGTCAGAACTTTGCTGAGAGACTATTGAAGCAGTTCAATCCCACGATTTCGGATGGAGAGGCGCGATCAAAGGCTCAAAAAATGTTTCAAATGACCAAGGGAAAGAAGTCCTTCTACCTCAAAGAGGAGTTCTATGACAACTTCCCGGATCCGCGGAGACCTTTCAGCACGTACGAGGCCATGAAGATGGCAGCTTCCACCAGGACTCCCATTCCGGAGATGTTCAAGCGGGCGAAATGGGAGGGTGGTTCAGAGAGTGCCATGTTCAATCGTCTTGAAGAGATCGCCGGCAATTCTCATCCCGTCACGCCGTTCCTGCGCGGGCGTCTCAGTCGTGCCTTGGAGCCTTCGGGGGATTCTGATGATCGCTTCCTGCCGACGCGCGTCAATTGGGTGGTTCAGAGTGGAGCTGTGGACTTCCTGCACTTGATGCTGGTGACGATGCGTTGGCTGATGGGACGCCAGGTGCGCTTCTGCCTCAGTTTCCACGATGAGATTCGCTATTTAGTGCGCCAGGATGTCGCCTATCGTGCCGCTCTGGCCATGCACGTCACGAATCTCCTGACCAGGGCTTTCTGTGTCCGTCGCATCGGCCTCAATGACCTACCTCAATCCATCGCCTTTTTTGCCTCTGTGGAAGTGGACGCTGTGCTGCGCAAGGAAGCCACGCAGGACTGCAAAACTCCGTCAAATCCTCATGGTTTATCCGGAGGTTATGGGATTCCGGCGGGAGAGTCTCTGGACATTCAACAAGCCATTGAGAAGGCCAAAGGAAGTGATCTCTCAGCGTGGGAATGGCACAGGAAGAGAAATACAAAATGATCAAATATTATACCTCAACAGTGCCAAGAAGTTTTGATACAAAGAATATTTTTAAAGACAAGCTCGATATTTTTTTTCCTATAAAATTACAGTCTATTTCAGTGCATATTTACAAATAATCTCATTAGTTTGACTAACTTTGGGATGATACACTTCTGGAGGCTGGCTGAGTGTCATATATCAGTGTCCGTGACCGTCGAGGAGCCCGATGAGCTGTTGCTCGTGTTCTTGAGGAGGAAAGTCACCTCGTGACTCGTGGACAGATCCACTTCCTCCGTCTCTTGTGCGCCTCGCTTGCGCACCATCATAACAACAAACGCAGCGATAAAGGACACAATGCTGAAGCTCACCATTGCACTGCCAACTACAAGAGAGGGAATTCCCATTATAATTTTTGCACGGAACGCACAGCAATAATTAAGAGAAATTCTCCCACCACCGCACACAGAAACAAAAAATCAATTCATTTCCTTTTTCATTGAGCATTTCCACGTCGATTGCATTGGCGCACAATTGCTCAACTCTTTGCAATGTTCAAAGTTGTGTTCGTGAAGAGATTTCGCGCTGTGGAATTTCACTTAGAAGAAAAGATAGTGAATCTCTGTGAGTCTGAATGCGTTGGATGATTCAATCAACAAAGATCGTAAGTGTAAGTTTTTCACATGCATAAATTCAAATAGATTTTGCGCAAAGAGTATTCACTAGAGAGTTTAAACCAGACGAGATTTATGCCCATATTCAACTCTTTATTCGAGTGTAAGGCAAAGATTTTGCTGTTTTCTGTTGTGGAAAATTGAAAAGAAATGCTTCAGACCTTCACAATTTCCCAACTCAAACGGAAAAGAAACATTTAATATGGAAAAAAAGGCAATAAGAAAGATCATCTACGAACGGGCCACAATTGCTGCTGAGACTTTGGGATTCTTCCTGGTGCTGTTCGACAAGGATGACGTCTTGAGAGCCTCAGCCACGTGCGCTAGAGTGCCATTTGTCACCGGAGGATTGCTAATGTTGAGGATCTTCACGAAGAGATCGTAAAGATCGACGGAGTCGAAGGGCTCGAGGACTTTGTGCTCCTGAAAATCCGGTCCTTTGGCCATGAACATTGAGTACATGGACGGAAGCCCCTGATTGTCGTATCCATGGATGCCGTACACGTGATCTGGCGTGAAAGTCACGTTGTAATTTGCCGCATACCACGCAGCTGAGTCATACAAGTCCTGGAAGGCGTACACAGGATCAGCCACAGCTGTTATTGGTCCCGATCTGGCAGGATTCTTGAAGTGCCACCGCTCAAGGAGTTCTGTATCGTTGTACACTTTGAAATGTCCATTGCTTTCGGCGCCTCTTCTGAGTCTCTGATAGACTTCATCGAACTGTCCTGGTTTCGGGACAATTTGCAGGACAGGCGATGTGCCGTAGAAATCACAGGTTCCATTGTTGACAAACTTACGTAGATCGATTACGTTTTTCGACGTCACACCTTCCATTCCATGATCACTCAAGTGAATCACATTCACGCGATCGCTGAGACTATTTTCCTTCAACTTCTCCTGAATGATTTTCGTGAGATTGTCCAGTTTGGTGATCAAGCCGCGGATCTGCAGAGAAAATGCATAGAGTTGAAGTGTTAGGAAAGAACAGAGACAGAGTGAGAATGCAAATTTAATTAGCATTGCAATTGCATTGCATGCCGTTGATGTCTGCATTTAATTCTAACCGCAAGTGTTGCATTATTCTTAATTCAGGTTTTTAGTAAAAAATATATATATAGAGAAATTAATTAGGAAATATATATTGAAGAAAACACGTCAATGTCATCACTGCTTTTTTTGTAAAAGCATTTTAAGCAGATGTTCTGCTCTCGTGTCGTAAGATCCAGAAAACAATTTGAACAATAACACACTTTTTCTGCTCTTTCTTCATCTCCGCAACTATGTAAATACGTCTGAAACTCACAATTTGAGAAGGAAATTATTGAATATATTCGTCTCACCACATCAGAATCTGGCCCATAAATGTGTCCATCCGTGTCCGGTTCCTCAATGTACATCATCACGAGACTGGCTGGCTTCTCCTTATCAGTCAGCCAGTTCATGACAATGTCTACGCGCTCACTCCACGCCATGGATTTATTGTAGACTTGGACGTGAGTGCAATTGCGGCCGGAATAGGGAAAGTCACTGCCTGGCCACATCATGCAACCTGAGTATTTCCCTCGCAGTTCATTCAGTGTCTGGAAAGTGATCAATTAGCCACTGGTGGAGATAAGGGAATGTCAGATTACTCACATAAATCGGGACAACTTGCTCGTTGTGGTGGAACAGTGGGAAGCCGTAATTCAGGTACTTTCCAGACACTCGATCGTAGACGGAATTCGCTGTCACGCCGTGCACACCCGGGAACACTCCCGTGGCGATTGAGTGGTGATTGGGAAAGGTCTTCGTGGGGAAGACGTTTTTCATGTAGGGCGCCGAGACGCCCTGCTGCCGGAAACTGTTCATATACGACGTGATGTTGCGCTGAAGGTATTCATTCCGGAATGCATCGTACGATATCACAAGCAGACTGTTTTCCTGCCGCCCGACATTCCTGGCAGCGCTCCCTGTAACTGCACACCATAGAACTATAGCTATACTCACTCCCGTGAAATTGAGCATCTTCACGTGGGAAAATGCTGGTAAACAATGTTATTTTTTTGCATTGTGCTCCGCGACGTCCCCCTCTCTGGCACTCAGCCGATAGGCCTTTTCGAAAATTCAGCGGCGACTTTCGAAAGCGCTCGTGACGTCATCTCGCAGTCGCGGCGAAACAGGCGAAGTTGAATAGTGGAGTTTCTCGTCAACGGCCGCTTGGTCTGCGAGTTGCATGAAAATCAACAATTCAGTGTGTTTATTCCCTCGCAATTGGATCGTGTGCATGATTAAGTGGGTGATCAGGTAGCTTGCGAGTAGTGTGTGGTGAGATCGTGAGAAAATGAGTAGATTTGAGGTGAGTGCAAGGGTGAAGAGCTCCGTTGTCCCGCGCGCCTGTCACTGGAGATCCCGTTAAACATTTTGTTTGGGGGCGCTTGGGCATTCCCATTTTCAGATAGGAATCACGCCAACACGGGTGACGCTTGCCCGGAAGCGTGATGAGGCACGAGAGGAGACGCTGGTCACCATGGCGCCCTTTTCGGCCAAATCCACTGTCATGTTTGATGAGATTCCAGTTGGAAAGGTCGCTCGGCGTGTCCTTCTCGTGGAGAATCCCACTTCGGTGGAGAGTAGAATCCTCGTGACGAAGACTTGCAAGCCCGAGTTCTGCATCGCCCTGGAGTGGACGGATGCCGTGATTGAGAGTGCGGGCAAGAAGACGCTGGAGATTACTTGGAGCCCGCCAAAAGCGGTGGCTTGTCGGGAGGTTATTCAATTCACGGACAGTCGCGGCTTCCGGAAGGACGTGGCGGTGGTTCTGAAGTCCGTGGAGCAACGGAAGGGGGTGAAGAAGCCCCTAAGGGCTAGTAATGCGCCTCAGATGAAGAGGACAAAGACCAAAACTCCCACTCCACCTCGTCGCGTCGGCCGGAAGGTGCTCATCTCGCCTGAGGTGGTCATCAAGTACAAGTCCAAGTCTCCGCGGCTCCGGAAGATGATCTCGCCGACAAAGAAGCCCCGTGACAGTGTGAAGAACAAGGAGAATCAGCTGCCAGTGACTTCTCCCAACATTTCCACTCTTTTTGATCAGATCAACTTCACTCCAGTCGCTGTGACCAAGAAGCCGGATGGTATATAATCATTCCCTGTGCTAAACAGATCCCAATTTACCCTGAATTTCTATTCGCCAGCCAACGACATCGACTACTTGGCATCTCTGCCGACACCTGTTGCTGGAGCGTCAGGCGTGCAGCGCAGATTTGAGTGGTCTCCAGATGAATACGACTCCATCCAGTCATCCGTTCAGCAATCCATCCAGCCCAGGCAGCTGCTCCAGATTCCTGAGGTGCAAGACTGTTCTCGTCTCAGCACGGAAACCTATGTCAAGGGCGCTTCCAACTCCAAGGACTCCTTCGAAGACTGCCCGGAAATGGGTCTGGAGGAGCACGTTCCGGAAATCCACAAGACCTTCGATGTCACCAAGAGAATTGAGGTGAGTGGCGACAAACTAAGGAGGGGGGCTTTCTAGGTCACAAGACCTATCGATTTTTCGCCCAGCCACATATTTACCAGCCCCAAAAATCACCAATAAACAGCAAAGGGCATAAAAATGGAATAAGTTGGGGTTGTGATTGTGCGTGGAAATAACTCAAGATAGACAATGCGATGAATGGGAAATTTATCATTTATTTATTCTCCGTCTGTTTGCATTTTGGCCACTCTTCCCGAAATTTCATAGCAAGGAGATAAGGAGAGAAATCACAGGCATTTCTTCCCAGCTCGGCGCGTTGAGAAATTGTCTAGACTCACGAAGAGGGCAAATCGCGGAAAATGCGTTTTTCATGGTCATAAACTTCTCCCTATAAAAGGCACAGGAATATATTTAAAGACATCAATGCGTGAATACATGAGAAATAATAGGATTTTTACGACCCTATTTCTAATCATTCACTAAAAGTGCTTCACCTTTCCTTTCCTCACTTATTTTTTTCACAAAAACATCTCACTCACGTGAGGCGAAATAGTTGTTTTTTCGGTTGTTTATCGATTAAGAAAGGGCTGAACAGAGACTAAATGTGGTTGTGATTGAATGAATGGTTTTTCAATAAATACTAACAATTATTATCAATACAATTAAGTAAAATTGAAGTAAATCAATTGAGATGCAAAACATTTGTTTGTTTGCATTTTAGAGCACTGAATTTTCTTTAAATTGAAGCTGCTTAGCTGGGAAAAGAGTATTATTGTATTTGGGAAAAAGGTCGAGATACCTCCCAGAGACTGGCAATTTGTGCGTCTTATCGTCTCGTCTAGGCTGAAAATGAGAGCAACTCTGGCACTTGTGTTGATGTGTGTCAATCAGTCTTCCACGCAGGAGGGCAAAGGCAAAATGCATTACTTTTGGGGTGAAGTGTGCGGCCTTTCTGGTTATAATTTAGTTTATTCACGATATTTTTTCTGTATTTCATTATCCTGATAGACACATTATGAAAGCACGGAGCATATATCTCGCCAAGTGGACAACATCGTGCTGACGCCACTCAGGAAGATCATCGCGTCTGAGTCGATGAAGAACTTGAGCGGACAGAGCAAAGAACAGGAGTTTCTCAAGCTTAATCAAGGCTCTATGCCGAACTTGCATGAGATAGAGAACATCAACTCAATTGAGAGTAATAGATATTTCTTCTCTGGAAGTGAAGTGGAAACTCTAAGTGTGAATGGCGAGAGGCCATCAACGATTGCTTTTGACGCCAATGAAATCCGTGCTCAGTCTAGTCGAATGAATCTTCATGAAGTTGAGCCTGATGTGAGTCCAATTGCGCAAGTTCGTGAGGATTTGTTCAAAGTGCCAGTGCTTAAGAGACGCAATGATCACATTGCGATGTCGAATATCGAAGTGAGGAGTTCTCTGATGACACTTTCGCCGCCCAAGAAGTACCGTCCGGATGATGTGTGTTCCACCAGAGCTTCCAGTGCTGATGGATTGTCTATGAAGTCGTGGTCACGCTATCAACCCAAGAAACTCAAACCTCTGGTGCTCGTGAAGCCGAAGAGGAGCGTGACGCCGAAGAAAGAGGATCGCGAAGTGACTCAGATCTACGATGTGAATGTTCTGAGATATGTGAATCCTGATCCTTTCGCTGCCACCATGACCGCTGATCCGTTCCTCTCGGCCACGGTGTTTCTGGATGATGAGGCAGTGGAGAAACTGGAGAAGCACTTCAAGAAATGGCTGAATGCTCTTGTAACAGTGCCAGAGGAATTTGATGGCGCGGACCAGAAAATAGACGTTGCTCGTCTGTTTAATGAAGTGAAGAATAGGGAATTGACTTTGGCCCCCACGAAGGAGAGTGTTTCAGCGAAGTATTTCATAAAGTATCGCTTGGAGAATCTGCGAAAGGCGGCTTCTGAACTGTATCAGAGACATGAAATCCAGCATATTCTCTCACATGTAAGATTTAAACTATTTCGCATTTATATGATGTTATTTACTTACATGTCTGTTTATTTGTCTTTAGGTAACTGTTTTGGTGGAGAAGAAGCAACTCACCATTCAGCAAAATCGCGATTTACACAAAGATATCGCTCTGCAGCGACAAATACTGGAGCTGATTTTCTGCTTCAATCCATTGTGGTTGCGAATTGGCCTGGAGGTGGTGTTCAATGAGAAAATAGAGTTGACTTCCAATCGTGACATTCATGGACTGACAAATTTCATTCTCAATCGTCTGTTTCGCAACAAGGCGTTGGAGAAGAAGTCCAACCGCAGCTACATCTTCACTGCTGAATATGGGATGAAGATTAAGAAATTTGCACTGAAGCAGCTGTACCTTCTAATCTTCTTACTTGACCGAGCGAAGCAGGAGCGCATCATCAGGCACAATCCGTGTTTGTTTGTGAAGGGAGCTCGTTGGAAGGAGTCCATGGAGATTATGACTCAAGTTTCGTCACTCCTTGTGACCAATGTTGGTGACATATTGAGATACCTAAAGCGGATTGGATATGTGTTGGAACATAAGCAGACATATCTTGACGAATTTAATTATGCCTTCAGCAATTTGGCCACAGATTTGAGAGATGGCATTCGCCTTACGAGAGTAATGGAAGTGATACTAATGAGGGAGGATTTGTCGAGAAATCTGCGTTATCCTGCTATATCGCTTCTGCAGAAGCGACACAATGCCGATGTGGCACTGTTGGCACTCTCGGAGGCGGAATTTGAGATTATTGGCAATATCACGGGAAAGGATATTGCAGAGGGACATCGTGAGAAGACTCTGTCGCTTCTCTGGCAGATCATTTACAAGTTTCGTGCACCAAAATTCAATGCTGCCGCTATGACAATTCAGAGATGGTGGCGGAATTTATCGCTGAAAGTGACCATCCGGCGGAGAATCGCCTACAGGAAGGAGATTGTGCGTCATCGCGCTGCCACGGTGATCCAGAGTGCCGTGAGGGGTTATCTCACGAGGCGGGCCTACAGAGAGTACCGAGAGGAGCGCATTGTGGCTACGATAGTGATTCAGACATACTATCGACGTTTTGCTGCACAGAAGAATTATGCGAGAATTCGCTGGGCGGCACTCACTGTCCAGCGTCGGTGGAAGTCTGTCCGTTTGATGAGGAGGGAGCGTGCCATGTTCCTCGAGACACGTGCGGCCGTCATGAGAGTCCAGCGATGGTTTCGACGCGTGAGTGTGGCGCGGAGACTGGAGGCGGTCGCCAGGGTGGCTGATGAGTGTCGCAAGGAGAGAAAATTACTCAACGAGAGTGCCATTGTCATTCAGAGGGCAGTCAAATCTTATTTCATCCGAAAGCGACTACGTGACACTGTGGATAAGGTGGTGAAATTCAATCGACAGCAGAAATTGGAGTATAACGCCGCCACAGCCATACAGTCCGTGTGGAGGATGAGACGCGTGAGGAGGCACTTCGTCACTCTCAGAGCTGCCACAATCACTATTCAAGCATCTTGGCGACGGTGTCAATTGGCCAAGACAGAGCATAGCCAATTTCTTAAACTCAGAGCGGCTGCTGTTAACATTCAGCGTCAATGGCGTGCACAACTGGCCATGAAGGAGCAGAAATTCCAATTTTTGATCATAAAACAAGCTGCTTTGCTCATTCAGCGACGCTTCCGCGCACGTCAAGCTATGAAAATGTCCAGGCATAAATTTCAAAGCTTAAAGAAGAGTACAATAATCGTACAACGTAGATTCCGCGCCAATCTCGCCATGAAGCGGGCCCGAGAAGAATTTGAGTGCCTCAAGATAGCCACTCTAGCAATCCAAAGGCGTTACAGATCCAAGAAGTTGATGTTAAAGTATCAGTTTGATTTCATCTGTCTCAAAGAGTCCGCAATCACTATTCAGAGTTTTTTCCGTGGATATTTGCTAATGAAGACTCAGAGGAAGGAATTTGTACAGCTCAGAAAGGCCACGATGATTTTGCAGAGCCGCTTCAGGGCTAATCAATTGATGAAGCATCACAAATCTCAGTACCAGGAATTGAAAAGAGCCACTCGAGTAATTCAAGCTCGATTCAGGGCAAAGAGGATTATGAAGGCCATTAGAGGGGATTTTATGCAGAAAAAGCAAGCAGCTTCTGTGATTCAGGGACGTTTTCGAGCGACGAGACTGATGAAAAGCCAGAGATTGGAGTTTATCAAGTATCAATACTCCACTACGGTCATCCAGAGATATTTCCGTGGCTGGAAGATGATGAAGACTGAGAGGCAGAAGTTTTTGCAAATAAAATCTGCTGCTGTGATTATTCAGACTCGTTTCCGTGCACAGAAGAGTATGAAGAAATTACGAGGGGAATTCTTGAAACAGAAGAAGGCGGTTATCTGTATTCAAAATTGGTGGAGATCAACTGTGGCTGGAAGGGAATGCCGAGAAAATTTCATGAACCTGCGAAAAAGTACTGTTACGATTCAGAGATTGTTCAGAGGAAAGCTAATGATGAGAAAACATCGAAGTGATTTTCAGACACTCATGAAAGCTTCTGTTACAATTCAACGATCTTGGAGAGCAAAGGTGGCAATGAAGAAGTGTCGTGAGGAATTCTTGCAGCTTAAGAATTCTGCAATCGTCTTCCAGAGAAGATTCCGCGCTAAGAAAGCGATGGTTGAACGCCGAATGGAGTATTTGAAGATGAAATCTGCCGCTGAGATTATTCAGAGGAAATGGAGAGCCACTGTTGTGGCCAGGAAGCAGAGAGCAGAGTATCTGAAGTTGAAGAATGCAGCGGTGATTATTCAGAGAAGGCTTAGAGCTACTCTCAAGATGAAGGAATGTCGTGGGAGATTCATCCAAGAAAAAACTGCTTGTGTACGCATTTCAATACGCTGGAGAGCTGTTCTTCTGATGAGGCAAGAGAGAAGGACATATCTTGAGCTACGTGAGCGTATTGTTTGCCTCCAGAGTCAATGGCGGGCTGTTTTGAAGATGAGACAGGTGAAAAAGGAGTACGAAACTCTGAAAACGGCTACGATGACTATTCAGAGACGATTCCGTGCGAATCGGGTCATGAGAATTATCAGGAAGGAGTATTCAGCTCTCAAGGATGCGTCAATTGTGATCCAACGACGCTTCCGTGCCCGAAAACTGATGCTCGACACTCAGAGTGACTTCTTGGCGCTGAAAGAAGCCACCATTATGATTCAGAGGCGATTCCGTGAGAAGAAACTGACTGAAATCACTAGAAAGTCCTTCCTTGTGCAGAAGAATGCTGCAATCACTATCCAGATGCACTTTAGAAGTTTCCTCGAAATGCGAAGACACCGGGAGGAATATAGGAAACTGAGAGAAGTCACTGTAAATCTGCAGAGAAAATATCGAGCCCATTTGCAGATGAAGAAAATTCGCTGTCAATATCTTCTCATAAGATCTCTAGTTATTTGTCTTCAGCGGAAATTCCGTGCTAAAATTGCCATGAAAGGCATTAGGAATGACTATATGACTCTAAAGCGTGCTGCGATATTTGTCCAGCGGAGATTCCGGGAGAAATTGTCATCCAGAAGGCTGAGGGAGGAGTTTGTGGCGTCCAAGGAGAAAATTGTGAAGATTCAAGCTCTTGCTCGTGGATTTCTGGCCAGGAAGCGCTTTGCCGCGATGATGTCTCCGGAGGCAATTGAGATGCGTCGTCGAGTGAAGGCGGCAAAAACCATTCAGGCCGTCTGGCGTGGATATGTGACGCGCAAGAAGAAGCAAACGGCGTCTATGAAGGAGATTGTCGAGAAGATCGTACACACAAGGAGGAATGCTAAGCCCACGGACACCATAAGATACCATCTTCGTGTGGCGATGCGTGTGCTGAAGGGAAGCTTCGCTGTGGCAGAACTGAAACGTGTCCTCGCGAAGATGGGTGAGTCACGTCTTATCATTTAATTACCTTCCTCTAATTGTCACGATTTGTCACCTTTCCTCCTTAATTAGATGTTAATGACGGTAATTGAGTTATTTAAGAGGCACTAGAATAATAGCAGAATATTTTTTTCATCACTTTATGAACAACATCTGCCGGTATTCATTTCACAAGTCTTACTCTCTCTCTCTCTCTCTCTCTCTCTCTCTCTCTCTCTCTCTCTCTCTCTCTCTCTATCTTTCTGGTCTGCAAGTGCGGATAACTACAGTTGCATAATCTCACAAGTCCACAAAATGAAGTGCATTTTCTGCACTAATTGTTTTAATTTCCACCCAACTAATGTTTGGTGCAATATTAAACTTTGTGTGTGTTACAGGGAGAAAAGGCGAGAGTGACAAAGTTTTCTAGCATTCAGCGAAAGAATGTACATATTAAAAATGTCAACATTGCACTGCTAAATGACTTCTGTGTTAATTATTATATCACTTTATGCACCACATCTTTTATAAGTCAAAGTGCAGATGAGAAAGATTAAATTGCATTTGTAAATTATATTTTTCATTTCTATCTCCTTAATTTAGTGAATATTTACTTACTGTTTCTTTTTTTTTGTTCCAGAAAATCTATCTCGAACTGTTCCACACATCTTGATTCCAAATGCTCGTTTTGTGGCAACTTTCTGCTGCTCTGTAATGGCAGAAGCCATTCGTTCTGAGCCGCATAAGCTTCTGATTGAGAGTTGTGCCCGAGTTATGCTGAATTTAGCTCGATATGAGCACACAGTGGAGATTGTTTTCCTGCCGAATGCTTTCACCATCATTGCACAAATGCTGCTTCGCTGGTGTGACAAGCAAAGTGGGATTTTTAACACACTCTGCACGCTGATTTGGGTGTTCATTCAGGATCCCAGGAAGAATGAAGTAAGTGGAACGATTTCACAGGAAAAAGGCGAATACAGATTGTCTATATGTAAAATGTGTGTATTTTGCTTGTTACAGAAAATCAGGGAATTCATGGTCACGCGCGATGCATTGTTTATGGCGCGAGAGATTAAGAAATTGGTGTTGAGGAAGGAGAACATGAAGAGAAACACCCAGCGAGTGTCAGAACGCGGTCAAGTCGATCAGCAATCACTGAGGAAATTGCCAAGCCTCAAGCCCGACTATGGCGTCATCAGGAATCAGGTGTACGTGTTCAATTGCTCCATCTTTGCCTTTGATACGATTCTCAGTAAAATGGACATTAATCTCATGCCATAAGCTCAGAAATTTGTTTGTCAAATCATGATAAAATTACTAAAAGACAATAACTTTATTGAATTTATATTCTTTGCAGTATGATCTTTAATAATATTATTCCACCTTCTGCATTGTAATCTAAATTTAACATTAGGATTAAATGGTTATTAAATAAATTTTTTCATGTTTTTCTTCTGTAAGATATTCTTTGTCACTATTTGTTTTTACAGATAATAATATGGTTGTGTTTTTTTTCTTCTTGATTAATTTATTCTGCGATTAAGAATTTTTAAGTTAATACCTTTTTCTTAGAATGACACAATTTTCACTTTTGGCTCAGACATAAAAGACTTTGAAACACAATTTTTTTTCTTTTGTTATTATGATACAACTACGATAATTTTACAAATATTTTTTTGTTATAATTAAGAGGGGAATATGTTTACAAAGATTTTCTCTTCACCAGCAACTTGACAGTCACTGAGAGGCTGAGGAAGAAAATTCTCAATATTCCTATTTTCATCTCAATGAGCAGTAAAATGGACACTTTAAGATATAATTCATGTTCACTTTGCTTCATAATAGTTCATTTTTGATAAACAAATACTGTCGAAGACAGATGTGACAAGTTTTTGTCTCTACTTAAAACAAGCCATCGAGGAGAGGTAAAAATTAAACGACAATACAGATAGTTTAATGATCTTATTTCTCTCTGTTCCTTCCAAATATTACACTTCTCTTTACTCGTTAATGTTGGGTGTTTTTTATCTAACGCTTACCAAGGCCGAAATTGTAACGCGAAGCTGATCTTCTCTCCACGGGTTCAGCATTTTTCGTCATGATGTACCGCTTGCCCAGTCCGAAGCTGTATGGTCGACCTCTCTTGATGTCCAATGCTGCAAACATTAATATTCTCTCGTTAGCATTCTCCATATGACGCCCTCGAGTTTGATCCTAAATTTTAATTATTGCAAAACAGTTGCAGCTTTAATAGAGATGCATATTTTCGTTTGTGAACTTCCCACGTATTTATCAAACACTGCCACTAATTGTGTGAAATGTGATTTTCCGCGGAAATCATGTTTATTAAATTACAATATGTTACACTTGACTTAATAGCACTCATCAGGTGTTGTGCAAAATTTGTCAATTGGACAATTTTGGGCACACAGCGTGAATTTTATCAGCCACCGTGTCAATTATGCGGCATATTATTGTGAAACACTCACCGTCAGGCTTCTCGGCAACAGGATACATCATTGGCCATGACTCGTAAGCGTCAACAGCGTCTTGGTACTCCTCCTCGTCGCCGCCGCTTCGCTTACCCAGGCCAAAAGCATAGGGTCGGGCTCGCTTGCCCAGTCCGAAGTTGTACATGGGGAGTCGCTTGATGGTGCCGCCGGAGGACTCGGCGGCTGAAGCGTACGGATCGGATCTCCTGCCCAGGCCAAAGACGTAGCGGTCCGCCTTCTTGTCCACGAGTGTTTCTAGGTCTCGCAGCGGGATTGCGTTGCCAGGGCCACTGGGCTGCAGGAGTGCGTTGAGATTGAAGTCTTCGCGGTCATTGAGGGCATCGCTCGTGGCAAAGACTGCGACGCAGAAGCCACCGAGGAGAAACAGCGGGATGAGAATTGGACGCATTCTTGTGTGACTGGAAATTGACACTGAAATGGGAAAATGGAAAATCATTGTGTTTAATTGCGATGCATATCTTTAATAAGCTTAAATCAAGGCTTAAATAGTTGAATTATTGAAATTCTTCTGCGAAGTTCTGATCCTTTCACTCCCAACACTATGATTTGCCACCCAATGAGGCGCAGCAATGCAAATTGTTCCAGGAAATATGGAAATAGAATCACGGGAAGTGCTGATGACGCAATTGAAAATTCCATTTTTACTGCAAAACTGTGTAGCGTTGCATACGAATTTATTATATCCTTTGTCCTGGCGCGCGCGTGGAGCATAAAAATGTTGGTATTCGATTAACGCAATCGACACGCTTGACGTGGGAAAAAAAAATATTATTAAATGTTCCCTGTCGCTTCAGTGGATTGACTGTGGGAGACACTTTGACAAAATTACTTTTCAAACTCATTTCAATCCTTCCATTCATTTTCACACCCAAACTTCGATCCTCCCCCAGCTTTTTCGCACTTGCTTACGCAACTTTCTCTCAAGACAAATGAAGAAGAAAAATATGAGATAGACAACATCCCATCATTTTCGGCGATAAAATTTATTCAAAAATGTCCCTTCCGGATATTAAAGTTTGATCATCTGAACTGTGGAGGAAATAGAAAACCATCTCACAAGTTGATAGGACATGATAAATATTTATCGAACAGAGAGAGAAAAAAAATGTCAAATGCGTAGAAAATGCCAGCCAGTGAAATGATTGATAGATAATTGAGATACATCGGACTGGATGGTCACAACACTCCTCACAATTAATCACTGTGAATTGAACTTTTGTCCAACCGCAGAATCCTCTTCATCAGTGCGTCACTTCTGGCGAACTTTCAATTAACCCCCTTTTGCAATTCACTCCTTTCGTCACGCATTCCAGCGTTGTCGGCAATTAGAGGGCGGGCGAGTGTGGGAATAATTTGCAAGTTCTCAAGCACTCAGCATCCGGACACTCCCGCCATAATTAATTGGTCTCTCGCTACCCTCAATTAGAGCCCAAAAATGGGGGCAAAGCCTCCCCGAGACAGCGTCACAAAGAAAAATGATTTCCATTTTGACGAAGATGCTCTGAAAGTCTCAATTTGTCACTTATTGTGCCCTCATGCCTCCATCTCTTCTCGGCTTTTTCCAGCCAGGAGTGAGATTTGGTGTTCGCGACAAATTGCTAGCCTAATGGAATAATCAATTCAAATAAAACAACTCTCCTTCCACATAACGAAGTTTTATGCAATGCGTTTCATTTTCCCTAAAATATTTCCTCACCACGCGTGCTTTAGAGATGCAAACCCTATCTTACTAAGCTGATTATTTCTTCCTTTGCCATTGCGCTCATAACTTTCTGAGCTAACGAGGATGAATGGGAATTTTATTGTGACGAAAGTCGTGGAGGTGAAAAAGTCTGCTTGACCCTGCACAGGGATACCAGCCAGTGTGTCTGAAAAATATCTTGAGTGAAATATCATTCTCCATCTCGTGTAGCACGGAGCACGAGCTGTTTGTATGATTTATTATGCAGCACAGATCGAGGAAGTATTATTTCCATACGCTCCGTGCGTGTAATTGAAGACGACAAAGCGGGTGGAATGTTTAAGATTAAATACAATATGTTTGTTTTGTCACTGTTTATGAGGGACGAGGCACGACTGGTAGACAAAAGGCCAGGATGATCCGGCACCACACCACACAGTCTCATTTATCGCTACACAGCAATCCAACTCTATTATCCCACTCGCCCCATCACTCATCTACGCCGAGCTGGAGGGATGACTAAGTAGGGTGCCGTCGACACTCGTGGCTCAACCGCCCCGCCATTTGGATTCCGGGGCGAATTCTCGAAAGAGATCAACCGGCCAAGAAATGATATTCATCCTCCAGCATCAGCACTCTTTCCAAACTTAATTATTTGACGGCGAAAACTCACACCCACGCCTCAGCAACACCCCCCAACAAGTCCCTTGTGATGAACAAGTGAAAGTTAAATCTGTTTTTAATTTGTTACTCAAGTAGAAAACAACCTGCATTAATCGGATTTTTGCGCGGCACAGTGAATGATAGGGTGAAAAGGATGGAATTTTCTCACTGAACAATCTTCCCTCGCTCTCTTCCACCTACTTTCACACTGAGGGAATATGGCAAACATTTATGAAGTCACGTGAAAAGTTCCTCCCCCAGAGAATGTCGCGAAGACGAATCCAAGAAAGAGCAAAGCATCTGGATGTTTTCAATTTATATGTCGCTAAGAAATTTAAATACTTCTCATTTGGCAAAACGTCTCTTAATTAAGGTAATCTTGATCGATTTCGGGCTTAAGCGGCACATTTATGAAGAGATTTCAAATCCCAAATCACCATCGTTAAAACAATAAGAAAAAAAAGTCGACTAGTGAAGTGAAAAATTAAAAACTCATTTTCTAATCGATTTCCGACATTTCTTGAGAAAAAATAATCACTTTTCACATCATTCCAATCTTATCTCCCGTCGGAAAGCACCCAATATTTGCTCTATGAATACACAATTACTGCCCTATTGTCGCCTCCCCCGCAGACACTTATTAATATTTCTCGATTTCTTTTTGCGATGCTGTGTTAATGCGAAATGTGTTATTGGAAGCATCGCTGAACATTAAAAAAGGAAAAACGATCAGCTCGTAAAAGCAGTAGCAAAAGGTCTATTGTTGCAAGGGAGGAAAGAACAAGCAGAAGATGGGAAAAAGCGCTAAAAATTATGGGTCATTCATTAAATGATTCATCGCTTGAGATTCACAATCGATCGACTCTTCGGGATTTTATTAACATCCGCAAAATCCACATAAATCCATCCGTGAATTGTGGACAAGCCGGCGACAGAATTGTTGGTTGGCGTGGAGTGAATTTTGTGGGTGTGAGACGATACTTTGGGGAAGAGGGAGAGAGAAAAGTGGAACATTTGCAGCACTCAATCCGGATTTCAGCCAAGAATAAATCTCGAAGCGGGTGCAATAAATAGCAAGTCGGTGCAATAAGTGCAGGAGCAATTGAAGAGTCATAAAACTCGTCCTGCCTTCCTTCAGCCATCCATTAAAGACATTCCGTGAGCAACACACTATTTAAATTTGCCCTTTCCTCGCGCTGCAAGTCGGTGTCTGAGAGGACGTCATGTGCCACTTGTTGAGGGTGGTATGTTTTAAATTAATTCCTGCTAAATAACTCTCATCCATCTTCACCTTCGTCGCGCTGGCCGTCATTCTTGGGCATTGCACCGTAGGGAGAAAATTACAAATTATCTTGTCTTAAGATAATTTCGCGCCACGAGATCGATTTTGTCTTCATGGAAGAAAAAAGAGTTTACAGAAGAGTTTCTGTGTGAAAAGTGCATCTTAAGATATTTCAATCGATTTAAGAATCTCTTCATTTTTCATCACAGTGAAGAAAGGTGTACAATTTCTATGGTGAAATAATATCACAGGTGATGATGCTATCTTTGCATCATGACACACTTTCCGCAGGACAGATTAAATAAAATCCGTTGGTAAAGTGTGTCATAAGGATCAAAATATGATATGTCAGGAAATTTACAAAGGAACAAACTTGTTTTCCTTCAATCGTGGCAAATTCTCTGTGGTCGCTTTTTCATAGAAATCAACAGTTTACTTAAAATATATATTTTATATGTAGTTCACTCGCTAGGTTTTATTTGCGTGAGGAAAGTTATGAACGCATAACTACATACATTCGTTTACGTTTTCTTGCAGTGGCTCGATGATGTTGAAAAAGGTGAAAACATTTCAAATCACACCTGAGGATGATAACTAACATATGCTGTCATTCACTGTAGTTTTGTTTGCTCCACTTCTGACCCAGAGAAGCTTTTGCGCTGCTGACGTCGTTAAATAGAGAGAATAAAATCGTATGTGTTTATATTTTAAAATTTCTCATATGCATGAAACAAAAGAGACAAAGTGTTTTCCAACCACTTGAACTGCTATTTTATTTCAACTATAAATAAATGCGGCCGCAACGTTAATTTGCAGAGGAAATTTACTGTAATAGGCTGCGCTGGAATGCCAAGAATTCCACCCTCGACGAGATATTCTCTGGCACGGTGAGATTTTTTGGGTCATTGCCACTGATGTGTATCATTGGATAGGAAAATTCCGGTACGCATTGCGAGAATTGAAGAGGAAATGGGGTAATTGTGTGAATTCTCAGCGGGTTGCGTGGGTGATCTGACGAGTCAAAGAGGATAAATAGGGTCAAATACTTGGCACACTGGAAGACAATTTAGGATCCATCTATCTTCCAAGTTGGAAAAAAAACTCCCTTCGCCCATCACTTAGCAATCTTCCCACCTTTGCTGCATAAAACTTTTACCGGCGCTCCAGATTCTTTCATCTTTCGCGCGGGGCAATATATCCATCGTGATGGCAACATGGGAGTACTGAGAGTAGGAAGTAAGCTCTTACTAATAAAATTTGCAAATGGCATGCACAAAACCATTATGAAAATTAAAATGTCTAATATGTGCGATTTTATCATCATTTTTACCAAAGGCAGTTGTGAGAGCTTTTTATCGATTCTCCAGATTTCTCATACAAATTGATTCAAATTGAATCGCCTGACCCGTCTATCAATTTTCAATCCAAATACCAATACTCAATTCCTCAATTGATTGGCACGGCAAATTGGCTGTGACGCAGAATTGGGGTGCTCTGAATCCGTCAGTGCGTCGGTGAAAAATATCTCGCCAACATGTGTTTCCTCGCGATTGCGACTGACAAATAAAATGTAGTTTGTTTACAATTTATCACTCGCATTATTTACAAGCTTGTCTTTATCGAATTCCGGCCTTCGTGGGTAGATTCGCAATTCGTGACAAACAAGAATGCGCGCAAAAAGCATAACTTTTTACACTTGCTAAATTGAAAACGATGGAAAACCCACGCCATTTTCTCATTGTCTGAAGAAGGCGTGAGAGTGGGAAATCCCTTATCCTGATTTGA